ATTTAGAGCTTACTTTTCAGCTTTTAATTTTTTACATTACCCTGAGATATAAAGAATTTCAGGAAACTTGCAGTAGATGCAAAAATGTCCACATTGACTCTCATATCAGCCAAATTCTGAATATCCTTGACATTAGATTTCCCATAATTCAACTGGTAAAGATTTCTTTTCCTCCCACCATGTGTCCACTCACTTATCAATGCTGGCTTCTGTTAAAGTTTTTTCTCAGGCTTGGCTTAACTCCTCCAGAACCAAAGATAACATTATGCAACTGTATTTACACACTTAGTACAACACTTGGTGGGGAGTAAACTGACCCCAACATGTCAGAGAAAATGTGCGGAATGGCCCTTTAAAAAATTAAATATAAAGGGAATCCTTATCAACGTTAGAGGGATGTGTGTAACATTATTTACAGTTCATTACAAATATCATAAATGGTCATACATTGTGTACAAATCAAAGATTGGTTCTAAACAGGCTGAATATAGAGTAAGTCGTGTGTAATATGGAAATGAAACACAGCATGAATATCTGTTTTATTTTTTAGTCCATCCTAACCAGCTAAAAGTCTTTTCTTTGATTCTGTACCTGTTGACTCAGCTTTCATAGTGAGAAGCCACTTTATTAGGCTCCTAATCAGACTAATTAGCAACAGCTGTTTCCCCTGATCTCCACCTGCAGCTCGTTAAAGGAAAACCACACCCCCCACTATAAAGTCCAATTCAAGTCCTCCAGGGAAAGCTTAAGGCCCAGCTTTGTGATTGACAGGTGACAATCTAGTTGATGGTTGATGACAGTTTGAAGCCGTTTGTGTTCGCTCTGGGTGGATATGTGAACTGAAGAGTATATTTCTGGGATTATCGAAGGCTTTGTCTCATCATGTTTGAATAGTTGAGTTCTGACATGGCGAATTATATAACCAAGTAATGTTCTATGTGCATGGGTTTCTCTGTCTAGGGATATGAAGTATTGGTCCTATGTGAATGATAATATCTTTTGTCTCACCACTAGCCAATGATTGTATATTTTTATATACCATATATACCATTCTATAGCAAGATATATATGAATATAGAATATTTAATCACCAGAATGTTAAGAGTAAGAAAAAGGGCAGGACACTTATTTGGGAATGTAGTCATGGTTCTGAAAAAGTGTCATATAGACCCACTAACTGAGGGTCTGTGTGTATTTATTGATAAAAGTCCAACTTTATTGACAGTTTTGAACCAAAAGAAGCCAGATAAGAGTATTGTAAACATATTTACTGAGAGGAAACATGTTAAGCTGCTGGCATTTATACAGTATTGTTTTACAAAAGGCTAAGGTGGGTCCCAGACGATTTTAAGTGCAGAATAACTACCTATATGCTGTTTTTATCCAGAGTGACTGCAAAAGAAGGAGGCTCGCTGTACATGAACGTAACCCTGACATTTTGGAGTCCTTATAACAGCAGAAGAACTGAATTTAAAATGTACTTGCTTCTCTTTTTCTTTCCTTGTGTTCTGCTCGGACAGACATAAAAATACCAGCAGCCTGTCAGCACAGGTCAAAGTCTGGACATTCTCCTACCGTAGCACCGAGACACTCGTCTCTCTTTACCAGTCGTACATCAGCGTTACACACTCTTACACACTGTACACTTTTTCAGATGCATTATCTTAGCTTTTGAAGACATCTAACCAAAAAAGGAATTCATCCAACAAGGACTGGATCTCTCTATGCTTTGAGCCGTTTAAATCATGTAGCTTACATTTTTTTCTTCCAAGAAAAAACACATCTGTGCAGAAAAATGCTCATCTTTTAAAGACAGGAGAGTGAAAAAGTTCAGCAGCGTAATAACTTCATCTTGTGTGTATATGTGTGCAGCAATGACAGTTGCAGATTTTTCCCAAATTTTCCAGAACTCTGATTTAAAATACTGAAAGTATTTAGTTCAGTGTAGAGTGGCTGCCGAATGGTTTGACAAATTAACCTAAAGCTGCTTGGTACAAAGACAAGATGTCATCCAACATGCTTTAACTTGAAACAGTATTTCACACACTTTGACCGCTTAAATAGTTGTTTGTGTGTATAAACCTAAACATAGACATGTCACTGAGTCATTTTAGTGAAGCAGGAGCACCTTTATTTTCCTGTTTCACTCCTATGAATCTACCATTCTTTAAACACATGTAGGTTCTATTTTCTTGTGAAAGAGAAATGCTTGTTGATCCTGACAAATATATAAGAGGAATATTTTGAATAAAGATTTAGCTTCCCTTTTTACTAGATTTAGAGTTTGCATCAGCTACTGTAGGGATCTAATTGAAGTCCCATTTCTGCAGAGACCAGAGAGGGTGGTCTCTTTGTTCTGTTGTGCAGATGCTATTTTGGCCTCATTGCTCAGAGAAAGTTTTAGGAATGGAACAGAGGGCTATAGAAGGTATATCTCTATACATATATATATAAATATAAAATAAAAGTTTATATTGCAACTATCTTCTATTTTAGATATCAGATAGATATATGAATAAGCCAAACAGATATTGAATGATATGTTGATGATATCGAGGATCAGAGGAAATCTTGTTTTTTTGGCAGGTTTAGTGGTGCCATGTTTAACTTTACACGTGCCACATTTTCTGCACTTGTTTTCAATGTATTCTCATTAGCTGAATGTTTTTGTGAGCTTTCAAATCACTACTGATAAGATTCCTTTTTAAAAAATTTAACCTTTGTGATCACTGCCTGTGCGAAGCATGTTTTAGATGGAAAATAGTGGAATAATGATTAGAATTGAGAAATTGACACTTTATCCTCCCACTCTTCTGCGAATGTAGACACTTCCCTTTCTTGTAGAGTTTTGATCAATTAAACAGAAACTATGCATCAGACTGGGTAATTAATAATTATCTACATTCAAGGATAAATAACACTGCAGGTTTGAAACAATTAGGAGTGATTTTCAAGAATTAAAGGCAAAACTATGATTGTCATTAAAACCACCGATCAGAACTTTTAGCATGTCCTCTACTGGGACAATATCACTGAAGCAGCAGACACATGTATTATCTTTATAGGTCAAGGGAAAGTGTGAAAACTTCTCTTAATATCGTTGAGAGAAAGAAATGAAGTTATGATCTATACCCTCTCCTTTTTTTCTGGGGTGTCTGAGCCCTAAATTAACCAAATGAGTTACATTTGCTCGCCCTATATTAGGTAGATATAGAATTGTATGATATTCCTCATCCAATGTGTAGCAGCACCTGCAGCAGTGCCCCCATTTAAGATAACTGTAAGCATCCAAATGTTGACTTATTCCTTCTATTTTCATACACTTAAACCAATAACGTTGTGCTCACTTTGCATATGTATAAAAATGACTCGCCTCATGTTTCACAGAAGTTTCCCACTTTTTTATGGGAGTAACACTCCACACAGTCTGATGGTTGAGTAGAGGCGTTTCTGTACCAGCTTCTTGAGCGTTCTCAGCTCTAGATTTGTGGCAGCAGCTTCACGATGCAGACTTCCTGTCAGAAGATCCCTGAATGTCTCTGCTTCGCTGCATCTGCTTGTCCTCTCTCTAATGTCACTGATAAGAGCTACTTTACACTGAATGATTTCATTCCTTGAATGTTGGAGGCAGTGATGCTCATACTGGTGCACTTACATATTTTAAAAGGCTTCATTAAATTTCTTGTTTTTGGATATTTCACTGTTTTTTAGTAGCCCTTAATAAAAGGAAATGTTTGGATTTCTAGCTTAGCCTAAACCACCACAGACATCTAGTATATCTTACTGGAACTCTGGTGGCGCATAAGGTCTCTGAAAACCTCATTTCAGAGCATATTTGTTGCAACATTTTACCACAAAACACAGATCTTGTACGCCTGTTTGTGTAAATGCAGCTTTAATTAAAGATTTGTTCCATCTGAGAGCATCAGCAGCACCATTATATCAGTGTTTCCCTCTTGTTAGTAGTTTTTTTTTGCTGGTGTAAAACGGCCTCTTTGACATCGTGCAGGGATGAACTGTGTTTTTTTGTTCCTTGGCAGGATGATCCAGGCCTTTTACCACAGCTCCACAAACAGCAGTGTGCTTCTGATCCTTATTTATGGGGTAAAAGGCGGGGCTGTGCGGTCAGTAGTGTCTTCTGATCTTGTTTTAGTCTTAGTTCACTATTCATGCAAAGTGTTAAAGGGCCTTTGACAGGATGGAGCTGTTTGTTTGTTTGTGTTCTTTTTTGTCAGAGCAAAGTCTGTTAGTTTATTTTGTGCAGAGAGGCGCTCACACAGAGACCAATTTGTTGTAATATTAGTAGTGACGCTACTGTTAAATGTAGTATTTAATAACAGCACTATTTATGGTCAAAAAATGAACAAGAGTGTGTTATTGTTCTTGCGGTAGCTTTGGAGGCAGGAGGCCGTTTTGTAACTTGAGTTCTTTAACATAAGCCACTCCTCCTCCGCTGTGAGGGATTTCATTGGTCCTGAGGTTGCTAAGTGACGCTGGCCCAACATCATTTGGTTTCCTCAGTAACCATTTGTCTCCTCAGTGACGACTGCATGGTCTCACGGTCGACACACCTTTTATTTCTTCTTCTTCTTCTCTTTTTTCTAAAGGAGAGTTCTTGGTTTTGTTTTCATTCATTTCATTTTAGATTTTAGAAAGGGAAAGAATACAAATCAAATAAATCAGAATATTAATTCAATCACTTTTTCTACTCCTATTTTCAATAAAAAGTGAAACAAAAAAACAAACAAAAAGTTGATTTGTAAATAAGTAATGTACAGTTTGTATCTGTAACTTGTCAGTCTGTCATTGGTGACAGAGTCTGTCTTGCTTATAACGCACGCTACCAGTAAATAAAAAAAGGAAAAAGTATATTTAGACTGTATGGTCCCTTGAAAGCAAGTTTTAAATTAATATCGGATGTATATTCCTGTAACATTGCATTTTTATCTGAGGAATGATGTTATTAAAAAATTGCAAATAAATTGCATTTCCTACAGCTGTGTTTTTACTGCTTTTTCACACTTTATTCCATGACTGCTTCTTACAGAACATTTCATCTCTGTGGACTGAATATCAAGTTACCACTTTTACATTTTTTGTGAATGACTGTTCAAATACTGGTCTATCTAATAACTGAGTGTCTGAAAATATTTTGTGATTTGCTACACCAGTCACACTATTCACGGAGGCTACTGCCCCTTAAACATAATGACCATTTATTAGACTGTGTGTCTTATTTTGTAAGGGCCTATGTCCACTACCCCAGTTTCTCCAATCCTGCTTCATATTTGCTTTTATTTAAGGAAATTCTCACACGAAAAATGTAAAAACGAGGTAGAAGAATTGTCCTGACATAAAACAGTAAAACCAGGAAATTACGCCCACGAAAAAGGAGCGTGGTTAGTTTCTCTTTCACCAGTGTGGTTAAACAAGTTAACTTCCAAAGTCCCGCCCCTTTATTTGATTGGTCAGTTGGAGTTGCTGTTGTGTTCCAAAGCTGAACAAATTTTTGCTAAGAGTGCAGCCACAAAAGACAACTGAAGCTCAGGTATTCTGGATTCTGAGTGCTGTGAACACTGACCTGTAATGTTTCTGAAAAAAAAAGTGGGTGTTACTGGACACAGGCCCTTAAGATTCCCCTTAATTTAATGGCTGAAAACTGAACCTTTAAATGCTGCATTTTGTTTTTAGGACTGCTGTTTATCTTGCATTACTTAAGATTTTGTTGCCTCCTTAGTTTTCTTTCATTCTTTTGTAGGTAAGGTAAGAAAAGAAAACAGCACTGTCTGATACGAAAGAACGTAAGAAAACTAATTCTATTTAAAAAGACAGAATGAACTTGATAAACTTATTGTTGCCTTCTTGTTCAGCAACACACTTTTAATCTGCCAACACATTTTTGATTTTAAAAGGCTTTGTAAGAGGAGCTTGAGCAATGATCAAACAACAAAAGCTTCACGTTACATGTCAGGTTTATGAGTTGCCATGTGTCTTTTCAGATTCCCCTGCTGGGAGAATTCTCTCTCACAGTGGGGACATTTAAACGGTTTGATCCCGTTGTGGCTGAGCATGTGTCTCTTCAGGCAGTTCAGAGTGAGGAAACGCTTAGGGCACTCTGCGCACAGGTACGGCCTCTCCCCTGTGTGAGAGCGGTTGTGAATGATCAGGTGACTCTTCGTTGAGAAGCCTTTCCCGCAGTGTGTGCAGGTGTACGGTAACTCGCCTGTGTGAGAGCGAGTGTGCAACAGCAGCTCCCCAGAGGAAAAAAACGACTTCCCGCATGTGGTGCACAAATGAGTCTTCTCCCCTTTGTGCACCTGCATGTGTCTCTTAAGTCCTGATTTGCTGAGGCCTTTCCCACAGATCCCGCACAGGCTGCACGGTCCTTCGTGTAGACGTTCGTGCTGCTGGAGCGAGTTTTTGCACAGGAATCCCTTGTTGCACTGGCTGCAGTTAAATAACCGCCCTCTCTTGTGAAGTCTCTGGTGCTGATAGTAACCTGATGTACTTGTGAATCCCCTCTCACATTGGCCGCAGTAGTGCTTTAAGCTGTGGAGCTTCATGTGAGTCTTGAGTTGATTCGGAAGTTCAAAAACCTTTTCACACTTAGGGCATTTAGTTTCTTCCTCTGGGAAGTTTTTATCCACTACTCGACTGCTCAGAAACCTTCGATCCTCTCCTGTGGGCTCTTTGCATCTGCGCTGTTTCTTGTTTTCCAAGTTGTCCTTCTTTTTCTTCCGTTCCCGCTTTCTTTCAACACCATCTTTCTGCTTCTTTTTTTTCTCTAAGTCACCTCCTACCTTCTTCTTCTCAGAGCTGGAGTCTTTGCTTTTCTGCTGATTCCTCGCTCTGTCTTTCACAGAGAGTCTTTTCAGAACAGGAGCCGTTTGATGGTGCTCACTCTGGATGTGCTGCTGGACTTTTCTCCTTGTGCGGTGAGTGAACGAACACTTGGAGCAGATGAATAAACGAGCTGGACGGCCTGAAAACAGCATTAAACCAGTCAGTTAGCAGAAAGAAGAGCAGATTATGCGTTTATTATGTTTTTTAAGACAGCTGTTGTCACACCTGATTCCCTTTTGGGTAACCAATCATCTGCAACATCTTGATTGGAATCCTCTTCTAGATCGCCCAGAGCCAGTGTCTGTTCCTCATCATCATAATCATCATCCTCACTGTAAGACGGAATCAACCTCTCCACTGAAGTCTGCACAGGGAGGGCCAGAGTGGACAGGAGATTGTCCTCCTCAGCGCTGGATGGAGCTGTGACAGAGGAACACACGATTTTTAATGAGAACAAATTACAAATCATTACAAAACCAGGTCTAAGTACAAAGTTGCTCCTTTCAGTGTCTTGTGTTTCCCTTACCAGAGCTGAGCGTTCCTAACTGTCTGTGATGAAACAGCAGAGTCTTAATGGCAGACGGCTCCGACAGATGAAGTCCAAATTCTTCTGCCACACAGTCTGTTGAACTGAGCCATGCTGCTGTCTGAGACGAATAGAAAGCAATTATCGAGACACAGGTTATCTTTAAGAGGAGGAATCATGTCAAAGCCATCTGACTGCATTTATAGTTCCATCATAAAGTACCTGCTGCAGGTCGGGTATAGGCAGCAGCAGCTCCAGCCTGGACAAGAACTCCGACACCAACTGCTGCAGTCTTTGGTCAAAGTTGGAGCCGTAGCTCGCAGGAAAAACTTCCTAGAGAAAAAGAGTTTGAAAATATCAAACCCCTGTGACTTGAAAGTAGCTCATCAATATCCTTAAAAAAATGTAATCTCATGTTTGCATGCATCTCTTCAATGCAAATGTACTTACTCTGAAGAAATAATCCTTTTCATGTGGAATATTCAAAAGGTTTTGCACCAGCCCAGCAAAGTTGGTGTATGAAGTCTTCAGTATATCACCACAAGCCTGGCGAGGAGTGACATTGAACAAATATGAGTTGACTACTTTGCATCTTAAATTTTGAAGTAAACATTTAGGACTGAGCCAGCAAGTGTTGTCTGTGTTTTTCAAAGAAAGTAGATCTAAAAGTCCTTTACAACCCACCATCTCACCAGAGGAGCTCAGCTCAGAGCCACAGGCGTGGATTTTGTCCAGGTGGCTCTGGATGGCCTGCAGGTTGGCGATGCCATCCCCACGACACAGCTCCAGAACCAGCTGCAACAGGCACAAACGCGAGGTCACTCAAAAGACCACCATAGATATCTGAGGTAAGTCACTGCTGTCTCATGCACGAGAAATACATATTATAAAACTATCCTAACCCGTGCTCTGAGGCCCAGGATGAGCTGGGCTCTCTGACTTGGACTCAGCAGCTCTGGGACCATTTCTGTTGCCAAGGTAACGAAGTCCACCAGCTTCTCATACTGCAGCACATTCAGCTGTTGGATCACTCTCCACATAAACGCAGATATGAGCCTCACCGGAGGGACAAGGAGGTTCAAAGAGACAGGAGGAAGAGAAAAGCCTGAGAGGGACATTTCAGAAGAGTAAATATGGTCCACAGAGACACAATAACACGCAGGTGAAGCACAACTCTTCATTCAGGGGTGAGCTAAGCTAAGTCTCAAAGCTTACTATGTGAGTTTATTCGGTCAAAAGTCAGGCTAAACAAACCTTGTTTCTTCCACGCCATTTCGAAGTTAAACCATCCAAGCTATAAATAAAAACAACTTCTGCAGTCGAGCTGCATAGTACGGGGTCAGCGAACAAATCACCTCCGGGCCAAACGGATGTGAGAAACCATCACGTTCCCATCGCCTTCAAAATAAAAGCCGTTTTTCTTTCATTGAATTTGTTAGTAGGTTACTGTTTCAGGCCGACGAGATGAGACTTTAAAGGTTTAAGTGTTTACTTCGTTTAGGAAACAATTAGATATGTGATATTTTTCCATTTCAGACGACTCTGGACGCCACATTTTGGTGCTATTATTGATAGTAGCTATTGCAGCCTAGTATACTATTATGTTGTTGTGGAGTCTTATATAAAGAGCATGGTCAAGAAGTTCCAAATTGTTACAGATAAGTATATTAAATGAACTACGGGGAGCTCATAAGTCCGAAAAGGACGGTCTATACTTAAGTACACTGTCTCTCATCATAACACAACACTGTTGCCAAGCCTTCAAAATAAAAGCCACCGCATGTAATGCCGTTCAATGGGATAAACTGAAAATCACATTAACATTACTAGCTCATCAAATGATCATTTTTGTTACTAAAACAATATCTTATTATTGACGTGAAAAGATGTGATGTGCTATAATGCATCTTGCGATGTTCTAGAAATGTCAGTGGATTTCTTTGCAAGTGCGAATTGAAATCCTATTAGCTTAATAGTTTTTGATACAAGTTTTATCTAAAAACACTTAAAATTCATTTTACAGGACAGTGATGTTGAAGAAATGCAGACATGGCCAAAAAGGGACCTGCATGTGTTAAGAAAAAAATGTAAAGTAGCCTAATTATTATCACTATAGTTATATCCTTTTGGAAAAAATGTGGTAGGTCGACTTTATTCTTATCTCCTTTGTATAGTTAAAAGTAAAGCTGGTAAATAAAATAACCATTCATCAATTCACCCGATCAATTATTAATAGTAGGCAACTCAAACATCTGCAAAAACATGAGAGGTGTAGCCTCCTGTTTTTTTTTTTTGTTTGTTTGTTTTTTTTGTAGTGGGTATAATCTGACCAACTAAACCTCATGGTCAAATACTGCTCCAATATAAGTGTCAATTAATCTGTTAAATTATAACATGAGTTAAAAAAATGGAGTAGCGACTTGCTTTAAGGATAATTCAATATTCAAAGTAGCTGCGTCTTACATTGTTGTATTTTCACAGTGAATGTTTGCAGTCAAAAATAAATAGATGTCGCGACATTCTGCCACATTGAGTTTATTTAGAAAACATCATATACTCTTTTACATCTGTACAGCTCCAAAATAATTTGAACAATAACGAGAGCGACTAAAAATACCAGATTACAAGAAAAAACTTAAAGCACTGCCTGCTTGGTTAAAAAATAGTAAGTCTATTTACTCGGTTACCGTCCACCTCTGGGGTTTTAGTAGCCTACAGATACGGTAAGATGTCAAAAGTAGTTTAAAACAATCCAACAGAAGCCGCCAAATATTTCTGTTTGTTTTATATCTTGAGCCCCTCTTTCTCTCTTTTGTATAATCAACGTGAAGGATCTGAGACACAAACACACCCAGGGTACAACACGCCCAGATCTGTCCATACAGCGCCGTTTGCTCTTATCAGGAATGTTTATTATTGGCGAGCGTATTCACCCACGCAGTAGACCAAATCAAAAACCTATATGCTGTTGTGTCTGAGGTCTTCATTTCTTTAAGCTCTTGGCGAGTCTGTGCGCAAACTTGGATAACAAACTCGAACACTTGAAGCCATGGCAGGAGGGCGCAGGGGCATATCTCCATCTGAAGAGAGCTGCCCATATGCTAGACTGATAGTCAAGTATATGTTGTTTGTCTTCTGCTTCATATACTGGGTGAGTAATCCTCTTGACATTTATTTCGACTATTTTGATTTGATTTGATTTGATTTGATTTGATTTGATTTTAAAAACAGAAACAGCCTTTATTCCTTTATTTCTTCGCCCTGAAGTTGCTTACTAAACTCTTGTCATTTAATAATTCAGAGAGTTATAGGAAAAGTCTCCTTGTTTAACCTCAGAGATGTTTGCTGCACATCTTGGACAAGTTCATTTTTACTTAACTCAGGAATGTTTGATCAGATTTAGAGTTTTCTTCATGTCACTAACAACACGTTAACACTTAAATCATCCACCAAGACTCGTGATCTTGCTTATTTAAAGATTATATTAAAGTAGGGGCAGTTCTGCTAACTTTGCCTGTAAAGTCATGTTTATAATTGCAAAGGTTTAGACTCAAAAGTTCGCCCTAATATAGCGACATCAAGATCAGCAGTTTTCACACTTTGCATATTTTAAAGCAGATCTCTTGTTGCAGATTAGACTTGCTGGGATTTGGGTGTGTGTGAGGACATGTCTATGTTTCTAGCCAGAAAAATGTCTCAGAAACAGAGCGCTTTGAACAAACATGTACAGGTGACATGATTTAAGACCATTAACAGCTGTACAAAAACTTGAAGCTATTTGGGAGGGATGTGCTGTTGCCTCAGGCTACATCAAACCATCCACATGACAGAAAATACACACTTCCTTAGCAGTGTAGGATGTTTGTGGTCTTATGAAGTTAAACACATTATTGCAAAAGAAAAGGCGACCCGTTTTCTTTTTCTTGTTATGTCAGGTGTATTCACTGTGAAAGGAAAACTTTAAGAAAAGAAGGCAGACAAATCCAGTTTTGCCCTTCCGTCCCAAGTGTTTGATAGTGCTCCCTTTTATTCATCTTAGGCTGAGAGTGGAGCACTGAGTGAAAGGGTCTTTATTATTCCTTTTCTCTTTTAATGGGAAAGGTACAGGTAGCTGCCAGGTCGATTTAGTGAAATGGAGGCAGAGTGGATGGAGGAATCTCCTTATCTTATCTATCTGGGGTCCTCTTGTGTAACACTGATCCGACTTTGATTATTAAGTTTTGAACAAAGGGAGTTCATGAGAAATTAGCTAATATTCTGTTTGTTCAACCTTGTCTGTGACTAGTATATACCTGGTTTTTAAACAGGGCCACTCCCAACACAAGTCTGAACAAAGAAAGTATTTTCTTTCTGGTGGGTTTCCTTTTCTTTCTACATCAGTTATTCTGTCCTGAAGTGCAGTATGTTCAAGAAATGTTTGAGGTATTTTCTCTGTATGTTCTCCACAGGTAACCGCCCTGGTGATGGTGTCCATCGGTGTGTACGCCCACAAAATGAAACATGCAGGTAAACAATCCTTCACTGGGAGAGAATAGAGTCTTTCTTTGTCTTTGGAGGGAGACCATGCCTAACAAACTTGACCCTCATCTCCTCTTCTCCCCCTTAGAGACGGCTTTAGCATCTCTCTCTGTGGACCCTGCCATGATGCTGATGGTGGTGGGGGTCTTTATATTCATCCTTAACTTCTGTGGTTGGGTGGGCTCCCTGAGAGAAAACATCTGCCTCCTGCAGACAGTAAGTCATGACCTTTCTAACACCACAGGTTGCTGCACATTCTACCAAGCAGCAGAGATAGAAAGTAACAGCTGGTTGTTCAGTGACTCAAGATATGATGAAATTTGTTTTCTTCAAAATTGTATTAAGTGCTGTAAATGTGTCTCTCTCTTTCCTCCTGCAGTTCTGCATCAGTCTGATAGTGATCTTTGTGCTGCAGCTGGTTGCAGGAGTCCTGGGCTTTGTTTTCTCTGATAAGGTAATGAAACTATATAAATAATGATTTTTAATTAGAATAAAGATGTATCCACTAGAGTTTGTTATCATCTGTGAGAGGAATGTCTGCTACTTAACACCTTAATTAAATGGTTTAAGTTAAATGTGAAGAGTCTTGGTGTAGTCCAGGGGTGTCAAACTCAACCACAACAATCTGGATTTAGGTCTAACCTGAGGGCCAAACAGGGTCAACAATTCACCAAAACTGTCAACCTCCTTTCCACAAAATATGAAACAAAAACAGCAATGATTATAAATCATTTGAAAATTCAAAAACGATAAGTTTAAAGGCAATCTGAGATAGAAAAAAATATTTGATTTTAGTTTTTTATTCTATTTTTATTTATTAGTTCAAAAGATCAGAGCATGATCTTAAAAATAGAAAAATAATGCATTTAAAGAGCAAATACATGAGAAGAACGTTGAAATCAGGTTTAAAAGGTCAAAATATGACTTAAAATTTAAAATTGAAATTTAAAGTATAAAAATGACACAAGTCTAAATACTGAGTTGAACAAAATCAAAGCATGAAATAAAAACCCAGTCATGTTTGACTTGTAATCTTGTAATGCAAAACTTAAAACATGAAATAAAACACCAAATATTTTTCCCCCACAGTCTTGACTATTTATCAAATCTTTCTTACTCTTTAGTTTCCCATATTTTTCGTGGTTTATCAAGGACATTTTTACTGGAGGAAATCTGCAGACTTCATACTCCATACTTGTTCCATGGGTCAGATTTGGCCCCAGGGCCTTGAGTTTGACACCTGTGGACTGTAGTCTTTTTCGGTTCTTTTCTGACCAGTCAAGGTGATAAAACACCGCCCTCTCCTGGTTTTTGTCTATAGCTGCTACATAATTTAGATAAACTTCTTGTTGAAGCTGAAAATTATAACTCTCGTGAATTCACAACTATGATCTAAAAATGTAGGACTTTCTTTTGGATATGAACAACTAAATTCTTGCACATTTATTACGTTAATTATAATTAATACATTACATCTTTTTTCTTATGACTTTATGACTTTCTTCTTATAAAATCATGACTGTTTGCTAAAGGATAACTTTTCAATCCTTAATGTGGTCCCAATCCTTCACTTTGTTGGCAGCAAATACTGCTCAGAATAGGCTTTATTTTAAACAGGATTTGGATCCTCAAGAATTTTGATTGAAAGAGAAATATTAAAATCTGATGTTATTGGTGTAAGGAGTGAAAGACTGTTGTCTAGAAAATTTGATATTTTATCATCCAAGTGGTTCAATGACAAAAAATCTGCTCAAACTATTGTTTTATCTAATGCAGCTTTCTTTTCATTCTACAGATAAGAATTTCAGAAATCCACATTCAAACACTTTGTGTATCTAAAATGCACATTTTTGTACATATTATTCAGTTCTTCCTTTTTTATGTTCCTCTGCCAAGGCTCGGGAAAAACTGACTGGTATCATTGATAATGCCATTGTCCACTACAGAGATGATATCGATCTCCAAAACCTGATTGATTTTGCCCAGGGAGAGGTAAGGGTTTTTGACTATTATTTTTGCCACCTGGTCACAAGTAGCATGTGGATGTTTTTTCACCAACACTTTTTATGAACTCAGCTCTTATAATGCATCATGAGCTCATTTGTAAAGCCTTATAAATGCATCTGTAAGGCTCGATAGAGACCCTTATGAGTGATAATAAGCATTTAGAAGAGCTAGTGCCAATGTTTATGAAGTATTATAACCATAATGCCTTATTAAGATTTGGTGTATTATAAATCATGCCTCAATGCACAGGGTAAAATGCTGTTATAAATACCTACTATCACTAATAACAGTTGTTATAGAGCCGTTTGTAAGGCTTTAAAAATGTACTTATGATAACTTTTAAGAGATGGGGTCATAGAAGGTGTTACCATATTTCTTCTATAAACAGATAACTGTCATGTCTCCCTCTAAAATGTGTGTCTGTGTGTTCAGTTTGGCTGCTGTGGGTCTGTGTCCTACGTTGACTGGTCTCAGAACATGTACTTCCAGTGTGACAAAAATAATCCCAGCCAAGAGCGCTGCTCCGTCCCCTACTCCTGCTGTGTCATAACCAAACAAAAGGTCACCTTCTTCTTCACACTGGATCATACTTTTTTTACTGAGTTGTACAGTCACATTACACCATTTATTCATCTATTTGTCTTTTAACTCTCTGTGTCCTTGCGCAGGAGGTTATAAACACCATGTGTGGTAAGGACATGCAGAACTATGAATATGGTCAGGCTGGAAGTTTCATTTACACCAGTGGCTGCATAGACAAAATGTCGGACTGGATCCACAGCAACATGTTTCTGCTGGGAGGTGTCGCTCTTGGACTAGCTTTACCACAGGTACAGACGGGACGAAAATACAAATCAATACATTCATTCTGCTCCAGACACTACAACGTAATAACTCTCTTTTTTTTTTCCCTGCAGCTTGTTGGCATTGTCTTGTCTCAGATTTTGATCAACATGATTTCCAGTGCAGAGTGAGACACATAAGTTTAAGCATCGCTCAGATCCGAGGAGTCAACAGAAGCAGATCACACCAGAATCTGATGAAAGGTTGTGCTCGTATTTGGTCAATGCCTTTTCACCGATTATCACTCCATCATCAGTGATATTGCTCTTGGGTTTAAAAACACAATATTTGTGTGAATCCAGCAAATGGACAAGCGTGTGATGTGTTTTTGCTAGTTGGCCTGTAAGAGGTGTGCTTTGAGCATAGAAGTCTGAATGATGGAGAGGAAGGACTTTGTCACCACCTACTGGACAGTACCATGCTTAAATCTACCAAACACATTTGCATCGTGCCTAAATTCTTTTTTATCATGATTTTTTTTACCACTTAACCAGAGCATGAAAAGTTGCTTTGGTTCTGCAGTACCAGAGTTGTCTTACTGTGAAAATATTAGAGCATTTTTAAGCAATGTAACTGAGCATAGAGTCTAACATTTTTTCATTGCAAAAAAAAAAAAAAAAAAAAGATGGTTGTTAAATAACGCAACAGAATTGAGGATGTATAAGCTACAACATGTGCATAGATCTGACAAACTGGGATGCTTAGGCTGAGGCTGGCTGCATTTGAGGAAGAGGAAATTAAATCTGGTACAGTATGAGGTTGTGGCAAAACAAGCTGCCTAAGACTGCCACTGTAATTATGAAGAGTCGTTTGTCTTTAAAGTTGATGGTAACAGGGAATTCTTATAGTGTTGTAAAAAACAAAAGGTTTATTACACTATCAGCTGGTCATGTTGGTTTGGGAGAGCACTGAAAACTAATGCAGCATGTGCAAGTATGGTGGCCAAGAACCGCCACTGCTGCAAATAAAAAAGAATGCAAAAAAAGAAGTCACAATTAAAGTTACTGATGCAAAAAAATAAACCGAAGTCCGCAGCAAATAAAAAAAAGGAATGGTGCAGATTAAAAAGCCACAAACGAAGTTAACAATGAAAAAAAGTGGCATTGGGAAAAAAAACTTACTAACTGCGAAAATAAAAGGATGCAAATTTAAAAAAGCCACAATGGAAGTGAGCTCCCGGGAACCAATAATGATCATGCACCGGTGTTTTATGATCTAGGTACAGAAGACGACGGCAAGAAGACAAACAAGAAGTCAGCGGAAAGGTTATCGTTTAATTTTGCTTCATGTGCTTTTTAATGTGTCTTTGGTTAGTCCATGTTGTGCCTGAATCGATATGAAGTTGAACTGAAGCTAACACTACACCTGCATCCTCCAGATCAACTTCATATCGACTCAGGCACAACATGACCTAACTAAATGACAAATTGAAAAGTTTACAAAGCAAAATTAAACAATAACCTCTCCACTAACTTCTTTGCTCATCTTTACCCTGTCGTCTTCTGTGCCTAGATCGTAAAACACCAGTGCATTATCACTATTGGTCCCTGGCAGCTCACTTCCGTTGTACCTTTTTTATTTGCATCCTTTTATATTTTTGCAGGGAGTAGCATTTTTTTTTTTTTTTTTTTTTTTTGCATCACCACTTTTTTTTGCACCATTAACTTCAGTTGTGTGGGTTTTTTTTTTTTTTTTTTTATCTGCCCCTTTTTTGGTTTTTTGGTTTTTTTTTTAGCAGTGGGCTTCAGTTTCTCTTATTTTTGCATCAGTAACTTCCGTTGTGGTTTCTTTTTTTTTTTTTTTGCATTCTTTTTTTATTTGCAGTAGTGGCAGTTCTCAGCCACCGTAGCATTGCTCATGCTTAGCAGGAATGTATTAGTTACTGATATTATAGCTAGAACATTTTCAGTACATTTTGGTGAACAAATAAAAAGCGCACTAGTTAAAACAATGTCATAGGAAATGCTGCAAACCTTATTAAATCCCGCCCTCATCTCCTCCTTTTTGTTTTCCTTTTGTTGTAATTTTCAACCAAGATACTAAAGGAGTGGGGATTCCTAGTTCACTGCTGAAGGATACAGTTGTGTGAGGGCCTAAGGTTCTGCGCTGTTGTTTTGCTGATACAGTCACTAGGTTGGGCCAAGTTTGTGACTGAGAAGTAAGCTCTCTTACTGTTGAAAAACAAGACTGACAAAAGTTTTGGCGTGACTTTAAACATTGAATTGTATTTAGTGTGTTTTTGGTATAATGTGATGATTTGTGTTAAAACAGTTCTTTCAAGCTGTCACCTGGTTCAAGACATCTTTATTCTTCAACATTTGAGGCCTCTCATCTCCTCCCGGTTTCTCCTCCCTGCAAATGAAATCCTGAGTTACGGGACATTCCCTGCCTGAAACCTGATGCCTGTAATCTGTGGGAGCAGAAACAGTCCTGTATGTTGAACAGCCTTTGACGCAAGTTCACAATCCAAACATGACATTTCTGTTAGTTTTAAGCTGCAGTAACACAAACCTTAGTTGGATTTTCCCCTCAGCACGTGGCACATATCCACCCAGTCACCAACCGATGACACAGAGTACTGAAAACCTTTATCATGGCTGAGGTGTGACACGTAAAAATGAAGTAAAAACAAGTGGATGGGGTGAAAAAATGACAGTTGTAGTAGCAGCTTCTGGCTGTGTTATTTTTTGGTATGTGTGGGTTAGTGAAAGAGAGAGAGAGAGAGAGAGAGAGAGAGAGAGAGAGAGAGAGAGTGTGTGTGTGTGTGTGTGTGTGTGTGTGTGTGTGTGTGTGTGTGTGTGTGTGTGTGTGTGTGTGTGTGTGTTGGCTCGTGCGCCATGGCTCTGTGGGTGGTCCCTGGTTTTCTGCCTCTGACTCACTCGGGCGGCCATGTTGCTGTAGTTTTCAAGGAGGCCCAGACAGGCGCACACATACAGTACATAGACTCAGAGAGGAGGGAGTAGAGTTAACCCAGATTTACTCAAACAAAGCATCTGCAGCCATGCAAATACTCTAAGTGCCCTGTCTAATTAAAGCAACAGCAACCGCGGAGGGAGGGACCAGTTTCAAATTAATTTCTTTTCATGATAAGCTCACATATTTACCAACTTTAGAGTGAACTTCACTAAATCAGCAGAAAATAGCTCAGATTGTTTTTCCTCGTGTGTTCAAGGATCCCTGCAGCTATCTTAACTATGAGAGGAAGTCTGAGCTATAATGGATGTCCCAAAGGAACTGATTACAGATATGAGTTATTAGCTGTCCCCTCCCTCCCACACACACAAACATACCTACATGCATCGAACTACAAAGATTCAAAAACATTTAAGCTTAATATTAACTAAATGTTATTAAAAACTCATAAAAGAAGCATGCTAAAATGTGTGCCTCTCTGACGTTGTATATGTGCATAACGTACATAAAGGAGTACTGCATCTCTGTGGTACATTAGTTAAATAATGTTAAATAATGTATCATTACCGGGCAAAAAAGGGCTTATTTTTATGTGTTCAAAGGCAGATACGGAGATTCTCAGATATTCTCGTTTTGACACAGCCATATTTAAAATAACCTAGTAGAACATTTCTTTTAACAAATAATTATATTACATAAAACTAGTGTTTTTATTCTCATGTGTACACTATTTTATGTAGCCTTATACTTATTTCATAGCTTTACCAATCTTAGAAATCTGTTCTCCTCAAATACTAAGAGGTATGAATAATTTATGTAAATTGTGTGTATTGTTAAGATTGTAATAATTTTTCTAAGCCCATGTTGTTGTTATTTTTTTCCAGTCTTACCTTTTTTTCTCAAATGTATCATATGAGATAATTGATTTGGCCCAGATGTTAAATTGCATAGCCTATGTAAAGGGGCAATGGTCCTTGAAGTGGAAAGATTTGGTTCAATTCCACCCTTCGTCCTTAAACCACACATTCCCCAGTGTCTCCAGCTTAGCTGCTCTAAATGTTCACAAAAAAATCCCAACCCCAATATATGATTTACCTGTTGCCTCTTGGCCAATTTAGAAGCTGTTATAATTTCTGGGGTCCTCCTGGGACCTTTACGGGATTTCATACCATGAAGACCAGTCCAGTTCATTATCCTGAAGCTGCAAACTGTGGCATGTGAAAGAAAACCCTGTAGGTGTGTGTTTCAACACAAAGGTCTGATCATGTAAGTATCATCACAAGGGTATCCATGATGTTTTGGGGGTCCTTGGGATGGGAGACCTTTCCTTGGATGAAGCCTGCCATAAGGCACATTCTTCCACTTGCAGAGATGGGGGATGGGAGGGGAGGTTTTGTTGCTCTGGCTCTCCCCCACCATGTGCATACCAGAGACTAAAAGACAGCAAAACACTGAGCTGCAACTCTGAACGCAACACCATCCAAGAAACAACCCATCAGACACCCCAAGCTGATTAAGAACTCTTCTTGGGAGATGTAGCACAGTTTTTCATCTTACTTTCTCCTAGAGGGAAAAAAGGGGGGTCAATCGAAAAAAGGGGGTGGTGCAACTGAGAGTGAGAGATCCTGTTACAGAGATCCAGAGTTTTTCATGGCAAGATTTTTGGAAGTGGGGGGAGGGTGAATTTACAACTTTCTCGGCCTGATTCCTTTTTCAAACCCAACCCAAACGTTTCCAAACAACTGTAAAGGAGAGGATATTGGGTTGATGGTGCGTTTTTTCAAGAGGTGGAAGCTTTTTGGAGCTGGTGGATTTTGGATTATGAAGGAATTTTGGGAAATACAGCAAGGATCGGACGAGAGGTGCAGGATAAAAAAGTTTGGGAGGACAGCGAGAAAAGTTTGAAGGAGTTTTCCACCATCATGCTGCGTTTGGAAACATACTTGAAATCTCCTACGGAAAACCTGATCTTTGACTTTTATGTGAAACAGGAACACTTCAGTCTGTGAATCCAAGTAATCTCATTTTTGCACCGCTGAATCTCTCTCCCAAGATGTCTTCCCAGGCTCGGAGGAGCCCCATTGTTGGATTTTACGGGATGCTTTGCGTCTGGGCTGCCTGGCTCTCTGGTGCCAGGGCAGTTTTGTCTCCAAACGGGACAATATTTGAGGACAACTGCAAGAAAACTACAACTTGTGAAGCACTTAAATACAACACATGTTTGGGGTCGCCTTTACCTTATACACATACATCACTGATCCTGGCGGAGGACTCCAGCACCCAAGAAGAGGCTTTTGAGAAGTTGACCATGTGGTCTGGTTAGTTTTAATAAATCCAGTTCAAGCCACTATTAGGGAAAAGACTTCATATTTACATGAAGTAGTGAAGCAAGGGTAGAGATACAACGGAGCAGTTATACAAAAATAAAAGACTTAGTCATACATGTGAGCATAACTGGTCATTAAAAGTTTTGGTTAGTTATCGTAAATAACGATAAAGCAAATAAATTACCGTAAATATTATAGCAGAGTTGTGTTTTAGAGCGTAAAATGGCCCAATTAGTGTTAGCATAACGGTTAATTTAGCTAACCGTTGTTTGTATTTGTTAATGGACAAATTTCACCGCTTATAAACGACACATACTTCGTCTATCGCATCAAAACACCAACAAAACATGATTTTTTCTTCGACCGTAAGCGTTTGTTAACTTTTTTTTTTGAACGTGATAATGTGACAACAGGCTACTATAAAATCAGGAGGTCGACAGGAGGAAGCCATCGACCAGAACACTGTTAAGAGCCATTAAAGGCAACAAAAGAGATCACTCTTAGGTGGTAAAGAGCAGACAATAGGGAAGTTTGAATAATAAGAGGTTTTTAGATATGCCTCAAGAGGTCTCTCACATGTAAAAGAGGTCACTAATGATCTATCAGACAGAGCTGCTCTGGACCAGCTCTCATTCAATGTTAAATCAGTGTTTTAAGACTCAGTGTGGAAGTAACTCCTACTTTATTTAAGTATCTTATGTGTAACAATGAAGCTAAATCTATAAGAAAAAAGATACAGTTAATGCATAAATTAATTTTTCTGTTAAACTTTCAGTGACTGAAAACTTAGTACAGCTTAATAACAACATAACCTCCATATCAAAACATGAACCAGCTATAGCAATTATCTTCAAATCTCTGCATAAGAAAAAAACAATTACATTAAAAAATACCAAAGAAACAGCCATCATTTGATTTCAGTCACTCTGTAGACCGTTTACTTTATAAGTCTGTGAAATTTGATCACATAAGATGCTTCATTTCTTCTGGAAATGTAATATAGGTAGGGTATATAACAGAGAAGTTGGACATTATTCCATTTCAAAACCCAAGTCAGCAAAAGATTGTTGTTTTGGCTGTTTTCGTTTTGTTTGAACATTTAGACCAAAAAAATCAGTCATTTAAAGCTAAAATGTACCATCCTCAGCTTAAGAATTTGTAAATTCCTAACCTGTTAATTGTTCTTTTATTGTCTTTTCATATTGTGTCTTTTTTAAGCCTTAACACTGTTAGTCTTATTACTCAAAAATTTCTGTATTTAACTTTTTTTTGTTTTGCAAAGCGTCTTTGAGCACCTGTAAAAGTGTTATAAATATTTTATTTATTATGATTATTATTATTATTATTATTAACTCTGTATGCACTTTGTGGGAGCTTTTTGACTGATGCTGATTTAACTGGGCTTTTTTCTGTTTTAGGTTTGCGTAATGCCCCTCGCTGTTGGTCAGTTATCCAGCCTTTACTCTGTGCTGTCTACATGCCCAAATGTGAGAATGGACGCGTAGAGCTGCCCAGTCAGAGTCTGTGTTTGGCTACACGTCGGCCCTGCAGCATTGTGGACCAGGAGAGAGGCTGGCCCAACTTCCTCAAATGTGACCAGTTCCCTGTGGGCTGCTCGGTACGCTCCCCTGTTATGTAATAAGCTGATATTACTGTATGATATCCAGGCTGGCCTTTAATGAATCTCCTCTGTGTGCAGAATGAGGTGCAGAAGCTGAAGTTTAACACATCCGGACAGTGTGAAGCTCCTCTGGTGAAAACAGATATTCAGTCCAGCTGGTACAAAGATGTGGAGGGCTGTGGCATCCAATGTGACAACCCTTTGTTCACTGAGGAGGAGCATAATGACATGCATGCCTACATAGCTTACTTTGGCACCATCACCCTTCTCTGCACCTTCTTCACACTGGTGAGTCAAAACTACAACACCCAGAATTCTGTGTGCTGTTATTTTACAAACAGTTTTAATCAATAGAACTGGTGTTAATGTATGGAAGGAGGCTTTTCTACCCTCTTATGACTATTACCCTGTCTTTATTCCAGGCCACATTTCTCGCTGACTGGAAGAACTCAAACCGGTACCCTGCGGTCATCCTTTTCTACATCAATGCCTGTTTCTTTGTGGGCAGTATCGGCTGGTTGGCTCAGTTCCTGGACGGAGCACGTGAAGAGATTGTGTGCAAGAGTGACAACACCATGAGACTCGGAGAGCCCTCGTAAGAAAATATGTCAAACTTATCACCACTTGTTTTTGAAGATGTCTTTAAAAGGGAAAAATAACTTGTAAAAAGTTCACTACTTATAGTAACCTAAATACCTGAGCTAAACTTTTTCATATCAGCCTATTTCAATCAAATATCAAAGACTAATCAAGCAGAAGGACAATTTTAGCTATGAAACTTGACCTTTGTCATTGCATGTGTTAAAGTAAGAAGCAGAGAAATTCCCTGAAACCAAGAAGGATGTAATTTCTTTACTTAAAATAACGTACACTGTACCTTTAACTTGAAAATTGAAAACATTCTTATTATGCTTTGTTTTTTTTACAGCTCTTCAGAGACCCTGTCTTGCGTCACCATCTTCATCATCGTTTACTACTCCCTAATGTCAGGCGTCATCTGGTTTGTCATGCTGACCTACGCCTGGCACACGTCCTTCAAAGCCCTCGGCACCACCCACCAGCCACTGTCCGGCAGAACCTCTTACTTCCACATGGTCACCTGGTCCATCCCATTTGTCCTCACTGTGGCCATCCTGGCTATTGCGGAGGTCAGTCAGACACTCCAAACTTAATTCCAGTTGTGCAAAAACACAAACTTTTTTAGCGTAGTGACATTATTGGGACTCTCATTTTTTTTTTGTTATTTGTGTTGTTTTGCTGCACAGGTGGATGGAGACTCAGTGAGCGGGATCTGTTTTGTAGGCTACAAAAACTACAGATACCGTGCAGGCTTTGTGCTGGCTCCCATTGGAGTGGTGCTTGTCGTCGGGGGTTATTTCCTTATTCGAGGTGAGGAACTTGAAACCTGTAGTGACACATTGAAAGTAGCAGCAGAGACTGGTGAATTTTTTTTACCCCAAACACCTGAAAATCCCCCTTTGTTTTCTGTTTAAACCCTTCAAACCTTTGTGTGTATCAACAACTGATACAATGTGTTTCTCTTCAGGTGTGATGACTTTGTTTTCCATTAAGAGTAACCACCCAGGACTACTAAGTGAGAAAGCAGCAAGCAAAATCAATGAGACCATGTTGAGACTGGGTATGCTATCTCCTCTTTCACAGCTATAGACTGTATGTATGATAAACACACTCGCTTCATTTTTGATTGGAAGCAGACATTATGGAAAGTTTAGTGTCTCTATGCTAGTGTTAAATTTGCATATTTGCTCCCACTTTGCAATGCAGCAGCAGCCTCATTTGTCAACATAGCTGTCTATGATGATGTTACAACCCTTCTTTTTAGAATCAAACACCATTGGGTGCTTCTGGCTTAGCAGTTTAAGTGCATGCCTCTTGTACGGAGGCCCTATTCCTGCCTGTGTCCCCTTTCCTGTATGTCACTCCCCACTTTTATTCCCAGTTTTCTGCTTCGATTATCCCATCTTCTCAAATTAAAAAAAATGCAAAACCTGAAGAATATTTATAGAAATAACTTATCAAAACTGAATCTCTCTGAAAAATAAGCACATAGAAACACCACTATAGTGACTTGAAAGAATATATAAGGTTTAAAAATCAAAGCGCTCATTATTCATGCTGAGATTGAAGTTGTAGCTTGGATTTGGGTGAAGAAGTGAGAGGTTTGAAGTGTTTGTGTCATTGGGCAAACTAAAGAGAGTCAACACTTTTAATGGATTATCATTTTTGTCTGAAATGAAATGAACTTAGGAAATGAACTTACAATTATAAGGCTAGTTGGAGTTTATGTCTCTAGAGTATGTCATGATTTCTTTTTGTTTCCCCCCTCCAGGTATATTTGGCTTCCTCGCTTTTGGCTTTGTCTTCATCACCTTCGGCTGCCACTTTTACGACTTCTTCAACCAGGCTGAGTGGGAGAGGAGCTTCAGAGAATATGTGCTGTATGTATTTGACAACTTTGCACATAAATCTAAAGCAGTGTACTGAACTTTCTTCGATCAAACACTCAACAATGTTTGTTCCTACGCAGCTGAGTTTTACACCTGCCTGCACCAGAATTATTTAATGGTGAACCATCCACATAAAAATCCACAAATTGATGCTGCTGACGCTCCAAACCGCTGCTCAACCGCTCAGCACGCAGCGGTGAAAGCAACTCTATTTCCCCACAGTGTTGACACTGGCTGGGCTGGAGTTAAATTAGCCTCAAAAATGTAAACTGCTCTCTCCTACCCTTACATGTCAAAGACTTTTTAATGCACCAGATCTAGCGTCAGAGTGTACCACAGTCAGAAGATGTGGGAGGAATACAACAGGGACATTTGACTGAGCATCTCTTGGATTTCTGTCAACAGGTGTGAAGCCAACGTGACGATCGCCTCCCAGACCAACAAGCCGATTCCAGAGTGCACGATTAAGAACCGTCCCAGCCTGATGGTGGAGAAGATCAACCTGTTCTCCATGTTTGGGACAGGCATCGCTATGAGTACCTGGGTCTGGACCAAGGCCACTATCCTCATCTGGAAACGGACCTGGTGCAGGTAGAAACATATCAAGTGAACGCTGAAAATGAAATGTGTATCTTTGGCTGTACTTCTTTACATTTAAAAAACAAGACCTTTTTTTATTTTGTTGGTTTCTGTCCTTCAATACTTGTTTCTCTCCTCAATGACAAATATTTAAAGACTTTGTAGTTTCAGTCTCTTTTCCATGTGTCCAGGCATGCAGAAACCAAGCACATTTCTCTGCTTCACATATTAAACTTTAAAAATGTCACACTGAGTACCTCAATATATATGAATCAATCAAGTCCAAATTCCAATATGTGTAACTTAGTTTGGTTTGATAATCTCTACTTTGAAAGAGTGCTCACAAGGACTCACTATGACTTGGATTTTATGCCCAGGAATTTTTTTTCTTCCAGCTACAAAAAAGAGATTAAATCTGCCTCTGAGAGTGATTGTTTTGAGTTTTTTGACTCTCTAATGATCACGTGTCTGTTTCAGGATCATTGGCCGCAGTGACAATGAGCCCAAGAGGATCAAGAAGAGTAAAATGATAGCTAAGGCCTTTGCAATGAGGAAAGAGCTGCACAAGGACCCGGAGAAGGAGCTGTCCTTCAGTATGCACACTGTGTCCCATGATGGTCCTGTGGGTAAGTGCTTCAGTGGTAATCAAAACTATATCAGATCATCTAAAATTTAAAATTATATTAAAGAATAAATCTGAGGTCATGTTGATCATACTTAAATTTGCATGTGTTTATTTGCAAATTTATTTGTTTTTGAATGAAGAATAAAAGAAGTCATGCAGAGTGATGTTTGAATACTTCCACCCTGTGGTATTTTAATGTAACTGCACTACTTGTCTCAAGCTTATGAAGCTTTTACATTTGTGATAATTAATACACATTTTTTTTTGCATAAAGCTACTTGTTTCACTCCCGTAGTAAAAGGTTATTGCAGTTTAACATGAAAAGTCTCGGCCCTTTAAGGACTGTATACATACTGAGGATTTCCAGTTGGGGCAGACAGCCTTTTATGTCCATTTTATTTGGATCAGCGATGGGTTTCTCCAAACCTTGGTACTTGAAGCGTCAAACTTTGGTCATGTTAAAGAACAAAAGGTTTTATAATTTGGGCCGGCAGATTCAGCTTTGTTGTGTTCAGGATTTAATGTCAAAAACTGCACGATTTGTGCTTATGAAATGATTTACTCTCTCTTTCAACCACAGCATGTTAGTTTTTCTGTCAGATTCAGCCTACGGGATTTTCCGTGAGCCTTTTTTGTGGCACACAGACTGCACAGTCCAGAGACTCTTCTGTCTGTCTGTATGAGTGAGGTTCCTGTGGCTGCTGTGCTTGTTTTTCTTGGAGTACATCAAAAGTTGTTATAGGTTGGATTTAAAGCTATCCTAAACTGACCTGTAATTTGAGGATTTGTGGTTTGTCCTTTTTTTTTAAAGCTGGAATCAATTTTGAACTGAATGAGCCGTCCAACGACATGTCATCAGCATGGGCGCAGCATGTGACAAAGATGGTGGCCAGGCGAGGTGCCATCCTGCCTCAGGACATTTCTGTTACTCCCACTGGTACACCAGGTGAGAGAGGGAGGCTTTGCCCAACTTATCTCCTATTTGTCTTTTTTTTTGTCCCTCTTAACTTTTGTTTTCTCCAAAGGACTCTTGTACATCATCTTATTCTCTGTTGTTTCCTTCCAGTCCCTCCTCCAGAGGAGAGGAACCGGCTGTGGATGGTTGAGGCTGAGATATCACCTGAGATGATTAAGAGAAAAAAGAAGAAGAAGAGGAGGAAGGAGGTGCGTCCAGTTGAGGAGATGGTGGACCACCAGCCTTACCCTCAGCGTGAATTTGGTCGCAGCTCAGTGCCTCGTCTCCCCAAACTGCCAAACCACCCGAGTCTGATGGCTAACCTCCGGGAACAGCAGAAACTGGAGCAGGAAGTCCTCCCAGGGTCCTTCCCAGATATCCAGCCCTCCCTTGAGGAAAGGGGTCCCTACCCACAGTACCACAGAAGCTGGAAGGAGTATGGTCGAGGCCCTTTAACCTACAATGATCGCCCAGAGGATCTGGGTCTGGGTCCACGCTGCCTCCCCTCAGCGTCCACCTGGCAGCCCGGCGGTTCCTCCAGCTATCTGAGGGAGGTGAATCATGCTGAGGGGCTTTCAGAGAGGATGGCACATGTGGCTCGGGTACCTGCAAGTCGAAGGACGGGCTACGGACCGGTTCACTCACGGACCAATTTAATGGAGGCGGAGCTCATGGATGCCGACTCTGACTTCTGAGCTCAAACATTTAGCTTTGTGCTACACAGACAGTAAGCTACAAGAAGTGCTGGATACTTAAAACTCTTCCTCAAGTGCACCGAGTCACAAACACCCAGAGGCAAAGATGGAACTAAGCTGGTCATGTTTTCTTATTGTCTTTTTATTAACTGAAACGTAAAGGGACAAAGTTAAAAATATTTTTATACTTATTTGTGTCCAATAGAATTTCAAAGGCAACTCTGAGGTGACAAGATCGAGGCAGCTAAACTTTCTGGAGCTTGAAAGAAAAACATTTTTATTCCACAACCCTCATGTGTTCATCCGTCAAATGAATTAACTAAGTGATGCCATTTTTGAATTTATAGATATAGGCTGTTCATAGAGTTCTCAAGAGTCAGTTTAGCTTTTACCTTTGACTGACAGCTTGCGTTATGAGTATTTGACCTGCTAAAGACAATACAATGTGAGCTATACAGGAGAGTGAACAGGTCAAACTTAAACTATTGTACATTTTGTTGCTTCAATGTCTCTTTTTGTGTCATTCTAAAATGTTTAAAGGCCTCCATTTCTCCTTGTGGCTGTCACTTTTACTACAGTTAACTTGAGGTACCTGAGGCACAGTACACCAGAACCCCCACCAGTTTTAAAGAAGGAGTTTTCAACGTGTACAAACTAAAATGGTTTTAGATGTTTGACAAAAACAATCCCTGTGCTGCAGAGGTAGGATACAAGGCCAGCTTGCTTTTTCCAATATCACTGACTCATATGACTTCTTGTCAACACTAAATGTTTGACATGACATTAGGAGACCAGATGCTTCTGCAAGAACAAATAAAGTGTAACTTTACAGGGTTATTGGCTCCTAGGTGTGGAAATGTGTTGCATGACTGAAAAGTTAGTTGTAAACACAAAATAACAAACAGGCTGAATAATTGTGTCTCAAAGCCTCACATAATTAGCTTCAGATATGAAACCATTCACAGTGTGAAATGCTTTCTTCGCCGTCATTTGACGATATCTTAGTTTTTCTGGTACTAAATCTTACTGACAGACTGATGGGAACTATTCAACGCCCTCTTTGCTGATCTGTTTTACTCTTAAGTGTGCTCTGGTGCATCTGAGTCACTCAGAAATTATATCACCTGATCATAAAGTCCGCCTGTAAATGACTGGGTCAGGATAAAGGCTTGGCTATTGTTCCTCAGCAGCAAAAAGACTCTGAGTCACTCTTCTGTCTTTCAGTTTACAAAAGCTGTGGCTGAAAACTGTGTATTTGTAAAACCCTCTCTTGCCTGGTGCAATGAAACAACAATTTGCTCACTATTGTCTTGAAAAGAAGACAAAAAAAAAAAGAAATGTCCATCCTCTGTTCTCAATAAGTGTTTCTTGTGTGTGTCTGAACAAAGTTTCTTACTGTACAATTATCTTTAAAGTGTTATTTTTTTACAGCAGTATTTCTACTTTTGTTTATCTGATGTAAATATTCACTCTTTCACTGGCCCTCATATGTGCTCGCCGGCTGAAATCTTTACTATGACATACTTTAGACTGCAGTGAACTTAGGAGTCACTTTTGACCTTGTTTTTTTATGTCACAGTTTTTCTGCTTTTTCTCGTGTGTGTACCGTGTATATGTTGTTCATAGATTCCCCACTAGAGGCATTATTTGTACAGATTTGTATATCATTCACTCCATTACTCTGCTGATAAAAATTATATATAAAAAAGGAAGAGTCTACAGTTATGAAAGGTTATCACTGTATTTGTGCTGTAACCAAAATTTCATCTAGCATTGTTAATTTACGCTCAGTATGGATCAACAGTGACTATAGTGGACTGTGGTAGACACATTATAGGCCAATGAGAACTAGTTTGATGATGTTTATAATAGAGATTTATTTATATGGTTAGCACAGCTCTACAAATTCAACAAAACCTCCCACAAAGTTTATTTAAAGAAAATGTCATTTAAAAAAAGAAAGAAATGGAAGATCATGTTGAAGACTTTTTGAGTGTTATGCCATGGAAATGTAAAATATCCTCTTTTGTAAGCTGTTAAAAGACAGTTGTTTCTTGTTATGTTGAGTCCCCAGTGTTTCAAAAAAGTTTTACTGTCACCTTGACTGTGCAGCTGTACTTCTGTGTTTTTATATGTCATTAAAGTAACCTTACACCTTTTCTGTTGGATCCTGTATTAATTTAATTCATTTTTATAGTTTGGGCATTTCGTGTTGTACTAATATATTCGTATCACAGAGCACAGAGAATTTACAAAAGAAATCCAAAAAGCTTGGTTAACAAATACACAACTTTGATTTCTTTTATTTACAGAAACGAATTATTTTGTTTGCAGACTCCTTAATCTGTTTTTCTTCTACATTTGTCACTACTAATAATAATATTTTACATACAGTTTAAAACAGTGGTTCTCAACTGGTGGGTCCCTACCCAAAAGTGGGTCGCGGACACATTCTGGATGGGTCACGAACAGCTGGTCAAATAAGGAAATATTTAATGTGATATTTATTAGATATTTGATATTTTCTGTGTATGCAACTTCAGTAGTTGTCATCCACATGTTTTCCCCTTCATATGCTCTGAAATGCACTTTACTCAATACAACAAGTGGATTTATGTTAAAGATTAGAATCTTTAAAGGTTTTTTTTATTAAAATTAAATTTGCTTGGTTTGAATTCTATAAAAGTGGGTCGTGGTTTAAGGACCATGGGAAAATGTGGGTCCCAGTGTGACACCAATTGAGAACCACTGGTTTAAAAGATCCTTGACTACCAAATTTAAGGGATAGTTTTGAATTTGAAACTGTCCTGCAGGTACACATAGCCTCTATATCACATCCATGAATACTGTAAAAAGAAAAAAATAATATATTTCTTAAACAAAATATGGTGGTCCTGAAGCACAAAAAACATTGAAAAAAAGAGAAGAATTCCCAAAACACAACAAAAAGTGAGAAATCAGTGAATAAACAAACCACAACAAGATTACCTTCTAATAAAAAAGATATATAGATATCTGCAGTGACAAGGGTTGTCTCTAATTGAAGGAACACACTGTCACGTTTTGAGTCATAAGACCATCATAGCAGCATTGCCTTCCAGTTTAAAAGACAGAAGTTTATCCAGTTGGCGACAATTCACATCACCACTTTTTCGATTACAAGTTTATAATGTTGTGTTTTGTGACTTTTTGTTGTATTTTGTGATTTGTTGTACTGTTTTGTGATTTGTCATTGCTTTCTATTGCGCCGTTGTGGGTAATACACTTACAATTGACAAGCTATATTCTACAAGAGGTGGTGGAGCCATTTTTAGACCATTTTTATTTTCACCTGTGTGGCGCTGTAGGGGCGCAAAAAGACTATTTAAGGTGCCCACTTGTTGGTTCAGGTGTGGCGCACATGAGGCTTTTGTTTATTGACTTGAAATGGTGACGCACCTTTTATGCACTCGCGGCCTCAGCTACTTTTTCTGCTTGTCCACTGAAGGTCCATTTACTTGTTCCATTAAACTTATACAATAAAGCTTCCGTATGCAAAAAAACTTCATTCGGATATATCAATCCATTAATTCTTTTGTGCCATAAACCAAAAAATCAAACACAAAATCCAGCCAAAAAACAAAAGCTTCATGTGCGCCACGCCTGAACCAATTAGTGGGCACCTTAGTCTTTTTGCGCCCCCTACAGTGCCACACAGGTGAAAATAAAAAAATGGCTAAAAATAGCTCCACCAAGAGCTATATTTCCACTTCAAACAAAAAACTTACTATCCCTTCAACTGTCTGCACTGTCTGGATGTAATTATGAAATCTACCACTAGGGGCGCTACATCTGTAAACTTTCAAATAAAACACAGTAACTTTAGAAGTTTAAAAAGTGTATCGAGTCACCGGCTTCCTTTAAATAAAAAAATAAAAGAATTAAAGTTTAAAAAAGGAAGCATACGTTTAAAATCATTAGGTTTCCCCCAGTAAGACGTCAAATCGTGCAGTCTTTCCCACCACCCCACCCCCTCCCGGACGCCTATTTGTTTGGAGTCAGACCGCCACGATGTTCAGGCAGTGAGTGTCTACACAGCAGAGTTTGTGGAGGGTTTGAGCATCAGTGCTCAGGTGATACAAGAAGGACACGTGTTTATTAAAGACACAAAATGTCGAGCCAAAAAACTTCATTGATGCCAAGCGATGTGGAGAACCTGCGGAGAAGGTCTGTGGCGGATTCAGGTGAGGCCAAACTATCAGCTCTGTAAACTCCACAGATTAAGTGTATTTGCACTTTAACGACGTGTTATAAAAACATTAAATTTCTATCAGGATTGCTCAAGTATCTTTGACTATACTGCTTTGTTTTTGTCTTTTACTTTGCCATATCTGTGTTAATCAGTTTCACCTGTGCAGCTCACCCATCCACCTATTTGAGATGAGACACTTTTCAGTTTGGTGGTCAGGATCCTAAATCTGTCCCTTCCAGTCATCTTTTAATGTCACCTTTGGCATATTTAATACATTTGTCTGTGTCAAAACTTCTTAACTGAATTGTAAATTCTTGCTTGACTCAGTTCTCAAATCCCCCCACAATTTTCAGCTGTTATGTTTAAATTAAGATCTAACACTTTTTGCAAGGCTAATATAAATTGGTAAATTTGTGAGTCAATTTGTTTAGTAATTTTGAATCAAGAAATCTTCCCTAGCAGATCTAAAATTTCAAGCTTCCCTCTTGAATCAATGCTGTCTTGATTATTCTTGACATGGGAGTAGAAAAGTAGACCTGGACAGACAACACTATAAACAAGCAGAATAACCTTATACAGTATACCCAACATACTTTTATGTTTAATTTCAAAGCCCAGCTCAGTCCACTTTGTTTTCTTATCTTCATGTGTTGCAATGCATTGATAATGAGATCGGTCGAGGCAGGCATCTGTGAGATGGGACACCCTGCATGACTCTCAGGAGGTTTTTGTTAGTCACACACACACATTTCCATGTTGCAGCCGGGAGGGCGTTGGTCCTGCATCATGGTCAAGCTTTGCACATAGTACAGACCCTCAGTTTCTGTGGTCCCCGGTTGTTGAACAGCCTGCCGGAGAGCCTCAGGGCCGCAGAGACTGTTGATGTTTTAAAACAGGCTTAAGACTCACCTTTTTAACCAGGCTTTTCACTGATTGTCTTTTCATATTTCTCTTAATGCAAATGTTCATTTTAATCAAAGTTCTGAATGTTCCTTTTATGTAATCTTTTGAATTATCTCTGTTCGTAATCCTTTTCTTAACTCCCCCCTCAGAGGTTTTTACTTCTTTTACCCCTTTTATACGGTAAAAAGCCTTTACTAATTTATTTGTTCATTTTATGTTATTTTCTTGTTTTAGTCCATCAGGTTTTAGTCTTTCTTTTTACCATTTTTAATTTTTTATCTTTTACCTCCAGTGTTTCCATAAGGTAGCTCTTTCGTCATGCAATGTCTCGGTGTCAGGCCATATCTCTTGAACAATATGTCTTATATTCTCACTCTGTGTGCGCTGGGGTAAGTGAGGGTGGGTGTGTGGGTGGGAGGGTTGGGTTTTATTGTTGTTTTTAGCCTCTGTTAGGCACTTTGAACTACATTTTTTTGCCCAAGAAGTGCCATAAAAATAAAGTTGAATTTGAATGATTTGGCTTTTTAGTGTGCGTATATAAATATACGTTTTTGTGCAGTTGTAGATTTTTTTGAAAGTCAGTATCCAAATCAGTACTGCCTGAATCTGTACTCCATTGCTCTTTAGAGAACTGCGTTGATCCTGACCAGCATCATCGGTTTCCAAGGCAACAACCCCAAACTGACTGGCTCGGTATTGGCCCCCAGCATCCAGAGCTCGGAACAACAGAGACCCCCTCACCTGATGCTTCAACCCACCACTTCTGCCATTACACACCTAAATGTTTCCTCACTGTTCACAGAGGTATCTTTTAAAGCACACCTCAAACATAATTTGAAAACCCTGCACCTCATGAGTGATATAGTCTTGTGTTGCCTTTGCCACGTGAAAGAGTTTCCTCCTCACGTTTTTAATTTGCACAGGAGGAGGACACGGCACCTCTGCTCGGTCTACTCCATCCAGAGGTGTCAGGTCTACCCCGTCACGTTATGGAGAAGAGGGCTGGCATGAAGCCACCTCCAAGACAACGATCAGAGCTGAGAATGAAGTGGAGGCTCACAGAGAGGCCAACAACTACAAGGTATCATTATGACTTCTACCGAAAATCTCAGCTACATTTGGTCTGCATTGAATATTCTGCAGGCTAAGAAAATTCTGAGTTTTATTTTGTGAGAGGATAAAATTGATTTAGACAAGGACTTTTCAGATGAGCATGTTTTGAAAGAAGCAGGTGGTTTTAATCCAGCAAAACATTCATGCACTTGGGAAGAAGAAAAATCGGGGGCATAAGATTGTTACTTGCAATTGGTTTTTACTTGTGTTTCTTGTGTAACAAGACTATTGCTGGTCCAGTTTTGGAAACTCTTTGGCTGTCAAAAGCCACATTCTGTCACTAATCATAGACAGGAGAATGTGAGTGTCTGTCTTTTACTCACCCTATTCTTGTCTTCAAATGATGCTACAGACATCAAGTCCCCCCTACATTAACCCACAACAGCTTCCTTTACAGTAGTGAAAGATCATGTTAAAGCTCTGACTGTATGTCCATGTAACATATGTTCAACCATCTTTCCTCAGTTTGGTTTCAGAAAGTGGAAGGGAAATGTAACCGAAAAACCCATTGAGGACCAATCAGAGATCATCAAAGAACTCCACTCTGATCTAAGCATCGTGAAACCTCAAGAAGGTACTTCCTCTCTCCTTTCATTAGACATAAGTTCTGTTCTGCCTGATTGAGATCCATATACTGATGGGAATGCAATGTTCTGTGGTTATTTTTTTCTCTTTCAGGCTCCGTTGTCTCCTTTGGGAACATAGTTTATGTATTTTTATTTGGATGGTGGATTTCTTTAATCTACCTCCTGCTCTGTCCAGTGATGTTTCTAACAATCTTAGGTGCACCTTACGGTATGTATGATATGGAATAAATGCATCGCTCTGAATATGCAGTTTTAAAACGTGGAAAATCATGCAACTCTTTTGTTTTTTCTAGGCAAACTTTGTTTAAGGATGGCTTTGTACTTTATGTGGCCATTTGGGAAGTCTATAGAAAAGGTAATATGATAAGCTGGATCTGTTCTTCCTACAGTTTTGATATTGAAAGCCTCAGTGAGAAAATTCAGTTATTTATGAAACAGACTAAAATTAATGCTGCACCACTACATGAGCATCAAAAGCTAAACAGGCCATCAGAAAAAAGGGACTATTTTTCATAAACCAGCAAGGTTGGTTTCCAATAAAGGACACAACATGCCTCTGTTGCTTCACCCTTGAAAAGTGAACATAAGGGTGTTCAATTTAGAATGTGTACATCGCTAATTTTTCCAGTTTCTACATATTGCACCTTTTTAAATTTTACCTTTTAGTTCACAGAGGGGACCAAAATCTAAATAAAATAAAACTGGGTTAGTGGTTTTAGACTTATCTTCAAGACTCATATTTTACAATATCCAGTTTTCATCTTCTCCTTTTTTTCTTTTAGCCTGGTGATGTAGTTCGGAGATCCATTATCAAGCCTCCAAAGTGTGAGGTCATTCCTGAAGAGAGGGACAGTGAGGACAGTAAAGATGCTGCACCTCTTCTGGTTTCTTCTCCAATCCCTATTGAAGTCCCTGTCCCAGAGCCGCCTGCTAAAAAACCTTCAAGACACTGGGTAGGAAATAATCCAAGTGAATCACTCAGTGTAATGAAGGTTTTTGCGAAGTTAATGTTTAAAATTGTTTATCCGACGCTCCTGTTTAGTGTCGTGTCAGTACTTATGTCTGGTTGCTGCTGGGTTACCCGCTGGTGTTCGTGTTCCACTGTCTGACCTGTTTGCTCTCCTGGCTGCTGGTTTTCACCATACCTGTGGCTAAGATGAACGCTCGCACGCTGAGCACAGTCCTCCTCATGGCACCAGAGGATGTTCAGATACATAAAGTGGAAAAGGTACCAGACATGTCATTTAAACAGACTAGTTCAATGTATTGTGAACCGTTTTAATATTATGAGATTGTACGGAGTAAAAAGAGTGCAACTAGAAAGACATGGTGCTGTAAACTCTTCAAATGAAAACTTCCATGAATAACATTTACCGGAAAGCCAAAACTGCACTGACAAATTCCTCAAAACTAAGAGAAACAAACTTGATTTCAAACTTGTTTGTCTTTCTTTTGCAGGCGCATGGGCACGAGACCAAAGTCACCTTGTGCTGTTACCAAGCATTCAACGTGTATTACTACAAATACACAGTCCAAGGAATCAACATTTTTGCTCTCAGTATCCTTTTTTTAAGCTGTCGTTTTAAGTTTGAGAAAAAGATTTCAGGAAGAGAGAAAATGTCATTTACCGTATTTTTCGCACAATAAGGCGCGCTCAAAATCCTTTTGGCTTGTCGGAGCACTGCAGCTACCATAGCCTCGCAGAGTTATTGAATGAGTTAAATAAGGTTTGACTTATCTGACTGTTTTGTTTGGCTTAATGCGCTTTATAATCCGGTGTGCCTTATAATCTGGTACGCCTTATGTATGAAAATAGATGCGTTCATCGATGTGTGCCTTATAATCAGGTGCAGGTATATTGCAAAAAACCTGGTAATTTGGTGAGTTTCAAACATTAAAGCCTCAGGACCCATTAGTCAAGTTTCTGCAGTTTAGTGCTGTGTAGTAGAAATCATGTCCTCCAAGATAAGGCTGAGCCCAGATTTTTGCTACATTTATTTTTAACCCATGACCCACTGAAAATAACATTATGGCAAATTTATTAATGCTTTACATCTTAATTCTGTGACAAAGTTTTTGCTCTGAAAATTCACTTCAAGCTAAGACCTGAAGCACTGGTCTATCTATTTACTCTCCTTAAGTCCATGCTCCCTTCAGACCTGCTCCCCCTGGTCTTCGTCACTTTGATTATTGGCTACACTGACCATGAGCACAACTACTTCAGTGCAGAGACCAAGTTTGCCACCGCTATCACCTCCATCATTCCTCTGTCCTACTATATCGGCATGGGTATAGCCAGGTTGGGTTTTTTTTTTTATTCTTTTTATTTTCCCCCTGACTTGTAAATTGCTGTGAAGGAAAGGAGAAACAATGGCTTGTTAATTTGTATTTTCATAGCATTTCTGCGCAGAGTAACTTCGCAGTGGGAGCGGTGGTGAATGCAACGTTTGGCTCCATCACAGAGATGACATTCTACATCACAGCTTTACTGCAGGGCGTCCGTGCCGGCACTAAATGTTATGAGGAGATTGTGAAAGCAGCCCTCACTGGGACACTGCTGGGGTGCATACTGTTCATACCTGTGAGTGCCTTTTAATGATATATGTGCACATTAGCATCCTTGTTTTAACTGTGCTATCTTTTTTTCCCTCACTGACCTCATGCTGAGTGTCTGTGCTCTCCACAGGGTATCTGTATGATTATCGGGGGCATCAAACACAGGGAGCAGAGATTTAATAGTCGATCAGCAGGAGTGAGCTCTGCTTTACTATTCATATCCATAGGAGGTGGGTGCAATTACCTCATTTCAAGCAATATGTCCTTTTTTTATAAAAACCAAGGTAAAAAAAAAAAGTCCAGCTGGATCCTCATGCTGTGATTTTGCCTCTAGGTGTGTTTGCTCCCACTCTCTTCTCCAAGATCTTTGGTAATCTTGTGTGTGAAAGCTGCACCAATATTCCAGGCAATGGCAGTGTGCCCTTCGTCTGCAAGGACTGTCACTACGACACGGTGAGCTAAATCACCCAAACCAATATTATTAAATGCTTATACCGATGCAAGTAAGGGGATAACTATTATGTCTTTATCATGCATTTTAAATACTCCATAGGAATCTTTGTTGATGGATATAACTTCAAGTTTCTGCGGAAAAGTTCATGCTCAAGCACTCTAAAGCTGCATTATTCCCAGTGGCCAGCAGGGAGCACACTACTGGTCACAAAAAGATGCTTTTAGTATGAATTTGGATGTCAAAGTGACCCCATATCTGGCTTGATTTATTACCCCATAAACATTTGTCATGAAGCCAGGGCTACTACACAGTTGGAATTTTCATACTTTTCCGTACCAAACTTTTTAGAATTATTTTTGGAAATACCTACTTTTCCATTTTAGAAAATAGTATTTTTTTACTGCGGTAATAGTCTGGAAACAAATACTTTTACATACTTTATTTTTCATTAACCATACTTTTTAAGACCTGGAAATTGACCAAATTACTTCCATACCTGTCCATAATTTCCATACTTGCGTAGGAACCCTGCAAAGTTGTGATCTCTAAAGTTTTGATTCAATCCACATTTATCTCTAAAACTAAAAGTACAGCCAGGTATACCTTAGGACAGTGCCAGTCATCCTTGTCGTTCAAATATGGTAATGTCTTTATCCAAAAAAATGATGGTGGAATTTGCTAAAAGATGACATTGCAAAGATAAATCTGCTTGTTTTTATACAGTCTGATGATTTATTTTTTGTCTTAACAGACTCAAACTGACCCACGCTTGGTTCTGTCTCAAATTGAGTGAGTAAAACATGTCGGTTTTAACAGCTTAAGAAAAAAAATCCTCCTGCTTTTAAAGATAATTATCATTCAAATGTTCTTTTCAAGGCCCTTGGTATACACTATTTCTGTGCTCTTGCCTGCTGCGTACCTGATCGGCCTCATCTTCACCCTGAAGACTCACTCGCACATCTATGACATCCACATCAGCGATGGCCAAGGGGGCCATGCACACGGTCAGTACTCACAAGAGGGCACCAGCACCCTCCCCTCAACCGGTGAGGTCACCGCTGGCCGTCTCCTGGCAGCCTACAACTCGTGTATTAATGCCAGCATTGTTACCACCAGCCAGGCGGTTGCGACAGGTGTGTGGGTGGTGTGGTGTGCATGTAGTCTTTTTCTCTTAACTTTTTGGTCAAGGAAATTCATTTTGAAGAGGCCTTCCTGCTTTATTAACTGGTTTGCATGTCTGGAAAGCTTTCCCCGTGCAGTGCATGTCATGCTCTTCAGCATGTGAGGATGAAGAACACAAATATGAGAGGAAGGTCAGACATTTTGGATGTATAAGACACGGGAAAGGAGAGGTAGGTCTTACATTTAAAACTTTCATTGGCTTACAGTATATGTGTCATCTGCAGGTCATCATGTGGTCCACTGGTCTCGGTGGAGGGCTCTTGCTGTGCTGATTGTCGCCACATTGTTGATGGCTGCTTGTGCCGACCTCAGCACGGAGAACATTGAGCCCATGCTGACCCACTCCTCTATCTCTCAGGTACTCAGAAAGCTGTTTTTTACATAGAAGATGGGAAAGTGTCTTTGATTGGAAGTTTATCTGGGTTTTAAGACCATCAAAGTGTTGATGAAGATTCAATTCTCAATCTATAATACCTCTGGATTAACTCAATCCAATTTACTTTATGCCATCATTTACGCTGCCCTGTCTCTTGCAGTACTTCATCGGGGTCACAGTGTTGGCCATGGTGCCAGAGCTTCCTGAGATTGTCAATGGGATCCAGTTTGCACTGCAGAACAACATCAGCTTAAGGTATGAGTACAATACACTGTTGAGTATAACTTTTATTCACCACCTGTTGAATTTAAATTTACAACCATTATGTGATGATTTTTGCATAACTTGATCTGCATTAGACTTTATTATCTATTTTTATTCCACGTTCATCCATCGTAAAGAAGAGTTTCACAAACGCTTGTATAATGTTTGTTTTCAACAGCCTTGAAGTGGGGAGTTGCATTGCTGTGCAGGTCTGCATGATCCAGATTCCACTGCTCATACTCTTCAATGCTTTCTATGTGAGTGAACCGCTTTTGCCATCAACAAACATTCCTTACTTTCAATACACTTTCAATATGACTTGACTTTTTCTTTTTACTCCCAGGATGTGGGATTCTTGCTTGTGTTCAGTGACGTTCATCTCTGGGCGAGCATCTTCAGTGTCATCCTGGTCAACTACATCTTCATGGATGGGAAATGTGACTACTTTCAGGGTAAGCTTCAAAGACAGACACTGAAAAGAAGTTGAAAAATGGAAATGACACATTGGATTATGTCTGTCTAGTTAAAAATGTAGCTTATTGTGTACCATTTTGCTTGAAGGCACAGCTCTCGTGGTGGTCTACTTCATCCTGTTGGCGCTGTACTTCTTCGCTCCTTCTCCTCGCTCTTGTTGATCTGCTGGTCAAGAACATTTTTCAATGTTCAGAATAAAATGCCACCGTAAAAAATATATGTGAAGGCTCAGTGGCACAGAAAATGCAGAAAAAATAATAAACTGAGGTTTGAAAATAGATAGTGGAGCCTGAATTGATTAGTATTAATGTGTTGTTGATTGTTTGTGGTTTGGGACTTCTGTCTTGGATTCCTAAACATTGAGCACTGATGTTCAAATGTGAATGTTTTTGTCCTGTAATACGTGATTTATATGGGAAAAAATAAATGCATCAATTTATAAACCATGTGCACATAAGACCCTTTTTATTTAAGCGTTGCATCACCAGGATGTGCAGTACTTCATTATGTCCAAGCTTTAATGATTCAACATTTGACACTGAGTAACGGTGTGAGTTTGTGATATTATTTTTATGGAACCCCATGTCCAGAAAGTTGAGATGTTAGATATTGATCAAAAATGCTTGCAGGTGGTTTAGAAATCATTTTAACTTTAAAGTCATAGGAAAACAAACGAAAAATCTTACTGGTTGAAGAAAAAGATGTGCCTCCTACCAGGAAAGGACACCAAACGATAAATAAGTTGAGCAACTTAAACATCCTTCCATCCATCTATCCATTTTCTACCACTTATTCCAGTTAGGGGACACGGGGGGGCTGGAGTCTATCCCACCGTCTTTGGGTGAAGGCAGGAGACACCTTGGACAAGTCGCCAGTTCATTGCAGGGCTGACATTTAGAGACGAACAACCATCCACGCTCACATTCACGGGCAATTTGAAAGTGACCACTTAACCTAACCCCACTTACGCATGTTTTTGGGATGTGGGAGGAAACCGGAGTACCCAGAGTAAATCCACGCAGACACGGGGAGAACATGCAAACTCCACACAGAAACGCCCTGACCCAGATTCAAACCCAGGACCTTCTTGATGTGAGGCGACAGTGCTAACCACTACACCACTGTGCCGCCTGGAACTTAAACATTTCCTAGCCAATAAGATCAAAACACATCAGTAACCTTACTGGGAATCAGAAGAAACTACACTAGATGCCTCCTCAGGCCCCCTGGCAGCACTGCAATAAAAAAACACACGACTCTTCAGTGGTAATCAGCACACACTTAGGAAGCAAGCAAATTACATATCTGGGAAGGTACCATTAGTGCACAACAATACACACCAATCAGCCGCAATACAAAGACCACCTTACAATGTTGAGGAGGCCCTTCTCTAATAAGGTCCATCTCAGGGTTGCAGGCTGCTCAAATCAGAGGACAAATGTATATGTACAGAAAAGCTTTTGTGTAATCTCCATTCTCAAGATTTAGTAAAGGATAAATTAAGCAATCTGTGTCGTATGCCAACAAGGTGAACAAAAGAGATGTGGGGAGAGAGACCTATTTACAGCTCACTTTTATTGACAGTGCTCCAACACAACATTCACACAAGCCTTCTGTACACCTTTTAAACCATGTCCCAAAGTGAAGGTTGGATGAAAACAGAAGCAGCAGGAGATGACAATATGCACGACGTGATTCGATGTTAAGAACAGAAATTAAGGGGCAAGATGTGCAAACATTTGAAGCTACACTTAAACTCCACATCACCAGTCAGCTGTTTAAGGTGCAACATTATTTGGCATCAGTAAAACTGACTGAAACACTTGATCTGTATGCACTAGATGCTCATAACACATAAGTGCATCTTGGGTTTACTTATTCTGGCTATAGGAGCAGAATACTTCCATACATCACTGCAACAAGATATAAAACCACTTTTTTTTACCATCCACATTTGGAGTAATTACATGTAATGGCTTTTAGAATATGGCAAATCAAGCTCCCTCACCTGTAGGTAAACAAAATCCTCTGTCCAAACCTGCAAAAATGTTATACTGCCTTAATTTGAGAAATTTCAACCTCACTAAATGTTTGAGAAAGGCACTGCAGTATAAACAAATGTTTGCATTAAAACCCTGCTACTACAGCAGCTTCCTGTGCAAAAAAACAGGGTCATGAACAGAAATCGCATAAAAGTCCGAACAGAATGAAGTCTTTATTCAAATAAAAGCATTTTAAAATTGATTCTAAACAGCACCAAATTCACAGTGATGAGTTGCATGGTTATGTTCACAAAATGAGAGCAAACAAGATGGAAATTAAATCCTTTTGAAAATGCTCATCTTTCTCTGTCTCTGGAAAAATGATGGTTTCCAGACTTTCAACACAATGTATGATGGGAATAAAAAGGTCTGAAACATCACCAAAACCAGCACTGAACCTTTTCTTCAGACACTATTGAAGCACAAACGGTGGTTCTGCACATTTCAGCCAATTTAGCACAAAACAAAAATTTAAAGAGAACTATTTCAAGATCCTTGGGTGTGTCATAGCCAAGGCAGATGTCTTTTTTTTTTTCTTTGTTTGGTGAGAACAGAACACAGACTGTAAGACTAGTAATGCCAAAAAGACATCATTTCCATGATAAAAACACTGATATTAGTGTGACTGAACGTAAGCAATAAAAAGCTCCTGGAAGCTGGTTTTCATACCACAGGAAGAAAGCATAAATAGGCTGCCTGAAAAGTTGCAAAACTATTGATTTAAATATCTAAAACTCTCCAGCATGTCAAAAGTAATACAAGTCAAACAAGATAGAAACCAAATTGGCTAAATGTGCAAAGTCACCATCTGTCTTCACTTTTAAGACTGAAAACATTGCTTAGTTTATAGAATCCGTTAAAAAATGCAAATGAACACAAATAATGCAAGACAAAGTGTGCAAACAGCAATATCATCAATATCTTGTGATGTAGTGTAGTCCTTCAAATAAATACTCATGCATTCTTCTTCTGCACAGAATTCTTAAAAGTACTAGGGAAGGCAGATTTTTTTTTTGAACATAGAGAGAGGATGGTCTTCGAAAAACATGACTTGGCAAGAAAGTATTTCCAGCTGCCACAGTTTGGAGGATGAGAAGCAGGACTTATTTAGTTTGACACAAAAGCACCATATGAGTTTAAGTGGTGCCAGGGAAGGAGTTGAGTAAAATCCATAAAACATTCCACATTTATTTTCCTTATCATCACTTGAACTGCAAAAATAAGAGCGAATAAAGGCATCCCATTGTTTTTGGTTTTAAGGCGGGGCTACGTTAGGCAGGGGAGGGAGAGGGCATTTTCCCAGGATTCTTTTTTCCTTTGATTTAAATTATGTGCTCTGTCATCTCCTTCCAGTCCCATTCATTCTTTCATTCATTAGTCCTTCCTTCTCCCTTGCAGCCTATTTCAAGCGTTCAATGAGTTCCTGTGTGAGGCCAAGGTTGAGCAGCTGCATGGTGGGGAGTGAAGTCAGGTGGGGGAAGGCCTTTAAGAGCTTCTCCCAGCAGAGCTCCAGCAGACTGGGTACAGCCAGCCAGATCTTAAACAGAGAGCCAGTCCTCTTGTTCTCATGGATGTTCACTACACCACCGTGGATGTACATACAGCCAGCCTAGAGACAAGGATGGAGAAGGACATCAAGTTTAATATAAAGACTAAAAAAAAAAGTTCACTTTATAAATCAACAAGGGCTTCTGGTCTCCCAATCACTTACAGTTTGTGGTTTATAATGAATATGTTTATAAGGGCTATATTTCAAAATGATGCAGTTTTTAAGGTTTCAAGGTATACTAACTTACAGTAGATTACCTATTCTATGTAATGACATGGTTAGTTCAGAGGATTGTGTGATTACATCCCGCAGCGCTGCTCCTGTCACTTAGCAACAGGGACCAGCAGGCATAGTTAGCTAAACACATTCTAAATTTCAGTGCTTCTTTCCTAAGCAGCATTTGTTTGCTCGCCACTGAGTTACAACTAAATCCTATTATTGAACAGTGTATTGCTCAGCAGCTCGGGGGTCTGCCATCTTGATTGTATTAGCGCACAAAGAATCATGGGATAAGTGGGGCCGTGAAGGATGCATCTGATGCAGCCTCAGCAGACCGGGTACAGTAGGACATAGCTTTTGATCCACTAAATGTATTAACTTAACAGAGGTATCATTTCATATTTAGAGTGACTTTGTAGCGTTGTGTTGTACTGACTGGTGTGACAGCAGCACAGTGGAAGTAGGCAGGCTCAGGCATCACAGCTGGTAGTTTGTTCCACTGGAAGGTCTGCAGGTTGATCTTCCAAAGATCAGCTAATATAAGTTCCCCATTGTATCCTCCACAGATAAATACATCTGCAAGAGAAGAGAGAGAGAGGGTCAGACACTGATCATGAAGCTTTACATGAGATTCAATCTGCTTTATGCTCCTGTAAGGAACTCTGGTTTTGGATAATGGATGGTTTCTGATGGTTTCCTACCGAAATTTACCACAAAATATGTTTTACACCTACCCTGCGGCAGGACAGACAAGAAAGCTAAATACATATGTAAAAATAATTAATCAAATCCCTCACATTTGCCGCTAAAATTCCTGTAGATGATCCAGTCCTGATTTCAGTCTGTGTCACTAACAGCTCAAACTTCTGACAGGAACTTTGATACACAAACTTTAACACACATGAAGAATGAATCAAGATTTTCCAACTAAAGGAAAAGTTGTGTGTGTTTGCAGGTAATCATAAAAACTCTTACCATTTCTTATTTGTACACAGCTATGGCACCTCCTGGGCGCTGGATACCCTGAGAAAGCACAGACAATTTAAAATGGTGTAAATGAGGATAAAACTGACTGATGGAAAGATGAGGTTCAGAGTACAGACCTATTTTGTCATGAGGTTTTGTTGTTATCTCCTCCCAGGAATTGGTCTCCAGATTGTAGGCATGTATCTTTCAACAAAACATATTTTTTGTTACAATCCTGAGTGAGGGTTCAGTGTAGTGACTAAAATTCAATCCAGTGCATTTATTCATTCTCTCTCATCAAACTAACGCACACAATGATGGGAAAATACTGTTCATAGACCAGATACTGCTTTGGCTGTCATACAAGATAAGATTACAAGTCAAAGAGTTAATGAGTCTATGTGTAAAAGTACCTTGTCCAGAGGGTAAGAAGTCCAAGAGGTTCCTCCTCCCAGAATGTAGATCCTCTGTCCGTCATGTGCTATTTCATGCCTGTATCTGTGACACATGTGGTGACAAGCTGTGTCATTATTTACAGCTCAAAAAGAATTACTACTTTTGTTTGATCTTAAAGCACATTCGCCAGTAAAAGCCTTACCGCTCCTCAGGCAGATCATCAGGAGGATTGTTGGGCTTAAGGTGGATCCATTCCCTGGTGGTCAGGTCCAGCCTATGAAGGTCTGTGCTGTAGATGTAGCCAGTCGTTCCTCCAAAAACATACAGGAAGCCATTTATAATAACCATCGCCTGAAAGAGGAAAGATGGACAGTAACAATGAGATGCAGCTTCCACTGGTTCCAGTTTGAAAGAATTTAAGTCTCTTTAATATTTTATCTGAAACCCTTTAACATAAATTAGTCATAAAGCAGTAAAATCAAAGATCATTTTACAGGTTTACCTGTCCATATATCCTATTTGGCTTCTTCCCTCGACAGTTGAGCAGTGACCACCGCTTGTACTTCACATTACAAACATGTACATCATTGCCATTATTTTCACCAAATGGGATGCCAGTGCCGCCAAACACCAGGAGGTTGTTACCGTGCAAAACAGCTGAAAAAATAAAACAAACAAAGTCATTTACATTATTTTAAACATCAGGATCTGGTGTTATCGTGTTATTTGCACTGATAACTGAAATGTCAAAGAAGAAGCTAATTATTCAAAGCTAAAAGAAGGACAGTTTTTCACCTGACATAGATGCCAGCTCTGTGGGCATATAGCCCTCTGTGCGAATCTGCTGCCAGCAGCCTGTGGCAAAGTGGTACCTCCACAACTCCCTGAACAGTGGATAGTCTTCGTTCTCGGGGCCCCCTGATTCATCATAGTCAGGATTGTATCCTCCAAACACATACAGGTTTGTGTTGTCAGCTACACAGCGATGCCCACTGCGGGCAGGGGGAGTACGAAGACCTTAGGAGGACAAAATACAGTTTAAGTGGAGGACACATAGTTCACAGGTATTCAATTTTTTATTTGGATCCCCATTAGCTACTACCTAGGTAGCAGTTACTCTTCCTAGGGTCCACAAGAAGACATTAAACATTTTTGTACATTAAAATGATAAAAGTCTAAACAGGAGAATTATACAAGATGTTAGAATCATAACTAAAACAAGAATTATGATGACATTACATTTCTAATTAAAACAAACACCAATAAAGGCCAAGTTAAATGTACAAGTTATCAAAATCCTCTTTGCATGTATTTTATGTTGTCACAGCCTAGTCTAGGTGTTCTGTTTCTTTTTATTTCAGTGAGTCTGGGTCTTTAGATATTGGTATACCTTCTTTTTTAACACGTGTTTACTGGTTGACCTTGTAAAAACAGAAGGAAGACTATTCCATATTTTCATACCTCTGAACATGACAGTACGCTGTCCAGAGTTAGTATTGGTGAGTGAAAGTGTGAAATAACCATTTGATGCATGCCTTGCAGGTATGCACAGGTATGAGGAAAAGTTAAGTGAAGTAAGTACAACTGGTTGTTTTTCTCAACAACAACAACAACAACAAAAAACATGACTGAACGTGCCAATACATCCAAATGCAACCACTTTTAAAACGTCATACATTCCTCTTTCCTTGATCAATATGAAGTTATCATTATGACAGAAGACAGAGACAGAGCAACACCAAAGATACACAAATACAACCTTGCAGTGCATCTAACACGTAAAAAAAAGTTCAATACTTTGGCTTTTATAGTGTCAAAGTGATTATCAAAAGTTCAGAATCATAGCAGACCGCAGTCCAAATGACAACAATCCATTCATCGCCCGTAATAAGTATATTGAATGTCAAGCCAATTGAGAACTGAGGGTAATGTGTCAGGAAAATTGAAGTTAATGAACATCCACCCTGGAAAAATGAGACAAGCCACAACTTGAGCAGAACAGGAGCAAATTGGAACAACCATTTCAAGTGGACAGAAACTAAAACAACTAAATTCCTATCGGTGTTTCACTTCAAGAAATGATATTTTTAAGGGAATTAAACCTTCCTTTTTAAATTGCATTTGATAATGGCTTGCCTGAATTTGAGACAACTTTGAAATGCAGGCAGCACCAGTACAGCATCTCTCTGTTCTGCTGATTTTTAGATGTAAAATATTAGAGTCAATCATTCCTGGCTTTTTCCCCACATATGATCGATCCTCTTAATCTATCTGTTAATGTCGATCAGCTCATTTCCAATGATTAATTTAAGAAATGAGAGGAAATCTTCTCAGTTAGCTGCCATGATACCTTCAAAACAGAGCAAGCAATGAGGCATGAAGCTTCTACTGCTCTGCAAAAACCCGGTCATGTGTGTTAAATACTCTATTGATCAAATTGATACAAAGGTTTTAAAAGAGAGCAGCATTTTGACAGGCTGTGGTACAGTATTCTTGGCCTTACAGCTCTACATTTAAGCAAAACTGATGGATGGTGCTAGCCTGATCGTTACGCTGAGCAATGTCACCAGACAGGGTAACTTTAAGTTCCCTCAAATGCATATGATGACAGAGCTAGTCCTGGTCGTACAGCAGTATTTTGACAGATATATAAAGAGACACTGTTGAGGTAAAGCCGCCGTTAGCCCGTCCTGCTAATGTTGTTGACCGACCTGCTAGTATCTCAGTGTGCGGCGGCCTCCCTGTCAGCCTCTCGAATTTGTTCAGCTGGTCCGGACTGCGAGCACCTCCGGCGTCCGACATCATCGTTACAATCCAGTCCTCAACAATGTCACATCAAATAAAAACAACATCTGCGGAGGTACCGATAAAACATCATAAACCATTCCACATTGCAGTCACTTGGAAGCCATTCACAATTTTTACCCCCCAGCCGAGGCGCCCTCGACCAATCAGAGGGGTTGTTATTACGATGTTGCGTCATTAGAAGTGGGCGGGACCAAGAGCGTGTCTCCAAAACAAAACATTTTTTTCTGTCAAGAAACATGTTTGAAGGAGATAAATGAATTATTAAAAACAAAAATCTCACGAAGAACCATTGACTTTTTGTAAAGTTTTTCTTTAGACAATAAAATTTGAGATATCTTAACATACAGTCTGACCCCTCACAACTCTTTTAAAATTCTGCCATTATTCAAGTTTGAAAATTAACAAAAAAGGTTTTAAATTAATTTTTGCATAATTTAGTGTTATGTAAATTTTAAAGCCCAGATTTAGATAGAGAGATAGATAGATAGATAGATAGATAGATAGATAGATAGATAGATAGATAGATAGATAGATAGATAGAATTTTATTGTCATTGTGACAAGCACAACAAAATTAAAAAGCCTTTACAGTCAGTGCATTAAAAAAGGGACAATAAAACATTAGACAGTAAAACAGTAAAACCAAAAAACATGACTAAATGTGCCAATACATCCAAATGCAACCACTTTTAAAACACCATACATTCCTCCATCCTTGATCAATATGAAGTAATCATTATAACAGAAAACAGAGACAGAGTAACACCAAAGATACACAAATACTACCTTGGCTCAGTGCCTCTCACATGTAAATTAAAGTTCATTACTTTGGCTTTTATAGTGTCAGAGTTATTATCAAAAGTCCAGATTCATAGTAGACCACAGTCCAAATGACAACAATGCATTTATCGCCCGCTAAGAACTCACAATAAGTATATTGAATATCAAGCTAAATGAGAACTGAGGATTATATGTCAGGAAAATTAAAGTTAATGAATGTCCACCCTGGAAAAATTAGTGCATTAAAAAAAAGGGCAATAAAACATTAGACAGTAAAATAGTAAAAGCAGTGCCAAGTTAAAACTAGTCAAAAAATTAAAACTACACACCTTAATACATAGACAACACATCATCCGGCTTTCATGGAGGCGTTGATGGAACAGACAGGGAATGGGGAAAAGCTGTTTTGCAGTCTTTTTGTCCTGGCTTTGATGGCCCTGTACCGTCTGCCTGACTGCAGTAGCTCAAACAATCTTTACTTTCAAGTCATTCAAACCGTTGCTAGATGCAAGCAGTGGTTTTGTCAGAGCAGTTATTTGGCTTAGGTAATAATAATAATAATAATGCATCAGATTTCATATAGCGCTTTATCAGAGACCCTCAAAGCGCTTTATATTGGATCATTCATTCGCTCACACAGTCACACTTTGGTGGTGGTGGAAACGTGGCTGCCATTCTGCGCCTACGGCCTCTCCGACCATCACCACACAACACTCACAATCATACACCAGTGGAGGACACACACTGGGAGCAAGGGGGGTTAAGTGTCTTGCCCAAGGACACAACGGACAGACTTGGTTTAGGGGGGAATCGAACCGCCAACCTTCCGGTCATTGGACGACCGCTCTACCTCCTGAGCTACTGCCGCCCGGTCATTAAATAGTAAAAATGGACCACCAAAACCCATGGGAGGTCTCAAGGCAGGGTGAAAAAATGGTTTGAAATATTGATTTTAATTATTTATTTACTTAGTAATGTTATTTCCAACTACATAAAATAAAATTAAAGCTTCAATGAGGAGCCTTCAGTTTCTGTCAATTTTGGCGCCTTGTGTGGATAAACTTCCACCTCATATCCATAAACTGTGAAATACAGTTGCCCTATGTTTTTTGTTTTAAAAATATAATTATCTCTGTCCATGGTTTGGGAATAGTAAAATGAGGTATCTATTTCAAAATCTTTTTGTGAACCAGGCTGAAAACTTGTTTATTTTTGATGTGAGCTTTGATGGGCTTCTCTGAATGGGTGTGTATGTGGCTTCCTGTGCTTTTGCAGCCAACCTCAGAGGGACCATTGTGGATATGAAACTTGGGTTATAATGTAGTTACTTCAAGTTTCCAAGAGGGAATTCCAGTTTAAGGGGGCGTCCCATGATGTATCAGACTGGAATCTTGGAATTTCCAACATCCAAGTTCAAATAGTGCATGCCATTCTCTCGATGCTGAACTAACCACCTTAAAAAAGTTGCAGTGAGTGTTTTGCGAAATTAATAAAGGAAATATCAACATTAACATCCAGACAGGTGGTAGTGTTGGAGTTGACTGTTCCTTGGGAAGACCGGATGGAGGAGGCCTTTGAAAGGAAGAGGGCCAAATATGAGGAGCTGGCAAGCGAGTGCCGACAGAATGGTTGGAAGACCTGGTGTGACCCCACTGAGGTGGGGTGTAGGGGCTTCATCTCTCTGTAGTCTCTCTGTAGGGCACTGAAGAGGCAGGGAGCGAGAGGGCTGCACAGCAGGAGAGCCATCAAGGCCATCTCAGATTTCACAGAGAGGGCACCAAGATGGCTGTGGATCAAGCGGAGGGAACCGTGGACCACTAAAGCTACTTAGACATAAGTCGGGGCTTGATCAACCCTGGCTGGGTTGTCCGGGTGAGGGTGTATGATGTTGAAAGACCTGAAACACCTGAGGACCCTGGGTTACATCACTGATGATGTGTCTAAGTATGCATCGCAAGATGTCTGAAAGAACCATCCAGCTGTCCTCAAACAGCCAATAATTTAAATATATGTCACCTCCTACATGGCAATGTTTATAGATATTAAAAGTTATACATGATGGTTCTTGATGCTTATGGACCTTTCGCTTTCATAAATTCTTGACACTACAAATTATGGCCAGAAAATTCAATTTTTTTTGGGAGCTGAAATTTTAATTTCACTTACTACTGAAAACCTTAAAAATCTAAATGTTCTTAAAATTTAACAAATATGTTTATTAGATGCTTTTGGAAACTGATAAACTACAAGAGGACATTTTTATCATTTATCGGACTTTATTCAGGTGGTTTTTTTTTTGTAATTTGTTGATTATACTGATTTGATAGAAGTATATAAAAGTATGTATCGCATATGATACAAAAGGCACTAAAGGGTTAATTTGTTCTTGCTGACCATCTTTTTGTGAAAATTCGCACATGCATGACCAAAATGATTGTTTATCTGCGTGGATTAATAATCCCCACTTCAAAAAATTAACTCTATATTCAGAAATATTTGTCAAGAGAGATTCAGAACATCCAGTGCTGTTTGTGTTTTGAGCACCGTGTTTATTTCAAAGCGGAACCTTTAGATTCAGGGTTCATTTTCCGGGGAACCTCAAAGCCGATCATGGCGACTCTCGGCGGCAGTCGTGGGGATCGTCTCGGCAACTCAAATCATCAGAAGTCCACTATGGTATCTCCGGAGAAAGTTCGTGAACTTCTTAATGAAGGCGTGTCACCAACAGCTGTCGGATCAAACAGGTACGTGTTTTTTTAACCATCGCACGCGGTTTGATTGAAGGGGGCGCGCGAGAAGTTGACATTAGCTAAGTGTGGTTAGCCACTTAGCCTGCTACCTGAGCCCATGCTTTAGTTACCTCTACCCAGCTTATTTTAGGTACAGGCTGATCTGAGAGCTCGTATAAGAGTGTTATATCCTTGTTCTTGACTGCACTCGAGATTCAGCATATGCACCGGCATGTTTGTTGTGGTAGCTCGTGGCGCTATCACGGCCGTGCGCGCAGAAAGATAAAGGGGGTGGGGACCGAAACTTTTAATGCAGCATGACCATAGACTATATGAGCATCACCCTTCATCAGTGTGAGAGTACTTTCCGCAGTAATGTTGTTGTCCATCCACCAATACCCAACTAATTCAAAAGAATGACATTTTCTACCAGCATATTTTGCGCGTAAAGCAAGAAAAGTGGAGCTATCTCGTTCCTCTGTTACGCAAACTCCATTCAGGTGACTTGTTGGATAACCACGACTTATCTGTGGCTGTTTACTATCTACACGTTTAACACTGTCAAAGATATGGACTGTGAAATTTAAACTGCAATTAAAGTTACAAATCTATAAAGCATCAATTCAAAAATGTATGGAAGCAAATTTGTATCATAATTCAAATGAAAGTAGATTAACAGAAATGTATTTGCATTTTCAGAATGTACCTGCACTTCTTGATAGGGACGGGACTTTATACGATTTTATAGATATCGATGCCATTATCGATTCTTCTTATTGATTCAATTCTTCAGCAATTCCCCTACCAATGTCTTTCTTTGTTTTAAAAAAAAAAGTAGACTGTAGGTTTTCACTGTTAACTCAACTTTTGATTGAGTCTCTGATACGAGAGAAAGATGTATGCCACCTTCAGTGAGAGTCTAAAACTAATCAAACAGCAAACTAATTGTACAGCATTTACTTCGGTTGGTATTAAGTCAAATACATAGTACTACTCGACAAACGTTGAACGTCACACTGTTGTCGTCTTTCTTAGTAAATTGAAGCCTTTAGATTGTTTTTGCCTACTTTTTGTACCATACGCCATGTTTTTTTCCTCAAAGTCTCTGTTCTCGTTCATGCAGAACTGGCTCTCGTGAGACCATTTTTCAAGTCACCAGGAAGAAAAGAATTGTTAAGGGAATCATGAAGATAAAAGTTTTTCAAAACTGATCATTCTGTAACTTAATCCAAATGTAAAAGAAAAAGCCATTCGAGATTTAATTTGCGAAATATTCCCCAAGCAAATATGTTCCAAAACTCAATTTGAAATGTCAAATCTGAAAATTCAAATGCATTTGCACTATGGCTTTTTCGTTCCAAGGTCACAACTGCATAATTTGACTCAGAAATAAAATTAAGAATAAGTAATACAAACTACATTTTTATTTTCTTATTTGAGCTGCACATTTCGTAACTCAATTCAAAAGAGAAACCAAACGGGCAATTGCTTTTTCATTTTCATGTCCGCCTTTCACTATCCGAACTGCGCAAGTGCAAATTTACTTCACCTTAAAAACTTTATCTATACTATGTGAAAGGTGAGCTAACTCCAGAGCTAATGCCGAGGCATTTGCCAGAGCTCCTGCCCAGCACAGGTTTGTTTGTACTAAGGATGATGTGTGTAAAATGTAAAAGTTTGTCCTCTCTTTTTTGTGTTACAGTAAACAAGGGAATGCAAATGTAGTGGATGGTAAAAACAACTCTCAAGCAACTCCCCTGTGTGAGGGGACAAACAAGCAAGCTTTTTTCTCAAGAGTGGAATCCTATTCAATATCCTTTTATTCATTGTGACCTCTGACTTTAGATGTATGATATGCTGAAGGGAGATTACACATTATGAACGCCTAATGCAATCCAACACCTCAGCTCGACTACAAATGCTTTCCTCAGGAATAATTTGAAGTTTTTGTTGACATGACCTATTGAATTTACAGTACATGTATTTTTAAGGTGAAGTGGATGGATTAGAGTGTGTTGTTACTAATATTTTGTCCCGTTATTAACAAACACAAGGGTAGCAAAATATCAGGAACACCTGATGCACTCCTGTATACCACCAACACCCCCTACAACTTCAGCAGTTAGTTAAAAGAACAACTGCCAAGGTGTTCGTAATGTTACGACCAGTCAGTGTATGTGATGATTCATATATACAGTACTTATTTCAGTTATTTTAAAGATGCATGTGGGATATGTATAAATCTACTTTCATTCATATTTATAATGATGTAAGTGACAAGACTTTTCCAGTGTGTGGGTGATATTTTCCTTAGTTTTTCACTGTTTGAAATGGGCAGGCAAACCTCGTACTCTCTCCCCCTTGGTTTGCGCCAGGTATGGCTGGATTAATGTCGGCTGTGATATGCTTAAGTGCTCCAGCTGCCAGGCTTTCCTTTGTGCATCACTACAACCAACTCTGGACTTTGAAAAATGTGAGTAAAAACCTGGAGCAGCAGAAGACAATGTCAAGGCTAGTGTGCACTTTTCTCTGGCGGTGTAACGCTGATGTTGTAACTCTGCCAAAAATGAAAGGTCAAGCAACTCTCCTTCTTTCTCTTATAAGATGAATCCCGCATTGCAGAGATATTGGGGCAGCTTCAGACACAGCATGAGAAATTTTGCCCATGGCCTGACTTTCCATGTCCAGGTAGGAGCAAACATTTTGTCGTGAACAGTGCTACACAAAGTGAGCAATGGTGACCCCTAATAAAATCATGTTGTTTTAGCTGAACTGACCCCGACCTATCAGAATAATGTTCAAGGTAAATGTTGATGTCCTTTCAGAGCGATTCTGGCTGGTTCCAGACTGTGAACCACCGGCACTTCTCACTGCCTTCTTGGAGCGTTTCCAGAGCGCCTGTCTGCTTGCACAGCAGCTGCCAGCCATGAAGCCGGAGCAGCTGAAGTCTATGGTGAGGCAGAGGAAGCATCTTTTTGTGTGTAACTCATTGAATCTCAATTCAACTTTAGTTACATTGCACCTTTCATGCAATCATTATGGGCCATCAAAATACAGTTAAGGCTAGGAAGAGCACTTCTAGAAAATTATCTCCTCAAATCAAATCAGTTGAAGAAAAAGCGTGCTCCTCAAGACTTTCACTTGTTTATAGGTTTTTAACATCCGCGCTTCCTTTGCAGGCACTGACCGAGGACGTTGTGAGTGTTATACTGCAGCTGATTGAAGAAGAACAAAAAAGAAAGGGACTAACTCTGTGCACTGAACCACTGGCTGTTCAGGTGGCTGCATGCATTGTTTCTTTATGTGGCTGGGCTGCAAGGTGAGATGAAACTCCTTCATTGTTGGTTTATGCCCTTGGTATGTCCTTGAATGTTTAAATGTCACTGTTTCAACCAGAGTGGGATCACATAAATCCTCAGTGGTGTGCTAGTTTCAAGAAGAAAAATATATGAGAGATAATGTTGAAATGGAAAATGTGGCACAATTTGTCAGCCTAGCATTTAAGCCACAGATTTTTGTTTTTCTAGCCCATCTCTGAAGGCCATGAACCTGCCTATCCTCACCTGCTCGTACTGTATGCGCAAGGTGGGTTTGTGGAACTTTTACCAGATGGAGGGATTGGGGGCAGGAGGAGATGACAATGGAGCAAACAACACTGGAGGTCCCTCTGCTCAAACAGCAGTCGCTGCCTCAGCAGCTACACACGAAGGTGCGGCAGAGCAGCCTACGTCCGCCTCATCCACCCCTGTTACAACTCCATGTCGCATGAAGCTGAGGAGCCAGGACACAACCCGCTCTGACCAGGCAAGCTTTGAGCTCAAGTTTGAGCAGGCTCGGTTTACTCTGTGTAAAACTTACAAATCAAATCTATGAAGAGCCAGATTGCATTTTAACCATGTTTCGGTCTCCATATTGCAGGGTGAGGGAACATCCTCCCCAGTAGGTTTGCGTGCCCGAAGCAGGGACTCACCAAGTCCCAGTGAAGAAATTCCGAGTCCACTGACGAGGGGTAAAAGACCCGCAACGCGCAATAAAGGACAAGGCGACAGCGCTGGGGCTGAGGGTGTTCCCAGTCTGCAGAATCCTCCTAAACGGTTGTGCCTCTCATCAGTTGGTGCTCCTGTAAGTACTGACATTACTATTGATTTCACACCTTGTGTTTGCAGTTTTATTATTTATGAAATAGAAGGTCATATCCTGACCTATGATGCAGCGCTACTCATGCAGTGTTTTAAAAGCAATATCAAAGTTATTAATAAATGCACTTAAGATAAGGCTGCACATTATCTCATGTTAGACTCAGAGTTTAAATTTTATCAATCTGTGTATTTTTTGTTTGATAGATTTGGGCACATCTGTGTTAGTAGAGACAGCAGTTTCTCTAGAATTGGCCTCTCGTTTCTGTTAAAGAGGCCTTGACCAATGACAGAGATTAGTTGTAAAAAGGTAGTGTTAGTAGTGGTGATTGCAAGGTTAACATAATTACACAATAACAGGGATTCGAAGCAATAGTCACATCACAGAAGGCTCATAATGTACATTTATGCAGACACTTTAGATATCATCCTAAAGTATAAACACACCTCACCACCACAGATATTTCTCAATGAATGAGTGAAAATTATTCTTGTTATCAAACATAAACAATTCTTTATTTATCCATCAATAAATCTGACTGAATAATAACCGAACTCTGTTACTGCTTTAGTTTAAAACAAGTTTATGGATTATTTATTTTCAATAGACATTTTACAAACCGCTTTCTTGGTATTTCTCTGATGATTCAGGACGGGCTCTTGCACAAGAATGCTTTTGACCCCCTCGCACAGCACAGAGACTGGTGTCCCTGGGTCTCTGTGGGAAAAGAGAATGTGGATCTGGGGACTATGCCGTTTTTGGATGGGGGGCTTTATCAGCAGGGCTGGAAGGCCGCTCTTGACCTCCTCGTGCCCATGAAGAAGAACTCTAATCTAACTGGAGAGAGTCTGGCGCAGGTGAGTCAGGCAATTCAAATCAGAATAGAACACAGTCTGTGCTAACTCCTGATATCATATTGTTGATACTATAGTTTTGTGGCACTAGTTTAAACAACATCTAACAATTCTCTGCGCTTGTTTTCCTCCCAGGGTCCTCGTGACAAGTCCAAAAGGGTGTTTGCTATATTCCGTCAGTGGCAGGTATCTTCCTCTCCATCTCAGTAGACTGTTTTCCATCCAGACAGAGTTGCAACACCGAAGTGATGAACTGACCTGCACTCCTCTTGGGGTACAAAGTCCATACCACCAGTGACAGGAGTATCATATCATTGCATACCATCCCACAAAGTCGTGCTCACAGTCAGGGTTTCTGGTGGGAAAGCGAGCCGACTGTGTCTTTTGTGTCTTTTCTGTTAAAAGTGAAGTATGTGAAGATCGCCTCTGTGGCTTTATCACATTAAAACTGGGATGTGCAGACACTGGAGGTCTGAATAGGCCTTATCTCATGTGGATACAGAAGTAGTCTATCATAGTACACAACTTGGCATTAAAATTGGCTACAAAACAGCATCTGCTGTTTACCTCACATGAAGTCTGCTACAGAAGCCCTTTATGGCATGATGGTTTGGATTTCTGTGGACTGTAAGAAACAAGGAATCTTGATGTTGAGAAAGAACCAAATGGCATGACACTGGAAAAGGCACTGTTTACCTTCAATGTATGTCGAGTCAGATGAGTAAACATTAACCTCAGATAAGCAGAATAAAAGCTGTGAGGAAGTGATGTTTGTGTGTGTACTGTTGTGGATACAGGTTCTCTTTGACAAGAACTAAATTCTTTTAGAGTACTGAAATGTTTGTTTTTATTTAGTCAGCGCTAAAACCCTGCCTCTTGCAGGCAGATAGAATCATGTGCCATAAACTTCAGACCTGTTTGAATTAGATTAAGAATGCCTGTACTTCTTCTTTTTTTTTTTTTTTTGCCTTTCTGTGACATTTCATTGCTAATGCAGTCTTCTCTATCTTGCATGTGATGATATCAGTAGAATTTCCTATAAGGGTTTAATAAAATGCTCTTCTGAAAGTTTGGTCCCCTTTGCATGTTGTTCCTGTGGAAATTTTCAACACAGATAGATAGATAGATAGAAACTATGTTTTACTTTTTAATTCTGCTTTTATTTTATCCATTGTTTTAATTTAATTGTTTTTTACGTCTGCGTTGTTTTGCCTATTTATGTACAGCACTATGTTCAGCTGTGGTTGTTTTAAAGTGCTTTAAATACAGTTGAGTTGAGTAGATAGATAGATAGACAGATACTTTATTAATCCCAGAGGGAAATTGAAAACACTCATTACATTTATGTATAAAGCCATTTGAAACGTTAACAGGAGACTGTTTTGGTTTGAAGGAGTGAACCAATGCCAAAATGTTCTCTGCTTTTATGTGCCACTTTTTGATAACACAAAAGACATGTAAAACAAAGTCAAGCCAAGGTAGTGCTCATACAAGAGGAAAGTGATCCTAAAAGCATGATTTAGTTGTATGGTTACGTCTCTTGCTCGTTTTTTTAAATTATTTTTATATTCCCTGAACTACAATAACTATTTGAAGTGGTTTCCGACGTTACTAACATACAGAATGGGAGTATTGAAGAAGTATTTCACCAAAAACTACAAACATGGCCATTTATGATGAGGTTTACGTCGCGCGAGTATGACGCCATCCGCGGAGTGATCGTAGCTTGTCAGAGCCATGGTCAGAGCGCTGAGAGGCAGTGAACAGCAGAGGTCTAACGTTAGCTCAGCTACTCATTAGGACAGGAAGACATTGAGCTGTGAAGACGGTTTGTTGGAAACATTTCTGCAAGCAAATGTTAACTTTCGGATAATACAGTTTGCTAGACTGTCTAGCGTTTCGGGGGGCTAGCTTTCTGTTTACCAAGTGGTGTTCTGCGGTGGAAATAGCAAAAATGTCGTCTCCAAGTCCGGGTAAAAGGCGAATGGATACCGATGTGGTGAAACTGTATCCTTTCTGAACATAAACAACAGTCTCTCAATCGCCAGTTCTGCTGAGATGTATGTGGGAATGTAATAGGAGCTGGCACTATTTATTGATGCTGCTTGTTTGTCTGCGTGACCCAAAGCAGAAATAGCTTTCATTGTGAATGACTGATGTTTTTGTGTAAACAACATTTTGCTAGCAAAGCCAAGTGTTAGCTATTTCTGTCCCCTGCGAACCTTCACTCGCCTATCGGGACAACTATATTAGCTAAATCAGATTCCTCTGATGTCCTTTTTGGTGTTCTCCAAACTCTGTGTATCAGTTACTGTATCGTTTTGGTGTCTACATTTAACGGCCGAACAGACGCTAACGTTACTCTGCTTTTCCAGGAATGTCTTTCATCTTGTTGCTCCACCAGTAGACCTGGCGGCAGGAGAATATATTAAATCCTCATAGTAATGTAGTTTCTTTGTCCGGCTTGCTGTTTACAGGAGGGATAAGTCAAACTGCCCCCTTTTACACGTTGACACAGGGGCTTGTTTACATAACGTAAGGCTAACGTCAACTGAAAACGCTGCTGTCTTTTGTCCTCCTCTCGTTAACATGTTGGCGTTGTTGCATCGTTTATGATGGCTCTCTCGGTCTTTTATGGCTCTGATCCACCACCACACGGAGTCTTTGTTTAATTGTGTTATTATTACATCTTGAAATGCTGCCTTGTAATGCTACTGAGCTGGCTGCCTAGTCTGCTGGTTAATTTCAACATCAAAATGGCCACCTGATCTGTGTGTCTCACTGTACTTCTGTGTCTGCAGGCACAAATAAGGAAGCCTAACTTGTGTCATTTTAATATAGGTTGTGATGTGTTTTTTAGTGAGTAATGGTTAGTGTAAGTGGACATTACAGCTGTTTGCCAAGTGTTAGAGCAGGTGTCATGTGCCTGCTGTCGGAATGCCTGAACTTTTAGGCTCTATCTAGTGGCTTCTGTTTTTCAAGTCGTTGTCACCATGTTTACTTTTGAACAGCTGATTCATTTGTTCAACTCCACTCGGGGCTGACATGGGGATGTCCAAAACGAGCAACCATGACAGCATAAAACTGGCTCATACAATGTTCTAGCACAGCAGTGTGAACAAGTAGTTTTGTTTTTGTCCTAGCTCTCTGGAAACCAGCTTAATGATTGGGTAGTCTGTTACTAGCCGGAAACCACAGGAGGGAGGGACTTGAAACAGCTGATGGGATGGCAGCACAGCTTAGTCAAATATGGGGCTAAAACTGAGCTAGTCTAAACCAACCCAAAACAAGAGGTTGTCCCAACTAGGTCAGCTCAAAGTTTAAAATAAGAGGTATAAAAATCTTGGTAGTTTAAACTTTTGAAGTTTTGAATAAATTAAAAAATTACTGATTTGTGCAACACTTAATCTAAATTTCATAACACATCCTGTCTCTTACCGTCACATCAGAGTTAGAGTATCAGAGGTCTATAGATACTGCATGTGGCCACAGTATGTTAATATACTATCAACAAAGAGGCAGCAGCTAGCTACATTTCTCTTATTATGGCCTTGTGCCTGAGGTGTTTTGTTACCATGCTTGCTTGTATAAATTTATGCTCCCCCTTCCCAACTCTACTCTGCGTATGTATAGTCAATAGCTGCCATGGAGTGGATAGTGAAGAGTTTTAAGGGTTGCAGGGGACATGGCAATAGCACTGCACTCCTCTCATACTTGATCTGCTTGACTGACAGGCAAGAGCAGGTTTGCTGTGTGCCACCTGCTCTGTTCCCTATAATGACCTGTGTGTGTTTTATGATACCATGTGTGAGCACTGGTCAGCAAGTGTTACGGACAACATATATATGAGTGTTTCAGTGTGTTCCTATGGTACTGAGATTTATGGTCTTACGTATCACATGGGTCCACTGCTGACTAGGCTGTCTTGTTGGGTTAGAGAAGGTATGGCTCCCGGTTACTGGTATGGAAAACAGTTCCTTCCTTCTGTTTGTGTCCCCAGAGCAAAACTAGCCTTAACAACCTGCTCTCTGTGCTCCCTATCCTCGCAGTCTCCCTGTGGTGAAACTTAAACCCGAAACTCACACCGCCTTTTAGACAGGAGCTGCCTCTTTCTTATGGGCTGACACTGTGAGCCCTCACGCATTAATTTGCCACAGCCACCGGAGAGCTGAGAATCTGGAGCGGGGGCCATTAGGGAATTCATGAAAATGAATGTCAGAATGACCTCAGCATGTAGTATCACTGGGTTTAAGCTTTGTCCTAAGCCAGGCCAATAGATGCCAGCCTGCTTTCTCGCACAAATGTGCATTCTTTGAGTGTGCATGCCAATGATCTGAACTCTGTGTACTGCTTGATGAAACACAGTCATAGAGGAGTCCTTGGTTTACACTGACTTTTACTGTAACTTACAGTGCGATCCTTATCTTCCCATCTTGCAGCCTTGTACCCCAAAAACAAGAGTCAGCTATTTTAATGTCTACTTCTTGCCACACCGGACACCTAAACCTTGAATGACTTTTTTTCACCCTGTGATCTGCATAACTTTTGGCCACTAGCTGTTCAGTCCCGATTCTTAACATGCTTCTTTCATCTTGGAACATGCTGTTCTTGAGCAAGAGTCCAAGAGTGTGTCATTTCAAAGAGCTTTACATTCAGCCTGTTGTGTGGGGTTGACTGCTCACACTGTGTAGGTAGTTGTGCTATTATTTGCATGTATTCATCAGTGGTCTACTCGCTTTACAAACGCTTTCAAGCAGTAAGCTGCTGGAATTTGAGCAAAGGTAGATTACAAAGGACTAAGCCTATTTTGAATGCTAACACAAGCTCTTGTAGTGTCTGGCCCTATGGATGTCAATGCAGAGAATGGGAGAGAAAAAAAAGGCAGGGCATAGGATAATCTGTACAACAGTTGATATTCAGTGAAGAATTACCTGAAGAACATGTTTGCACCAGTGTTATCATGTTGTTTTTTCTCTTGTAACAGCTGTGGATACTACTCGTTTTGTGTGTAGTGGATCTTTGATAGGCACCCTGCCAGTAATGGGTTGTTCGAATCAAAGAGCAGTGTTTGTGACTTTCTCTCACATTAGGGAACCTCTTTGGAACGGCACTTGTTGAAGGCACTGCTGAGGGCATCGGCCACATGAAGTGTTTATTTTTGTGATAGCACCAGCCTGAAGGACTAGTGGTGTATGTTTGTTTATATATGAAATCTCATTACATCAGAGTGGATGTCCACACATTTTTATGTAAAGAGAACAGCAGCCCAGGTGTACCTTTCTACATTTACAATTGCTGCCGGAAGGTCTGAAAGTGATTGGATAGCAGTCCTGTGAAGCATGGCGGCTGATGAATTATATTGGAGACCGTGGAGAGTTGTGTAGGGAGGAGGGGGGCTGCATGCTTGGTCAGTCTCGGTATCCATCATGATACCTGGAGTCAGTGTATGTAGGTTTCTCCGTTATTTCATCAAAAGACACATCTGTGTGCCTCATCTTTCACCTTTCAAGGTGAGTTTGCATTTTCAGATTTACTCCAGGGTTCCTTTTGTTTCCCTGAGGTGACAGCTGAGGCAGGTCCTCAGTAATCCTGATTTATTCAGTTATCCACATTCAGGGGGGCAGAATTCTAGGGTCCATGTCAACCTCCTCCCTCTTTTTTTTCAAAATTTTATTTAAATGTCCTCTTGCTCCACATTCCACCACCCTCCCTGAGCAGAATACCAATCCTGAGCTTTATCTGCTCCCTGCTTGGTGTTTCGGCTCCATTGTGCACTTGTAACATGACATCCGGACAGCATCGGCAGTGGAAGCTTTTGTGTTTTCCCGTTTACAGAAGACCTTGTGACCTCCACCTCCCGCTGCTGTGTCAGACCATGTCACACAGTCACAGGCGGCTAATCTGCACCGAGCGTTGTTGCGGGGACTGAAGCAACTAGATGCATTTGACTGTGAGGAAGGAGCCAGCAGTTTTCTGCCTGTTCCTGACTGAGGGGGTGATTGAATGAATGGGAGCACGATGAAACCCATGACGGGAATGGGGAAAGCTCTGGTCTGATGACTAAGTCTCGTGAACTGACAACATGCTTTGTCATTACAGGGGAATAAAAATAACTTTACAGCAGTAAACGCAAAGAAATAAGCTAATACGCTATCAGGAGAGTTACATCACAAATTTGTGTCACGCTGATTCCAACATCTGAATTACATTTAAGATATAGAACCATAGTACCTAAAAAATTCAAACCAGATGCTGCATTTTATTCAGTTTACATTGTTTGGATTGGGATCAACACTATGTTTGACTCAGCCATGTTTTCCTACACTAAAGGTCCTTTCACACTGGGACCGTTTTTGTCGTGCGATTATTTCGGACGTCAGTATTTTTTTTCGAACCCGTATCCTGTCAATACAAACGTTCACATCAGCGACGTTTTCCCGTCCTGCGATATTGGATCACGATCCGAATACTGGATTTCGGATCGTGGTCGATTTTTCCAAAGTTTCGCATACTGTGTGTCCACTTTTGACCAATCAGATTTCGTGTTGTTGCGATGTCTGATTTACCGGTATATCCAACATGGCTGACCGGCTAATTGTTCATGATTGTTTACACACACATTACAAAGATAACGACCTGAAGGACAACTTGTGGAGAGTCATAGCGTCGGATTTCTCATATGACGATGGTTTGTGTGTTTTAACAGTTTGCTAAAGGTCTTTTTTTTTTAACTTACATCTGTGCTAACGTAAGCTAACGGTTGTTACCATAGTTTCATGTGCTTATCCCTAACTAATGATTGGCTAAAAGTGCTGACCGTGTGGCTTGAGCGTGTGATGACGTTTCCAGCTTTTCAAGCCAGTCAAAGGCAAAGGAGGCGGGACTGTCCCTGGCAAAAGTCTTCCTCAGGATGCGTCTTTTCCCCCCCGGAAAGTTGCAAAATTGCATCGGGCTTAATGTGTATAGTCAGGCGCGTCATTTTTTCGTCCTTCGAATATTTCGTAATTTCGCGTTCTACATTCAGGTCGGCCCCAGTGTGTAAGGACTTTAAGCCTTGTTTTAGTGGCCATTGTCCATTTAGTTAACCCTAAATGCAGTCATCCCTTTGTGGTCCACTTTTATTGTGACTTAAGGTTAATATTTAATCTTAAGGAAGATGATCAAACCTGAACAAAGACAATGTAGAGAACGGCCCACCTACTGTGCCTATTCAAAATGTGAAAGTATGGAATTAAGAGGGCTGTACTGAGATATTTTGGTGTCCTTAAGTCCTGGGAAAATTAAATGTTTTTGCTTGTGTTCAGTTAAAAGAGTGTTTGTCTTAAGTTTTTTATATTGTGGTTCTTGGGTTGTGTGCTGTGTCTAAATCCATGAAAAGAATGTAATTGCAGGATGATAACATTTTTCCTCTCCTCCCTCTTGGCATGATGATCTCTTTCTGTCAGTCTTAAAGCTTAAGTACCCTGCTGTTTCTGCGTCTCTTTATCTGCACCTCCTTAGTGTACATCAGCTTTTGTCTGCAGCCATGCAGGTAGAGTTGAAAACATGCGACATCATTAAGCTCCCGCTCTGATTCCTTTTTATTTCCTCTTGAGTGAACATCAATAAATTGTGGAGGAGTCTCCTTCTAGTTGGGGGGGCACTTTGATTGACAGTCCCGTTTTGGGGGTCCAAGAGCAAGGCATCTCTAACAGTAGGAGATTTGAGGCCCTCACTGTTAATCCCACAGTGCAAACAGTGGAGCTTCGCGCACGCATGGCTGAGTCCTCTTAGAAAAACAGATGGACTGAAGTTCCTCTCTTTGTCTCGCATGATTTTTTTTTTCTTTCTGGCGACTGGGAAGCCGAGTCTGCCTCTGTCGCTCACGTGCACGGCTGCGTTTAATGTGGAAAACCCAATGAGTGACCATAAGGTAGAGGCATGTTCGGTCACACAGTGTGTTGGCATATTGGCTAGTTAGCCTGAGTGCATTGTTGAAGGATGTTCACTTGATGATATTTCTGTTTTTGCTACAATGGATGGAGAAAGTAGCCTTATCAAAAAGTGCAGCCCCTACCATCCACACCCTCAAACTATCTGGTTATCTGCCTGTGTGAGTCTCTTCTGTATTAAGTTGATAAAATTATCTCTGCGTCTGTTTCACTCGCTTGTTCTATTGAGTTTCCTCCACATGAATTCGATGAACACCTGTGTTTTTTGGGAGTGAAAGCAGACAGAAAATCTCCTCTCGTCTTGTCAGTAGATTTGCTCATTAAATGGTTGCCTCAGATTCAGGCCATTGTTTCTCTTGCCCTGGCTCAGTTTGGTGATCATTAATAATCATTTCATTTGTGCGTACATGCACACGACTCGCACGCCTGCCTGCCTGCATACGTACACGCACACGCGCATACGCATTCACACCGACTCTGTGCTATTGCTGTAAATAGACTGTTGATTTAGTGAAGGGCTGAGAGGAGGAGCAGCTGAGGGATTCACGTTTGATTGCAGTGGGTGGGCTCTCATCTCTCACCAGAGAAGACAAAGAACTTAGCCTGTGCTGTGCTGAGCTGTATCAGCTCTCACACAAGAAGGTAGCCGTCACTTAACAGTATATCAGTTTTAATAGAAATAAAATCTGATTAGAAGATTTTGAGATGCAGCATTAGCTTGGTATTTTTTTTAGATTTTTTATTCAAGGTATTGTCTCACTTAATGCAAACACTTTACATAGCAAAGAAATTGTATGCTTAAAAAAATACAGATACGAAGATAGAAAAGATTGAGATTATGATCTCTTATTAAAACCTGTGAAGTATAAAAACAGACAGATTTAACACATTAGACTACCTGTTACATTATCACATAAATTTTAATGTGATACTCTTGATTTTGACCTTTAGTTTTCAAATCAGAGATGAACCTGATGTTTGGATAGAGTTCATTTACTCCCCATCCACCGTTCTCTGAGTGCAGCACTTTACAGCTAGCATTTCCATGTGGACTTAAGTGGCTCTGGCGTTTGGGGCCATTTGTCCATTGATATGTAAAACATGAAGCAAGGTTTTCCTCCTTCACAGACCGCACATGCTTGTACCAAGTACTCCACTGGCTTTTTAAAGCTCGGCACTCCTGGAAAAGATGGCTGGTATAACAGCGGAGGAGATGTTTGAAGCTGAGTTTTGGTTTGGATACGACATTTTGAAGTCAGAGCAGAGCAGGGACTCAATTTGAATGAGGGCGCATGCACACGCTTTTCCATGCTTAAATTTTTTTTACCGTTATGATCATATAATTCTGATTTTGACCAGCATCCTCTGCTGTGATATTGAACATTTTTTGATGTATTTTGAGGTGCAGCAGTTGTTGATCGAAAGTAAACACTAAATTTGAGCATCCGAGGGCCTGTAGACTTTGTCACACATGTAAGTGATTTCCTAACAGCGATCAGTGAAGCTCATGTTGTATATTTAGTGATAAGCAGAGGTTGAAGCGTGTCAGTGTATCTTGACCTAAAAAAACCCTGCAAATCTCAAAATTTCCTGAATCTGTCATAACTTCGTCTGATGAGAACTTCACGGACATCTGAACGTGCATGTCTTTAAAAACATGATCTACATCATTTTGACTGTGTCATCAGCTCAAAACGTGAGCTTGCACTCAGCTTTTCTGGCCTAGTCTTTAAAGGATTAGATCACTACTTGTGGATATTAGTTGTATCACATGTGCTTAATCTGTTGTTGTTGTATGTTTACCTACATGCTACAAAGACCCCGGGTCCCATGAGCAGAACTACACAGCCAGAGCAGAGATCTCTAGTGTCCCCCCTGGGAAATGGGCAGGAAAAAGGGGAAGTGAGAGCAGCTGGCATGACCACAGGCCTCATACTATCATACCAGAACACCTCTATTCTGTTATCAGAGCCAGCCAGGGCAGTCATGAACAGCCAGGAGAGCTCCGAGCAAACAGAGCATACACAGGGAGCATCCTAGGGACTAGGAGCTTTTTTCAAAATCAGATTTTGAACCATCAATAACTGGCTGTGTGTTCTGCATTACCTTGTATGTCCTCAACTAGAGACGGAAGCATAGTTTCCTAATCAGTCAATAGTTAAAGTCCTCACTACTTACATGTAAGGAGCCTAAAGGAACCAATATCTGTGACCTTGGAGTTCTTCCAGACGCGTTACTGTTCGGTTTTATCTAGGTATTCTCCTTTTAAGCATTCATTTTCAAGCTTTCTTTTTTTATAATTTTTTTTTTCATGAAGTATTCCTTTTTTCATTTTGCCACATTGAGTAAGAGCAATGTTTTTAAGTTAATGACTGAAGTTGCATTCCCTTTGAATCACTTGCACCAAACCTAGTGTGAACCTAGTTCACCTAGTTGCATATTGATTGTAAACAGACTAGCAGACATAACGGAAAAAAATTCAAAAAGGTTAGAGAGGTGTTTAAAGATATCTACTGTCATATCAGCATTGTCAATGAAAAAGTTGTAATAAGATGTCTGTAATCTGGATGAATAAGCTCTTGTTAAATTTAGCCTTTGCGGTTCATTATCTTTTTCCTGCCCTCTTAGCTCACTATGTATTCACAGGATTATCTATCTCCTGAGTCAATGAGCTAGGGGGGGTTCTGGTGGTTGAAATGGTCGAACAAAGCTCTGAATCTGCATTAAAATTGAATAGAGAGAGTTGGATTTAATGAGCAATGAAAGAAAGTAAACAGCAGTGGGAAAACGCCAGCCTCAGACTGAGAGATGGAAAGAGAGTGTGTAGAGGAGTGGGTCAGTGGGGTTGGCTGGTGACGGCTGCAGGGGAGAACAGTGTTTGTTTGGTGTTGAGCTGATTAAATCACACTCTCGCAGCAACACCGCCTATCACTCGCTCTGCCTGCTGTGGCAGGATGGTTGCTGTGCTACACTAGCTGCATCTGTTCTCAGACTGCTGAGTTTAGTGGAGGTCACACAGTAATAATCCCGCTTGGCTCAATGCAGTGCGCTAATACATCGAAAGTTCAATGCACAAACACTGGCAAATTTGCACAGAGGCTGAGAGTTCGAATGAAACGATGCATGAGTACAGATATGGAGGTGTGCTCGCAGAGACTGAGAGAGATGATTCGGGTTTGCTTTTGTAGTTATATCTTGGTAATGTTTTTCTCGTAATGATTGTTTTCTGCTCTATTTTTATAATCCAAGGCTGACTTCTCTTCTTATCCAACTGTAGCTTCCTGCCTCAAGTAAGCAAGTCCTCATTCCCTTTATATTTCGCAGTTAATGCAAATCAGCTCGTACATTTCTTTACTTGTATCTCTTACTGTGGAGGAAGCTACCCGCTGCTTACATCCTGGACAGCTGCTATATTTCCTGCCTTTCATCTGCAAGGCCTTTGATTGTACATTGTTGCTACAGTCTGCGAGTGAGGCGAAGAACACGCAAGAGAGGTTGCTCACTTCTTCAACTCTTGAGAAGGGTACATTAGCAATTTTCCTGTCAGGTTGTTTTCATCTTGCTGTGGTTGGCAGGTCATCTGTAGGTGGTGATGCACTAGTGTATGTTGAAACCTTTACCCCCTGGTCTTTGTTTTTCTCCATACTTGTCTTTAAACATTTTGAGCTCCTTTATAGAAACCTGAATGTGCAAATTTGTGTTCTTACTCAAAGTTAATCAGTAAAGGTGTTCCACAGGGCTCTTAACTCTGCCCCGTCCTCTTTTCTGTTTGAGATGTTTATGTTGGCTATTATTTCACTTATCATAGTCTGATTTTGGTGATGCCTTGACAAATCTAAATGTGAATGACACAGATATATAATGGCCTTTCTGTTTCTGTTACTGCTCTGTTTTCAGCTGAATATTTTCCATATTTTTAACTAAAGCGCCTCAGAACAACACTACATATAAATGTCACGTTTGTCAGTGATTTCCAGTTAATATGGACTTATTCATTAATATGATTTGTCATGGATTATTCCTTACTATTATTACCTATAGCTGAGCCAAACATGGATTCAGTCCATTTTATTTGCCTGTAAGCAATCAGGCAAAATCATCATCATTGGCCTGCAGTCCATGGCAATGATGTCATTCTCACAGATCTGCCTGCCAGGCCAGATCAGCATTCAGCAGGCTGAACTCTTTTCTCTCATTATCTCTGCATCACTTTCTCTGCCTCTCCTCTGGCATTACTCTCTCCATGTTTCTTATATTTTTTCTTTAGTCTTTAACAGCTCTACATACCATGTCCTCATGCTCTTTTCTTTGCTCTTTCTGCCCTTTGCTCTGTTGGCTGACCTTATTCTACCCTCTCTTTTTATGTTCCTCTCCCCTGATGGGTATTGAGAGTTATGGACCATTATTCCCTTTCAGGCAGAAAACAAAGTGTGCTCTCCAAGTCACAAACACAAGCACTGCTTCTAATATTCTGTCTTTGACAATTTTTCCCCTACTTAGTGCTGTTATTCACAGCACTCAGTCTATTCTCTTGCTCTGTAACCTTGCCCCTTCATCATGTCGGAGGATTATTTGATTTGCTGCCTTTCCTGTTGTTTCGGACTAGTCTGCCCAGTACTGAACCTTGCTTTTTAAGGGCTTACTTGAAGCTGAAGGTATCAGTAGGTGGTGAGAGTATCAAATGCTGATATGTAAATTGTCAAAAATGACTGCTTGAGTCTTCTTTTTAAATGGGATTTTTTAAGAAAGCGACTTCTGGATGTGCAGTATTTGAAGAAATGCCTCATTTTGTTGACACTGGATTATAAAATTTATTACATCACCCTGGTTCCTCTTGCCAAAAAAAGATGAGACAAGGAACTGCTGTGACACTAGCCAGTGTTTCACTTTGAGTAGATCTACATCCTCTGTCTCTGAAGAGGGAAACATGCCAGCGTGAATGCGACCGCATTGTTAAACAGAAGGCTGTTTATGACTCCCAATCATGTTTGTTTTCCATTCTTAGAAAGATGTTGGTCTGGATGGGATATTTTGATCTCGGGTCAGGCAGGGATAGTGGCCTGAGTGAACCAGAAGGAAAACAAGACATGTCTAGACCACAACTGTAAATGCTATTTAATGTGTATTTTTGCACTCGAGCCTTAAATTGTCCCTTATAAATGAATAAATAGAAAATATTAAGCTTTATTTTTGAATCAACTCTGATATAAAACTGAATGCAGGTGAGTGTTTGATAGCCAGTATGTCATATAAAGAAAGTCCTGCTGGTCAGTGATATCAACACAGAGGTCTTTTTTTCTGAGGCTTTCAGGGTTGTCTGTAAAATTGGATGTTCTGTGTGCATGTTCCCTTGGATTGATCAGACTCTTTGTTACAGATTAGAAATGTATGAGACAGGATATTGACCAGGCTCTATTTACAGATTACGATATATTTATACTAATCCAAGACCAGGGGGATGATTGTATAGTCATTAAAGTGGGTTTATTAAACAAGTATATGCATAACCTTCATCAGAACAATGTCAGTAAGAGGTTATTAGCTTGGAATTAGACAAGATCGGCAAAGATGACAATAAGCTACCGCAGGCACTCTGCTTCTCTTCATTATTTTCACTCAATCTACTAATTAAAAGCGTTGTACATCAATAAATCAGGGGGAATGCATGGTGAACATATTCATCATGCATTATCCCTTATTACTCAGCTAACAACTGGAGGCATAAACAAACACAAACATTGGTTCAGAGACAATATTATTGATTTGAAAATAGTAGTCTCTCTGCTTCAGTGGTTGGAGGTGCATTTACAGCAATGCATCCTAATCCTCCTCTTGCTGCATGAACAAACATCACACTTGGCATTTCAATTAATGGTCAAGATAAAACACCAGTGTGCTCGTAGATAATCTATGGACATTTACATTGAATGCTACATCAAACAAAGTGAATGGAACTTCTGTAGGGATATTTCTAGATTGCTTTTTTTGTTCTTCCACACTAAAGGTAACATTAACATTGTTGCTGTTAACACTAGAGTTTTTTTTTGTAGAGGTGGACAAAAGAGATGAACTCACTCTGCTGCGGTTACCTCAATCACAGTTCAGGATCTTGCTCCTCTTTTCCCTGTCAGAGATAGTTGGGGTCAAATAGCTCCTCTGGCAGCTCCTTTGTCTTTGCCTGCTTGCTGTTATTATTTACTCCCCAGCTCTCAAGATAAACCTAAGAGAGGAGTTGTATGGCATAGCTGTGCTCCTCAAGATGTGGCAGGTGTATCTCCATGACAGTCCGGCTGCTTGGCTGATATTAGGTAACAATATAGATATAGATCCACAAGAATGCCACAATTCTTCTGTCAAGTAATCTGAAGGTGGAAGGGGGCAAAAAGAGGTATACTTTTTGAAACAGGCTACTGGACAGTTAGCATCAACTGTTTTCTATGTATGGATTCTTGGCATCTTTGTACTTTTTGGCTTCTGCGTTTTGGGAAACTAAAGTATTCATTGCTGATGTCGTCACATTTCAAAATAAGGGTCTCTTTTTAGGTCCCAATTTCCTGTCATGCTTCGACTTGCCAGATGCAATTACACTTCAAACCACACTCTCCAGACCAGACTGCGTGCTGTGTTCGGACACAGATCTGCAGCTGACTTGAGGGGGATGGTGCTGGCTGGCATCTTCTCCGTTTTTGCAAAATTTTAACAACAATTTTAACAAACAGCCTTCATTGCTGTGTAACTGGCTTCGGCCACCAGTGTTTTGAACAGACGTGTAGAATGATGGTGGCACCAAATGAAGGTCTTGCACTCCTGTAACTGCTCAGGTCTGTTTATGTTTTATTCTCCTCCAGCCAGTTCTTTAACACAAGTCCATACTAGTGTGTCATGTTTGTTTCTCTTCTTCAGTTTGGCCCACCTCTTCTCTGCTTAGTCAAGCTGCCTAATTTCTCTCCTCTTATGTTATCTGTGCTGTTTTCTTCTCGTCATTTTACTTGATGATGACAAAACAGTATTTTTTTGTGTTTTCCAAATAAACTTAGGGTTATATTGAACTTCTTCATTGTTGTTCAGCCTTCATGTCAGGAGCCTTCCCTCCTTCCTCTCTGTAAGTCTTCCTTGTCCTCTGACAACAACGTTAGTGTTGTTGACAACCCGTTGAACTCTTCAAGCTTAGCAAAGTGCGCGCAAGTTTTTGGCTTGTAGTTATGTGGGAGGGGCTTCATCGTGTCATTTGAGGCTGCAGAGAGGGTGATGTAAGGTCTTGAAATATTGACAGCAATAATATTGAAGTACCTAAGCATGAATAACATTTAACACTTGTGATGATTCAGGTCATTGAGCGTCATGTTGATGTGCATGAAACCACACTGCAACACCCAGTGTCTTTTAAGTGATCTCGTCAGTGATTCGGATGAAACCAGTTTGCATTTCCAGTGTAATGAGTCATCAGGTCAACAAATGTTTCAGCACATAGCTAATTGGTATATAGACTGTATCTCCTACCTATTCAGAGCATTCACTTTATTTGGTTTCTGACTGGCTGGCTGACAGGTTGCTTTTTGATTCAACTTTAAAGACAGTGTGTTGAAACTGGAAAATCAAGTGTGCGGCCACTCAGCAAATAGAAAAATGCATATGTTAACAAGTTTGTTCGGTCTCTGCTACTGTAAAAACATGGCAGTGCGAGATGGTAGCCTCAGCATGAAAGGACCTGCTCTTATGTACCTATAAAAGGCTTATTCTAGTTTAAACAATTTTGTATTTTGTGTCCCACTATCCTTTAAGATACATCTTCCATCTGTCAGACAGTTGAGGATTTACTAGCTTTTCCATGAACTCTTGTGTTTTAACAGACCTGCCAAACCTCTTCGTAAAAAGGGTGGAAGCTGTTGCTGACAGTGTTTAGGAGCCTTTGGTCTTTTGGTGGATAAGACCATTGCTTTCTTGATGAGTGAAGGATGTCCTTTGAAAGTGAATTATTATGTTGTGAATGGCTTAAGTAAAGACATACAACAGAGGAGAGAGCGAGAGTGTTAAAGCTGATAATAAGGCCAACAAAGACCACACCGGTGTGAAGATGAACGGTTTTTAAAGAGGATGTCATTAGGTGAGGTTTGGTGGAAGATATTGGCCACTCTTAAACTTTGAAGCAAATGATAGTTTGTTTGTAACAGAGGAAGGTTCTCAAGCTAACCACAGAATCCTGTAACCTGTCTGTGTTAGCACAGTGTCAAAAAGGTAAAGCTTTTTTTTCAGCAAAACCAGTTCTTCTCTTGCTTGAACAGCCAGTATAGGCAATGTCAATTAGCCTGCGGCATAATCAGTGTGGATTCAACCCCATTAATAGCTTATCTCCCACCCTGCCTCACTGCTGTGTTCTATAACATAACACACACACACACACACACACACACAGCTCATACCATCCCCCTCCTCAGCTTTGCTTCCCTCTCACGTGTGGACGGACACACATTCACTCACACAGCAGCATTTTCACTTCATGCATAGATGTCCTCAGATGAAGGGCACAGTTTTGGGCTGCCGAATGTAAAACTCATTTCTTTACTTTGACTGTAATCTCTTGTCTTCTTGAGGGTAAGTTGTTGTTTAGCTAGCGTGCTTTATAAAAATGAGTATTGTCTCAGTGTTAGTGGTCACTCAGTTTGCTCAGACTTTGCATCAGAATGGCTCCTTGACTCCTACATGAGAGAGAACAGAGAGGTTCCTCTTATATCTGACAATGACACATTTCCTTGCCGGAGCCAGCAACTCAGTCTGCTCATCGCAGACTCAACCCGTGCTTAAAATAACCCTTTGATTTAACCCTTTGGGGGTCAGTCTGCTAATGGGATACACACTCAATCAGGATTGACAAGCCAGCTGCTACTGTGTGTCATGGAAAACTGATTTTTATCCTGTCTCTTGTACCTTCAGCCTCTCATGTACTCACTCAGTCTCTCATTTTGCGGTATTTTCATCTCTATCTTGTTTATTTTCATTCCAAGTCTCTCTCTCTCTCTCTCTCTCTCTCTCTCTCTCTCTGCTTCACTTTTATTTCTAGCGCTTCTTCCCTCTGCTCACATGAAAGAGAGAAGATTTCTTTGTGATGATTTTGCGTTAGCTCGGAGATCAGACATGACCAGAGCGAGTGTACATTACAAGCCCATAGCTGTAATGTTAGGTTTGCAATATGATAGACTGAATAGAAACAAGCTAATGTGCTTTAGGGTTTGTTATTAAGTCATTACATCTGCTACTGGAGTTCTTGTGGAGAATGCTGGTTCATTATTTCCTCCTCTAGCCATAATAAGATCATATTGGTAATAAGTTTGGTCTTATATGTACTGGGCTGGTAATAGGTTCAGAGCTTGATCACATAACAACACATGAACATGATAGCGATCACAGGGCCAGAAGGCTCGTTTTGAAGTACCAGAATTATTTATGATGCATTGTATGAGGAAATCTAGTGTTATTTTGGTTCATACATCACAATGAAGTCTTAGCATCTGTATGCCAGTGGGACTCGCACTCACAACTTTGTGTTTGAGCATCTTGATATTGATTTCAGGGATAGATACTGAGATTTATTATTGAACTTCAAGAAGTCAGTCATCGGCAATATCATTGGCCTGATGTTTTCCAGGACAACGTCGGCTCTCTGGCTTATAGCAGAGCGACTTCATTTTATTGGAGTAGTGCACAGCTCTTCAGTTACTTTATTTGCAGCCTCGTGGGATCAGAGAGATTTGTTTCAGGCACTGATCAAATGACATCAAACTAAAGCATAAGATTGTGATACACTTTTAAACATAAGTAAATGTTTTTTTTCTTCTACACCCTTTAAGGTGTTCCTTATCAGGGTCAAAGGGAATTATCCCTCCTGTGACCTTGTTCTTGCCTACTTTACTGCATGACAAATAAGTAACCTGAATAAGTAACCATTACAATTTTATTTGAAATGAGACACACGTGTATCTACTTGTATTTATGTTTGTTAAAATAAGGTGTTTTTGTTGAAGATGGTGGGACAGTGTCGGCTTCAGTTTCCTTTTGTTCATCAGGCGGCAGCTTCATCAAATACAGCTATAATCAAAGGTAGATTTCTATGAATCATGGGTGGTTTGTATGGTATTGTATTCATGAAATGCTGAAACAGGACAGGGTTGTCATCAGTGAGAGCTGCAAGGATAACATAACCTCTGCTTTCTCTCCAAGGAGGCAGGCTCCTGTATTTTGTTTCCATGTGTGGACTTGTGTTTTATATCCGAGGGGATTATTCCAGAGTGACAGGTGGAAGGAGGCCTGTAGCATGGGTGAATATGATCTACCGGCTGGTGTGAGTGTGTGCATGATTTTGTTGTTTTTGAAATCTGTGGCTAACATACCGCACATTTAGTCAGGGAATATTAATTCAGTGTGCTGAATGACGAATTGGCATAAAGCTATCTATTGTCATCGAAAATGACTCTCCAGGACTTGGGGTCAGATCAGAATCCAAGTGTAATCTCTCTGCATTGATTTGTTTTCATTATCTGTCAGAAGCTATCATATCTTTTTCATTTTCAGAGCTCTGTATAAAATGAGTGCATGATGTTCGGTAGGACAGAGGAGAAAGGTCAGACTCTGCCTCTGTCTCTGTATTCTCGGCTTCAAAGCATGTGATGGTGTGTAACTCTTGAAACGAATGGGCGTAAATTACCGTTTCAGAGAGGCCAAATTGTTAGTGACCTTGGCTATTATTCAAGAATTTTCCATTTCTGTAGTCCCTCAGGTTGTGGTAGTTTTCTCTATGCAGACGTAGGAAGACATTTTCCTTAACTGCCTTTACAGCATCGAGAGCAAGCACGAAGTCACCATCCTGAGCGGACTCAATGAATTTGTAGTGAAGTTTTTCGGACCACAAGGAAGTAAGTATTTGTCTTCACACATCTAACAACAAAAATTTTTTAACATGTCCTAAATTGCTGCTGAATATCTGTCGAGGCTCTGTAATATATTTCCTGAAAGTGGATAAAGAATTTAGGTCATCTTTTTGTCCCGGTTACTAGATTTATTGAACATGTGAAGAATGTTGCTGTGTTTGCCACAGGGATCCCAAATGTTCTCCCATTATTTCAGCTTCTCTGGCAAGTGTTTCACATTTTTAGAGCCCCTGTGAGGAATTTTAAGCTGATAACGAAGCAGACTAAAATTAATTCTGGTGCCTTTTTTTTTTTTTTTTTTTTTTGACCTACAGCAGTGACAACATTGGGCTTCGTTCACTAGCTTTTCTTAGGAAGACATTTGTTCTTAAAACTGACTTATTTTGTAATCAATAAGAGCCTAATATTCGCTTCAGCTTTCTATCTACAATTTGTTCTCAACATTAAGATCAAAATCAGATTTGTTTTATTGGTAGGTGTGTCAGCTTAAGATCCAAAAACACTGAATATTAAACCATTATGTACAAGATCACAGCCTGTTATAATGGTGTCTACAATTTCAACTACAGCATTTATCACCTACGTTTCCATAAGAGTCATGAGGAATCTAACACATCTTCAAATGAATTGTCTAAAGAATAAAAAAATAGGTGATTGTAGCTTTTGATGTCTGAGACACTTGTCCCTTCAGATTTAAGATCAGACATTTCTGTTGTTTTCATTCAACTTCATCTTGTGCGCACCTTCCTCTTGGCTACAGCGCAGAATTCCTGATGTCAGCCCTCTCTGAATGAATGGTATTATCAAATGTATCTGTTTTTATGTCAAATACTGGTGTTCATTCATATAATGAAACTAGGGGTGTCCCAATACCACTTTTTTACCTCTGATACGATAACGAGAGCCTTCAGTATTGGCCGATACCGATATTGAACCGATATTAGCACAAACTTTTGCATGACAAGTTTTGCACTTTGCCGCAACATCTTTTTCGGACTTGAATGAAAATACTGCAACAGGGCCGACATCACTTGTACTTCTTGCTACTTTGTCAGAACCATAGTACACACTGTTGTTTACATCACATGGGCTCTACATGCTGGATCCAGGTGCTGCTAGATAGAGTCTGGAATGGACTGCTTCTATCGAAGTTCTGATATCAGAGATTTTGAATGCAGGCCAATATAATCAGATACTCGATTTTTTGCTGATATCGGACCAATATCCGACATCATTATCGTATCGAGACACCCCTAAATGAAACTAATCTGCCTTTTTGTGACTACTTCCAGCAGCTCTACAGTGTGCAGTCAGTGATTTCTTTTGCTACGTCTTTGTACTTTTCTTTTGAATTTTATATGTGCACACTGCTCAGACAGCCTTCTTTACATTTCCCATGACAAGGATTCTCATTAAGTCAGATATTTGACCTTTAAAAGACAGCAGGGTGAGATTGGTGGTTAAAAACACTAACGGGATTAGAGGTGTCAATGTCCACAGGGGGCGCCATAATCAGCATGAACTTTAATGTTATCACAGGAGCCTAAAAACTGTTTAAAAACCCAGAAGATGACTCGATAATCAGTCCACATGTGGTGTTTGGTCAAATTCTAAACAGACCATAAAGTGATATTAATGTTCCCCTGAGGGCACCCAGCTCAGGAATCTGTCATCCTCCGGTTTGCATCATAAAGAGAGGTTCCTCACAGCAGGCCTGGAACGTACAAAGGGTTCAAACCACCCCTGAGGCCAAAATGTCTCAAAATCCAAGGATCCAGGCTGGAGGGGAATCTGGACGAGGAGCGCAGCCTCATCAACAGGAAATACTTCTTCTGCCTGCAACATCTGTCGTACTAAAACCACTGCCACTTACGCATCAGTAAAGAGAGGAAGTGGGTGTTTGACCCCGTTTATGATGCCTTGTAACGATGCCAAATAAAATGGGATTGATGCCTCTCCTCATGCGCTTGAGTGAGCACGCTTGCCACCATTCATCCTTAAAACAAGCGTGTTTTCAGTCATCTTTGTGCTGTTGAGTATGAGAATGGCACATAAGGCTCTTGTTACACAGCTATTTTAAGAAAGCACCTCATACTCACACTGTCTCCTCCTCTTTGATGTCAGTGTATCATACGAAGTGAAGCGGAGAATTCTCATGGGCTGAAAAACATTACTGCATAAAATAAAAGAAAACCGGGAAGGAAAATAGTGTGTGCCGCTTTTTCTCAAGTGGCCATTCTCTTTGTTGTGTTTGTGACCAAAGGAGAAAGAAGTGAAGAAAAGATACAGGCCTATATTTTCATGAACCAATGTAAGCACACTATGAATAAGATAACAGCTGTTTTTCCCCTCTTTCATGCAGCACCGTACGAGGGAGGCGTGTGGAAGGTGCGAGTAGATCTCCCCGACAAATACCCTTTCAAATCGCCATCAATAGGTGGGCTCTCTTATCAAATAGCATATTTTGATTTTACTTTTATTTAAGCTCCATCTTAATATATATATATATTTTTTAAATGTCTCTAACTCAACTTTTCTTTCTTATTTTTTTAGGATTCATGAACAAGATTTTTCATCCCAACATTGATGAAGCGTAAGTTGATGTTCTTCTTGTGTTCTGATGTTTTTAACCGGCCTCCAACACACCAAACCAGCAGTGATTTTTATCATGCATTTTAAGCTTATTCGTTTTTTGAAATTAACAGCTACAAACATGCGATTGCTGTTTAAACTTTTATACGAGTCGCTTGAAAATCAGCAGCTCAGCAGAGCGCTGCGTTTGTGAAGTCCATTAACCCACGGCTTAAAGGCCACTTCCTGTGAAGGACACAGTGTGTGAGGGCTGGTCTCTGGGAGGACCTGATGGACAGGCTGAACCTGTGCCACCTCCTCCCCAAATGAGACAGCCTCAAAACACGAAGAATGAACATAATGATGCATTCAAGGTGGTTCCCCTTCAGCAAGAGTGATATTTATCACCAGGAAAGTGGCTGGAGGTGTAACAAATGTAAATGAAAGTGGTGCTCTGAGGCAAGGAGATAAATAGAGAAATGAATGACAGTGATGAATTGAACTTTGTTTTTTGTTTTTAATCTGTCACTGCCAACATTTTACCTGCTTCCAAGAGCAGCCGGTGGTGTTTGTGTCAACCCTTTCACCTTTTCTCTTCTCGGTTTCCCCAGGTCAGGGACAGTGTGCTTAGATGTCATCAACCAGACATGGACAGCCCTTTATGGTGAGTCTCCGCTCAGTGTATATGCCCATATTGAGTTTCCCTACAAGAGTCCTGTGTGCTTATGTGCAAAAGAACTCAACACGGAGCCATCGGCACCAAAAAGTTCACTGCGGGTCCCTCGCTGCTAGGACATGTAGACACATTAGGCAGTTGTGCACAATTGTCCCTAATCTACTTAGTGAGGAGGGGGGGTAGTGCACACTAATGAGGTAATACCCTCACTCAGCAAGGTCAGAAAACGTTCACCTCCGACAGGAATGATTTACTGTCCGTCAGCTGTGAGAGACACTGACATGCTGTCACATATCACACCCAGCAGAGATTGAACTCACCGTTTCTTGCCCAGTTTTTTTTTTTTTCCTGTGCTGTCACTATGTCTCTGTCTCACTGCTGTCCCAGCACCATTCCCCCGATTTCCCATCATTAATTTCTCATTACAGCCCCTCCACAGGGGCTGACATAGCTGTTGAGCTAAACAAATGACTGTACAGTAATATCCCTAACAGATGTTTCAGCATCCAGCTCTATTTATTTTAAACGCTGTCTTGACTATGACTCTAGGGAGGATGTTAAAGACCCTAAAATGTGTTGAAGAGCTTGATAACTCCTGATTGCAGTGTTTTGCAGTTGTTATTTTTACCTTGTCCTATACATGAGAAACTTATAGTATGTTGGCTTTGGAAAAAGTAAATGAGATTGGACAATGATTGAGGGAAAAGTCCAATCAGCCTGCCAGTCTGTGAGAGCGAGACAGAACAAAAGCACTTGATTAAATCAGCTAAATCTGATAAAACAGCACAAAAGACTAAAGGAAAGTGTTTGTTTTTCCAGCTTGAATGGACTCTACGGTGACACCTAGGAGATGAGAGCAGCATTACAGGTTTTTCTAGTAGGCCTCAGCTCTGAGAGAAAGCAGAGGCCTACTCGTAGAGAGCTAGTGAAAGGGATTAGTGTCTCTTTGAGGCCATCAGACTTAGGATTTTATGTTTGCGGTCTTGCTGCTCGCATATTTCACCAACCTTACTGATTCTTGTGTACGGTCATCAGCGAGTGATGTGTGGAAATTGATTATAAGCTTTCCTCCGGCCAGTTGAGAGAGGAAGCAATTTAATACGACATGTATAATTGGCAGAGTATTGGTTTGGATAATTGTCTGATTACTCATTTAGTTCAGATGGTGAAGTGTTAATCTGTCCTCCTCTCCTCCAGATCTGACCAACATATTTGAGTCGTTCCTGCCGCAGCTGCTGGCTTATCCGAACCCCATCGACCCCCTGAATGGAGATGCAGCTGCCATGTACCTTCACCGGCCTGAGGAGTACAAGCAGAAAATCAAAGGTTTGGATCCCACACTCCAGATATTCTTTCAACACGTGTTATCTTATCACTCTTCATTTCTGGTGGATTTGGCTCAATTTTCTTTCTCTTTCCTTCTAGAGTACATCCAGAAATATGCAACAGAGGAGGCTCTGAAGGAGCAAGAAGAGGGGGCAGGCGACTCTTCATCCGAAAGCTCCATGTCTGACTTCTCAGAAGACGAGGCCCAGGACATGGAGTTGTAGTGATAGGAGGGCTCCCCCATCCCGCCCCCTCCTTTAACCCCCCACAGAGACTATATTTGATTTCCTAACCATGAGAAAAAGCAGACTTATAATATTCATATTTAAACAAGTTGATTTTTTTATTATTATTATTACTACTAAACAAGGATTTTTATGGATATCTAGCCTTTTGGTGTGTTTGACACCCCTCCCATTCTGTAGCCGTTTCTCCCTACACAGACGTCGCGATTGCTCACACATTCTCTCCCCCCTGTCATCGCCGCAGTTTGAATGTGCGTCATGTAGTTTTAAAGGCAGGAAATCTCTCCATGAAAAGTCTCACCTTTGCTCAGTTTCTCTTTTTGAAGTACAGTTTTCCAGTGAGGCCTGGATTATCAAATCTTCTTTCTTTTTCCACTATGCCTATTCTCTCTGACCAACATTTTATAAGATCTTCCACAACAAACAGATCTGCAGAGGTTTGCTTGCCAGAGTGTACAGCTATATGACATAACCAAGGGGGCAAGAATGTATTTTAAAGCGCACAATCACACATAAGGTGCATTAGCACACATAGCAAAGAATTAAGGAACATTTGTGGCAATATGCACCTAAAATCAACGCTGAATGTTTCCTCGGCAGATCTTTTTCATTATATTGAATGAGACATGCCAGCAAAGAGTATTCTTTATTTTAACTGCTGCCTTGACTTGTTACTTAAGTTATTGTTACTCTTTTTGGACCTGCTGCAGCTGCCTGTCAACATGTAGGGCTGTGCAGTGCAAAGAAAAAGGCTTAAATATGAAGTTAGGTCTTCGGAAACGAATCATTTCAATGCATGTCTCATTACAGGGCAAGTTACAGTGTGGTGACAAAGATATGCAAGATGCTTTTAGTGTTGATTTGTGAAACGTACACGTGTTTTTTGTGGAGGTTTCGGTCAGATTCAAGAGGTATAATGGAAACTGAAAACAGAGCAGAGCTGCCCTTTAACCATTTGACCATAGAAGTTTTATATTTCAGAAGTGTGCTCTAGTTTTCTGTCAGGATGCACTCGAGCGACAAACATCCTCATTTTGCATCTTGCATTATTTTGTATCTTAAAACAAATTTCTAATAGTGTTATCGCTTGAGATATACAAAGCAGAGAACGAATGTAAGAATCACCTTTTGTGGTAATTTAAGAAAAACCAGCAGCAAATTTAGGTTCGATTTTAGTGAAAAGCAACAAAAAATGGTCACATGGTTATCAAGTAGATCTGAATAAAGTTGAACTGATTGGTGTAAGATTCAGGTCTGTGTAGCGTCAGTCCTCGTCACATTCCACATTCTGTTACCTGGAGTTTGCTCTGATGCATGCCCTTCATTTTTGGTCTCACCTGTGATATGCACCCCCAGCTACATCACCTGGACTTTCATACTTTACGTCTACCTAGATGTGGTCGCTACTTCGAAGAGGATTACAAAATAAGAGCCAAATGTGTGACAATTAGGCTTGTAGCAGCTTTTTTGTTTCAGGGGAGTTGGTTTAAATTTAAACTCAAATGTACAGATTTGATTCTCATCAAAAAACAACTCTGATTTGTTTTGAAAGAAAATGCAATCGCCGCTTTGACTTCTAGCTGTTTTTTCCTCCTTGTACATTTTTGCCCGATGGGGGGGTCAACATGTTTGGATTTTCTTTTTCTTTTTTTATGTACAGCATCTACCTTGTACAGTGCTAAGACACCTCTCTGTAGCCTCATGAAAAACTCAACCTAAAAGAAAAAAAAACACTGGCTGAGTGATGCTTTGTTGAGGCTGAAGTTGCAGTCGAACTACCTAGGAAACCTTGATATGTACTCACTTCATAGATTGCAGTAAGAATCACTGGTTGCTTTGTGGGCAGATTGTGGATCGTACCCAGGAGGTTCCCCCCTTTTATCACCTCTGATTTCAGCTCCCTCTTCTGTGCCTCATCACAAAACGACTGTGACCATTGGAGAAGTCCCCTGAAACCATGTTTTCCAAAAAGCCATGACGCTCAAAAAAAAAGCACATTGATATCACTCATCCTACTTTAATTCTTCTCTTCCTGCAATTTGATCCTTACCCCGGACTGAGTGGCATTTCTCTGAGATAATGCAGGAGTGTTAGACTTTTAACGGCTCAGGTTTGGTTGTATCTTGCATTGTGATTAACATTTTCACCCGGGAAGTACTGAAAGGCTGGAAATCATGCTACTATTTGTTAAACTGTGCTTTTTACATGTCAGGATAGTTAGTTTTTCTGGGTGTTGACTTCCACTAAACATCATATGCTACTTTATATGACCGTATTACAGATAGAGTGTAGCTAGTTTGGTACCTGATAAAGCATTCATTGCTTACCTGACTTTTTAGTTAGTGTCTGTTGTGTGGTTTAAATGTAAGATACTCCATAGACATGCCTGCTTGTCGTCGTCTTCTTGCAGATTCAAAGTTGTACAGATGATTGTGAGGGAAACCAAACGAGGGTGGTGTTTGACATGTCGTGAGCCTGATGGATCTAACTGTACAGAAAAAAAAAAGTGTGGTGTAATTGCCCTTTACAGAAGATTGGCTTTAACCCAAAACGTAATATATCATAAAGAGCAGACACGCCTCCCTTATTTGTTTAAATGCCAGTATTTATCTGATGAGTTTGACTGTTTAAAGCTATGGGATTATAATTCTTATCATCCAGCCTGGGCAAAGTTGTCACTGTTAGCTCAGGGTTAGCTTTCTTGTGCTAACTTGTGATGTTGAATGAAGGCAGTATAAAGCATTGTGAATGTTTCACCTGAGTGTGTATGAGCCATATCCACTCGAACAAAACAAACCTGCTAACTCTACAGATTCCTACCTTGACTTTTGCCCCCCCCCCCTTCTCCTTTAGCTGCCTGGAAATGTGTATTTATTCATTACTGCGGAGATCTCCTTTTTGTTTTGGTTTTAATCTTTGTCACTATTATCCCGTTTAATAATTCCTATGATGACAATTTGATCTTGAGTTTTTGTTTTAAAAATTCAGATTGGAGTTCCTGTTTTACTTTACAATTGTGCAGTATTCTACCAGAGTGCTTAAACACAGTATATCCTTGTAAAGAATTGTAATAAAATGGCACATTATGATGCAGTGCTGCAACAGGGATAGTGATATTTTTGTCTCAAGATTCTTGTGTTAGGGTAACAATCTTAGGTTTGGTTTTTTCAGCATTATATGCATCTGATGGGCAATAAATTGATCAAATGCCAATAATTGTCAAGAGAAATACTGACTGCTTTTGTGTTTCAGGTTGCCTTCACTTCATTTAAGAGCTCTAGAAAAGGATTATGCAACTCACTGCGACTTAAATCCTAAATTACGTTTGGGAAAAGTGTGGAAAAACATGTTTACTGTGATTTTATTTATATAACCGTCTTTTAGGCCTCCTTTCACCTCTCTGCTTCAGTAACAATGTTTGACCACCCACAGTTTTAAACAGCAACTCCAGACAACCACGTTAGGATTCAGCGGTCCTCAAAATACACAATTCAGAAGTCCAGACCAGACCCCCATAACTGCACTCACACTCCCCCACACCCACTACTCGCTGGATACAATAAAGATGAGCACTGGTCTATCATTAATCCAGAGGCAGCACGTTCAGGGTCCATTCTCCTCTTTTTTTTTTATTATCAGCACAGCTGCAGAGAGCCAGCACCCTGATCCTGTAAAATCACCTCCTCCTCCCTCCCCGTGTGTTGACTGTGTCCTCTCGTGCACTTGCATGCTTCTGGTGTGGAGTGGAGGCTGGCTTGGTGCACACCTCTCCTCATTCTGTCTTGTGCTTGTGTGGATTTGTGCCCTTTGCAGGCCTACTGCTGCCATCAGGGGATTAAGCAGGCACACACAGCATGGAAAAATGGCAGTTCTTTTTTTTTTTTTTTTTTTAAATAGAAAACTATGTATTTGTTACCTAGTGTGTGATACTTGAGGGTTAAAAAGTCTAATGTTTTGTTTTTTTTCTTTTTTTTTCGGTTGTTTTGAAAAGTCCATCCTCGGTCTTATTTTTATCACCCTCTCTGCCCTCCTTCTCTTGTTTTTTCTTTGCATTGTGAAGTGGGCATGCTTGTCATAAAAAAGACAAAATGCTCTCTATTAATAGGCTTATAACCTCATAAATAGTTGTGTATAAAAAACTGTTATAACTTCTTTTTTAATAAAACATTCAATGTGTATAAATGGTCTTTGTCTGAGGCTGATGATTCTCATATCTCTTGCATCCAGCATGTGATCTCCCATCGAATCCTCGTTCTAAAAACCTTAACAGCGGAAAATAAAGACTGTTAGCATTGATTGATATGTGATGTCTTGAGACTTGAAGTGTATGATTTCTCCAAACTGGTTGTGAGTTTTAACATAGCATCACATTTTCCTCTCCTTATTAGTTCATACAAGCTGCCACCTGTGGATCCTTTTCATCTGATAATGAAGTCGTACATCTTCATGATGATGTATCTCTGCGTAGGTCTCATGTTGCAGCTTTTTCACCTGGAGGGTAAAGTCTTAAGAGGTGTTTCTTCAGGATTCTAGTTGTATTTTTTAAACTGCCAAAAAAAGAGTTTAATTGCAGTTTATTGCTTGATTCGGAGATGATTTTCTGCATTTTTCCCTTACATTTTCTCATGCATACAACAACCTGTACCACTCATTGTAAAGGACTTATCACAATCTGTCCAATTTTGCATGCAAACAGATTTAGAAGCTTCATAATATTACTCTCCTCAGTGAAAAAAAAAAAAAGTCACCTCCTCCACCAGGTGTCAGTGTTGCACCACAACCCTGCCTTATGATCCCTGGGCTTGTAAAATATGGGCCTCTGTCCTGCATTATCCCTGTGAGGACTGTGAAACTTGAACCTGAGGTTTGAATCCCGGTACCCCTCCTCTGAAGGGGTGATGAATGACTTCAGGGATCCAAAAACAACATCACCTCATGATATTTCCCTTAAAGCCAATCTTAGAGTTGTGTTTTGATTGTAATTCTACTGTTCTAGTCATCACATTCTGTTATCGCTATAAAAAAAGTGTTTGTTGTGCTCGTATAGTAATGCATAAGTCTTGTTTACCGCAGTTTTCTTGGCCAAACATCCGACTGGGGTTTTATTTTGAAGAGGACACTGAGCTGTGAGAGATTAACCTTGCTATGAGGGCAGCCTGCACATGCATGCGTACAGATGCAGTTACACAGCGCAATCAGAAGAGGGTGCTGCCGTAAACAATCTCCTCTAACTTGAGCTGAAACCCTTCTTCTGTGTAATCACAGCAGGGGGGGAATAAATGCTGTGACATAAGGCTGTTTAATCCCTGCTCTTCTGAAAAATGTATTCTGTCACGCAGCAATCTGCTCCTGCTTCCTCTCTGTCTATTTCTGTGCTGAGCTCAGGCAGGACACTACTCACCACATTTATACTCTTTTTACAAATACACATACATCAGAGTGTGCTTGGAATAGTTTTTTATTGGTTCACAGTATATAAAGCAGTTCTCTCTGTATACTCGCCTCTGTCTCTGTATTGCATATCCTACGCAGGGCCACAAGCTCCAGCGTGTCCACATCAGACAGCTGCAGGGTCTTCATCACAGGCAGGAATGTCAGTCAGGTGATCAGCACTTGTCTGTGATCCAGCAGAGGGCATGCGAAATGAGCAAATGATGCTGGAGAGTTAGATGCTGCAGAAGTTGAGGCTTAAATGAGTTATACGTCCACGTATACAGAGAGGCTCTCCATGTGTTCATCTAAGTGATTTCAGATGGATGCTGAGAACAGATTAATCCTGGACAACAAGGAAGTGGCGACAGCATGACATGTTGCGGGTCACGTGACCGACTATTGTGATGTATTGTTCAGCCTGACCATAAACATTAAGGCTGACTGTTTGTATGGAGTACTATCTATGATGTCTCTTGTCAGTGGATATTGTTATGACCGCCTTTATTTCCATACAAAGAATTTTGATGAGTGACACATTTGTGTGTCAGTGAAGAAACGAGGGACATCTCTTTAACCAGAGGGGGAGTCAGAATCAACACAAACTGAAAGTTCCTCACGTGAGCTTTAAAAAGCTGATTAAGCCAAAACCAGATTCTGATATCAATGCTTTTTGCTTTTCTTCACTGTTATACATGCTCTACAAACTACATGGTGCTGAAGGTTCTCAAAGACATGCACTGACATAAATGCAATGGGATAAATATAAAATAATTTACAGATAATCATCAGTTCCTGACATCAGAGTGTTATTTACACATGGCTCAACCTGCAGATATGTTGAGGTTTATTCAGTACATCTACAGTTAAAAATGAAATAAGATACAGATCAAAATTAATTATCATAAACCGATGCTGACCAGTAACTTATGCCGGCATCCTGATGCAGTTTGGGTGCAGGGAGGAACATCAGTCACTGCACCAGTACAACCAAAACTTCAGCTTGTCTCTTTTATCTTCTCCATTATTTTTCAGTTTTCTTCTTTACGCTCTCTTCGGGGGACAAAAAACGACACACCTTCTCAACATCATAGCAGCTGTTTTATCTTAATTTCCCTTGAGGAAAAAAAAAGCAAACAACTATCTGGAAGTGAGTGTTGCATTAGTCAGAGAAGCTAGTGTGATCCAGTTAGTATCACACTGTAAGGCTGAATCTTTCAACATGAAGGAAGCATAAACAGTGATGGTATACAAACTATAGTCTGGAGTTTATAAAAAATTGCAGCTATTAAAACCCAACCCCTCTGTTTTCACTGTCCTTTTCTTTCTCCTGCACCAACATAGGAGGGGACGAGGATGATAAAGGGCTACAGGAAGGGGAAAGGACGCAGCTATCTGTCTCTCCACAGTCCTGACCTCCACCGATCCAGCAACCTGAGAGTCTCAATGAAATATTTAGAGCTTCTGTTTTATCCGCAGTGCGTTGGTCAAGACAAACTGTGGGCCTCCATGACGTAATGCCCGCTGTCTGATTGGTCCTCACTGAGCAGGGGTGGGTCAGGTGACCTGTGCCGCTGTGGCCTTTTAAGGCATTATGATGCCCTGAGGCTCCACATTAGACTCAGGGTTGTCTGCTGCAGGTTTGATCAATCACTCTTAGCTGCAGTTTTTTTCCTCTGCAAAGCTTTTAGCAGTAAATCTGCTGTGTGTGAACGTTCTTTAGCCAATTTTATGATGAAATTGAATTAAGAAAATTGTCAGTGCATCTGCTGACCTATTGCATACCTTGTTTTGTAATATAAGGCCGTCAGAGTTAAGTGGACTAATTTGATCTGAAACTTTTGAGGATACATTGTTCTAAAGATGTTTTATTTTTCTTTATATTTTTTCCTTTCTGATTATTTGTCTGCAACTGATCTGCATGAACCATCTCCAACATGCATCTCTGTGTGTTGGGTTTCTCATGCTGGGGCTGGTCTGGCAGGCATCAGGCTCTCTCTGGTTACAAGCTCTGTTTCAATAGAACAGTAGGGGGTGGAGGAGGTGCTGCTGGTGGGGACGCAGAGGCAGCAAGCAATACAATGACCCCCCGGTCTTTACTAATAGATGACCCACTGACTAACAAGCCCCCATGCACCACCACTGTACCACCCACTTACCCACCACTCTACAGCAACACAGATGCAGACTGAGAGCAAAACAAACATACAATGTAAGAATGTCATGCTTTGAATTAAAAAAAAAATATTTATCAGCCTTACAAAAGTATTCAGTATTCCGATGTGTAATTTTTAAGATCTTAATTATTATTTAAAGGTTTTCTGGTAATGATGCTGCAAGTGCACGGCAATGAATAATCCTCATTTAGTAATCCTCTCTACATGTAAAGTCAGGCATTTAGGGCTTAAACAATGAAAAGACAGTCATGAATACATATTTCATCCTTACAGAAAATACTAAATACAGTTCACCCTTTTTGGTTTAATAAAATTAGATTTATTTTACGCTTTGCTATCTTGTTTATTTTGGTCCTTTTAACTAATTATTAGAGCCACATTTCAAAAGTTAGGGATTTTGATAGTTTGCAAATAGTTAACACACATTTTTTAAGGGTAAACGCACCAAGTCAAATGTTGCAACAGATTTTTTTCTTTTCTTTAAATTCATGTGAAAAAATGTTCTTATTATATTTGACGCCAGCGCAAAACAAATATGATAGTGATAAAAAACACAGACAGAATTGTGTGATACTCAAAAAAACACCTAAGACTGTCTCCCCGTTGACTGCATTAATTTGCATCAGGTAAGGAACTCAACTGGGTATAAAAAGGGCATCTCAGAGATGTCAATTCTCTCTGGAGTTAAGATTGAGTTAAGATGAACCCAGAGTAGGTTCACCACTCTGTGAGAAACTCAGATAATTCAGCAAATCAAGGGTTGTGTTCCTTGAATCATCAACTACAATACATAATGTCATAAAAAGATTCAGAGGACCTGAAGGAATCTAGCCGTGCTCTTTGTGCCCTCAGGTGGCACCTGGATTAAAAACAGACGTGATTGCAATGGAGATCACTGCACAGGCTCAAAATCCTATCAAACAGTGTGTTGCTGCATCTAAAAATGCAGGTTAAAATTGTAATAAAAGAGCAAATCATGTACTGTATGAACATGATCCAGAAAGGGTAGAGACTTTTCAAAGCTCAAGCCTATTAAGATGGATTGAGACAGAGTGAAAAAATGTCTCTGAGGTCTGACAGCTCAAAATGTGACATTCATCATCATGGAATGCATCTGAATTCCAGATTTTTATTTATTTATTTATTTTTAATCAGATCCCAGTTCAAAAGCCATGCAGCACTCCTCATAATAGGCTATAGGGATGCATAAATGCCCAATTGGTGCTTAATGATCTACCCAGGTTTTGGAGCAACTTATATGCTGCTTTCAAACCAATGTCTTTTTCAGAGAAAGCCCAGATAGTACAGCAATAAGATGCCTGACTATATTTTTTTCATGTATTACAACAGCATGACTCTATTGCAGAAGAGCCTGAGTGTTGAACTGGCCTGCTTGCAGTCCTGACTTGTCACTTTTAAAATATATGGCATTTCAGGACATGAAGAAATATTACAACAATTGAGCAACTGATACTAGGGATTCAACCGATCTGATATTTGGATTGGATATTGGCTCCGATATTGACAAAAAAAACTGGATCAGATATCTGATGAATGATGCCGATCCAGCGTTCCAATCCAGTCTTTTTTTCTATGAATTAATATCATTCACAGCAAAACAGAGATTCTGTTCACTCTATATTCTATGTCTGTCTATCCTTTTGCACTAAACGTTTACAAAGACGTCTTACTTCGTTTTGCTGTGTGCTAATGTGCAATTTGTTATTTGTTAATAAATAATATTAATTAAATTCATATCTGTATTAATTTGTTACCTTTTTTTAACAAGGCTAATGTCAAGCCTGATACTTTCACTCACAGGGCAAGGTATAAAGTTTATTCATTCAACAGTAGTATTGGAAAGGATATTAGCCGATATGTTTAGACCAAATATCGGTATCAGATTGGATTGGAAAAAAATTGATCGGTGAATCTTTAACTGATACTTAATGTAAGGCAGCATTACATTTTTGTTGTATAACCTTTCTAAAATGAGCCATTTGACTATCAAAAGCCCTGGTCTCCTCAGTCCCCAAACCTTTACAGTGTTGTTAAAATAGGTGATGCAACATCTGTGGCCATATATCTGTCCCAACTGTTTAGAAATGTGCTGTTGTAATCAAGTTAATAAGAAAACATGAAATAAAATAAAATAAAATAAAATAAAGTCAACATCTGTTTTGTTGTTTTTGCACTATTTTCAATCAAATTAAATAATTGCTTTTGCAACATGGGCTGCAGGTGATTAATTTACGTCAAATCATTTTCAGCGTTGAAAAGAGTTAGAATAAAAAAAATTATCTCTATGGCTGCCTTTTCTTTTTTCTTTATGAGCAGCAGACTAAATCTTGCCGCATTATTATTTCATCCTGCCTTCTATATCGGATGGCCTTGGTACCTTCACGGGTGGCACGGACACAAACGCACCACGCGTCTACCTGATCCCTCCGCTGGCACCTGCTTCATATGACCCCGGCACGACAGCAGCAAGAAACCAAATGAGCGCTTTAAATATTCATAGACAGACTACTCGTCTCTGTACACACGCTACAGATGATCCGAGGCTCAGGTTTCAGCTTTTCCAGGTGGAAACCACGTCAGGCTGCTCGGAGAGGCTCGGGCTCCTGGACGAATCACCGCGGATTGATTTCACTGTCGCTATCCAGCATGAAAGGAGTGTAACCGAACCCAGCCGCATCACCTCTAAATATTACACGAGTTTTGTCCGCTTAGTTATCTGCCTAATTATCAGCAGCAGGTAAATGGACTCACTGGCTATCTGAGAGGAGCGGAGGAGCCATATATTAGGCACCTAAAGAGAAGTAGGAGCATACCTGGGGCTCGGAGGGGGACCCATAGGTGCTGTGAAGCTCTGCGTAAAGGAAGAGGATGAAGAGCAAGACGAAGGCCCAGGAGAGGCCCAGGGAAGCTGCCTGACAGCTCACTCAAACCCATCAGGTTGTATGTTTTTTTTTTCATTCACAGGAGAACCTAAAATAGGCCTCTCTCTCTCTTTCTCTCACTCTCTCTGTTAACTTAAAAAGGATGAGTTAAGGACATGTTCCCACCAGCAAAGGTATTTTTGATGCTTTTCCTTGAGAAGGAAATGTTATGCAATGCTCACAGAGTAACCACAAGTGCAGGCTTTAAAAATGCTGTATTCGATAATCATTAGCCATCTGGACGTGGACATTTGATCCTGCAGCATCTCGAGCAGAGCTGCAGCCTCAACTGCATCAGCTGACTAAAACTAATCCCGGGATGGGGGGCTGGGAGGATGCACCAAATAGTCCCTTTGATGTGTGCCAGCAGGTTTAATATCTGAAAATGAAGATAGATACAAGTGAAAATGAATTAACTATAAGAATAGGATTATCAACTATTATAGAGTAATAGATTTCTGTTCAAATAGGTTTAGGGGCATATTAAAAAAGCCTTGAGTTTAAGAGGAAAATCCAACAGTATCTGTCTCACTCTTTTTCTTTACATTAAACATCACTGTGGCCTACGGGTCCCCACAAACTAAAGGAGCCAGAGGCCTGCAGGCCCGCAACGAGCTGTGAAGGCCTCCATGGATCCAAAGAAATCAACCAAACATGCATCACATCTTTAAGAGGCATTGTGATGAGGACAAGCGTGGTGGTTTGCAACATATAGTATTTTTTGAGTAACATTAGGCTTATATCTGTGATTTAATCAAAATTACAAGAAGCTTAACAGTAATAACAAAAATCTATCAAATGTTTATTGAAAAGGCCTATCAGTATTATCTATGGGTGTATGACAACATGAATAAAAACAGAGATAAGCTCATTAAAAATGTGGGTTATTTGTATGAAAAAACATTTATTTTTAGGCCTAGTTTTACGCCTCGTTAAATCACGTGTTTAAGCCACTCATTTCATTATTTAAAAAATAAAAACAATGCAAAATAATGTCAAAATACGTAGAATAATAATTGACTTGAAGGATTTGGAGAAATTCAGGCCTCTCTGTCTTTGCTACGGCAGGGGGGTTGGTCCAAATTATCAGTCAGGAAATCGTTTAATCCGGAGAGACAAACCCAATCCTCATCCGCTCATGTTCGCTGTTCCCGGGTTAAAACAACGCCTCTTTAGTGAGTTACCCACCTTTGTTGGACCACAAAAGCCCGCGGTACCACAGGCCTTGAACGCAACAGAGCTACACGGATAGTTTGGATTATCACTTGAGAGCACGGTGAGATGGTGGAAAACCGGGTTTGTTTTAGCGGGTAAATCCTCGGAAGAGAAGCAGGATAGACGGTGTTTGGGTGCTGCTTCATAATAACGCCCACTTTTAAAAACACAGGTACGCATTTCAGCACCAACAGAGGCTGCGCACTTATAAGGTTGAGTTTTACAGGTAAAATCCACATACCGGTTTTCATATCAAGTCTAGAGGACGTGGTTGCTGTAGGCTTCTTGTTTTCCCAAAGTCAAAGTGTAACATATTATTAGGAGCTTTTTAAAAAAATTTTCCCTTGTTGTCTTGGTTGTGCCTGTCCCTTTAAAAAAGGTGCACGGGATACCTTTCCTTCCTCAGTGTGTAGTTTGCACGCGCAGGTAAGAGGGAGGAGGCAGAGTTTAGAGAGAGGGAGAGAGAGAGACGATGGAAGAGAGGGAAGAGAAGAGGAGAGGAGGAGAGGAGAGGAGCGCAGGGCTGAATTTGACATTTGATACTCAGGAAGTCCAGAACGCCGCTTGGATTTCTTTTGTTTCATTGTAATTCTGCAGTCCTGCTGCAGGCAACAAGGACCCTCGGCTTCTGTTGCCTCAACACAACTTGAAGAGAACAAGTCTTCAAAAAGAGAAGAGTTAAAAAAAACGGACTAAAATGTCTGATGGGTTCGAGCTCGGTGCGGTTTGTAGCTCCAGGTATGGCGCACAACGATGGATTCGTCGGAAGGTATGATTTTATTTCACACTTTACATCAGCTTTTCTTATTTTAGACCCTTTACAACTGAGGACGATGTAAGCGAGGGGTGTGCATGGTGTTAACGTAAAATCCTACGATTTAATATCTTTTGAAAGTAGTCACAATTCATCAACAAATACAGGGATGATAGCATGAATAATACCCAGTGATAGATTTTAATCACCTTTAAAAATAGGTTCACAGATCTGCAGTTTATAGACCTCGAAAACACATTTATGAGCACCGTCAGTCAGATCTAATAAAGTGTTTGGACATATGAATTTAACCGTTTGAATTTAAGAGTAAAATATAAAAAATATAACATATAAATATATCTGTAATTCTTACTTTTGAAGCAAATGACCTTGTTACTATTATAACACGCGCTCTGCTGGAGTGTGTTGTGTGTTTTATTGCACCTGCTTCTTACGAGCTGCAAACGATACCAGTCAAAGTTTCACCATTTTAACCATCAGAACGGACTATTTGAGTATAACTTAAACATCTTATCAACTTTTAGCTCAAGTCCAGTTAATATTCAGGTTTATAGAGCAATTTTTTTTTTTTTTTTAAATAACAGTTTTGGTTATTAATGAGAGGTATAAGCTCTCATAAATAGTGGACTATTGGAGTAAGAGTATTTCCAAACATTATGAGCTTATAGGAACAACAAAGACTGTATATCAAAAATATAACAGATTTTTTTTATCGTGTTTTAATTGGCTGTATTTCTCTAGAAAAATAATGATGTAAAGTTAGACGATGGGGTTGCATGACTGATGGAGAATGTGAATCGTGCTGCGGGACTTAAAGGAGTGATAAAGCCTCCTGAAATAACCGAGAAGTTGAGGACTTGTAGACTCCCTATTCAGACAAATGCGATTAACTGAAGGGGCTTTCGGAGCAGCTCTGAATTAACGATGACAGATGCAAAAAGCAATCCGTAGAATAAAGCAGTACAAAGCGTGTTTTATATTCACCTGCTAGTCAACGAGGAGGGAAAATAAGAATCAGTGCTCCCTTAACATGTCATATCTGTATTTTTAATCTTGTTTTGTCTGATCTGAAATTTTACTGCATGCTGAAATAATTTAGCATTTTTGTTGGTGTGTTCATACTGAACCCTTAAATGTAATATAACAGTACTGATGTGCATTTAAACAAGGAAATAAAGAAAATAAGCTAGCAGCCATGTGACAATTTACAATGCTGTAACTTCTAAAAACAATATGAAATCATTATTTACTTTAGCCTGGGTTATTTTAGTAAAAAAAAAAAGGGCAGTTCCGTTTTATTTAGGGTAATGCAAATGGCTTTATATTTTGACAGCTGGCCTTGCTGATACATCAGATCATGATGACTTTGTCATGTATTAGGTAGATAACAATTAAAACATAATGTATATTTACATAAGGGTGAAAAAGATCTACATGAACAAACATACATCAGATTAGTATTAATTCAATTTATATGAAAGACTAAACTGAAATCCAAACATGTTCTGTGAGGTGCAATAGATTTAACGCACAGAAATAATGAGCATTTTTTTATCCATCCAAGAATCCTCAAGTAAAAAAAGGGCAAAATTCTCATCTGTTATCTAATTAAGGTTGGAAAAATAAGACATAATCCAACCTTTCAAAGACATAGATTCTTTTTCGACTTGGCTTTTTAGTGGTATTGATTTCTCCAGGAAATGGCAATGGGAGTCTTGCTCAGGGAGCCATTTAGGCGTCTGAGGAATCACTTAGTACATGGTTTGATCGCTGGAATCAATGGCAGCTCGGTACACTGCAGGGCCCAGGGCGAGGGAACTAATGGCTGAAGCAAGGGTGGGGCGTCTGAGGACGGGCAGCCTCTGCGACTTGGATTATCTGCAGTACGAAGATGTTTTTAACGACACATCCAAGGTCAGATGATGGAGAGAAAGTTTCATTCAGTTTCTCAATGTTTATAATGACTTAAATCTTTTGCTGCAGGATTATTTTCGTTGTTTATATTTTTTGTAGCAAAGGCCTGGCGTGCATAGAAAGCCATTTTGAAACAGTTTATTTTCAAGGTCCAGCTGACTGCAGTGGCAGCCATTTTCTGAGATTTTTGGCTCACTGTAATGATAATCCAGGGCTGGTTCAGTCGGTTCTTTTCCCTCTCGTTCAACATTTGGTCAATGTAGTCCCATTTTTGCGATCCATAAAGGTTAAAGAGGCTTTAAGTGCTGCGTGGAAGACAGTGATAGAATTTAACCTTCAGTTTTCATCCTTGAATTTAGGATGGGAAAGAGTTAGCACAGGCTTTATACATAAATATGACTATAAGGTTTGTACCATCCTCATGAATCAGACAATGATGAGCTCAAAAGGCATAAAAGATTCATTCAAATGTTTGTGTGTTTTAAAAAAAAGTAGATCCATCTACTTAGTTTGTGCCCTCACATCCAGTATTTGCCTGTTGCAGTCTAAGCGGATGTCAAGTGCTGTATTTTATTTATGCCCTTGTTTATTTGGTCGTCTTTGCTCCATGATCCTTTGCTGGAAATCTACAGATTGGCAGTGAGGGTGATTAGCAGTGAACAACTAGGTAAGGATGTTTACTCTCTCTTAGGATTGACTGGACTTAAATTTAGAAACCAACACCTAGACACGGTATCCTTTGACCTGTTACTCAACGCGTGGATCAATCCACCGCAGTGCAGTGCCTCTCCAGTTCAGCTGCATCACTGCATCAGCGCTGACATTTTTTAAGACTAAACGCTCCTCTTCTTCTTTTTTTTCTCCTCTACTCACACATCTATGCTTCTGTCACCTTCTCTCTCTCCAGGCTGTTGTTTCTGCTCTCCTCAAGGAGGGTCTAGTTTGCATAGTTTTGCTTCCTCACAGGCTGGCCTGGGTTATTGGGGTGATAATGACTCCTGTTCTGTGTATGGCACTGGTAGAATTCACTGTGAGAGCTCACTATCAGTGAATTACCATAGGGCCATAAACAGAGCAGAGAAAGAACCACTTGATGATGAGGATGAGGATGATGATGGTGCCCGTTCATGGGAGCTTAAACTGGCTCTGCTCTTCCTCTTCTTTGCTGTGGTGTGCTTGTGGGTGGGGTGAGTGTGATGTAATCACTCTGGTGCGGGTGCATGAGTCTCGCAGCGATATGTCTCTGATGCGCTTCTATAACAACAGCCGCTCCTCTTCTTTGCCCATTTTGGCACTAGCACATTTTTGCTTCTGTACATATACTTTGAGCAATTATGTGTAGTGCCAATATAGGACAAGATAGACTTCCATCGCTTTGGCATATTCCTGGAATCTCCTTCATTTTAGCACATGTTTTAGTGTCCCTGGGTGAAAACATTTATTCTTGTCCTTCCTGTGGTTTTAGATGTGAATTATTTTTTATTTCCCTGCTGATATACAACCTAAAAGTGGACTTGCATCTTGAATGCACACTAACCGAAGTTGAGTAAAACTGTATGTAAAAGGCTGTCTCAATCCATGAACCTGGAGGATGCTCTCAGCCTAACAGAGATAAAAATGTCGCCTAAAAAACCCACATGATTTATACCATGTTCTAGCTCATTCTTCGCAGGTTCCTTATCGTACCTGAATTACGCTACATCTCAAGAATCCATGTCTGCAGAGGCCCAGCAGCTCTCTGGTGGTGTTTGGCAATGGTAGAACTCACACTGGTGAGGTAGATGGATCCGGTGGTTCTAGACTTGCCAACTACTGCCTGAGAGTGTTCGCCAACCTAGAAAGACGACAACAATATGAAGATTTTAAAAAAATCCTCGCTCCAGGTGGAGAAACGTCTCAAGGATGTTTATGTCAGAGAGTGAGTGAGTGGCTGATGGTGGTGAAGGGTGGGGTGATGACTATGTTCCTCCCCTGCGCACCCCAGCCTCAAAGCTCCGGTGACTCTCAAACTCTTGGTGGGGGTTTTCACATGTTAGATAAACACCTGAAGAGACTCCTCATGATGCGGAGGTGGATTCAGGCTAAAAACCGCAAGCTGTTTGCTGTCAAGATGCAAGAAGGAAAAATGATTCAAATGAAGTGCATTTTGTTACCTGCTGAAAAGAAATGTGCAGATAGTCAGTGGAGGCCGAAAATAAGAAGAAAATTAGACAAGGGTTACAATACAGCCAGTGCAAAAACACCCATCAGCAAACCCTGAAATATTACCCAGTATGTCTCGTTTTCAAACAAAAAGGATGCATTGTTTCCGATCAGCTTACTGTCTCAAATATGGTTTAGTGTCATGTAAATACATTTGGAAGTTTGACTGTTGGTTGAAACTATTTTTTGTTTATATCGTAGCTTCTTTCTTATTCGTCCCCTGATCCATCGGTCGGTCTTTTCTTAAGGTTCTATCATTATCGATAGTTAGATCAGGTGCGTGCAGCTCTGCAGCATGAGGGGCTCTGTGGTTGTACAGAAGCTCGGCTATATTCCGCCTCCGTCCAGCCATCAGGGGGTTCCTCTCTTAGCTCAGTGGCATAATTGGCAAACCGAGCCGTATCATCTTACCCCTCTCTTTCAATGCGGCCTTTTTCCCCTCCTCCTTTTTCCCGAACGAAAGAAGGGCGGAGAGCTCGAGAGAGAGAGGGAGTCTTTCTCAGATTTAGGATTTGGTTTTGCTGTAACAATCCGTTGACAGTGTGTCTTGAAAAACTGCTACACACTGAGCTCCATATATCTGGGTCAGGGTCTGCTAATGTAGGTGACAGGGGGATCTGGGGATTTAAACCTCTTTATCTGCCTATGCATAAATCCTGCTTTATAGCCTACACTTCAGCTCTAGCTAATATGATTTGTATTGTTACCAGTTTGCCTGCAGGCTAGCTATGTTTGATCTGCGTGGACGTCGTCATCGGGCCCGCAGAGGAAGCCATCTTGCATCTGTGTGTTGGTAGAGAGAGGAGGTAAGCGCTCATATGTGTGCATAGATGCAGACCAGTTGACACAGCTGTTTTTTTTTTCACTTTATAATATTCAAATGTTAAGTGTAGTTGTGTCTCATATCAGAGAAAATATGCATATATGACATGCAAATGTTCTGTTTTTCTTCTGCTCACAGTTATCTCTCTTATGACATTAAAATCGTACAAATTCTCTCATCTGTGATGCTAATAAATACTTGAAAAAGACAAATCTATGTGTCAGACTTACTCTAATGATCTTCTCTGCGGCAAAGTGCATTGTGGGATAACCCTTGTCAATTCAAGGCCTTCTCCAGATGGGCCTAGCAGCTCAGGTTACACAGCATTTTTCAGTTCCCCCCTCTATCCCACAGCCCCCCTGGCCCCTTTCTCCATCTCCATCTCTCTCTCTCTCACGCACACACACACACACACACACACACTTACACACACATAGTTTCCTGGGTGGGTAGAGTTGGGCTGAGACAGTGCTTCGCCTGTGCTCTAATGCAGGCTGCAGAGCATTAGTAAAATGAGATTATGGTCGTTCTTACGCAGTGTCTGGGCTGGAGGTGGACAGAGGTGTGAGCTGAGAAGGTGAGGATGCCATTATTAGACTATTAGACAACATTATGGGAGGGGAGAGCGTCATCGGCAGCATGTCTGCTGATGGAAAGGCTGCTGGGAAACTGCAGACTGTTTTTTCTGTATGATTTTTATTTGTTAGACATATAAGAAAACTTCTTTCTAGTTTCTTACATGTCTACATATCTACAGCAAGGGGATAAAATCTGAGAGAGAATATTTCCTTGCTCAAAAAGGATGTCTTTTCTTTTTTTCTTTTTTAAGTTGTGACCCAGCCCTTTGCTCAGGCCGAGGGGCAGGAGATTATCTCTTGTTAGAGCAAGTGGGGGCTTGGACAACGTGCAGTTTGTACATATGTGTGCGTGCCCATGTGGGAGTGCGGGGGTGTAGGGCCTGGGATGCACGTATTAAGAAACGATTAGTGGAGATTAAAGCTCTGCCCTAGAGTCTGCCCGCACGACTCCAGGCAACAGGAATGACCAACCCCTCCCCTGTCACCCTGCAGTGACCCCCTGTAGAGCCAGGTTACTGAAGCCCGGGCCAGAGCCCTTGTTGACCTGCTGCAGAGAATCAATAGTGCTGCCCAGTGATCCTCCTCTGCTAAACTAAATTGCCCCCCAGGACGGTGCACAGGCACTTCGCAGCCTGACTGTCTAGATTGGATGGTTTTGATGTCATCCAATCAGGTTTGAAGTCAGTAAGATGGATGTGCTCTGCAATATGATGCATAATGATGTAACTGTGTCACACAGTTCAGCACAGGCACCCTTTATAAAACACATCTAAGGTCTGATTCAGCCGAGTGGAAGTGGAATTAGCAACCATAAAATTCAACGCAACTCTATGATGAAATTCTCAAAGGAGAATTTTAAAACAGAAAATCATTGAATCATTAAAAACTTAAACACTCTTGGTTAAGATAATTCTTGGAAAAGGAGAAAATAGGTTGACTTGTGCAATACAATTAGAGGATTTGGCAGCCCGTTCAAGAGCTAAATTACTCCACTATTGTTTGAAACTAAAACACTTAACAGCATACAACATTTATTTTAAGTGAGCCATTTCATAGCTCAGTTTAATTCAATTTGAATGATACGGTTAAAAGGTTCATGACTCAGTGTAAGCGTAAGAGAGAGGATTGAAGGGGCAAAGAAGCAGAGACTGATAGTGGAGGGGAAGGCTTAGGCCGCATGAAGCGCCAGCCTTTTTCCAAGAAAACATGCTAATAAGGTCTCCTTAATCTGCAGAGACTTCTTGATTCACGTGTTTCTTGTTTTTAAATGTTTTTTTTTTTCCAAAGCCAAACAGTTTAAACAAAACCAACCAGCAACCTGACAAAACATCACATCAAACAGAACACCCAACAAAACAACACCCACAGAGTTTATCAAATAGGCCAGTGATGATGCACAATTTTTTATTTTCTCTTGCCTATTAAGACCGACGACAAACGACTCAGGGCTCTTCAGCTGACACAAGGGGAGAAGCATTAAACAAGGAGGGAAACAGGATCTTTTCATCAGTGTGAATGCAACCTGGTTCAGCTTTAATCTGGAGGAAGAGCGGGATATTCACTGACGCCTGCTAGATTAAGGCATGAGCGCTTCCCTCTCTGTTCTACTCTGCAACAGAAGGGACCAGCTAGCAAATCCCAGGCTTTAAAGCAGAGGAGGTTCAGGCAGCTTATGATGTAATCATGGTCCTGTCTGTCACGGCAGGGAAGGTGGGGGTGCTGCAGAGATGCTTGGTTATCTCACTTTGTAGCAGCGGCAGGCGGAGTACCTTTTAAAGGATGACATGCGAAGAAAATGAGAAAATTGTAAAGTTAGCAAAAATGAAAATCAACACAAATACTTGTTTGTGTGTCTGTTCTGTGTGAATTTAGCTGTGCAACATCATGTATTCCAGCTGGAGGATACAAACATATTCAACCAGGACATCCTGTTGTAGTTTTCTTTTTTCCTACTTCATCTAAGCTCAATAAAGTGAAATAAATATAGTAAATATATAAGCAATGGTTGTTTCAGTAAAAAACTTGTACTCATGTCTATCTTCCCTGCAGATTTGTCATTACTGGACTCTGTGTTTCTATTGTTTTGTGCTGTTTTCTCTTTTAAGTCACTTTTTGAGTCTTTAACCTTCAATAAAGCCACCCCAAGAGTTGCCTGTGCAGCTAACACTGTGATACTTGTATTGGATGGCTATTTTGTAGTTTGTCTGATTATTGTATGTGATTATCTGTATCAAGAAAGTTACTCTTAACTTCCTGTATTGGGAGTAATGATTTAATTTTAGGACTTACCTTTATTACTGATGTTTGATAATTCTTTATATAAAGATGCATTTTAAGTGGAGATTGTGTGAATAATCAAACAATGAATAAATTGTAAACAGCAGCCATTTTATTGAACTTTATTTTTCTTAAATACTGGTGAGAGCTGAACTAAATTTGATGGTTGCAAAGAACTACATCTTGTCTTTGCAAGCTATGATTTTGAGGCAATACTTTGAGAAATGCTCTTCTGACATCTGTTATACAATGACTGCAGCTCGGACTACGCATGGCCAAATTTGTGTGAAATAAAAAGTGATGCGGACCACCACAAAGTCCTCGGTGACGTACGAAGGAGTTCATGTTAGAAAAATAACAGCGAGGGGTGCTCATATTCATGCACTGTGGATAAAATGTTTTGGTAGTCAAAATGGCTGCTTCAGGAAGACAGCTCAGCAGTGTAGCAGTAAAAAAAAAAAAAAAACACCCCGATGTAGATCCTGAGTCTTCACAAATCTTGGCATGTGCGTGGATTACAGAAAACAGCTCAAGGAAAAGCACACAAGATGGACTTCAATGTAATATTTCTTCATTTCATGTCTGGGAGTGTCTACAGCTTGCATGCTGTCCCGTGTATGAACAGAGTTTCAGGTGAGTTGAGGTGGGAAGAGCACAATTTAGAGCACAGATTAATATTAAGGGTAACAAATAGGAGTGATTTCTAACCATGGCACTGAATTGAAAATAAATCCTAAAAACATAACAGTCAAGCACACAGACGATAATGAAATTAAGAGCAGTGAAGGTAACACACTCAGGGTGAAATCAGTGGTGGCTCTCCTCCTGGGTTTTTTGGTTTCTCTTTGTTTGAAGTCAAGATTTAATGTAAAGAAATAAATACTAAATTCTCAACATCACAAATCTAAAAAAAAAAAAAAAATGATGCTAAAGGGGGGAAAAATTACACCAACAAAAACAACATCTTTACATAGTAAACACAATGCTTCCCCTGCAGATGCACATTTAAAAATATATTTGACATTGTACACGGTGTAGTTTGTTGGAAAACAGTAGGATAAACAAATCTCCAGAGCGACCGTTCAGTGCCTCCTACTCCTTCCAGGGTCACTAATGTCACTGCTCCAGGGTCACGACCTCCACCGCCTGGCCGTCCAAGGTGACAGTGTTGTCTATGCGTGTGGCAACAGGTGCCATTGCGACCTGGACCGGCCTGTTCCCCTGGGCGAGGCTGGTAACAACTGTCTGGTACATGCTAACCGGGATCTGGACAAGACCTGAGGAGAGGACACGGAGAGATTTTGATGAAGACACACAAATGAGCAGTTTTTGTTGGTCTGTTTGTTTACGTTTGTATTCCAGTGACTGATATTGTGTTGTAATCTGGTCATTAGAGTGTGTTTGACACAGTGCTTGGGAGGCACTCAAGTCTAGGTAGTTGCCTATGACAGGAGGCGGCCATGTTATAGAGACGGCATTTCCGAACAATGGTCCGATTGAACACTCTCAGCCTGCTTCTCCTCTTGGCCAGCTGTGTGTGTATGTGTGTGTGTGTGTGTGTGTGTGTGTGCCTGTAGGGATTATTGCTGCAATCACGTGGGCTTCTGCCCCACCCTGCAAGCTGTCACAGTGTCACAGGCAGGCAAGAAGGTCAGCATAGGGGATGGCAGTGGCTCATACCCGCTTCCAATACCGCGAGCTAAGACACCGGACGTTAAACGCAACAAACACACATTACCCATGAATCTTTGGATGTGATGCCTGGGATTAAAAACAGCTGCTTTCAAATCAATCTAAGTACTTTCAATGTTGACAGATTTGAAGAAAGAACCAAATCAATGATGAAAGTACAAAAACAAATTATGCAGCAGCGTGACAAGTCTCCTTAAACAATATCAGGCCTCTTATACGACATTAGCTGGCAATTGTAGATCCTCTAATGTGGCCTTTGCTAAGCCCACTTGCCGGTGATTTCTGACATGGTTAAGTTTCGCTGATGCAGGTGATTGTGCTTGTCGTGATTATGATGGAGGGCTTATGGCGCAGGTCACTGGCCCGGCATGGTGACTTACAGACTCAGCACAGTAAATGAGAGAAGTGCCTGACTCATTGTTGCCTTAATATTAAGGACTGTGTCTGGTGTGGCCCCTGAGCCGACATCAGTCTGTGTGTGTGTTGGTGTGTTTTGGCATGCCTTTTTTCAGAGTCACGACACAAGCCAATCAGCCATGTCTTGACCGGTGCACTTCAAACACGGCTCTCCACTTGTGTGGAGCACTGCAGTGATTAGCTAAGGTCAATAGTCAAGAGAAGGACTGGCTTTGGCAGCTCCATTAGTCGCTGAAGTGAGCGACTGCGGCCAAATGAGTCCTTCAGGTTTACGACGCAAGATGTCAAACATCAAAAAGGTGCAAATGGTAGATTTTAATAAACTGGATTTACATTGGAGTACAGATAAGCAAGATTACAACAATGACTGAGCATTTACTCTGCAAAGTTTAGCTGATCAACCTGGTATAGGACAAGATTCTGTCAGAGTACTCTTAAATCTTCCTCCTGCAGTCTATCAGCCTCTGCGAGAACTGAACAGATTGTTTTTATAACTATTTTCTCACAGGTTTCTGTGGCAAACAGTGATAAGAAAGAAGTTGTAAGATTTTTAAGGTCTGGAGGCTTTATCTGCACTTAGGGGCACACACAAATTTTGTGCCAAATGATGCACTTACTGGATTATTTATGTCCCTCACTCATGATGCACAGAATCTATAAGCTAGCTGTTATTTGTCAGTGTGTTTCCTGTTAAACAGAGTGCCTTTAGCTTCTTAAAACACCAATGAAAATAAGCTGTAAGTCCCTCCTTAGCTTCCTTTTGAAAAGCTATGAGTAAAGATGCAATCCATTGGAAATTTTACACCCACAATTTCTTTTGTTAATGCATTTATATCTTTCCATTTAACAAAAAAAGCTATTAGTGCTATTTCCTATGACACTATTAGAGCCACTTGTGTCTCATATTCTAAGCTATATAGACCGGACAGACAGAAGCACCATACAGCTGCAAAGCTACTTTAGCTAATCTGCTCTCTTTAGGAGGGCCCCTAAGACATCTGCTCATGCCCCCCTTGATAAGCATGTTTCGTGCAAGTGTGTGTTTTTATACACCTGTAGGATGGTCCTATGAGGAGGAAGGAGTTTGATTACATTTTTGTCACATACTGCTCAAAACAGACTTCCGTGTTTACTTTTGCTACTCATAATTTTCTTTACTGTATAATTTGTATGATTTGAGCAATCTGACGGAGGAAATTATTGGATCAAATTGTTCCTGCAGAAGTAAGTGTTAAAGCAAAATTGAAATATAAAATTAAAAAGGAAACTGAATTATAACTTAAGAAATCTAGAGCCGTAGATTAAAGCCAGGCCACAGCAGGAGCTCAGTATGTTTCGTATTTTCCTTGTAACTTAAACCTGGATATTTATGTTTTTGTTTTAATAGTCAAAAGGCGACATTTGACAACCAACATGAGATTATATGTGTGAAGCTTGATATAAATCTTTGACAAGCTTTCTGTTTCCACCCTCAGTTTATTGACTGAGCAGATGCTAAAAATGGTCGTTAACGCGATGCAACAGCGATGCAAGGATGTCATTACAAAGTGGTCCATTCCCAGCAGACACACACGCGCTGCCATAGTGCATGCAGTATGCATGAAAGCAGGCGGGCCATAGGGCGATGCAGCTAACGTATCATTAAAAGCAGGGAGTATGCTACGAGATACACACATGCACTCACACACACACACACACCACCTGTCACATCAGCACAGAGTAGATTAGGGTGGAGGAGCTCAGAGGTCTCACCGCAGTGCTACTGCAGGGAAGCTTACACTTAGTAAGACTAATTAGGAATGCCATTGGCTAGACACACACATAAATGGTAATTAGTCAAAATGTGGAGCCAGAACTCAATAACTTAACAATACTCAGTTTTCTATTTATTTATTGATATATTTTTTTCTACAAAATATCACGTAAGTCTCCGGCTGTCCAAAATTCATCAGTAATTTAATTTAAGATGTAGGAAATGTGGATGATCGAGTATCACAGAGGACAGAAACTAGTCCAACTGATTAAGCCATCAAAGGATTTTACAGCTCAAAATGAAAAAAAAAACAAAAGAAAAAAACTACAAATCTTCTGGAAAGTTTATGGATCCATAAATGTAGAAATGCTTCAAAAACACAGTGGACAGTTGGATTTATTTAGGAGACATGTAGCAGCAGCAACCAATATAGAAAATATAATTTTAACGGAACAAAAATGACTGAAATATCTCTAAACCCTGGACCTACCTCTTGAAATATACACATTGTTACTATGATTCTTCTCTCCCTGTGTAGCAATATATATTTGTATGTGTATTTTTCAATCTGTGCCTTTCTTTTCCTGTTCTTTTAGAGTTCTTTTCCTTTATTTCACTCTTTACACGTATTCTGAAAAACTGAATGTACTCATAAAAATAAAGTTGAAGAAAAATCTTTTCAACTAAAAAATAAACTGTGTGCTTTTGTAGGAAATGTGTTCCTAATTTCATTTTATAAACTATATAAAAAAAAAACAAACCTGGACTGTCCTCACTGTTTCCCCCTGAACTTCTCTTAAATCATCCAAAGTCTAGTAATTCTGGTGAGACCATGATAACTTCTCCATGAACACCTATGAAAAGGTGTTCAGAATTGGTTCAAGAGTGAATGTTTTGCATGCCTATTTGTTGATGTTGATTTAACATTTACATTTGGACCACAATATCTAACTAGGGAATCAGCTTCTGTTGCAGGTTTCATCTCCATTTCAACTCAAACTAACAGCATTTTTTAAAGTGGCTATACTATTGTGAGGATGCAGGTTATCACAGTCATCAATGAAAAGCTTTATTTCATGACCCCTTTTACAACACACAATATCAACATCATCACTGTACAGCCTTCTTTTTTCTTCTCTGGCAGAGGAGGTTCAAAACTGTCTCAAGACCCTTTTCACATCACATAACCCATAGAGTTCAGTACTGATATAACTGTGAAGAAATGTAATCTAAAAATCATTTCTGTCCTTCTTTTACAAGCTAAAATGAAAAGGGTTTATATGGATGTTGATGTTAAATCAGTATACAAACCAGTGTTTTAAAGGTGCTATACAAATAAAATTGTTTTTATAGGAGGGTTTTTTAACTAGATTTTGTCCTTTGAGGTGTATTTTGTGTGCTGTGTGTCATAATAACATTACGTATGAATATGTACCTGTGGCATCTTGAACCCCTGCCAGTGCCCCAACAGCAGCTGCCGTCTCTGCCAGGACGATCTGCCCTCCACCTTGTAGAGTGGCCTCTGCGAGCGTCGCTACTGCATGGGCAGCTGCCTCACTGCAACACACACAAACACATACACACACATATGAGGTAAAGAGTACAGCAAAGACAAATTAAAAATCCCTTAATTCACAATTTATGGGAAAAAAAATAGCTAAGATAGAAGTTAATTCATAACAACTTCCACATAGAGTCACTGGGTCAAAGTAGAGTAGTGCGCACACACACGCACACACACACGGTCTGCTCACAAAGGACAAGGTTATTAGCGAGATGCAGGGTGAAGATGTAGGAGTGTATGAGCCCTAAGAGGCTTTTCTAGTCTGGACTTATAGAGAATCTGTCACATCTCCCTAAAGGCCAGGTGCTGCTGGTCTAACAAAGCAGTTTTATTAACCAGATCTGTCCACTGGCATTACCACGAGCCTATTACCCCACCGGCTTCCTTATGAACTAATGGAAATGTTCACAGCTTGGTTGATAATCACATGTGAGATAGAACTATGGAGGACAGATAAGACGTGAGAAGAAGAGGAGGAAGAGCTGACAGAGCACAGGAGGAGACTGTAAGGATGCGTACAAAATGCCCTGTTATCTCAATGATGCCAAACTGTTTATCGTTCTGTAAAACCATGACACTCAAATTATTTCATTTTCTGTCGCTCAGATGAGGAGACGAGCGGAGAAAAGGACTCCAGAGGAAAACAGAGACAAAATGTTCCAAAGCCTGTGGAGCAGAGAGCCCAAAGTAGTTCAGCAGTTCAGGTAAACAGGAGGATGCGAGGGCGGGGTGGAGAGGAGGGAGGGCTCAGGTGGGTGCAGGTAACAAGCCCCAGTGGGACATACCCATACACATCTGAAATCATTGTCTTTACACCAGAGCGGTGAGAAAACAGCGAACATGTCAGCAATTCAGCAACAACTGACTGGTGGTTTCAAAACCTTTGAGTCGGTTTTCAGTAATCCTAAAATCACAAAAACAGAAACTTGAACAGGATTCAGCTGCGATCACAAGGACTACTAATGAACGTGATCAATGAGCAAACATACAGTTTGATTTAAAAGGGCCTGGTAGAACATCCTTCTGTGGATCCCATCTGAATAAGATGATGTCTGTCTGATTTCCCTACAGGAAAACACTTAACCAACAACAACCCCCCCCTCCATGTTCAAGGACTGGCTGCTTAGGCTGTAAATATTAACATCACTGCAGCAAATACATTATGTTTAAATACGCGTATACTTAGCTGAACTATCTTTAAATCACAGAGCATTAAACATTTGCTGATTTCAAACAGAAGGACCCAACTTTATAGGAATTGGGGTTCGTAAACAAAATGATAATGAACCGTGAGCATGTGGTAATAAGGGCTAACAAACAGTTTAGTGGTGGTACACCTTGCTTGCATGCAGCACCTTTAATAGCTAATTAATTAGATGCTGAATTTGGATGACAGTTCCTTGACTCTCATCTCCAGGGATTTTTGGTCACCTGCTCCGATAGTTCTCAGTTTTTTATTCAGACGTTAGAGTAAGTGTTCCTCTGGCTTTGCAGAAACTAAAAGACCTTTAAAAATGGTGTTAATGCAATAAATAAACACAGAATCTTACAGTAAATGTGCATATCTGGAGTCTAGTGTTCACCTAGTGTACCTGTTGAGAGCCATCGTAACAGTGGCTCCAGGCTGAATCTCCTGACTGGCAGCGACGGCGGCTTCAGCCAGAGATGCTACAGCCTGTGTGGCCTCAGAGGCCTGAGTGGTTTGGATTGTCATCTCACCGCCCTGGAGGGTGGCCCAGTTCTGCTCCACCTACAAAAATAACAACACAGTTACATAAAGAAAGTGATGAAATAAACAGTAGTTTGTCATTTTTCTGGCATTTATTCACATTTTCAGCTCCTGTCATATGAACTTTTTTTCTCACATACCCACGTCCCATTTTCCTCACCCCCCTTAACAAACTTTTCAGCTTAATCAGTTGAGTCATTGTAGGAAGTTAAAGAGTGGTGTTGTAATTTTAAATAACTTTGAATGTAGTTAATAATAAAAATAAGTGTTAAAAATGGACAGAAAAGCATCAGTAGGTGTGTTTCGTTACCTCTCCATCAGTCACTGTAGAGTAATTAACCTGCGCCACTGTAACACCAGGAAGCTCAGACGCATCAGCCAGCGTGGCGACTGTATGTCCCGTCCCGACCTGAAGGAGACAAATTCAGCTACAAAATTAAAAAACTGAACTGACAGACGATCAAACCTTACTATCAAACCTGTTTGTTCAGTCCGTACCAATTTAAAGGTCAAAAAACTGAGACTCAGACGCACCTGGATTAGTGAGACTGTCCCATCGGGGTTGTTGACGGTCTGTACCACAGTCTGCGAGGGCACTAAGTGAGCGATGCTCTGGGCAGCGGTCAGGTGGTGCTGGGTGGCCGTTACAGGGTTGATCTGTTGGTCTTCGAAAGCGTACAACAGATCTTCACGGCCGTGCTGCTTGTAACAGTTCTTAACAATGGTCCGCAACGCCTGCGTCCAAGATACCTAAGGAAAAAAAAAACAGTTGATACAAATTTACATGAGAAGTAAAAAAGAAGGATTTTAACCTTAAAGCTGTTCTTGGACAGAAACATGTTTTAGGTGGAGAAAGAGAAATGTGTCAGTCTAGACTACAGATTCCTGATCATGGCAGATTTTTCTGTCAGAAACAACACTGAACAGCATCGAAGGATTTATATAAAACACCAGCTAGTAACTGTTTTAGATTTGATATGCTGTCAATTAAGATGTGTTTTTATTTAGAAAGGATACCGATGATATCAGCTGATAAGATCTGTCTTTTGTTTAAAGTTGTAGCTCTTGGAGGGGCCTAAATTTTCAGTATTTACGTCACTTTCCTGTTTCTCTTATTATGTGGGATTATCAGGTTGGTAATAAAAATAACAATTAAAAAGAAGACGAAGAGATAAAGTGGTTTTCTCTCAGGTGACTTGAGTATTCCTCTCACCCTCTGTTTCTGCTCCTCTGTGCGCACATCACTGCGGACGTTGGCCCAAGGGATGTCCTCAGGCCACCACACCGGCTTGCAGCTCTCTTTGCCCCAGCCGGGCTTCCCTCGGCCTGTCGAGTACTTCAGCATCTCTGGGATGAACGCTCGAAGCTGGGCCTGCAGCAAAAGACACGAGCGTGGAGACAGACGAGACACATTCAATACTTCTACTAAGTGAAAAGCCGAACATTCCCACACAGACACCACCACAGCACACACATGCCCTTGAGGAGGCGGGCAGGCGGCGAGGGGAGGGGTGTATTGATCAGGCACCTACTGCAGGGTGCTGAGGTAGCCATGACCTGCAAATAGAAACAGGCTTTCTAAAAGGAGAACAATGTGATCATGTTTAATAACAGACTAATCTATGACTGTGGCTCCAGCCTGGTGTGTACTCTGAGACACCGAGGGAACATCTGAGGTGATCTTACACGGAGCAACTTCCCAGAGCTGAGGCTGTTTAGCAGAGGTATTAACAAAGACAAGCTAGTCAATAAGATTAATGAAAATCCATCACAAAGAAACGCACAAGATTAACCTAAATCACTCATAATGTGTGCTAGATTACGGAGGCAGGTTCTATTGTTTTCTACTTTATTTGTGTGTCCCATTATCAATCAAAGGGAAAGAGCGTCTTTAGTGTTGGTTTAAGGGATCCAAAAAGACATTTTTAGAGAAACCAGCACTCAAACAGTATGTCTGTGATTGAAAAACAGGATGTAAATAAGAAGGGACTGATCCACCTTCAGTTTTTTAAGACAAAAATACAGATATTTTTCTTTTTCATCTTTGATTTAATTTAGATGTTTTTAAAGGTTTATGACATGGGTGGGATATCTCCTTGCTCACGTTCTTCGATCTGCTCTCATACCCTCACACCATCACATCAAAACCCTTCCAGGATCTGCTCACACTCACTAACAAGCTGGGGTGGGGTTTAGTGCCCATGTCCTCAGTGTCCTGGTAATATGCAAGCATCACAGAGGGATTATATTGCACAATGAAGCACTGCAGCGTCTGCCTGCCTTGACATCACGGTCTAAATTTGGTTCTAGGAGAAATAAATCCCTTCCCCCTCCCTCCTTTTAGACCCCTTTTTTCTGACTCACAATCACACATCACCTCTACACTCAGTTCTTTTCGCACAAACAGATACGGCAAAATGGATCCTTAATGGAAAGTGGACGGTAAACACAATCACACCAGCTTTGAAAACAGTAAATGCATCCAGGAGCTGCAGAAAAAAAGGCTTCATCTTTGCGAGAACTTGGCGTTCTGACAGAAGAGTTCAGATTAGCTGCAGAAAAAGGACTCAGTAGCCAAAAAGATGCCTGTATTTCCACCTGTGGCTGGCCCATGTGTGGGTGTACGTGGATGCATGTTTGCGTGGCCAGATGGCCTAATTACAGTGACTACTGAGTTAAGTGGCATGTGGTTCTCGAACCCACTACCCAGCCCCCCAATCTTAATCCTCCAAGCAATGGTCCAATCAGTATTTAGGAAGGAGGCTACTTCGTTGGGTCCCTGGCCTTTACAAAGCTAGGGGGTAATTATGGGCTCAGGCTAGACCCAGGATCACCTGCTGCAGATGCTCCATAAATCTGATTGGCCAATCCTCTACCTGCGTCACTTAAACTCACCTGGGATTTCTCTGTATCTGTGCCATACCTACGGCTATGTCTGCATAAGACAATAAGGTCTTCCTTATATGGATCAGACACGCAAGGGTTGAATATTTTCTCTTTTATCACAGCTCTGACTCATGTGACTTCTGAGGATGATCAACAACAACTAAGAGGAAAACAGCACCATGATATCTCTGAAATACTTCTAAGAAATCTCAGCCCCCGACACCTGTCCAAATGGCTTGACCAAGCTCAGTGAGGCAACAGGTTACTCCTGATAATCTCATCCTACAACCTCCAGAAAAACAAACACCGACTAACACCCCTAAGGACACATCTGGCCCCGGGATTGGCTGTGGTGCTCCCGGGGTTTAAGGGCTGTCTCTGAGGGCAGCTGACATGCTGGCTAGTCTGATGATGATCTAGAGAATGCGTCAGCAGCACTGGGAGGGCAGAGTAAACAAGCCAGGCTCCCTGGGGTGAAGAGCGAGAGGTTGGCAGTGGTGCTAATGTTGCAGTGAAAGGCCTACAGAGAGGAGTAACATCCACTCTCTGAGAACCAGCACTGCCGCCTGTCCAGCCTTCAGGTGCAGACACTACTTCTACACACTGAACTCATTAGAATATGAGTATTTAAGAAATCATTCACCTTACTCACATCAAGGCTCTGATGAATGAAAAAAGGCAAAAACTGAGTATTTGACCTTGAAATTACTGGCTAAGCTTCTGCTGAAACAAACATAAAACAACAGGAATAGACTGCTAACTGGTGCCCTCTGGTGGAGACAATAACACTGTTTTAAGATTTTAGGTCGCAGGATTTCCTGTTTTCAGAGTTGAACAATGATAGATTAGCATTAAAAGACATGAGCCTGACCTGGGTCATCTTATCCACAGACACAGGGATGCCATCAATAGTGAGCGGGGGCAGCTCTGAGGCCAGCTCTCCTCCAGCGGGGGCGTGTTCAGCCAGAGCGTTCTCGAGATCCTCCAGCATCATGCCCTTATACTTGCGCACCTACAGGGTAGAAAAATAGATATGTTTAAAACTCAGAGTCAGTCAGAGGCTGACAGGGTCAGTTTGCTAAGAGGCTCGGATGTTTCTTTTTTGATTTCGACACTCACCACATTCTCCAGGGGAGCAGCACCAAACACCTTAAACATCGGGTTGGGTTTGGAGGGAGAGATGCATAACACTATGGCCTGTTGGCCCACTCTGGTGGTGTACTCATCTAGGGTGGCTCGTAGTTTCCTGTGAACACAAACTGTTCTGAATAAAAGCCATACAAGCGCCATCTCAGCATTGAACTACTTTTTCAGTGTAATTGTTGAAGTAAATAAGTTAATTTCGCTGTTTTAATTTACCTGAGCAGACGGGTCTGCTGCCTCTTACGTATGGAAGGGTTGGATTCAAAGATATGAGGCCTCTTCCTTTTCTTTCCTGTTGCCACAGCAGCAGCTGCTGCCATGCCGACTGGGCCTGAGGGAGAAATAGTATAGATTGGTAACCAGACTAAGACACTTCGTAGAATAAGTTTCACATGTCCTTTACTTTCACTGATCTAAGAGCCCGCTATAAATGGAGAGTCTACATCACATATGTTGTTGTTAAATCTCCTGATTTCTTTTTCACTCATAAACCGAACGCACTTTTATTTTGAAAGTTAAGTTGCCTTGTCTTTGGCTTCACTGACACTTTTAGGTGAAAGCTTAAAAAAAAGCAGGAGAGTACTAATAAGATGTTTCAGGAGGCAAGTTACTGTATTAGAACTACTACATCCACTTAACAGTCCACTAGCACCATCTGCTGTTCAGATAGGAACATTACATTGACTATGAAGCATTTCTATCCAACTACTGTGTTAGAATTTTGAAAGGAGTCATTTTAACCTACGGATAAAGAAACTACAGAAAGTCTCGTCTGTATTCAGAGGTGAACAATGACGTGAACAATACCTGCAGCAGCCAGGTGAGCCGTGATCTCATCAGTGCCTGCTGAGTTGAGGATATCTGTGTCGTCATAGGGATCATCATCAGGTGAAGACGTCGAATCTTCTTCAGCGCTCATCATGGATGTTTCAGTGAAGGTGGCCACATGTACCTACAGACAGGAGGGACCCATGTAGAGCAGATTTGAATTGATAAACGGACTGCTGTGGTATACTGGTATCTGACTCAGGTGTTATGGTGTTTACTATCCTCTACCAATCTGACTTAGTCAGTAAAATAGTGAAGAAAGACTGCTTTGTCATTATTCTCTGATAAGTGCACCTGCTGGACCTGTTGGCTGACGGCGCTGGCCTCGATGGTGGTCATGTGTTCTGTCTGGTGTACGACGTGCTCGTCCATGATTGGCCGTCTGGTCTAGCTGGATCCACAGTATGATGACTAAGGAGACAGACAGGTGAGCAAAGTTACTGCATAAGATCATGAAAATACACGCATCCTTGTTTTGCAAGAGCAGAGAGCTTGTTTTTGAGTTATCTTAGCTGTGTTGATGTGCAGCTCGGCATATTACTGCCTAAATAAATGATGTAACAGCTGACAAAAAATTCCCTAATATTTATACACCAACATGCCACACGCCAGCATATATGCATTATGCTGATCCCAAATACACCATGGATTATAGCATAAGAAGTAGGTTTACTGAAATGACAGAGGGCCTTTCTTCAATTATTCACACAAGAATGTAAATACTAGACATGCTGTGCATAGATATAAATATAAAAAACAGGCATAAGAGTGGTTGTGGTTGAAACCTGCTCATCTTCTGTGAAAGCCACACAAACGTATACAAAGGCAATATGAGATAGAGATAGGCTGATCGATCAGTTGGATGTTTAATTTTGAATTAATAAACAGCATCACATTAGCATCAGCCAAAACCGTTTTCTAAATGATAACACATTCTTCTGCAGCCGTGTTTTTAAACCTGTCTCATTTACTTGTCTTTTCATCACTCCATTAAAAACTCATCCATATCATGCAACTGGTTGAAATATCCATATATACTAGATTGTAATATGCATGAAATTATGGATTAAACATGACTTTCTTTCAACTATAACACCAATATTTGGCTTGTATGTATGTTTTTTCGTATACAGATGGCTGGACAGAAATCCAACAGTCCTTCAAGGCAGTATTTGACCAAGCTAATTATCTCTCTGTCTGTATTCATCTAATAAAATTATTTCTTAAGTTCAGTAATTATGTTGTGTTTAGCCATATGCAAAAAGAAAAGTGATATCAGCATTGTACATTAACCATCAGTGTAAGAGACAATGCATGTAACTTATATACTTCTGTAAACCCTGATGCAACATGAACGGGTTTGACTGCTGTATTAGTACACAGTAGTCATCAGTCTCCTTATACCTGATAATCAATACTGTAGTATAGTCATATTGTAAATGGTGAATGCTGTTATTGTTGTGGCTTAAATAGAATAACAAAGGAAGGGGGTCTTTTTACCCTGTTCTAATGCATTAGAAAATTGCTCTTAATTATTTAGTAATATAAGGGTTATAAGTCAGTGAATTGGTGCATTTTTCATTGTTCATGGCAATATTGGGATAACAGTTCCAAAGTATGTTTTCAGCCCAACAGAGTGAAAGAAATCCTAAAAGAAAAATGTAAACAAAGGAAAAAGCTTCAGTTTGATCGAGGCAGAAGGGGTGTTTATTGATGAGAGAAATGAATGTGTGTGAGAAAAGGATTGATTTAATGGTCTGACAGGGGTGAAGATCAATGATTGGGTCTAGTTTGAATCTAAAGGGTGAACATTCAGTATGATTTTCTGGTTGGACATGCATGACTTTATCACTCTGAGGTTTCCTCTTGATGAACAGCCTATAGAGAATACTCATTACAGCAGGTCTGGCTTATCATTGTTTTATCTTTAAAATGGACTCAGGACCAGCTCACATAAACACAGACAGTCAGAACTGCTATTACCTTCAAATAAAGGTTTGTTTTCATACAGCAACCCCCTGGACTGCCTACATAGACCCAGCAACATGCAAATAGGATCACTGACATGGTTCACAATTCGGTTCACGACTCAACTATAAGACTATTGTTTGACTGAACGCATGGCCTGAAATTCAGCTCATTTCCACAGCATCTGTTAGAGTTGTTTCTGCATAGCTGTATGTGCTAATGAACGCTGTGGCTCGGTCGTCCCTGTGCTGTAATATTAGCCGACTCGCCGGGTAGGTTGACAGCCAAACACAGCTAAGCTAGCCCTGTCCTACATTGGGCTAATAAGCTAGCTGGCTAACCATTTGGCGATGTAGCGTCGGTCATCTGAATGAACATCGATCATGATCAGAAAAAGAAGCAGCGTGTTATTGATTAGATTATGAATACTATTTAATTCAATGTGTAATGTATGGTAAACCTAGGTAGCGCATCGGCTAGCACAAAACCCGCGCAATACGAAACAAAACAGAGCGCTACAACAGGCCCGACGCTATTCTACTCTCTCCGAGCTTGTTGTCGATGCGCGCCTAGATCACGATTCCCCACTAAAAAACAGACACATATGTTTGAAAACCCCATTCCAGTCAACATCTAAACAATCAGCATCTTTCGCCCCAGCGCTGCCGGGTTCGATGATGCGGCTGCGCCGGGGCTGAAATAAATGGAGATTGCGCGGTAGGGCACTAACCTCAGAGCGGCTGCGCTACTTCGGGCCTGCGCCGTACAGCGAGGATGGAACCGAGCTCTAATGGAGGACAGAGAGGAGGAGGAGGAGGAGGCGGCAGCAGCAGTGAACACAACAGCACACACAGCGAGCAGACCGCTCACTGCACTCAACTGCTGCAGTGATGCCTTCAGGGACTACACCTCACTTTTTTACTCCCAGGGTCATTGTTGATACATTTAGACACAACGTCTGATGTGAGTCTTGAAAAATGTTATTTGTAGAAGAAGAAAAAATCTCTTGGTAGTTTTTCTCTTTAGTTTGGCGTACTGCCTTCATGGACGATTTCTGGTCATGCGCTAAAATGGTCTCAATTGCCCAAGTTTCTCCCAAACAGCAGTCGTTTCACCTAATGTATTGCATTATTGTATTTTTTTAAACAAACCAGTGCATAATGAAAAAGTAAAGTTCATAAATTCTTTATAGAAAAGTATCAGTGAAAATACTGAACCCAAATGTATACAAATATTTTAGACACAATGGCGTTCTTATATGGAAGTCAATCAGTGCCATCTGATTTTGAATGTTTAAAGCTCCTTACACACCAGGACTGTTTTTGTTGTGCGATTATTTTCGATGTTGATATTTTTTTCGAACCCATATCCTGTCAATACAAGCGTTCACATCAGCGACGTTTTCCCGTCCTGCGATATTGCGGGATTTATTTTTTCGGAACATGGTAGATTTATTTATTTTTTTTAAGTTTCACACACTTTGTGTCCACAGCTTTAGAAATTCAAATTCAAAATCAGATGGCACTGATTGACTTCCATATTCTTACAAGTCAAAATCAAGTGATCCAATTTTACTGAAAGACCTTCAAACGGCTACAGTTTGATAAATAAATGGAGACTGTATACCTAAAAAAAAAAAAAAAAAGTATTTTTTATTCATTCACACAACACTCACTGTTTTTTTTTAAATAATATACGAATGTGAGGAAGAATTGTGTAAAAACCCACCAAATCAAAAACAGTTATACTAGTAGGCCTAAATACATAATTACAACACAATGCTTGATTTTACTGAAACTAGACGTCAGCAAATAACCATTAACAGGTAAACTGAAGCATATTCATGAGCTGAGTACAAACATAATAAAAACTTTTATTGATATACATTCAAGTAAATAATCATGGTGATGAACACTTAGAGAATATACAGACATGATATGGCCCTTAGCTTAATTTACTTCAGTGATCAGAATGGCCGATCCCGATACTGTATCCCGATCGGCCATTCTTTCAACTAAATTTGCATATTTATTTCCCACAGTTCATGAACGCCACATGAGACCTGACAAACCACGCCCTCTTCTGCAGGCACGCTGAACTTTCTGCCGGTGGAGAAAACCTTGCTGTCTGTGGGAAGAAAGTTACTGTTGCTCGCCTAAAAAAACAAAAACAAAAACTTTAGCAACATAAAAGTGTAGAGAGACAGAAAACAAAAGAGGAAAGCAAACTTCGAAGTTAATTTCATGAGTTCGTGAGATTTTATCTTCATTTTAGGAAACATCACCTCGCTAACAACAGACGCCAATAAGCCTTCACCTGTGTCATTCAGACGCGAGGGCTCACTGCTACATGGACCTGTCTGCTCCCCCGATAATCTAGCAGGAAATTAACGTGTTTTTGGAAGTTTTGGGATCTCATGAATGATATATTGATAACCTATTTTTTCCACTTTAGCCGGTTCACCTGGCTAAATTATAATTGTGTAGAACAGTCATTCAATAACTCCTGGTCCCATAAAATCCTTGATAAGTTTTTGAAGGTTTTGGGAATTTTTCGTTTACCCAGTACAACACAACATGAATGGGATACAGATACACATTAGACTGAGTTTTAAAGCCAGTTGACTGATCCTCTATTGTGTGCTTCTGTTGTAGTGTTCAAAAAGCAACAAATCTCACTAATCTTGTGTTTCAAACAGGTATAGGACATGGGATTGGATGAACAACTGTCAATGATGCATTAAGTGGACAAGCCCAATGAAAACGTTGACTGAAAAATGGTGAGTTTGTGACATTTTCATAATCTACCCTTCCATTGTACCTCTACTGTTGCAGTATCAGTATCCAAAATGATAACAAAGTAAGAAAGAAAATAAATAAATCTTTTAGTGTGAAATATCCACGCAGCCCTGGAGGCCAAATGCAAGTCATGTGCCAACACTCTTCTTCTTTTAATCAGTTTCGCTACAGATGACAGAGAAAGACAAATTTTGATGGGGGTGTTGCTCATCAGCATTGATTTTTGACATGGGAAGCAGGATTAAAAAATAGTTTAATCTCACTTCCAAGTTAAAATATAAATATTGTCAAGCTTGAAATATATCTTTAGTTAATGTATTTTTAAAACATGCCATCTTGAAGATAGCTTCATCTTAGAATAACATCAGCACTTAACTTAAATCTGATCAATCTTTGTGAAACTGGTCCCTACAGTCCCAACACACCATTAGGGAGCAGTGTTGCATTACAAATCTTACTTGGTCCCCAGTCCCTGTAGTTTGCCGTAACAGGAGATGGCAGTGAGGCATCATTGATGCAGTTCTCTGCAGGTGCCCTGGCATGTTTTCAAGATGATGGATGTTTTACATTAGTGTGTGTTGACAGCAGCTTGTGCTTGTGTCTCACTAAATGTCAGCAAGTATCATATTCAAAACTCTGGCAAGATAGCCGCAGAGTGTGACTCTGCATTTAACAACTTACATACTGTGTAACTGACCTTCATATACTGTGCACTGTATCACTGTAGTGTCCCCGTCTTTACTTACAACTTCTACTGGAAGGATACTTTCTCATTAACACAGCACCCTTTAATGCTATCTGATAACAAGCATTGAGACATATTAGAGTGACATTATCAGCCTTTGTGTCAGTCTTTCTGTTTTTCAACCAGTTAAACAACTTTTCAAAGTGCCTTTACACAACTTTTTAAGTTTTCCTTCTATCTGCTGATTTCCAAAGGGTGGGGCCATCAGACTCTTCTGTTGGGGTTTGGTGGCTAATTTTGTGTAATCTTCCAGGATTTCCTACCTGCTAAGCTACATTGGAAACACTTTTATATACTGCTACTTTAAAAAAAATCTTTCATACTTTTCCTCTCTGCATGTGTGAGTCAGTGAACATGTATCTGTGCTAATGTCCTTGATGTCATCATGATTGTTACGTCTTCCTCACATCATGGTGATGTGTGCGCATGTGAAAATTGTTTAAAGTTGAACCAGAGCTTCCAAAGCATCCAAACCTACATGGATGAGTTGACCCAGAGTTAAACATTATTACAGATTTGGTTTAGGTAGTGCTTTGAGGCTTCCTTTTGAATGCTGAGGTGGTCAGTTTTCATGGTATTTCCATCTGCAGAAGTTGGGGTGGTGCATGTTGACAGTTTCTGACCTTAAAATCAGTTTCCAGACTATTAACAGTATTTTACCGTATTCCAATGTATCCTATCACATGATATTTTATCATGTTTATTGTAGTGCCATATCGTATCGCATTATGTGCTGTCAGATTGTGTTGTATTATACAGCATTGTGCCATACTCTGTTGCCTAGTATTGCATTGCATCACATACTATACAGTATTCATCGTACAATTCTGTATCATAGTTTTATATTGTACATTAAAATATGGTAATGCATCATACAGCATCACATCGTACTCCATTTGACAGTTCAGTACAATATTGTATTGTAACATATTCTTTTTAGTTGTATTGCACTGCTGCATGATAATGACTAAACTAATATTGCTATTTTTTCCTTTCTGTGATATATATTACATCAGGAAAAATAAAAGAATTTATACAAGATTAATGTAACGTACTTTAATTGCTTATAATCAATAAAGGCACTCTACTCTTTTTAATTTGGACACTCAGTCCAGCTCCCTGACAGCAGCTCTGAGACCTTCATGTAGAAGCAGAGAGACAACAAGAGTAGTGAAAACAAGTGGAGCAACACGTTAATTCATTGATTTTGCCGGTTTAAGCTCCCAACAAACTTAAACATGATCAGTAATTTTCGTGTTAGAAGGTTTTATCTGCATCACAAGCCTGGCAATGGTAACTAAAATGAACAAAAAACAAACAGTGTTCTTCGACATCTGGTTCTCACATCACTACAGTATGAGTGCACTGCAGGTGTAGACACCAGAAGTAAACAATCTGTGCTTCTAGAAAAGTTAAGCTGTATGTGCTTCTTTAACATTAATGAGAGCTGAGACGACCCTGTCTTGAAATCCATTTCTCAGGGTTTGTATGTTTACATTTTACAGTCATGTGACACAGATGCAGACACAGCCTGCACACCAGTCAGTTTCTCTGTTTTAATGATCTAACTTTCACATATGGCTGATAGTGCATGTCATGGGAAGTAGCTGTTGTGCATGCTCACACCATAATTGCTGTGTTGAAATGATATGTTGCTCTGCCCTACATTTTTTAGTATCCTATACATTTGTTTTTTGTCTTTCTGACCATTTAATTATTTTTGCATTGGTATCATGCACTTGTATTTGGTTTTCTTTGCAGAGTTGTAGCTTCCTTGAAAGCACTGGTTCTGCATACACTTAATTTATTTTTCAAGGGCACTGCAGAGGGAAACAGTTTCTGTTAGGTATATAGGTGATGGTGTGACTTAGATGGAATAAAAAGCAGGAGAGTGTTAATGAACCAAGGTCCTATTATTTGCTCCTGTTCTGCCTTTTCCTCCATGGGCTGTGGTTGGGTATAGATAAGGCTCACAGCCTGGGGGTCTGGAATCAATAATGGATGTAATTGGTGAGGTGGAAGTGAGGATAATTGAAGGTAATTGTGTGGACCGTCGCAAGCCTGGGAGAGAGGTCAGGAAGACAAGGAAAAGGAGCAGAAGTTTGCAAGGATATGGACAAAATTATTCTCCAGTCTTCCTGCAGCTCCTGAGTTTGATTTAGTATCTCTATGGTTGCAAACTCTTTTGTTGACATACTGTACATTTTTACAAAGGCCTAACCATCCAAGCAAAGATTCAAGATTTGTTAACATTAATCACAAACTGAAAGTCAAAGTGATCTTTCTTTTTGCACTATTTCACTTAGATTTTTTGAGTGTTGTATAGGGTTACTTTAAATAATGTAAATAGTTTTAGCAGATCTTTTGCCCTTTCTGCCCCTTTATTACAAAGTTGCATGGACCAGCTGGATAGGTGCATATTTGTAGATGTTTTTTGGCATGGTTTCTGAATTTTAAGGTCAAGTTTTTAAAAAAGAGTTACAGATTTCTAATTTTTTGAAAGTAAAGGTGTTGCTTTTGCCTTTTTTAATCTTAAAACTGATTTATAATTTGGTAACCCTTGTGCATTAACTCTCAGCTTCTAAATTTACTTTCACTCTGATGCCGCTGTTGATTTTTTTCTTACCTTTTTTTTTAACAGTTTTGCTGGAAAGAAAAGGGATATGGCAGATCAGTTTAATCACTCTGATTATCTATCTCTGTGTATACATTCTTGGCTACAGCTAAATTATTATGCTGCCGGCTTAAAAGGAGTTATATCAGAGCAATTGCTTGCTCACGGGCGCAGCATATATCTGGGAACGTGCAGTTTAACGCATCTGCTTGTTTGTCCTATTCATTTTAACTAGATATGATCAGAACAGGCAACTGTGAAACTCCACAGCCACTAGGGTGCAAGTGCAGCTCGGAGTCAAAGCTTAGCTGTTAACACAAGCTGGCATACTCAGCGTTCCTTTGGTGATATCTGCCTGCCTTGGATCAATGATGAGTGTGCATTTCAAAGAATACTGATTGGGTCAATTTACTTGATACTCAAGGATATGTCGTTCTCCACGGTTGATGAACTTTGAAAGAGTCCACATGCTTGACTGAACTGCTGAAATTTGCTGCATGGGCTGCAGGGGGCACTGCAACACCACACATTTAACCTAAATCACACTGCCGTGGAAACTTTTTTGCTGCTCTGCAGAGTCATGCCCGCTGAATGATATGACACATTCATTCATATTTCACTCAGAGAACATTCAGAGATTACTTCCATCCAGTAGCTCGGCGCAAAATTAATCCAGTATCTGTGCTATGTTATCTTTTTGTGGATATTATCACATACCAGGGTGTTTTTGCAGCTGGATTTACCAAAGGTTGTAGAAAGCAAATGTATTTTTGTGTTGCTTTAAACTGAATGAGGGGACTTATCTGGTGCAGAACTGAAGCCAGGAACCTTGTGAAAGCAATAGCACCAACAGCATTTTTGACTTAACGGTGCTCAGTGTGGACTTAGACTTTAATTGCTTTCCTTGATTAATGATCCAAGCACTTTCTGCATTTTCAGAGCCCACTCACAACCTTTTCTATAGGACCAAATAGAAGTTTGAAAGTATGGTATCTTTCCAGTCATTTTAAGAAGTGAATGTCATATGCATACCAGCCACGCTGCACCACCATCTGTTTACCTGTGAGACGTTCCTTTATCAAAGTACTGCAGAGTTGCAAAAAATCCCAGCATGCTGCACAAAATATGCAATGATTAGATGTTTTTTTTGTAGTCACCATAGGGGCTTTTGTTAGTGTAGACTATTTATCGATCATTTAAACTGTGCAGTAGCAGTCCTCAATCACTAATATTGGTTGCAAAGCTGTCCTCCTTATGTGGGTTTCTCTTTTGTAGCAAACACAGAGCATGTCAACATTTCTAAGAGAACACAAGGACTCTAATAAGCCCAATAATCGATTGAAAGTTCTCCTTTTCCTCCCCTGTAACTAACATCCAGCTGGGAGTCAATATGAATAGTCAGAGAACATCCAGAGTATCTCATACATGCAAACCAGCTTCTTTGTACTGACTGCATATTTTGGCTCTTGTTCTTTTCTACCTGCTGCAAGACATCTTTCTTCATTTTTCAGTCCAACCATCTGCTCTCCCTCTATCATTTCTCGTAAGGAGTTATTTTTCCTTCCTCTGTCAGCTTCATTTTGTCAAAGCAGGATGAACACAATGGTTCAAAACAAGAAATACAAGATTGTGGAGAGGAGCGAGTGTGCCGCTGTATGAGTTGGGAAGAGTAGTGTTTTCATTAGAGATAATCAAGTGAAGGCTTTGGCTTTCTTCTCCTACCACAGCGTGTTGTCAATAGAAACAGGGGTGCAGAGAGGATGATAAGAAAGGGCAAAGAAAGAGATGAGGGAGAGAAACAAGCAGGTGTGGTACAGGGGAAGCAGAGTGGAGGAACTTTTAGTGAGCTGTCTCTCCTTGAACTATCTCTTCCCTCTTCCCCCATGCGTTCTCATGTCTAATTGGAAATGAAGAGCAGGTAATGAACCCATTTATGGACTCATTACGGCAAAATTCAGCCTTAGTGCAAGTTATTGTGGACATCCACGACAAGAACTGTGGAGAGGCAAGAGAAGAAAAGGAGAGAAGTAAGCGAAGGCTTCAGTGGTTCTCTGAGGGGGAAATATCAGCGTTGCAAATTTGCATACTCTGATGTGGAAAGTTACAGTTTATCTCAGGTGTACTTTGAAGTCTCTTCACACATGCTGATTGTTGTGACGAAGATAATTGGGCCCCTGTTGCGTCGTGTTGTTCCATGAGTGCTTGTTGTAACACCTGCTGAACAGGAGAGTGTGGCCTAAAACCGAGCTGCTGTACAACTTTGTATTTTGACTGCAGAACTAAATAGTGTGTGGGGAACAGGAAGTTACACAGTCAGATAATAGTGCTGTCATGATTAATGTTTTTGCAGCATTATTATAGTTGGAACTTCATAAGCTGTAGATGCATGTAGTTAGCATGAACATTTGCTGAAATAAAAGGACTTGTTTTTGTCCTTATCCATACTCCGGATAATTATTGTCCTAACTCTATCTGTGTAGCCTCGCATCAATCTGCATAATCACAACCCAGCCAAGCAGTTGGACTTTTTACTCACTGCAGGGGTCTGGTGAGCTTAGTTGAGATTCCATTTACGGCATAGTACTCAGCATGAAATTCTTTTAGCAACAAACTGTGCGCTAACACCGTGACCTTAATTCTTGTGAAGCTGTTATAAAAACATGCTAATAGATTCACCTGTTTGAAATGAAACAACACACAATTTAATACTTGGAGAGCCACATATTTTTGACTCCCTCTGTCATACTTAATGGAGCAATATTTTGTTTTTGACTTAATGAGCCTCATAAAGTATTACCTCTGTGTGTTTTGGATGCTTTTATCCTCTTTAAATTCAGCTGGGGGACTTAATTCTGGATGCTTTAAATGTGGAAGTTAGAGTCTCCATAAACATGTCAACCCTTACTCTGAAAGACTTGGCATATTGAGTGAAGTGTTGATAAAAACAGAGTTTTAAGATTGCAAATTATTTAAACCTGAGATGAAAAATAGTGCAGTGCATATCAAATGAAGGGATTTTTCAATATTTATCAAAAATGAATGTTGTTTTTAAGAGTAATTCGAGCAACACATTTCAAAAAATTGTCAGATCACCACTCAGTTTCTAGAGTCTTGAAAGTGAAAAGTTATTGCACTGTGAAACTTTAGTTGCTCGACAGTTCAGGGACTCCTTTGTCATTTTGTTTTCAACGAGTGATGAGTTTGGACTGCAGGCAGGCCAGATGAGCATCTTGACCCTTGAATATGGAGCCATGTTGTTGTAACGTGCAGGATGCGGTATAATATCATCTTGCTGCATATGCAGGTATTTCAAGAGAAAGGCTATTCTCATTTCATTATTAATTATGCCTTTGATATGTAATATTTGATGTTATTTTTGCACCACTTTTAATTGAATAAAGATTTTAAATCACTTCCAAACTATTCTGATCATTTTTACTGAGACTTTCCAGCCTTTTCAGAATTAGTGTTGAGCGGCTATCTTTGCTCCCTAAATGTGTCACATAACCGATCAAGGTTTTACTAGAAAACTATTTTTGCCCACCAAAATGTGTATTTGCAGTATCTCCCAAGCCATTTTTCCTTTGTACACTCTGCTTCAAACCACAGCCAATGCCATTATCTCAGCCAAGATTCCCTGATGCGGATCCATTTGAAGCTGCAGAAAAAAGAGCTGACGAGGGGTGAAAAGTAACTCTGTTTTTAAAGGCCAGCCACTTTCACTGTGTGTGTCTATGTGTATGAAGTGTGCTTGTGCTGTCCTTTCTCTAATTGACCAGCTGTGGCTACGTGTCCGGACTCCTTAACACCAGCATTGATCTCAAGCTGTTTCAAAACAGGCCTTATTGCTTTGCTTGTACTCTCTGTCCCAGCCGTGCGTGACACCCCTGAAGAGGAGATGAGGAAATATCGGGGATTGTGATTGGAGACTGATGAAGAATAGAAGGAGTGTATCGTCGTGAGGAGAGAGAAAGAAAGAGGGAGAGATGGATTAAAGGCAGCTGAAAGTTACAGGGTATAGATGATCGAGGAGTCCCACATGGAGGTGTTGTGTCCCCTCACGAATCCTAATTCTTTCAGATATGCTGTATATAATGTGTTAATCGGAAATTGTTCTTGAATTCAGCTTTAAAAGCCTGATACAGTATGCTTGAATCAATAATCAATACCAGCACAAATTAAATGCTGTAGATTTCTGATGATAGAAGCAGAAAGCGGGAAATGTCCGCTAGCTTGCAGAAATTGATTTGTAAATGGTCCAGCAGCTCTTGAATGTCAAATAAAGTGACAAGTAGAGTACATTAATATGGCCATACATACTCATACATCAATGTATGAAACAACTGGCACAACACAAAATATATTAACTTAGTCAAAGCACATTTGTGGCACAGGGCTCTAAGCATGTCAGAAATATGGGCAAGATAATGTTCTGGTATTACTCCGTACCTGGACATGAACCTTTTTGTTCGTCAGCCCTCCTGCTGTTCCATCTTGTTTTGTGGCATATAAAAGCTAAGAACCTGAAAAACAAATAACTTTGTAATTGCCTTTGCTGTGGGTTGAGGTCACAGCGTGAGGTACTTTCAGACTTGGCTGGTGTTGAATGCAAGCTTAAGCACATTTTCACAGGGAGAAACTTGGGGAAAGTGTACATCGCACTCCTCTGAGTTTCTCTTGGTTTCTAAAATTATATGAACTTTAACCTGTCCACCCCCAGGACTCTTCCTTGGGGTCGCGGGCCAGGGTCAAGGCCATTAAACCTGGCTTAATAAGCTGCTGAGTCCCCCCTCTGCCCACCCCTCACTGGTCCATGGGAGGTCTGAAGTGTCAGCAAAGTCAGAGTCTGGTCATGTCAGCAACCTGCAGAGATGGTCCTGCTCCTTTCTCTCCACTATTAATGACATGTTTCAGGACATGCTGATACTAGTTATATGGCTGTATCCCAGAAAGAAAACTTTTTAAAGTATATTGTTAACTTGGCAAGCAGACAGTTTTCCTAAAAGTTTTACTACCAGTGAACCAGAGCACTGACTGCCAGTAATTCATATATTCATGCATACAGTCCATATGGTCTCTACTTACAGAATCTCTTCATTAAGGATGTACAGTTTGTACCTACAAGAATGGACTTTGGTGTGAAAAACATCCTGGTTTCTGCTTGGTGTGTATTGGTAGTCTGATTGATCAATCATTTATGAGCAGACTTTGATGTGTGCATGAATAACATTTAGACTTGTCCACGTGTGCTGACTATTTATCCCTTTTTGCTCACATCTGCATGTAGGTTTAGCTAATAATGGGTGAAGGTGAAGAAAGGATTTGTAAATGGTCTGGAGGCAGATTCATGAACCTGGTACTGATGTCCTTCTCAATTTGATAAAGTTTTAGCCTATATTATCCTCTCATATCATTCTGTACATACTTGTTTAATATCTTAAGCTCAAAATCCTGGGCCTCCTGAAATGCAACAGAAATAATCATCCACCTGACCTCCACACAGCAAAAGAAGCATTTTCACAGTTGTGTTCCTCTTTCCTTTGAGGGCCTGAAAAGTTTATATTTTTACTTTGTACAAGTCTGCATCATAATGCCGTCATATCAGAGAAGCTTTTGTGTAACTTATGACTTACAGAAAAACTGAGACTTTCCAGAAACAAATTTGCAGGCAAATCTGTTAGGTTGAATTTAGCTGTTAACATATAGTCACTTATTATGTTGATTGTCTATAAACTATTGAGCACATGGAAAAAGAGTCCTTATCTATGCTATGAATTTCCATGTTTGTCTTATGGTTTCCTGACCCCCACGATGGCTTATAGTTTTATCTGCTGGAACTGTACCCACCTGCATTCATGGACATTTTTTTGTGTGGTTTGAACTCATTTTCCTTTAGATTTATGCTTCGTATCTGCCTACATTTCATTATTCACTGTAATGTTACTGTCACCTCTGTTCCGAAAGCACTAAATCAAAATTAGCATTGCAAATGATAAAAAAAAAATAATTCCTCCTACATGATCTCCTTCCTACATATTTAGCACTCGAGTTTGTTCTACAGTGTCTTACTCCTGCCAGTCGTTGCATTTTTAATGTGGACTTATTTTCAACTGAATAATTTAGTGCACGGTCAGCAGCAGGGGTGATCCAGAATCTATCTGATGGGCAGAGAGAGCACAGGGGGTAGATCGAGCTCAGGAAGTTTGAATGGGCATGAAAATGCATAGGGAAGCACTATGAGTACTGAGGGTCAACTCTGTACTGAGCAAATTAAAGTCTATCTGCGTGAGCTGCTGCTGTATTATAATTAAAAAGGCCAGTGTGTCTTTTACAATAATGTTTTTTTTTTCCAGTCAGCTCTGAATTTGTGTGTCAGGACTGACATCCTAGTAGAAAAAAAGTTGAGTTGAGTTGAATTTTCTACTCCGAGATCCATGTAACTGAAAAAGAGATACTACATGGGTTGAACAAAACTACACTCAGTACATTTACATGCACAGTTAAGTGGAGCTACGTTAATCGCTCAATTAGCCAATTTAATTGTCCCCATTTACAAGCTCCAGGCAAGAATTGATTTATTGACAAAAGTAAATCTGCGTCCACCATGGTAGGTGGCAATATTACTGTGTTCCAGTTACCCCGGAAATCAGATGTCGGAGCTGGTAATGACATCACACCTGAGTTGACGGCGTTCCAGTTAACAAGTCAGAAAACCAAGATGGACGCCTACATTTACCCGTTGTTAGCTGTTGTTTACAATTGTCAGCTGTCATTAGCCATTGTCAGTTGTTGTTAGCAGTTGTCAGTTGTTAGCGGTTGTCAGCTGTTGTTAGCTGTTGTCAGCTGTTGTTGGTTTTTGTTAGCATACCAGTTGTAAACAAAGCACAACACTGTATTTTACTCTCACAAACACCATAGCACCATGTTCACAGTCAGACATTGGGCAGTACAACATATACCACTTATTTAATTTCACAAGAACAAAACAGAAGTGCTAATTAGTAATACATTACGAGAGCTTTTACTGTCACTCTTTACTGTTGATGCACTGCGCTGCCATCTTGAATTATAACGTTGTCGTCAAGTCGGGGTTGGTGAGGATTGTCAGATTTTCCGAGTTGAAAATCCAACTTCAGGGGAGTGTTCCAGATGAATTTCTGACTTGGAGCTCGGAAATCCCGACCTCAGAGTACAACTGGAACGCAGCCCCTTTTCAGTTCCTTTCCACTAGGCTGCCTCCCTGTTGACCTTCTACCTCATGTACCAAAACAATCAACAAACATGTTAGCAGGAGGATAATCATTTGTTTGTCTAACGATGACAACACCAACAACTTTACAGCTCTGTGTGTTTTGTAGTTACAGTACATCAGCTGTGTCTTTTCTTAATTCCCTTCTTGTTCAGGTTTTGTTTACTACTTTGTTTCCTAGCAACAGATTTGCCTGATGCGCAAACTATGAGCCTTGAAACTAACCCAAACACAGGCACTAAAACTGAATCTGGAGAAATAACCAGTCGATATACTGACAATCTCGTCTCACTGTGTAGCTCATGAGGAGGCATCAGTACAAGAGTGAGACTACTAAAAAAACAGATAAACTACTCGCCTTTAAAGGTAAACACAGCGACTATATTATCTCAGAGGTTGATACAGGTCTGCCCTGATACTACACTCTATTCAGTGTGTGCATTATGTAGTTATAGAGCAGGCATTGAATTGGCAGCTGCTATATACAAATGGCGTGGGCAGGTTTATTTTCTCTAACCCCGCCTCCTCCCAGCACACAGGCGGGACTGCATTCATTTGTTTTATTTCGTTGGAGCATTATGTAAATATGTACATTGACAGTCTCTGGAGGGAGAGTGCGCCCATGAGGCTGAATGGAGCATCCAAAGAGGGCAATTTAACAGTCAGCCATGAATGCCTGGTAACATATGTCAGGTTGTCACGCACGCACACACACACACACACACACACACACACACACACACACACACACACACACACACACACACACACACACACACACACACACACACACTCACAAGTGGACATCAACATCATCATACAGGAGAGCGAGCAGACCCATCTGTGCCAGGGGGAGACCCGGGCATCCTGGGGGGCGCCGTCTCTTTCATTTACAATGACCGGGTGCTGAGTGTGAATGCTGCGCTCATGAATGTCCTGTTATTAATGAGACCTCATTCGGCGCAAGCAGACACCCAGGGCTGCTGCTTAGAGGCGTGCCCTCAGCCGACGTGAGTAACAAAAGGCAGAGTGGGATCATTAGGCCCCCGGACGCCGGAGGGGTCCGCCACTTTAATCATGTTTGTGTAATGAATGCAGCTGCTGTGAATCACTGCCTATTCATAATGTCTGCACAATGTAGTCATAATGTGGTATTAATGTTGCCCTGCCAGAGGTGCTGCGTGTATGTGTGTGTGTATCTGTGTGTGTAATCGAGGAAATTGAGAGGGTGTCTATTTTTATTACTCATGGACACTGGCCCTTGTGTTGGTTTGATAGTCTGACAATGTTATGACAAGGCCTAAGGTCATTTAAGATGGATCATCACTCTTGGATTGCCTTAATCTGCATGAGAAGAGATGACGATTTACAAAAGTCCTAAGCATCTGTGATAGTGAGATGTGAGAATAGTTTAAAAATGTTAAACCATTATAACTGTTAAAAAAAAGAGTTTTTCTGTAAGCTCAGGCTTTGAAATATAAAAAGACATATGGCTTTATACTGCATAGGAAAACGACCGGTTCCAGCCATAACTCTTTACACTAGGATCCTTCTTCATTGTCTTTTAAGTGACTTTCAAATTCCCTATCCCTGGAGTGATTTTTTATTCCACACATAATGTTTAAGTCCCCATGCATTCTGCTGAGAGTGCGTGTTTGAATAATCCCACCACATGAAAGAGTGCTGAATTGAAGCGGACTCTCAAACCCATCACTTGTGAGTTGTTTTTGCAAAGATAAACAAAAATTCTTGTCCCTCAGATCACTACCTTTTTCCTTCTTTATGCTCCTGGCCATCCACTGGGAGTAGTGTACCTACAACCACCAGGATTGAAGTCAAATGCTCAGATTTGTTTTCTGATGTTTGGACTTGATAACTGGGTTCATCTGGCTCCATACAGCCTCCCTAAAGCATGTGTGATCAGGCGCCAAATAGGTGACCTTTTCCCATTTGTCTTCTTCAGAGGGGGCTGCACCAGCTCTGAGTGGTGTCCCCAGCTGTTGGGCTTATAGAGCGCCCCTGGAAAAACAGCATGTCAGTCTCTCATCTTTTTGATGTTCTCTCTATGCCTTTGTACTCCTCAGTATGACACCGTGCATCTCTACATGCCAAGATGTCTCAAGTAATCTAAATGAAAATGTCTAATCTTGTTATTAGAGCAGCTCTATGTGCCACATGCACTTCAGCCAATCGTCAAGTCCCTCAGCTTTCTTTTTTCTCTTTTTTTTATTGTATATCAGTGCAGCCAAATGGTGCCAAAGGGATTTGGAGCGATTGTGCGCTGCCCTTGAACGGTGAACATTAGCTTTTAGAGTTTGTGTTGATCACTGTCTCATTTGAGGCCATTGTAAATCTGCTTTCTGTCTGTGCCAAGGCATCTGCCTTCTTACTATTACAAGCTAGAATTAATCCCCAGAAGGAAGTTCAGTCTTAAATAAATCTGAGTCCTATTTGGTTTAAGTACTCAAGTACATCTGGACTCTCTAAAGGAAAAGGAGCAAGGGTTCCTGTCCTGAACTCTACCTTTTGTAAACCCCGGGTCTGTCTCCTGCACACAGAGAACATGAGTAGAAAGACGTTGGGTGAATTTTGATCTTGATTTCTGTCAATTAGCATATGCAAAGGATGAAATCATTGTTGTCATTTTAATGAAGGGGTAAAACTCCCTCTCAGGCAAACACCACAAAAAGAGACAATTTTGATGGCAGACATGCCTTCATGATCAGCTTTAATGGGCTTTTTTTTTTTTTTTTTTTACTGGGGAGCAGCATCGAAGTGGAGCACATTAAGAAACAGCTTAAAGTGGCTCATAAACTGCTCAGATCCTCCAACACTCACTGTCATCATCATCATCATACCAGACGGACAAAAAGCAATCCATTTTGTCTATTTTCTCCCCCTCTTGTCTCCCAGATCACCCCCCCTCCCATCCCCATTGAGATTTCTGGAGCTGTTTGTTAAAGTGATCTTTAAAAAAGCTCTAATTTGGGTTTTTTGTCTTGCTTTACCTGAGAGAAAGGGGCCTTTGGGAAACTATAGGGTCAATAGAAATGGCTTACTTGGTTTGCAAGACGGTGACTTACAAAACCCAGTCTAAGAGTGAGGAATCTAGGAATCACTCTTTTTGTCACTGTAAATACAAACAATAGGAAAACTTAAAATTCTCTGTTAGTTGCTCATGAAGCCTTACTGAAAGCTAAAGGTCAACATGTCTTCGAAGTTATCGCTTTGACATCGTGGATTGTTCTTTATTTATTTAAATGCTTGGTGGTCACCTCTGACATTTCGATAAAGAAGCTGGAAACCCATGAATCAATTCACCACTAGTAATGGATTACTTGGTTTCTGCTGTGTCTTTTCATTTTTAAATTTCTGTCATTCACTGTTTGACCTTTCTTCATGAGATTTACAATGAATCGCTACTTGTTTCTTATTTTCTTGTGGCCTTGCTCTTCTAAACATTGGCTGCTTAATTACAAGCTAGGGTACTGTATGAGACATATGCTACAGTTAGTTAAAAAAAAACTACAGCAAAAAAAACAAACTTATTTGGCTCTGGTTAGATAACCTACATTGAATGCCAAAAGTAATTTTCTACAAGGCTGTCACTCGCTGAATGCTGCTTTTCACATTCGTGCAGAAATAGCCACAGTTGACCTTCTCAAACCAGAACATGGCTGGCTTTTTACTGCCAGTTGTCAAACCAGACAAGGTGTTGTGACAATAATTTTAAAAGGTTTCGCAAGCCAAAAAAATCCAATATTCTTAACATTTAACCAGCTTTAAGATTTGCTGTTTTTTTCAACCAAGATATTTTGGCATTTCTCAGAGATTCCTGTTAGTGCAGCCCTCAACAATCTGTCCACAGCTTATTAAGAGGCAGGAAAAGAGGCAATGTGTATAACAAATAATGAAGCATTACCATTTGTCAGGTCAGGGGTGGGAGAAAGCTGAGTCATGGCTCCTTGGCAGCTCTAGACAGATTTAGTTTTCTGATAAGAGTAACCATGGGGGCGAACAGGGAGCAACAAGGGGTCTCCACTAAAGCTATTAAGTATCTGGTACCATGGACAGCGCCAGTTGGTAAAAGCACCATCAGTCCTTTTAAAAACAGGATTCATGTATGAATTAATAACGTGGCAGACGTTTTTTCTTTATTGATGTTTTCTTTTTTTACCAGGGAATAAAATGCATTAGCTTTGAGTTATTTCTATTAATGCCTACAGTGTATCCTGCTGTTCATGTGCTCCATATCCCCATGCTTTTAGCCTTTATATGACAGTGTAGCACTCTTGAAAACAGTTCCTGGTTTTAGACCTTAAGTCTCGGTCCACATCCCATAAATTTATAGTTTTTTTTTAATAGAATATAAATAGAGAAGATATAAAATGAAGCAAAACTGTAATTCAGCCTAATGATCAGATTAATCAGCACTAAGCCTGTCTGAACTAGGGGACAAATTTCACGTTGCATGGCAACTAAAAACCCAAAATAATAAAACAGGCTCAAGAAACAGCACATCAATGATTTAAAAAGTAAGCTGATGATTAGAACTGCTCATGTTTATCACTGGTTCAGTGAGTTCAGTGATCAATGATTTGCTTACTGATAAAACCCCGGTCTGTGAATAACTTTCGATTTGTGGTCGGTATGATTCAGCTCTGATGGAGCCAGCAGATGACACATTTTTTATGATTTATCAGAGAAGGTCACACGCAGAAATGTCGAGCAGTTCGAGCAGTTTGCAAAGAGCATGTTTCTGGGTTCTTTGATGTCGTGTGGATCATTAAATTTGACAGATTAAAATCTGCACTGGTGATAAAGGTGTGTGTTCTTGCATAGCTAGAGGTTAAATATGTGACAGCAGACTTTCCAAATACTTCAAATGGAATGATTTTAATTCCTTATTTTATATAAGGTCAGTTGTGTTAAAGTATCTTCAAAAAGACAAATAATGTAGTATGATAACAACTCGACATTTCAACTGGCAAAACAATAAATTGCAGATACCAGAGATGCAAGATAAATCTAGATTTTAAAGGCAGCAGCCAATGATGGATATTTTTTCCTTTTTTCACTAATAACACAGTTTGAACCACTAAAAAAAAGTAATTAAAGGTACATACATTCTGACACAGTAGCTGGTTAATCTGATCCTCCATTACATGCAAAAAATAAAAGCAAATGGAGCTGCAACAATTTGATGATAGAGTTTCCTGAGTGGATATTTTCCACTGTTTTAGGGGAAGGCAACGTGATATTAATTTGCTGAACATGAACCATAAGTATCCTGGGAGGAGGTAAAATATCCTCAAGCTTTAACACAACAAATGACTGATTTAACCTGAAAAAAGGATCACAAAGGTCTGCCAGTGCTCGCATTAGCAAAACCAAAACCAGACCAAACCAAACCAAACCAAAAAAGTGCTGATTTCACAGACTGTTGGCAAATGTAGAAAGTTTACCAGAGACAACTACAAGCAATTAATGATAAATCATAGACTTAACAATGCCTTTATGTTGTGTGTGAACACTAGTAGAACACAAACATTCACCAGCTAATAACACAATTAGAGCAGTTCCAGGTCACAGGTATCCCTACCTGGCATGTATGATGTGAGAGCTTTTAGCTCCTGTGAGAATTTTTTGACCTTTTTGAAATAGACTGAAATTCACAATCGTGCATTTTGATGGTATCCAAAAGGAAACGAGAGCATAGTTGACAGGATTGAAGATTTTTATATCCTAATTTTTAATGCCTGAAACTGGATCAGGAGGTAGGGTCAGCCTTGCAGCTAAAGAAAAAGCCTTAGTTTTACAATATCCACATGAAATATTCACAATAGATGATACATTTGTCCACCAGAAGTCAGCAAACCTAAAATCATCACTACTTAGACATGTAAAGAACAAGATCATGTTGTCCACGTGGGATGCTAAAATTGACACAAGCTGAAAGTTTATTCACAGTAGCTTTAATTGTAGAGTATTAATATACTATTAATGCATCTTGTGTTTTAAAACTTTGTAACCCTCAGAGTGCATAAACTGCACAAAAATATTTGCTGGTAATCTTAGTTGTAAATTTCAACAGGAGCATGTTATTATCACTTATTTGCATTAGCTAAGCAAATCAATAATATGCATCCCTTCCAATTTACCCATGTGTTTTTAAACCTGGATTATAAACCGCTTTGAAATGACAACTTTTATGTCAACTATGATGAAAGTTCATCCACACCTAAATGAGATAAAGCAACAACATATTAGACATAAAGTGCATCAAAAACAAAACCTTATTCAATTAAAATGACAGAACAGGAGCTTTAAAGTCTCAGTTTGGTTACTACCAGTAACAACCAGCAGGTAAAATCCCATTTATACCCGTATTTACGATATGATATTCAGCATGTGCGAAGAAAATGATGAGCAGACAGAGGTAATTATGCATTATTCAATCTTTTCTCTAAAAATAGACCTCACCATCTGCTGGGCCTGCGAAATAAATCCCCATGTACAGTATTTTGTAGATAAATATCACCAGCCAGGAGAAGATGCTTTGCTCATTTTCTCATCCAACTGCTGTTAATTGGTGACTAAATGAGAGATCTGACCTTTGTTTAAAGCCATGTGTTCAAACTGTACCTGTATGCAGGCTGGTATCCATGTCTGAGAGTGTGAGAGAGCAAAAGCAGGAGTAAGGCGTGAGAAAACGAATCATGCCAGAGTATAGAGGAGGCTGAGATGAGGAGGAATGGAGGGAGAGGGCAACTTTTCACTTGGCCCCGATCCAGCTCTCATATCAGCTGTCTGTTGAGCTTTTTCAAAGGCAATTTATTTTTAGATATTTCAAAAACTCATTTGAAGGCGATTTTCACTCTATGGCTGCAGCCCTCGCCTTCACTCTCCTCCCTTTGCGCCAGCCTCACCCCCCTCTCATGTGGCACCCGATGTGTCGCAGAGCCCATTCCTTGGCAGTCAGCACAGTTTTGATTTAATTCTGAGGGCCATCTGTAATCCCCTGCAGGACATAGAGGCCTGTAGCCCCGCACAGCAAACCTCTCTATCTCACTATCTGCCTTTCTTTCCCTCTGCTCTCCCCGGACCCTACCTTTTTCTTTCTTCTCTGCCATTACACCCCCACCTCCCTCCCCCCCAACCATTCTGCTAGCCCCTGGCTCCAGTGCCCCACTGTGGGACTGTCAACATATCTCATACATGCAGGGATAATGGGATTGCAGAGCTTCAAAGACTTACCGCAGGTAGATTTTTGACTGAGAATGATGGAGATGTTCCTAGCAATGAACTTTTAAACAGGAATTTAGATCCAGACTCATCAACTAAGTATAAAGATGTTACGTTCATTAATACTTGGGCCAGCACTTGGGCTTCTGTTTTATTATGATTCCTGATAATGTCTGTCACTTTTTGAATAGGAAGTCATTAGCTCACTAGCTTGTTAGCTCGTAAGTGCTTGTGCATGCTTGTGATCGCTGCAGCCTCTCTCTGTCCCTTGGCTTTTCAGACACCCACAGATACACACACCTGTCTCCTCCTGCTCCTCTCTCCAGATCACAGCATCTGAGGGTTAACCACCAGCTTTTGGTCCTCCTTACAGGTTTAAGTTCATAGAAGGAGGTTTTGACTTAAAATGAACCACTGATGCCTCTTCAAAAGCACTCAAAATGTTTAGTTTCGTTTATTTAGATCTCCATTAGCTTTGGCTAAGGCCGTTGCTATTCTTCCTGGAGTCTACGTTTACAGTTAGCTCTCCATTGCAGTGTACAGTCACAAAAAACATCACACCACAAACACAAAGACAACGTCGATAACCACAACAACTCACAACAGCCTACTAGACAAAAACAAAACAACACAAGTAGAACAATACAAACAACATACACATATAACTGGACCTTATACATTTCCACAGTGTAGCTGTAGTTCTGAAATAACCAGGTGTTTAAATATCAACTTACATTCCACATAATTGAATTGAATTAATTAATTTACTGAAACAGTACCCAATACATAATACATGAGCAGACTTCCAATATTATAAGTAGATCAGACAAACCAAGCTTCGTCTAAATAAGGAGCTGTTTGACTAGTAAACGTTCTTTAACTAGATCTTTAAATCTGTATTTGTTGTTTTCTTGGATGGTATACTTAAAGTTGGTTGTGGCCAACAGTGTCAGATAAAGTGAACCACAGTGGAAAAACAACAGATCATTTAAAATCCAAATCAAACATCTGTACCCACAGAATCTTACCGCTGGCTGGAGAAAATGCCTGTGGTGTTGTGGCCGATCGTACTTGCTCCACTTGTACAATAGAAGTCTGTGATTCCCAGAGTTCAGAGTGGACATCTGTGCTGGTCCACCACCTGTCTTTCTACTTGCTGTAGCCATCAAACAGATCCAAGCATTTCTCATACCAGTAATAATGTCGAGGTAAGAGATACACTGTTCCCATAGATATCCTTCATCTTTGTGAGCCATCAAGCTAAGATGTTGGTATCATCTCTTTCTACAATCTTGCATGATTGTTCTCTCGGGATTGTCATGAAATAGGACTTCTTGCTCAAAACAGAAACATCAGTGTTTTGAACTCACACAAAAGTTTAAAAAGAACATATCTGCTGCTGAAAAGTTACACTAGCTTGGTGGAAATATCTTCTCTGGACATTGCTCTTCACAGGCTGATTGGAACTTACCCTGTGAGTGTCTGACTGTCGGGGTAAAGCAGTTTGGCGCTCGGTTGACTCTGTAAGCTCTGGTCAGAGATAAGCACCTGGGCTGGAGAGCTTTTCCATTTCCTCCCAAAGCACCCAATCAAGTAGTGGCTGCAACTCAGCACTAAAGAGACCTAAATACCGCTTGCTCTTCCTGTCTCCCTCTCCCCAGTGGAAGTCTCCTGGACTCCTTTGCTACTTTCACTCCATCTTTCCACTTCTTCCACTTCCTCTCTGACCTCTGGTTGGAAAATCTCATGCTGTCTTACTTTTATCTTTTGTTTTTGACAAGGTATTTAGTCCCACTTGGAGATCATGGACGTCTGCTGAACTTGATCATACTGTTCAAGTAATAGCTAAGGGTTATGACACCACTGGCCGTGTTAATCTCTAATGTCCTGATTTAGGCACTGATTTCGTTCTGTCTTATACCTTTGAATTTAGACTCTTTTACCACATCTGCTTATTTCCCCTAAAAACCTTTTAAAGATATTGTTTCTATCTGATAAATTTGAAGCCATTTTTCACATGCACATGTCCACCAATAATGATCCCATACCCTCCTGTGAGAGTTACTGATTGAAACTTCTGCAAAAGGAAAAAAAACGTGGGTGAGTTAGAGGAAGATTTTTGAGGCTTTAAGATAATTGAGATATGGATTATGCAGCAGCTGCAAATGCCATCTGATTGTTTTTCCAGATATGTTTGGCCTTTACAGGTAATTGCACTGAAAGATTTAATGAAATGATGAATGGGAAGAAGTACTTAGATTAGTTTTTTTTCCTGAAAGTCTTCTGCATTTATTTGTAATTATATAGCCTTCTGCTGTGACGCTCACTAAACCATAAAGCTTCTAAAACACTTGCAATGAGTGAAGCTTATAGCATTCAATAACAGGCGAGTGAAGCCGATGTCCAAAGATGAAAAAAAATTACTTTATTTTTCCTGATATGGTGCAAAAATCAGACTCTTGGTTTTTGATTTAGGTCTGATATGATGATACGACATGATACTGCATGTCCCTCTGCCTCCTCACCCCCATGACCGTGACTTTTTCCCCCTTTTTCTCTTTTCTCTTCTCGACATCGGCAGGTGATGTCTTTGAAAGCGCTGAGTCAGCCGTGCCTATGATAGGCTTGCTGGATACTTTGTCTTGCTTGTGACCTTTGTCGCTCCTCTGATGTCCATAACAAATTGCCCCAGGGTATCAGCGTGATCATGCAGTGGCAACACAGCAGCAGAATAACAAAAAGCTTTACCACGCTGCATTGTGTGTGTATGTGTGTGTGTTTGTGTGGTTTCGCTGCAGTGGGACGCTTTTAATTACAGTCTTCAGTGTCTGATTTTTACAGAAAAATCTACACTATCCTGCACATTTCATTCAATTCCAGTAAGTCCCAACAAAACACTGAAATGTGTGTGACCCTAACTGTGTCAAATACCAATAATTAACTGTACAGCCCACAAAAGGTTGCATTATTGCTTTCCTGTAGCTGTAGGCACAATTTTAAATTACAGGTGTGTGCTCATTCATGATTGCCAGTTTTCACCTAGTTTTGTTCCCTCCTGTACAGTAATCAGTGGCTTCGGTTATTAATGTGTTTAAATATGCAACTCATTGAGCGCAAATGGCCTATTGGTCAAACTGTAAGTAGCTATGTCATCCACGAGTGCTGCAGGGGTTGTAACTCCCTCCCTGTTCAATACACACTCACAGCCCCTTGATGAACAAGCTGGTCTGGGCGATTTGCTGCAGAAGCAGGATTTTATAGTGTGTGTGTTTGTGTGTGTGTATGTGCTTGGTGTGCCTCTTTCTGTGTACATGTGTAAGCATCGGCAGATTTAGTAGTTAACACAAATATATGCATGTGAGATTGCTAGCTGGAACATTGCTGTGCTCTCTCTGTATTTTCCATCATTACCACAGGGTTTAAGATTGTTCGCATACATACCGCAGTGAAGCCTCAAACACTGCCAGCCTTTCTATCCAGACTTGATAGGGGTTTTCAGAGTCAGGGTCACACATATGGACCTGTGAGACCCCATCACACCCTGAGCTCAGCATGATAGATGAGGGCTCTTATTGTTGAGCCAAGATAGCAAGCTAGCACCCTTGCCCCACCCTCCAAATCTGAGCCACACATCCACTTTGCTGCTGTCGCAGCATTGCATTGGCACACACTCTCATAAAGTTCCAAGGGCATCGATTTCACTTTGCTTCATTAATATGTATTGGAAATTATTTTCCACTTTGTTAAAGCAAGTCTTGCTTCCCTGAAGGTTGGGTCCAGTGGGAGCGTGTGCACGTGTGTGTACAGTTTGAGCTGTGCCAAATCCTGTAGATTTGTGTTAATCAATGCAGCATGGGTGTTCAATACCTGCTCAGCAGAACAAGAGAATTAATGATGCTTGATCGTATGTTGTTCAGCTTCTTAACTTTACTGCAAAGATGCACAGGTGTTCTGTAATTACATTAGCATTAGCTTTAGGTTGATATATCAAGAGAGGCTGCTGGGTCATAAATAAGACCTCCGTTGCCTTTCACAGTTTAACAGATGCTCTCAGAAATCTATTCAAACTTAAAGGGATATTCTGGCGTAAAATTAATTTAGGGTCAAACACACCGTAACACCGAGTTAGACACCACCTCGAGAGATGAATGTTGCAGACCGCTTGCTTTTCTAGTTATACCAACTTTAGTAACAGTCGCAGGATAGCAATACACAGCGGTCCAAAGAGCCATAAACAAACCTCAACCAAAACGCCACTCTATTTCTTCATGGAAATGCAATCAGACTGAGATGCTAAGGCAGAAGAACTACCGCGTCTGCAGTGCAAAATGATTAATATGGTGATTATTACTTCAAGGAAATGATAAAGTAATGATCACAAATGTTTTTACTTGAGCTGCGTCACCCCACTGCAGTCGATGGACTTACCTGAGGTCTCTGTACAAACAAGCGGCTGCTGGAAGAGAGTACATGAGTTGTGTTTAGTCTCTTTGCTATAGAAATTAGGCAAAGCTAAAATGATGTTTGGTGGCTAATGCCGTGGCTGGGATCCTATGTGTACTGTTGATGAAGTTAAGTGTTGTTCTGAGCATTATTTGTGGCTATATAGTGGCGTTTTGGTCAAGGTTTGTGTGTGGCTCCTGAGATCGCTGTGTATTGCTATTGTGCAGTTGTTATTAAAGTTGGTATAAATGGAGAAGCAAGTGGTCGGCAACAATTATCTCTCGAGGGGGTGTCTAACTCGGTGTTACGGTGCGTTTGACCCTAAATTAATTGTACGTGGGAATATCTCTACAACATGGGGTGCTGGTTGAGCTCAGCGGGTGCCCCATGCACTGTTGCTACAGTTTACTGCACTGGTGGTAGGATCATCTTTTACCTCCAGGTCTAACTTTTCAAAAATGTGTCTTCTCTGTTACCATCATTCTTTGAAACTGCAGGATGCTCTGTGCTATACAGTTCACTAACTTACATTTATAGCTGCAGGAAGACTCTTTAGTGTATAACAGAGCTCAAAGGAGCATTTTTCCTGCCCAGAGTGAAAAGCCAAAGTGTTGGACATGGATGGGGCTTTGTAAAGCTAAAACTGAGCCGTTAAGAACTTTTGAACCTGAACCAGTCTTGATCCCTTGGATTGGCTTATTGCTGCTGATACCCCTCTGAAGAGGTTGTGCCTGATTGTATCAGTTTAAGCTGATTATTGTGGCTCTGAAGATAGCTTCAAACTTTTATTACTTAGTTTTTGTTATCTTCAGGCATTTGCGTTTTCTTTGCCATTTATGGTTTCCTGGAAAAGAACAGTCACTCTTCTTTAATTACACAAAAGATATTTACTCTTGATACTAGAGTGGAGTTGCAGAGTCACAGCTGCCCTCCAGAGAAATGACGACAGAACAACAGATATCCAGAGTAAAGCCAGGACTTTAAAGGCTCTCCTTGAAGGCAGACTGCAGTGTAGGTTTTAAAGACCACTTCCTCTATTGTAAAAGATTAAAATTAAAATACATGTCAATAATTTATTTTCTCCAGTATGGGCTCCTTCACAGCTGTTAGTTTCTATCATGCTGAAGTGTTCTTTTATTTTGGAAAAAGTTTAGTTTTAATTAGATATTGATTCTTAAAAGAGGGGATGTGATGCCATAATTGACAGCTCTGTTGACAAATGCGAAGAGAGTAAAGGGGGACTAACAAGAGTAAACGTAACAAACAGAAACACAAGAACCGCTGAACTTTCCGTCGTCATAAGTTTCTGCTCCTAATCAAAACAAGAATCTGCTCAGCTGAAGGAGCCAGCCTAACCTGAACCTCAATGGGGTCACGCAGCACCACTCTTGTCTCATAGTTACAGGTAGCTGCCTGGCTAACCAGCAAGTGCAGCAAGGATCATACCATACATTTGACCAAGATATTTCAAATCTCAGTGCTTCTGTCTTTTATAACATCTTCACGGTTTGCTACTGAGTGAAAACTAAATCCTATTAAACAATTTTATTTCTGGGTGATGCACCTGATGCAGAAATAGGAGGACACATTTGTCAGCTCTGTTTGGGACAGCCTTCAACGTGCCACTGTGACACATTCGGTCTTCAGATGCGTCCTTCAAAGCTGGCAGCCTCTGAATTTGGACACAGTAGTTGACTGTGCCTATCTGAGAGATTTTCTATCTTCAATTAGGAATTTAAATGTATTTTTTTTTGACAGCAGAAGTGGTGTTATGTCAGTCCTGCTGCTTCCCAAGTCAGGTCACATCTGAACATGCCTTGGCTCCTCTTGGGTCAGGGCACAATAAGGCGGTACTTTGGTGTCACATCACACAAAGACAAAGACTCAACTATGGAGTTGAGTAGTTTAGCTCCTAAAAATGTGTGTCCTTGGCAACAGCAGATGATCATTCAAAAGGCCTTTTACTTCACTTTTCATGGGTGCTGCTATTAACAATTACAGATTATGAATGCTTCATGGAATCTGATAAAGGATTTGGAAAGATTCAGTTTGATTGTTACCTGGGCTTGGATTAGATAAAATGCTACCTGACTTCTTGAGAGCCATAAATGCTCTTGTAAAACCAGCTGTTAAACAGATTGTTTTGTTGTCAAGATATAGTACTGAGAAATTTGCAGCGAGTCCATCAAACACTAAGCTTTTATTTTCTTCTTAAATGTCCAAATTTGATGAAAGGGAAAAATATATATATTAAATGTGACATATTGTAAATCCAATACATCAATCTCTCCTCTCTCTCCTGAAAATACCTCTATGTTGGCTTGGTTCCCCTGTGCTCTTAACTCTCAGCCTGGTTGGTACTAATCAATGTGTGTGTTGGGTATTGCGTCTTAATGGGTTATAATACTGGCAGCCCTGGTGCAAAGCTGGTCCCATTGGGGAGCCGCCTGGCAACACCGGGCACTGATTTGATTAAAGCCACCAGATCCTTTTCTAAGGCTGCTCATTATGCTGGGCAGCTCGGGAGCCAATAACAGGACCACTTAGCATACATAATGGACAGGTAGTGGAAGTAAAGATTAATGGGAGGGTGGGGAGAAGTTTTGAAGTGGGATTAAAACTTTCTCATAAAAGATTCCAAAAAAAGATTGAACTCATGTTCAAGACTTAAAACTATTAAAGAGATTTTTCATCTTTACATATAGTTCACCCTAAAGGTATTATAGACCTCTTGTTGATGAAATGTCAAGTGTAATTTTAATGTGGCCCATGTTTAAAATATGGGCCTCGGATAGATTAATAGAGACCCACCCCCAAATCGCAGTTTTCGCTCCCTGCAGCAAATGAAATAACAGCAACCTGCATTAGTGTTATGAATATCCTCCCAGATGTCTGAAATTAATCCACAGAAAACGCCACTTAATTTTTCAAAAGAGCAGGAAATGTTAGCGTCTTTCAAATTGAAAATATCATAATGAAAGATTTTTACTGCAAAGGCATCGTGCATATTTCCACACCCACTACATGCGGGCTCATATATAGAGAAGACGCTTCCCCCTCCACATCCTTTAGAAATAAGAGATTTAAATGGAGGTGTCAGTGCTTGGAAGATGGATAGGTCTCAGTTAATGTGTTTTTTCTCACTCTGTAGGAATTAACTCCTCTTCTCAACTCGGGCTCACCCGGGACTGCAGAGTAATAAACCCTAAAAGGAAATCGCTGAGCATGTTTATCTTTTCTCCTGTGTCTCTGCTGCCACACATGCACCCAAAATCTGCGGCTCGACCCGTGACTTATTGAGGGGCTCAAAGCTCCGAGCCAATTTCACAAACATGTCCTCAGTCTTCTATTTACTCATAGGTGTGTGCATTGAAGGGAGACAGAGGGCTTTAGTGTATATGGGTTAAGATTTGTGTGTTTCATGTGGATGATTGTGCAGCAGCGATGTGAGTGAACACATATAGTATGTAAACCTTAGGGAACTTTTACTTACCTTTTATAATAGGAGAAAATACACTTAGTTTTATAAGTATTAAAGGTGGTGAGCTAACAGTCTGTATCTAAAGGGTTAAAAAACTAATAAACATGCGATGAAGGTTCTGTAAGGGTCACAAAGGTTTACAGCGTTAAAAAAAATGCATAAATGTAAAAAATTTATCACATATATTAATTATTTGGCCATAAAAAATCAATGTAAACACCTCATATCTTAATCCTTTTCACACATTGTATAAAAATAACTTCAGTCCATCATATTTTTCACATGCTGTGTTGAAATTCTTGGTGTACTACGTGCATTACTAAATCATAGCTCTCACGTCTAGTGCAACATCATGGTAAATTGAGGTTCAAGTTGGACATTTGAAGACATGAGTGATTCATAATAATCATGTGTCAACCTCTCATGTGTGAAAATGAAGTCAGTGAGGACTTTCTGGAGTTTCCAATTGAGTCTGGCTCTGCTAAAGAATACCCTTTGGAGGCCACTTTTTAAATGCTAATTTTTCCCGCAGAAATGACCCTGTTACAAAGAGTTTGGGAATAAAGGGCATGTATATTTATTTGTGAAGACTATACAAAAAATATTTTTAGGACTGTTTTATTTTGATAAGATTAAGGCTAGACATGGTTGATTTGACTGACAGGTGGGCTTGTTATGTCTCTGCCTGGTCCTAGTTTGATCGAATATAAGGCTGAGTTGGAATTTTTTAGGGATTTATTCCTGTGGCAGGTTGACAGATTTGATGTATATGTTAGCCTCAACCAAGCCAAGTTTAAAGCATGTTTACAAAACTTTTGCTACATTTTAATACTCTACCGTATACATCCATAAGACCTTGATCCACGTTAGATAAGTGCAAAAACACACAGAAAAGACTGAAACTTATATACATGTGCAAAACAGTGAATTAGGGTCTTGGCTATAAAAAGGATCATTGTCAGATGCTTTACCAAGTGTAGTAAAAACATCCCCTCTTTGTTGTACTTAAAACGCTGCCGAATCTGAAAATCTGCTCACCAATTTATCCCTGTCTGAGAGTTTTTCTCGGCAAAACATCAGCCAGAAATTTTCGGCTTATTACCCAGAGTCAAGATGGGCAGAGCAAATTTTAATGTGCCTTTTTTTCTACTCAACTCTTCAAACCAGAGGAAATATAACCATACAAATCAATAACACAGATCAGGGGCCTATTACATTAGCCCGTCTTTTCAACTTTACTTGGACTCACTCCAGAGTCTTTATCACCCAGTGTATCTATTTGTCTTCAACATGCAGAGATTTTCAGTGCTAATGGTTTGTCATGTCTAGATGAAAACCAGTGACCCATTAGCAATGCCGCCCAGTAGCTGAGGACCTCCTTCCTGATCTTTGGAGATGAAGGGTCCTCTTTTAGTCGAGAAAACCCCACAGGCAGGGCCTGACTGAGCCTTTGTCCCCTGTGTGTTGCCTGGAGATGGTCCTCTGCTGGCCTGCTTTCCCTCTCTCTTAGCTTGACATCCATGACAATTACTTCATGCCTAGGGGAGATGATGCAAAAGGACATGTGCAAGAGCACAAATGAGGTACACTCGTGTGTATACAGCGTGAGCATGAGGCGTACATACAGAGAGGTTTCAGAAGTTCCACTGCAAGAATACTACTATTCTAATCATGCACCAAACTGTAACCCACAATTTCAATCAGTTACAAATTTAAAAAACAAATTCAGCCGAAGATTATACCATCTGGCTCTAGTTCTAGCAGATATTGTGTTTTACTGTTTTTACTGTCTGTACTTTTCTTTTTAAAAAATTCCAAACTAAAATATTCCTCTAACATTTCTTTTCTCCTGGTTCTTAAAAACAAAAGTATAACTCACACTGAACATCCCCTGTCCCTCTCTCCACACCCCATCAGCACACAATCCTGCACCGTCCCTGTGTTTGCCGACACATCACATGGGTATTGATGTTAATTAAGGGCCCTCGAGCTAACAAGTCAGATGCTCAGCATAATCTAACCATCCGTTAAAAAATGTGCAACGTGCCCAATGAATAAAATTTTCTTCAAACAAGATAGCCATCCATCAGTCTGTGTCAGCTATTGAAAGGTGGGTTATGGATGGCTTCCAGGGGTAATGTAACAAACGTAATCACGTGATCACAAATCAAAGTGCCTGCTGTGTTACTGTACTGATTGATCCACTGCTTAGGTCTGCATATGTGACCAGTATTTGGATAAAGCATTTTTCCCTCAGCTCTGTTATAGTTGTAGACAATACAGACCATTTGTGTGCGGCTTACAATGTGATTGTACAACAGACAGTTTTGACACAATAGCAGCATTGTTTTACACCCACAGTCACACACACACAGACTAAAATAATTCTTTTTACAAGCATTGATTGTTCTTTAGTTCTAGTTTAGACTTCTCTACAAAGTCCTGCTTTCATACAGTTTATATGAATACTTTGACAGTGTGTGTCCTTGGTTAACGACTCTCCTATTTTCTTTTCTTCGACTAACTGGGAGTCTTCACCAGTAGAACCTGCTCTGAGTGTATTTTCTGTACTCCTTTGTATGGATGTGACTGCTTTCTTAGACATGAAGATGGTATACCAGTCTATACCAGCACTAGACTAGTATACCATGGAGATAGAGATGATTCTAATCTGTAAAACCACTTTATCTAAAAGGTGCTGCTATTATTAGGCTGAACATGACCTGACCTGACTGAAAATTCATCCCTATTTATTGTGCGCTGTAATCAGCCAACAAGCTTGATACAAAGCATTCTAGATTAAGTTAGTTCCTTCATTATAATGTTATCATTAGAGGTGTCCATAATGATTAGTTCGAAGTCCTTTCAGCCAAGTGGTCTTGAAGTAGGAACATACTCAGAAAACGCAGAATCTTCAGGTAAATTATGTGAAATATGTTACCCAGTCTGGTGAACAAAAGTAGAACTAGCACCATCAGCCTTCAGTTCTTCTTGCAGATCATCGCCAGTCATCTGCCCGAGTAACCTGACACAGTCCATGATACAGTTTAACTGTAGTATTTGGATCAAAATACTGCCAAACTATCCTGTACAATGAGATGCTGTCTGTGCTGGATTACATTCAGGGAATAAGAGCATCATAGCATTACAGCCGTAGCCATTTAGCATCTAACCCAGCTCCTCGCTACACAGTAGACCCAACATGGCACAATATAACCATATTGTGCCATGATGGGTCACAATATGGGCCACAACGTGACTGTGTGCTTAGAGGCTAAAGGACCTGCCTTAAGCCTGCGTCTTTTGCTGCGTTCCAGTTGGACTGTCAATCGTCTATCTGAGAACACGTTGCTATGGTGTTTGTAAGAGTAAAATAATGGGTTATGCGTTGTTTACAACTGGTATTGCTAACAACAACTAACAACAACTGACAACGGCTAACGACGGCTGACAATTGTAAACAAGAGCTAACAATAGGTAACTGTAGGCACCCATTTTGGTTTTCCGACTTGTTAACTGGAATGCCATCAACTCAAGTGTATTGTCATTCCCACCTCCGACATCCGAGGTAACTGGAACACAGCATTTGCCTATGGCCTAGCAAAGGTAGCAACTTTTAATAGATTAGTCAAATAAATTCCTCCATCCTCTCTTACTCTCTATCATATCTTTTTGTCAATTCTGCAAAAGCTGTGCTAAAATAGTTAAATATTCCTGGCAAAGACCCTTCTCATATTAATGGTATTGTCCTTTCATTTCACTCCAGAGGTCTGAGGATATGCCACAGCCTTAGTTAATTCCAAAGGATGATAGCCAGCCTCAAAGCCACTATTTGATTATAATCCATCTCCCTCATCAAAGATCAGCCCTTCTGATTGCTCTGTGCCGTGTTTGACAAGATTAAGCCTCTTTTCTCTGTGTTAGACAAAAAGATTGTGTTGGATATATGCTTCTTCCTGCTGGAGATTTATTTGAACTGCTCTGAGAGACTCTGGACACAACTCGTTCCAGGCCTGACATATTTTATTTATGACAGTATTAAAAAGCTGAATTCCTGTTAAACAAACCATAATCCTCCATTTGTGGTGACATGGTCTATAGCTGGCACTGTTCATGCAGTTTATGAGTGTTCCTCATAGAAAAAGACAACTGTCTTTTGATTGAGAGCGCCCCATGATGATAGGAAATAACCTGCCCCTGTAAAAAGTTTGCTTTCCCCCTGAACCAGCTACAAAAACAAAAGCCAGTCCATATGTTTACTGTAAGCCAAAATTAAATTACGTGATTAAAGCCCTCAAACAGCTGCCACGTGAGACATGGCCAAGTCATTATGGCATTTCAATCTGAAACTCAATTAAACCAAAAAACTGGTGAATCAGCTAACTCAGTTTGGACAGGACTTAAAAGTCAGATGAGCCAGATCAGATATGTGCCAGACCCATCGGGGGACCAAAACTAATAATAACATGCATCACAAAGCTTTTAAACTCCACAACTTTGTGAACTTTTACTTTCAAATGGATGTTGTCGGCATAAAATTAGGTATTCTTTTAAAGCTGCATTGCATCAGTCTCTTTTTGCTACAAATTTTAGTTGATATTTGGTAAAGGTTTTGTTTTTGCTGGACTTTTCTGCATGCTTAGATCCTTGTTTAGAACCTTTGATCATTCAGGTGAAGGCTGATATGATGCATCCATAAGCAAATCTATTTGTGGCCTTTGGTTGCAGTTAAAGCATACTACAGTAATTGATACAGCTGCAAGAACAGAGCTAATACTAAGACTTTCATGAAGCACTGCTTGAGTATTCAGTGAATTGCTTGTAGCGCAACACTTCCATTAATCATCAAAAATCATTTGTAATGAGATGTTTCAACACTATGCACAATAACAGCTCTTTATGTTTTAATTTTTCTGTTGTAGAGTGAAACATGTCATTGAATCTAATCAATGTAATGACTGAATTAATAGTGTTGAACTGCTTATCAAACCCCTGCAGCTTCATTTTGTTGTTTAGGACAATGAAAATGTGTGGCAGCACAGCACTAATTCCTGTAATTTTGTAATGCCACATAAACTTAGAGTTGTATTTACTTTCGTTAGAGGTAAATGTGTAGGTGCTGTTGAAGGCAGGTCATTTTGCAGGGAGATGAACATCCAGGCATATAAAAACAGTAATATTAAGCTTGGCAAGCACTGCTAGGAGCTTGAACCTTTGTCCTTCAAGCCCTAACAGGCTTACAGCTTTGTGGTCATTTGCATACCTGCCTGCCAACCTGCATTGAATATGTGTCACCAAATGCATTCACATGGAAATGGCTGCATATGTGCAAAAGCATGAAGTGTTCCTACACATATTTGCTCATGTTAAACCTCTAACCTTGCATTTAAATCGAACATTGACCACAATGTCACAGTGTCATGTACGGAGCACAATCGGAAAACAGTCCACAAGCTTTTTGTGGGTTTTTGCAGTAAGACTGAGCTCAGCCACGCTTAGGGGGAAATTCATTTTGGCTGCTTTCATCTGTGATGTTTTCAGTCTCTACCCAAAGCTCATGACTGTAGGTAAGAGTTGGAACATGGATTGATGAATAAGTGAAAAGATTTTTCACTCCTCACCATAGTGCTCTGGTGGAATGCCTACATTACTGCTGACGGTGCACTCACCAACTTCCCTCACTTGTCTTCAAGACTGGAAAATACCTAAACTCACTCCACCTGTGTGATGCATTTGAACCAAAAGTATCTACTGTCTCCTAGCTGAAATTTAGCTGCACTGATCTCCGTGCTGAGAAACAACCTATCAAGTTTGCATAAACTTTATTTTTGATTAGAATAGCTGCAGCAAGAATATGTATATCGGCTATATTGTAGATTTAAGATTCCTTCCAGCATAAAGCTAGATCAAATGTGAAATAATGAATGTAAAATCAACCTTCCTCATCTTTAAGTTCTGGACTCTGAAGTTGCTAATGTTTTGCATTCAAACTCTCCTTCTGCTCTCAGCCTCCAGCATTTTATTCTATCAGGCAAAACATCATAATGGATTTTTGGCTATTTCAATCCAGAGACTTCACATTTCTGCTCTACTTTATATGTGTTTGTCCCATGGCTTAGGGCACATAGGGATAGAAAGCACATTAAAGCAAACAAAAATACGTTCCTCCTGGAAAATCTTGACCACACAACACTTAACACAACCCACAGCACCCTCTAGCACTTTAGTAAAAAAAAAAAAACATATTTTAAATTTACAAGTCTATAAGTTCCCAAATGTCAGCAACACATAAACTCAAAAGTTGCCTACACTCAGCCTGAACATTCAAGGGTTTTTGTAACACAATTAACTGAACTTTGCAACTATGAAATCAACAGACACATTAGTTTTCAGGGGTTTACTGCACATTTGTAGCCACAGGCTATGAATGCAGATGCCTTGTGACTTCTCTACCACTACCCTCGTCTTTGACCTAGAGGCCCCAGCAGTCACACAAAAGGATTGGCTGAGATTACTTTGCTCCACTGCATCAAAAACGACCTGCCCAGGGGCAAATTTGATTGGTTAAAACACGGCATCCGTGGCTATTTTCCATGTGGAAGAATGGAGGCCAACAGCAATGCAGCAGCGGAGCAGGTTCATAATACATATTTATACCTGCAGTCTGTGGAGCATTTATACCTTTACACTTTTCATTTATGTGTTGCTTCTTATCTGCTAACCCCTAGCTGTGTTTCTCATTTTTGTGGGCAGATTTGCCTTTTGTGCATTGTTACTATTATCATATTCATTTTTTTTTTGCTGCTCACCTTGTGGAGAAGAGCTCCGGGGGATTAATGATGGAAGACAGGGCAAAGAGAAAGAAAGTGACAGTCCTAATCACAAACTTTGAAAAGACCTCCCTCTGCTTGATTTTTTATTATCGTGGTGTTGTTTATAGAGTGAGAGAGAGATCTTGCATGGTGACTTTTATATCGCCTTTCATCCTATTGTGTTGCAAGCTAGGTGTTGTTGTTGCTTGCTTAGGTCAGTTGAGTTCGTGTTATATCATTCCTGCTCCTAAATGTATATTTAAAGCCATTTTGTAGATATACTTGTAAATATGCTAATGTATATGCACTTATACCAAACATGGGTTGAATCATTTCTTTGAATGAAGAAGCTGAAGAAAACACGAGCTGACCTGCTGATTAGTCTACAGGTAAGAAAACAGTCAAAACTGAGCTCATTCATCACAGAGACCATGTCGAACTGTGTCTCACACTAGCAGTACTGGTACCACCGGCTGTCAGTTCTGCAAGTTCATGTCCACATGTCTGTAGCGTTTAACTCACATGCCAGTTCAACCAGACTCAGCCTATCTCCATTTTTTATGTAAATAAATACGGCTTTACATCTGGGCTAAAGAGCATGATAGTGTTATGATATAGTAGCCATCAACTAGAGCTCTGGCTAGGGCTTGGCGGCTGTGCTACAGCTTGGACATAAGGATTAATAAGCATTTAGTGCCCTCAATAATAAGAATGTGAGGTCAGCTGACTTTTTTGTAATTTTGGGGTTTGGGCTTTAAAGCCGGTTAACAGTCCAACCATAGAGGACTTAGATTTATACTCATGCCTCCATATGGTCAACAGAAGCACCCCACAGAGCTTGACACAAACTTTTTCACAAAGAGCACATGTGCTCCATGTTGAAAAAGTAAGGAGCACGTGAAGAACTTTAGGGGCACAATGAAAAAGTTAATTACTGTTATTTGAAATCAATTTTAAGTCAATTGGTCATGTGACATGGAAGCTATTGAAGAAAATGTACAAAATTTGCCTTTAAATTTAACACAAACATTTTTTGAGGACAAATTAGGGAAATAAAGAGGTGTCTATTATTGTCCGACCTTAGTACTATTATTTGAAATTAATTTTAGTGCAATTGGTCACATGACATGGAAGCTATTGAAGGAAAACAGCCTTTTCTGAGAACATCAACTGGTAGAATATCCAACCTAAAACTAACTTCACTGCGGTATTTACGTGAAAAAACATTTGTTGCATCGGCCATTTTTTTTATGCACACGTGTCCCTAAATACATTTTACAATTCGCACACATCTATTTTTAGTCGCAAATGTGAGTGAAACGGTCGCACTGTTGAACCCTGCCCCATACTGTGAGGAAATTGACTTGTTTTGAGGAAAATTGTTCTCCTGTCTTGGACCACAACCCCAGGTGAGTGTTAGCGTCCAAGAGTCTGTGAACCCTAATGTTACAGTGTTTTTGTGTATTGTACTAATATACTATTTCTATTACAGGTATGCATAATTAATGAAGTTTAATTAAGTTAAGGAACTTGTAGTAGTATCATGTTTTCATCCAGTTTGCCTTGTGCATAATAATTCAAACAATCATGTAACCAGTTACTGTATGCCATATGTGGTTTTCTTGCATTACAAGTATCAGACTTGCAGAAAATTCAGTCTCAATTAAATTCAGGCCTTGCATTTAATTGTTCTGTCAACTAAACACCCACATCCTACCAAATTAGTCAAAGGATGTGATTAACTTCTCCTGTTTAGAGTAAAGCAGCTGTAAAAACAGTGGTTGTTATGGAACCTCGTTTGCATTAATTGTGATTGTACACTGATAAGATCACTGCAGTTTTCCACTGGTTCATGACCCTTGAAACGATCTCTCCCTGGTCTATTGCTAATTGGTGAGAGCAGAAGCCTTGACAATTGTGAAGTGTGCAATTATTGCTCAAATTGGATATACTGCAGAGCAATAATGCATCTTTTCTGTTGCCAGGAGAATCTCAAAGGCTCAGGCGGAGTGATTTGCAGCACTATATAGCTTTTTGACTGACATCAAATCCTACAATTGCGAACAATGCTGTAATGGCAATGGAAATCTTTGCAGATACAATTGCTTGCTACCATTATGCACCAGGGCCTCTTTGGCTTTTGTGGAGAAGACACAAAATTGCAGTGCTATTATCTAACCGTTCCCCTCCTCCTTTCATCATCTCTTCTTGAATAAAGTTTCCCTGAGAGCGAGATAAGCACAAGAGTGGAGTTGCAGAGGTTTTTTTTTCTTTTTAGGATAGAAAAACCTATGTTGGTTGTCAAGAGGAGTGATGAGGGAGGCGTGTTTGTCTGTCCTGTCTATCTAACTGGGAGGATCGAGAAACGTATTCAGGCCTGTTCTTGTGCCGGGGATACGGCAGAGATTGAAGGGATTTCCTGTTCAGTATGTCGCCTACACAGTCACCTCCTCCTACCTTCTCGGCTGTCGTTTACCTTCATACTTGACCCCATAGCCTATCCAAATCCTCTCCCACTCCTCTTCTCACCATCCTCAGTCTCTTTCCCTCCCACACCGTCGCTATTTTCTCCATCCATCCCCCCCCATCGTCATCCTTCTGTCTGCTTTCCTGACTCTTCAACTCTCCTGCTGTTTTTCTACTATTTAGTCCCTTGATTTCGCTTGCCTGTTTCCTCCCTGCAATCACTCCTCCTCCTTCTCCTCATTCCTTCTCCTTTGCTGTTTTGAGTTCTTATATCCACTCCCAGAGGGGGAAGTATGGGTCTGGTGAACATGGAGAGCCCGGAACAAATCAGTCTATCGATCTGTCCATGTATCCCTCGCTCTGCCCCTCTGATCGTCAGCAGAAAACAAAGTGTTTATTAAGCGAAACCTTCCCAATCTCTTTTTCTACCCTCTGTGCTTCACTATCACCCCCCTCTCTAGGTAATGGAGAGCCTGTTTCTGGGACCTGTCCGCCCAGCTGAGACTTGTCGTGTCATCCAATTACATTTCTTTAGCAAAGTCCCACCTGTCAGGGTTCCTAACTTCTGCATTTCTTCTTCCTTCTCCCTCACCCTGTCCACCTCTGCTGCCAATTTAAAGTTGGCCTGGACTGTTCCCAGAGAGCGAGCACACAGGCAGCTCTTATTTATGACGATGCACTGCAGCAAAGCAGAGCCAAAAGGAGAGGAGTGACGTGGAGTGGAGTGTTTATCAGTCATCTGCAGTCTATAGGGCTTAAATTGGGCCTGAATTTCGTACGGAACGATTGCATTATGGTCTCCTCTGAAAGGCCTGAATTTGATTGAAATGGAAAGCAGTTCCTTCTTGCTCTGAAAATACATCACTGCTGATTAGATTATGGAGAACTGCAAGGAGGGTGGCGGGTTGAGAATTCAGAGCAGTGGCAGATATGCGGGTAAAATGTAAGCAAAATGTACCGTGCTAACCGCTGAGTGGGAAGAGAAAGGAAATAGAGGGGAGGGATGAGTAATGGTGGTAGCGGGAGAGAAACTGACTGCAAACAAAAGAAATTCCTGGATCTCTTGATCTCTCCCAGTCTGGTTGCAGTAACCTCATATTGATACGGTATTAGCTGAAGTCAGAGGTTCAGCTTGCCTTTACTCTGACAGACAGACAGAATAGATCCATGCCATTCCCAGCCGCAGGGCTCCCCAGCCTTACATAATCAATCAGCCGTTAATGGAGTAAGTGGCTGTGGAAGGATATTAAATGTTAATTGCTGTAAGGTATTGATAACACCCATTGATCCTCTAGATAATTGCAATCAGTGAAAACAAAGATACATTATATGAGAGTGAGCTCCTTTACCAGAAGCTCTGGCGAAACAATGATTAATGGATTTATGGATGAGATGTGCTTTTGTTGTGCACATCTCTCAGCTCAGCATTCACATGGGGACAATTAATAACATCTCAGACTCTCCAGCATTCACCTGCAGAGAGGAGCTGTCTGGTATCATTTCTAATATAGATCAACAATTTTTTGATCAATTAGTCTTTGTGATTCATTTCATACTGATTGACTTACATTATTTAACTATTCGTCTTTAACTTTAAAACAGATTCTCTCTTGCTTGTTATATTTGGACTCCTGAAAGAGCGTCTTAGTATAGAGTAAACAAATCCTATTTTTCACGCAGACACACACTGAATTCATGCAGACCACAGTGGAGTCATAAGCAGCAAATTGTTTTTGTGCCTCCAGTCTGAATTTGTTAACACTTTTGGTGTTCCCTTTACAGGCGGGCAAAGATTTTCAAGAATTTCTGAATCTCTGAAAACATTAAATATATACTCCTTGTATAAAAAGAATCACACAGTGACAAGATGATAGGAGAAACACATCATGTAAATATTTAAGCCATCTATGGGGTGTAGGAGTTCTCTAAACCAGTTTCCCCACCATTAAAAGGGGGGAAGATGAAAAAGAAGCAGACGTGGTAGATAGCTAGCTGTAGCAACCCTCCAAAAAAGCAGTTTGACACTTAAATCGGAGGTTCAAAGATTTATTGTGGATCTAAAAACACTGTACAAACTTGTGCCTCTTTGAAAAGCTCTTTTTTTTCTTTTCTTTCACATCTATAACTTGCACTCAATTGGAAGAATAATAGTTTGTTTCAGAATAATGCATTTTTTTGAATACAGAACATTTATTAACCTGAACTTAAAGTTTATAAAATACCCTGAAATTCATATTGATGCTTTTTCATAATGAAAGCAAGTGAGATAATCAGTGACAGGTTCCAGGATTTTTGTATTCTAATTTTTACCGCCCAAAGGTGCAGGGCGTAGGTGTCATCCTGGCAGCTAAAGACGCAGTCCTGCTTCTACATAACGTGTTCACAATTAATGGTACATTTGACTGTCAAAACTCAGCAAGAGGACATTTTTGGTCAATAGTCCCTGTTTAAGCGAAACAAAGACTGCTTTGTCCACAAGGAGGTGCTAAAACTGATACAAACTGAAAACTCCTTACAGGTGCTTTAGTACTGTGAAATGTCAAAATGAAAGCATCTCAAACAATTACGTTACCGGACAGTCCATTTTCTGAAGAAGTTTCCATTACAGGTCACAGGGTAAATGAAATATAACTTTGAATGTAATTTGATTATCTGACTTTTGTCTTCATGATAAAGACGTTAATATAACAGCCCTGTGTGGTATCATATCAGCTACATACAGAGTAGAGCTCTACTGAAAGATAGCAGAGACATGCTTTATTTTCAATGACAGGCATCATAAGGAACTGACAAATGACACAATGGTTGTTTTTTTTTCTCAGATTGAACTTTTCTAACCTTCAAATATTCCAGTTTCAGAAGCCTCTTTCCTACATGCACTCTTCATAGATCCAAAAAAAGAGCTGTGAAAGACATGCGAACAAACAACTTTTGAAAAATTTCAGTGCAAAGCTCCCGAACATTTCTGGCCTCAGAAATCTGTCCCTCACAGCGTGAACTTCTCCCTGTCAGAGGCATGAGGGAGGAAATGAGCGAGACATGACATCTAAAGTACTCTGTGAAAGCCAGAGTGTGATGTTTACAACATGATTGCAGACAGAGAAAGGCTAGGATGGCAGTTTTGCATGTATTTTTATGCTACTTGTAAATGTCTGTAAATGTGGACATCCCTGCTCTTGTCTCCTTTAGCTTTGCATGTCTCTAGTCATACTGTTGCGTGTTGCTCCTCTTCCAGGTTTGCACTCTTCAGATAAAATAAACATGATCCCTGGCATGCTCATGTTGAATTCTCCTGAATATTTCCAACTCTCTTTGACCTCATGCAAATATTTTGCTCAGCTGGAAAAATCATGGATTAAGTTGAGGAAATAAGTTGGCTAATTGTGTTGACACATGCAGCCCATTTAGGAAAGTTCTGGGAAGTTTTATGAAGTCCTGTGCATGTGTGAATACAGCTCAAACCTTTTCATAGTCTGTCTATTTCTCGCCCTGCTCTCTTTCCTCTTTATTTCATCACATTATATCCCCTCCTCATTTTCTCCTGCACTGTCTTTGTTCCCCACTGCTGTCTGCTGTGTGTTTGCTGGGAAAACTTGATGCCCATAAATGACTTGCAGGGTGCAGAAGACGGCAGCAGCATCAGTCAGCTCATTATAGATTAACCCCTCAGCGGAGTGTGTGGTCGATCAGAGAGCAAAACAACAATCTACAACCCCCAGTCAGAGGGGAAGAGTCAGGACTCTTGTGTTTGTACGAGGTGTGTATGTGTGTGTGTGTGTGTGTGTGCGCGCAAATGCGTTTGTATGTAGCCTCTTTGTGTGTTTGATGAGGTAGACTTAGACTGAGGTGGATAGAGACTTGTGGCTACTCCCGTGCCACCTGAGAGGATTTGGCAGGCCCTGGTGAGGCGTCACGTCAGAATGCCTGTTGAATAATGCATGGCCTCTGTGCAGTTGGGCTCTCTAATACCACATGACTCTGAGACACCCCTCCTAAGATCAATAACACTTAGAAGCTGCTTTATAATGAAGGAGACTCTAAAATTCCATCATCAGGCAATTAGTTGAACTCTGCCTCCTATTCCTCGCCCTTCCTCTCCCAGATCTTTCTGGCCTCGGCACAATATGGGGCACATCGTTTGTTACGAGAGAGAAACGGGGAGACAGGTTTGCCTTTGATGGAGCGTTTCTCAGGCTTTGATGAGGGTATTTGTCAAAGCAGTTTGCTGTTTTTTGACACTAGAATACAGGAGTTGGAGTTGAATTTCTCCTCAGATGTATGAAAGAGAAGAAGAGAGGGAGATACGTGAAGCAAGTGTGGAGAAAGAAAGAAAGAAAGAAAGAAAGAAAGAAAGAAAGAAAGAAAGAAAGAAAGAAAGAAAGAGAGAGAGCACCCTCTTTTTTGATATTTTCCTCTCTTTTCTCTAAAGCCTAAGAAACATGTATTTGCAACCTGCTGCAGACTTTAGCTACATATCAATACATCACATTTGGATAATAATGGAAATTCTAATAGGAGTCAGATACATGACGCATGGTTCGGGGTATGTATTAGCCATGCATACTCTCCATTATGTGAGCAATACCTTCCCTCTTTGCAATATGCCATGCGGTCTCTGTGAATGCATATATAATGACTGAATGAGCTCTGCAGACAGGAGCCCTCTCCGCTCTACTCCACAGGGAGGTCAAAGGTCAGGAAGTGATAATGCAGTGTAAATGTACTGGCTTGGGAATTGGAGTTCATTAGAGGTCCATTATAGTCTTTGAGTGACATCACTCTCTGGTGAAGCAGGAAGAGAGTACGAGACGGGATTTAGGGTTAATGGACTCATGATGGATGATCTGGGGTCATCGGTATGTTGTGATAAAAACGTGACATTTTAAACAGAAGAAAATGAAACAGTTTTAACTCCTTAAAAGTTTATATCAGGGCATAATTACAGAACAAAAGAAACTTTAAGGCAAATCCTGCATGCTGCATGGCTTGCAAGAGAGTCCAAACCCCCTTTTTAGCCCCCTTCTCACCCTATCTTCTATTCAGTTTTATAATCTGCTGCTGTGTTCTGAAGCTACCAAATGTATTAGGCAAGAGGAGGAAGAATTAGAAGAGATAACCAGTGTGAACGGCGAATCTGCTTAATTTGGACCAGAGCCAACATCTCATTATTCATCCTCTTCACTGTTTATTGGTGAGATGTGGAGGGAGAGGTGGATTGGGAGCAGTCAGGGAGTCAAGGAGTCATCCAGGGCTGCGTGGTTCTACAGGGGGATCTTTTTTGCCCGCTCCCTGGGTCCTGGAGGTCAATCTGAGCCGCGGCCCTCTCTGTCAGTGTGGAATAATAGAATAATGGCATAATTAACTGGCAAGAAGATTTTGCCCCGGGGACGTGCTCTGCTGCTCCATTAGAAGGAGCTGAAGCCGTGGTCCGGCCTGTAATTAGGTCTCCATGGGTTCTAATTGTCCTGCAGTTTTTGAGTTTAAATGGTAGTGGTGTGGCAGGATGAAGGAAGTAGAAAAGTGTTCATGCACAGATTCACTGGAGGTGTCTCCTTTGTGTCCCTAACCAATTAAGGCCAAATGTTTTGTACAGATATGATGGATTTGGGCTCACAGTCCAAATATGACTAACCTTTATGTTTCTCTGGAGAGGGATTACAATGACTCATCGTTTCATCCATTTGTTTGGTGCCAGAAAAAATTATGGTCAAGATTTTTAAATTGGAACAAAAATAGAGCCATTATTATCAACTTTTTGTCTGAGATAGTGCCATACTTTCTGTCTGTTTCATCATGAATTTAATGTTGTGGGAATTGGGAATTCGATAACAGAGAAGAGATTCTGAATAAGTTTTTCCTCCATCCAGGGTGTACTATGTAACAAAAAAAAGTCCTATGTGGTCTCATGTCTTTGGACCAACAACAGGTCACGCTTATCCAACATTTGGCATGTTCAGTGCCTCTGATAGGTTTGTCATCTGGTCGGTATAAAGTCACATCACATATTGGATTGTGTAATATTGCTTTTGTATTTTACGACTGATATTAAATGTATTTAGTTTTTACCAATCTCACTTAAATGCTCCTGTGAGATTAGAGATTTGCATTTTAGGACTGCTAAACAATTAAAAGTCCTCACCTTGCTAAAAAGCACCAGGAATACTAATCAGTCTGACCACTAATTGGTGTATTTGTTAATGTAGGCTAAAATGATGGTATTGTGTTGTGTCTAAGGCTGGGCCTTACCACTAGAAAGCCAATTCAGACCATCCTAATTTGTTATAGACCCAGAGTTATTATGATTTTCATCTTTAATACCTGTGGTGTTGTAGACAGGTTTGTTCGATTGAAAAAGAGGAGCCTAATGTGTGATATAAACACAAAGACTACCACTGGTACTGCATGTCTCTGGCTCAGAATGAGAGCTGAGGCGATTGCCTCTGTGATTACTTTGCAGAGTTGAACAGTTGTACTACTCTGATAGGATTATCTGTTCAGTGTTGAAGTGCCTGTTCAGCCATAACACAGATAAACCTGCAACTCAATTAGCTCTTCCCCATTTTATTGCAAAGTTACACTGGATCCTGATCTACACATTTACCAGCCAACAAACACAACACCTTTGTCTTTTACGCAGGACTGTTTTTGCTCTAAATTATCAGTTAGCAACTCGTAAAAAAGAGATAAGCTGCATGGATTTTGGTGTTATGAAGATGTTCTGTTTGCATGTTTCAGACTTTGATACTAAAACAGTCCACGTGAACAGATGTTCAGCAGCTCCCCTGCAGCTTGTCACTTTTCCATCCTCCTCCACCTCATGTGGACACCCTGTACACTTCTTGCTGTGTCATGCTCTTAACACGACAGAAGATTATGTGTCTGTATTGACTCTCTGATGTTTTAACAATGCCTTTGCCAACTAGCGGTGGCTTCTCCACCTCTCACACAGCTCTAACTGATCGTCCATTGAAAGGGATAGCGGCACATATTGGTTTTTCATACAGCTGCTTGTACTGAGCTCCACTGGATACACAGAACTGCTCCGCTTCATCCCTGCTTCTGATTTATTTGAATTTTCATCACCTCAATTGATCGAGACCCTTTACTCAAGGGACAAAGATGCAGACTAAATGACTATTGACTGCCAAATGTTTGAAAAATGCATTTGTCAGACCACCAGTGCTATTGATGAGGGTGTATTAAAAAATGTATCTGCAGGATCAATGAGGAGGAAGGAGAAAGTCTATAGCAATAGACTACCAGCAAGTGTCTGCTCTATTATTTGTGCTCTGTAGCTCTGAGTACATTCCTCTTTTTTTCTCTCTGTCTGTCTTTTGTCTCCTAGCACTTTGTGCTAACCACTGCTGGCGCATTGCAGTAAACTAGGGGAGGTAGAGTAGTGGGGTTTGAGTGTGTGTGTGTGTGTGTGAGTGTGAGTGTGAGTGTGTGAGGAGTTGCAGCAGAAGCATCGACAAGCATCCGTGAGTTTACTGTCTCCATAAATCCCGCTTACCCGCTGCACATGCGCTCACATGCATACATGCACACGCTTCACATCAAGACACACTGACCTTTTCTTACTGATTTTTCTTTTTCTCTCAGTGCAAAACAGCAAGGGTGAATCACAGTGGATTATAAATGTCACATTTCTTCCTCACAGGTGGAATTTGGGATACGAGGATGTTAGCACGGCTATTTTAATGAAGACTGGCAAACTTCTCCTTAAATTTACCTCTTGATGAAGCAGAAAGTAGTGTTTAAAACATGAATTCACACATTATTTGAATAAGTTTGTACACATGTCTTATATATGTTGCACTCTGAATACTTTGTGTGAATTAGCAATTTCCTGTTTTATCACACATTGCTTAAATCTGCATGATATAAACCAAAGTCTTAATATATTTACACAGCGGCTCAGAACGGGAGTCTAAATCCTCCCATCCCCCCCTCAACCTTGTGCCATATCTTCATTTTGGGAATATTTGAATTTGCAAATCTTGTTTGACTTGTGGACCAATCAGAATTACAGTCATCCGTGCAGAAATGTTAGCTGTCTCAGAGCTAGCCGTACAGTTTGATGGTTGTGTTTGCTGTGGGATTTTAACATCCTCATTTCATGACTGGCTGGACTTTATAGAGGAGATGATGAAAGGTGCCACAGTCTACAACATCTCATATATCACATCCTCTTCACACACACACACACACACACACACACACACACACACACACACACACACACACACACACACACACACACACACACACACACACACACACACACACACACACACACACACACGCTTGCTCGGCCTCTGTCCATCTCTCCCTCTTTGTCTCTATTTTATCTCTCTCTCTATGAGCTGGCATACCATCCAACTAATGCCCCATCAAGATCATTAGAGAGTGATGGACAGCTTTTGATGTATACCATCATTTACTGGCAGAGTGTGTGTATGTTCATGGACTGAAGTGAGTCCCAGCTCTGCAAAGGTGCAGACTGACCTTTGACATCTGAAAGCAGAAAACACAGGAGGCTGGGATGATGATGGGCCTGGATTAAAGGAAGTAATATCACAAGGGGTTTGATTATGTTTGGCCTTTATTGCCATAGAGGAAAAAGATGGAAAGGGGAGTGTTTGGGGGATTTGCTTGCAATGCTTTGAAGCAATGATAGCAGTGTTTATAAATGAAAAATCCTGTAGATAGTAAAAACTTTAAAAGGATATGAGGAAAACAATTTAGATTGGATGTTGGCATTCTCGATAAGTGCCTGCTTTAACAACTCTTATGCAAAGGTGTTGGCATCAAAAATAGGTTTGCCTTATGGGCTGCTGTTTGAATCTTTGTTGGCTCTAATGATGAAATGTCAGAGGGTTTCAGGTGTGAAATCCAGGTCAAAGGGACTTCTGAGAGTTAATTAAAGCACAATGAGAGGACTTGAACCTGGAATTGCTTATCTCAAGGGTGAGTAGGTGAATGATCTGCAGCTCTGAGGTCAAGATGCATCACCTTCTCACAGAGAACAGTTTGTGTGCACATACTTTGAGTCCATGCTTATGTGCATGTAGCTGTTTGTGACACTCAGTCAGCAAACCAAACTTGTCTCAGTGATGAATGGCATTGTAAACATTGACGCGGTCCAAAACAGCCCCCCGGAGACCGTCCATGTTTGTGTGAGATCAGCAGAAAACGCTCTTATCATGCTTATTATGGTCTGTCCCCACAGTGTGGGGATGCTATGTGCTTTGCATCCTAATGTCCTAATCTATTCTTCATTAAAGCTTAACGCTGCGGTTAACGTGCCCTCTGATAGCATCACACTGTGCCCTCGCAGCAGCATACACCGAGCCTGCGTGCCACTGATAAAGTTTCAAAATGCAATAGAGATGGCTGAAATATGGCGCAGAGAATGCCACCCCCTGGATGCCGGCAGAGCTCCATAGATACAGGATCTCATTAGTAAGACTGAAGAATTAATTTTTAAGAAAGAGGGATCTTGGTGTTTCTTACGTCTCCATTATTCAGACAGGATGCCGAGGTTTGGAAGGCCCTGTCATGAGGTGCCATGTGTTCCCTGGCGGATGGTGCCATCTGGCCCACTTTACTGCACACTGCTAAGGCCACCAGGAAGGCTCAAGCAGCTGATGTTTAACTGGCACCGACTTGAACCCTAAACCAAGCGAGCGAAGTGTGTGTGGGCAGGAGCACTCCCACACCTACAGTCTGTTAAGTTGTACTGCCTCACTGTGACAGATGTGGCAGTGTTAGTGCCAGAATTTACGAGAAAATACAAGACTACAAGGGACGGATTCAGGAACAGAATGCCAACACCGAGTCTCAAGTCTGCTGTAAAAATAAATAAATAAGACGGGGACATTTAATTGGAAATGTTCATCAATTTGTCACCCGTATCAGGTGAAAGAGGCTTTGGAAAAAAAAAGTAGGAACACAAAGAGGAATTTGATGTAAATCTCAGAGAGAATGAATAATGGATTATGGAGTGGAGGAAGAAAGATAATGGAAGAAAAATGGAGAGAAAAAAGAGACAGATGATTGACAATGACGAGAAAGATAATAGGGAGAGTGATCAAAATTCAGCAGGCTCTCCACTGCATTCAGGCAACAAGCCCATTATGCACAAACCCATGAAGCTGATAGCCTACAGGCCCTGAAGTATCTCTATCTGCACAAAAACACCTCCAGGAGCTGGGTGGCCATTTTAAGTTGGAATTGGAGATGAGTTTTTCCATTTATTATTATTTATCATTTAATATGCTCTCTGTATCCTCCTTTATTTGCAAATTCCCTCGGCTTAGAATATGCTGCTGTCAGGCTGAAGCAAGGCTGATCTCGTCTTTCTGTTTTCTGAAAATGAGCTGCTTCTCTTCTGCTTTCTGTTCCTCAAACAGTCAGAGAGGTGACATCATGTATAATTGATGTCACCTCCAAGATAACACGCTGCTACTGCCTGACACGCAGATACTTTTCTTGGAAACAGTTATGTTCAAGTCTTGGAAGAAAATAGAGGATGTGAATAACGTAATGCCGCTGAACTTCAAATTGAAGAAAACTTACGAGTTAATTTAAAAGAGGTCAAAGGAAGCAAGTTAATCAATTAATGTACGAACAAACTTGAAGTTTCTTGTTCTTTATGTTGAGGTCAGAAACCAGGACAACTGTAGGTGTTTTAGATTCATTAGCTTTTGTTTTTCAATCATGTAGTACGTTTCAAAATAAAAAAAAATCATGTTTCTTTCTTTCTTTCTTTCTTTTTAACTCATAGCCTTTAAATAAAAAAGTAACATAAGCAGTAGAACAGTCTTCAACAATAGTCCAATTAGTTCAATCCAATCATTACTTTATCATTTCTTTGAAGTAATCACAATATTTATTATTTTGCACTGCAGACGCGGTAGTTCTTCTGCTTTAGCATCTCGGTCTGATTGCATTTTTATGAAGTAATGATCATAAATGTTCTTCCTTGAGCTGCGTCACCCCGATGCACTTGGTGATGGACTCGTCCGAGCTCTCCCTACAAACAAGCGGCTGCTGGAAGAGAGTAGGTAAGTTGTGTTTAGTCTCTTTGCTAAAGAAACCAGGCAAAGTTAAAAAGATGTTTGATAGTACTGATAGTATAATGGCTGGGACCCTATATGTACTGTTGATGAAGTTAGGTGCTGTTCTGAGCATTATTTGTGGCTATGTGGTTGAGGTCTGTGCGTGGATCCATAGACTGCTGTGTATTGCTATTGTGCGGTCGTTACTAAAGTTGGTATGACTAGAGAAGCAAGCAGTCACATTTATCTCTTGAGGGGATGTCTAACTCGGTGTTACGGTGTGTTTGACCCTGACTTAATTTACGCCGCAATATCCCTTTAAACTCAATTTCTTTGTTGTCATGGATACTTACCTGATTTGACATTGTTTTTGTCAGTTTGTGTAACTTAATACTGCATGTGTGTTTGAGCAGCTCAGTTTGACGTGCTTTGCTCAACTGCATGTTGATAAAACCGAGTGTCGGTGGATCTCGTGGTCTGATCATGTTTTCTCCATATCCAACCATCAGCTGAGGGAAGGATCTATCATGTTGTCATTTTTCCATTCAGCCATACTATCACAGATTAATGTAAGCAAACGTGCGACACCTCCTCAGTTGATGTGTTTCAGTGTATCAGGCTCCGTAATACAAACTGGTGGCCTGTGATTGAAGCTCTCCCTCACTACCAGTCAGCCTGTTGTGATGCTCTTTAATCCATTTTCACACAGGGAAAAATATAAACAGAGAGAGAAAATGAATCATACATTTGTTGTTTAGCATGCTGTACATTATTAATGACATGCCAATGCATTTAAATCTGCCAAACCTGTGAATCAGACCAGCTTATGTACAAAAGATTACATAAAGAAGCATAAATCTGAGCTCAGTGAGATAGGTAAGAGGTTATTAAGTCAACAAGGTGACTAAGACACACCATTGGATAGAAAATAGGATTTTAGACTACAGGTTAGCAGGAAAAGTCATTCATTTTTACTGAAGTAAACCAATTAACACTGCAGAGCACAAACTAAGCGTTTGCTTTCTTGCGTTTAGACTGCAGCACACATAACACCTGTTGCCGCCTGGTTAATCATCATCATTTTGCGAGCTATTTCCCTGGCCCCGTTCCCAACCTCATACCTAATATTACATTTAATGTTTGCATACGGTATAATGATGGAACACCGAGCATGATTGAAGTAAGTAGAGTCAACAATTTAGTAGCACTTCTCACAAAACTCTTTATCACTGAATGAAGGAGCTGCGAACCCCCATTTTATGTTCAATTACCTCCCCTCTAAGTGGCTGTTATGACTTACTGAAGAGCACCTGTGGATTTCCTTCTCCAAGCTTTGAGCTGTTGAGTCTCGACTCCACGTTTGTCTTCTGGTATTGTTAAAAAAATTGGATCAGTCACTGAAGAAGAAAAGAAAAAGACTTTTTGAAGCCCTGGTGTAAAGAGCAAACATTCTTATTGAACAGCTGTTTTTCTCACGTCTCTAAAAACCTCAGACCTGTCACATTAGAGATGTAAATACTGCAATGTATGTGCTGGGATGGAGTAATTCACACCAACGCAGCACTCAGGTGTGTTATGTTCGTAGGGTGCATCTCAAAATGGCTTAGGGCTCTTTGCTCTTCAGAGTTGATTTCACAGTTGTTTAATTTGTGTCACAACACACTGAGAAAACCTTGAGGTAGTGTGGCTCATGCACTCACCTCTCAGCTTGGAAAAAAATCCCATCATCCAATTCTGAACCGCCTCAATCTTCTCAACATTGTGAAGAACTCGGAGGTCCCACTCTTGTTTTGTGTCTGAGACGTGATAAATCACAGATAGTCATTCTCTAGATTTATGACCCGCTGTCTCATGCATGCGGCACTATGGAGTTGGAACAACTCGCACAATCTAATATCCTACACTTTAATGATGAATAATGTCACACCACACATGCACACACACACACACGCACACACACACACACACACACACACACACACACAAAGGTATCAAAGCCGTGGAATAATAAACTCACTCTGAAACCCATCGTTGGGAAAATGGCATTTCTAAAGGAGGCGGTGGGCGATAAGATTTGAGGTGGAGAGTGGGCTGATCTGAGCTATTTTCTGCTGCACTTTCAATTTGAGATGGAGATTTGGATGGCGGTGGCCCTGCGTAGACAGGTAATCTGGTACAGCCATTAGTGCCTGCTAAGTGGTCAGGTCTCAGTGTCACACCTTGTCCATCAGTCTCTATTTGTCGAAACACAGACTGCCCATTTCACAGGGTGCTCCCCCTCCCCGCTCCAAAGCAGGTAACCACAAGCTGATAGTCTGGCAGAAGTGCTGACAACCCGAATGGACAACACGGTCAATGTCGTGTAAATGGATGAACTGACCTGCCGCATCAACCACCACCGCTAACAACCCCCAGTCCTGTGGGACGTCACCCCCCTCCTTCAACCCCTCCTTCCAACCACTCCACCACTCTGATAAGGGGCTTCAGCCTGAGAGGGGCCCCTGACTGTAAAGAGGTAATTCATGCAAACAGGGACATGTTCATTGAAAAGGGGGGACACTTGAGGACTTAAATGCTGCCACCAGATAGGAAAGAGGGGTGTCTGTAGGCTCAGGGGGGGGAGTTCCTCAATTGCACGCACTAAACAACCCTCCTGGAACCTCCCTCGCTAATCAACGTCTGCACGGAAAAAGAACTACACACCATGGCCATGACGATCTTCCACAAGAAGACCATCTTTCTGTGGTCACTTTGACTATCTTTGTTTTCCTAGATTTTAAATAAGGGTTCAACCAGGGTTACCGTTTTCCAAGGGATAGATCAAAATTGTGTCTGACCTCCAAACCATAAACAGAAACAAGGTCCGATTGGATCTTTTTCAAAATGGTTCCACATTTTCACACAAGGTCAGATAGGATTATATGTCTGCTAAATATATCTGAATTTTATTCTTTGAGGAAAAGAGTCTAACCCTTTTTACAGTTCTCTTGTTTTGTTCCCTTTTCTCCTTTTCTTGTTCTAGTTCCCTTTACCGCTGTTGTTGTTTTTGTTCCGTTCCATCCGGATCTTTTACCTTTTTTTTTTGTTTTGTTTTATTTCCTATAATCTTGTTTTTGTTCCCCTTTCATCTTACTGCTCCCTATCATCTTGTGTTGTTCCCCTCTCCTTTTTTGGTTCCCCGGTAACTTGCGTTGTCCTTTTTATCTTTTCACTTGTTTCATTTTCTCTTGTTCCTGTTTTAGTTCCCTTACTTCTTGTTCTTGCTCCTTTCAATCTTCTTCTTTTCTCTTATTATTATTGTTCCTACTGTCCTTATTTTTGTTTCCGTTCCCTTGTTCTCATTTAAGTTTCCTTTACTCTTCTTGTAATTGTTTCCTAGTTTCAAGCTGTTGTTCCCTTGCATCTTGTTCTTGTTCCTGTCATTCTTTTTCTTATTCCCTTTCCTTTTGTTCATGTTTTTGTTCCCTTCACTCTTGTTCTTGCTCCTTTTCGTCTGTTGTTCTTGTTCTCAGTTTTTGTTCTCCTTGTTTTTGTTCCTGTGTTTCAACTTCTCCTTGTGTCTAGTCTTCTCGTTTTTGTTCTTATTCTTGTCCTTCTTGTCTGTTTTTGTTCTTGTTCTTCTCTAGCTCTTGTTTTTCTTTTCCTCCTCTTCTTATCACACACCAGAGCCTGATGTTAGGTTTGTTTGTTCAGTCTAATTTTCTCACCTACTGTAAACCAGCCATTTAACACCTTTTTCAGTGATTATCTAACATTTCAAAAAGGTTAAAAGATTACAAGTGCTCTTAAAACTGGATTAGTAGATACGTGACTGTAGGCGCTGACTTTTGTAGAGGAGCAGATTTGAATTTGAGGGTTTTTAAAATCTTGTTTAGCAGTAGACTGTTTTTGAGACATGAAAACTCTTAAGTATCTAAAAATATAAAGCCAGTGGAAATGATTTGTGATAGAAGAGAATGAGGGAGCGGTAGAAATGAGCTCAACTTTCATCAAGCTGGGAGTAACCTTTAAAGGCCAGAGTAAAGGAGGGTAAAAAATCAAATATCCGAATAAAACTCATTGACTCGGTGCTCCTTTGTGTTTAAATGGTACTTGAATGGAAGCTTTCATTTGGTCAAGGGGCAGCACGATAAATCAGCTGCCAGGAGTGTATTAGTTTCTTGTTAAACAACCATAATAACCCAACCATTTTAGAGACAATTGACAAGAAAAGTTGACCTTGTCTGGAAGTTGTTTCATCACATGGCCATCAAACTGCGCCTCCAGATTTTGGGACTTCTGTTTCTCTGTGTGACATAATAAAAACAAAAAAACAGTGTTCATTTTCCCACAAATATTCACAATACAACCATTTAAAGCGTTCTCATTTCTTCAGAGTTTTTCATTTAAAGAAAATTTAAATGTATCTTGGGAACCTCAGGGCGCATTCACACCACCCTCGTTTAGTCCGGTTGAACCGAACCCTGGAGCGTTTATCCCCTTGGTGCGGTTTATTTGGTTCGGTGTAAACGCTGACCTTGAACTCTGGTGCGGACCAAATAAACGAACTCTGGTCCGCCTGAAGAGGTGGTCTTGCATCGCTATCAAGTGAACTCTGGAGTGGTTCATTTCTGGTGTGAACGTCATCCACACCAATCACAGGAAACGCACCACGCATCATGGTAGGCTCTCATTAATGTCTGTCGCTGCTCGTCTTTATCCGTCTGTTGTTTGCAGCCCGTCTACTCCGGAATGAATTAATTAATGCCGCAGTTTGAGCTCACTGGCTAAAGAGCCGTTCATACGCGCGATTGACTTGCATGTTTTGATACATGCTCCAGATGAGTAGCAAAAGCAAAATCAGCCTACGATGCTCCATGACAGGCGAAGACAGCAGAGCGGGGTTTGTATTCCTGCATAAACTAATGACCAACAACAGAACGATATTCGAGGTCACGTGACTTCCGGTTCCGTTTTCTGGAGCGATTGAGTTTGTCCTTTGTGAACGCAAACCGGACCAGTTAAACAATCAAAACAGATGTATTGTCTTGCCTTGGATTCCAATCAGGAAATGGACCTTTAGGTGTGACCACGACCTCAGTTTCATTACAAGTTGAAGATGTGTGTAAAATTCATCTTAATGGTTTGTTCACTGTTTAGGTCTCAGTTCTGATCTTTCAGATTCTTATATTGTGAACAATTTTGGTGGACAGACAGTTTCAGCCCTGTGGCCTCCAGCCTCTTAACACTGAATAATATTTTGTTTGATTGTCACACATTGACTCACTTCAAAGCGTCATATAAGGGGCCGCGGTGTATCTACTTGTCTGACTGCACTTGTGGAGTGAGATGAAATACAAATGTTAAAAGGTGCTTTGCTGGTGGAGAATAAGGGAAGTGACGGCAATCACACCCTTGATGAAACAATTATCCTGCTCTCAGTCTGCTGCCACAGCTGACAGTCTGAGGCTGTGATGGCAGCCCTGCGCCCCCCCTTGCTCCCCTCTTTCACCTCCTTCATTTCTCTCCTGTCCTCTCCAAATCCCCTCCCTCATTTTTTGTCTTCTCTTCCACCTAGCCATCACTGTAATTAGTGCCTCTGTCATTTGCTCTGACACGGGTGTGCACGTGTCGGTCCGTGCATGTGTGTGTAAAAGACCGTGCATGTGTTTGTGATGGGAGATAAAGCGTAGCAGCAATAGGTCGACTTCCAGAGCGATCGATTCTCAATTGCCGTAGAAGCGCTTTTCTCCTGTTTTTTTGCCAATTCAACACATGATTAAAGCCGGCGGGGCAATTACCATTCATCTGGAAGGAGACAGGAAGAACAGGCCCTCAAAGAAATGTGAGAATCAATCCATTATGAGCAGCTCCCCGCCTCCTCACCCTCTCTCTCTCTCCATTCCTCCCTTACAGCTCTGTGGCTTCTTTCCATCCCTCTCTTTCCTTTCCTTTCTTGTCTCTTTCTTTTCTTCTGTCTCCTCTGTTATCCCTCATCTCCTCACTACGTTTTTCTTCCTTCTAATTTATATCTTTCTGTTCCTCTCTCCGTCACTTTGCTTTCTCATTTTGTTCTGTCTGTACTCTCTTTATCCCTGGTCACCATTATTACCTCTTTCAGTTTCATTCACTTTTTTTCCTCTAATATTACAGCATGGCCACCACAATATCTGCAGCACTTTATCTGCCTTTCTTTTATCAGCCTTTTATCCACCTAAAGAGACTATTGATCGGTGATATGACATCTCTGTAAAGGAACAGTTTCATCTGGAGTAACGCTCTTCAAACTGAGAGAGAGACAATGCTCTGTGTCTGGAAGAGAGCATGCCATGTTTGATTGAAACCTTTGCTTGATGATCTGATCGACAGTCAATGTCTTTCAATAATTAGTCAAAATAAACCTGCATCTGTCATTAGTATGACATGAATACTTTGATGAGATTTGATTGTAAACGGGAAAACAGGTTGTGTGGAGAGCAAAAGTGGTAAAATCCAATTTTGCTGTAATGCTTCCCTGGCACCATATGGCGGTTATCTCATGATGATTAAGCTATAAGCATTGCATCAAGAATCCCTTATTGGATTTTTTTTTCCCCCATGAAATTGGCACCAGTGTCGGTTTTGCTTTTCAAGACTATGGGGCAAAAGCAGCACACCCAAACAAGAGCTACTTAGAAGTCCCTGAGTGTAAAACTATAAGTAAGGGTTTCCTAAGAATGCTGCACTATGCTATTTACATCATAAGTACCTGGCTATGGACACAGTGGAGCTCTGGAAGTGCATGTGCAGTGAGAAGTTGGACCTATACTTGGATCACAGCTGTTACAGGCGACCTCACCGGCTAAGTTGCTCTTTGAGGTGTCTTTTTACACAAACTTTAAGTGTAAAAAGTTAATAGGCTTTGAGACTTTGAGATTTCAAATGGCTGTTCGGAAACAGTCTGGGTGTTTGGATTGTGCAGCTCTACACACACGTAGTCAGACCTCTGTTTGTGCATACTCAGTCTGAACTTTATCTCTGGAGTTTCAGCTGTTTGCTGGTAATCTTGTATATAGTGTCTTTTGTCTTACCTGCATGGAATTTGTTCGTCGTGGCATTTTCACAAACTTGAATAGTTAGTGAGCTTAATTTTCTGTTATAAATTGCAAAGTCAAGAATTATTCCTTCCATATGAATCAGGTATCTTTTGTAAATGCGTCTATGCGGTCAATTCTTCATTTATGAATACATGAATCTGTTTTTGGACCACTTTTTCACTGTAGGATTTGGTTTTGCATCCAGCAGAGAGTTATTTTATTCAGTTTGGATTTTTTTTTTTTTTTTTAATAAAGTCAGTTAACATGAAATGATATAGGATTCAAAAGGAAAACACAGAAACAAATCATATTAATACCATTAGAGAGAGAAACATTTAAGCCCTTAGGATAGTCATGGCATTTTGTGACAGATTAAACTATAACATTTTTAAACCCCTATACCTCACCCGTGTAAGAATTAAATGCACCAACAGCATTAAAACGGTAAAAAGAAAATCACTCGTCCAGAACTCATTGTAGATGTTTAGTTTCATTACAGCTTCTTGCTCTGATAGAGAAGCGGGGTGTAATGTTGGAAATGAGGATGTGTACACTCTTTGTAATTGCTTTTTTAAGTGGGACAGTCCCAGGTCTGGTTCATTCTGACAGAGAGCCTAGGTCTCAGGTCATTAAACCTGGGAAATAATGTGGGTGAATTCATTAAGGCCTGATGATTGTTGACGGCACGCCTGGGTTGAGAATGGCCGGAGATAAGGAAAGGTCTTGGTAATTGGAGTTCTTTGGACACCAAGGCCTCACCTGCAGTTGGAAAAAATAGGATATAAAATTATCTGCAGCTGACACACGTGCAGGTGCTGCTTTATACACATCTAGAGTTCAATACATACAAACTTCAAAAAGCTGAAATGTAAACACACACACACAAATTTCAATTGAGCTTGAGGAAATTACGTTACCAGTGCAACGGCCCTACAAATCAGCTCATTTATGATAATATAAAAAATCCAATTTGCTCTCGTTCCTCATGAGGAGTGATAAGCAGCACTTGAAATGTGCGTGAGTACATCTCCACTTTTGATAGAAAGGTGACAGCTGGGCACAATCCAGGGCCCAAGAACTCTTTACTCCAGAATCACACAGCCGAGTCCTTCTTCATCAAAACTGAGAGGTGTGGACTCTCTTCTCCGACGCCACAGGAATGCGTGACTGATTGAAGTTGATTTCCCCTCCTAGTGCTTTGCATTGCAGCAGAATGGCGAAACACGCAAAGACGGTCGAGTAGGCAGACGTGGTCGGGCAGATAAGCAGCGACTCAACCCCCACCCTCCAGCACTGGGTGACATTGTGTCTACAAAGACTGTAGAACTGTGATTATACTGAAACTCTTGTTTAGACGTGTGAGTGGTCAGCTGCGAAAAGAGTTTATATCTAATTTGAACTTCTATGAGCAGATTTTGTAGAGAAACAGACATCAGATCCTTGTCTGCCATCATGACAGAGACTATTTCTAGATAATGAGATCCACCAGCCTCATCCCTCTACCACCCACACGCTCACACATCCACTCGGTAGGATATTACTCAATCTCGATGAGTTAATTAAGCCGTAATTGCAAAGTCACCCCACCCCCTTAACCATGAATGTTGCACCAAATATAATATTTTCATTATTGCAGCACTTCATCAGGGACAGGATTGAAGCCACCCTGGTGGGTTTCAAATGACCTCTTCCTGGGATAATGTTTTATATTTCATATCCCTCTCAAAATTACTTTTTTTTTCATTTACACAACAGAGTGCAGATTGTTTCTCAGAAACTTTTATGTTTACATTTTGTTTAATATATTTGAAATAATTGCCATAAAGACACAAAAAACAGTGAAATTACAGCCAATCAGAATAATTTGGTTTTATTTTTTTGGCTCATTTTCTGGCTCAGTTCTGATATATTGGCGTGATTCCATGCATGCTTTTTATTGGTAGTTTCTATTTGCAGTAATTTAAGAAAATTCTGTTTTCTTTAGCTATTTCAGAAGTTAACTTTTGCTGTTGGGGTACACTTCATCTCAAAATTCTTTTCATCAGCTTGTGTAGGGAATTTATCACCAATAAAATAATATAAACTGTTTTTTTATTTAATAGAGTATTTATCAGATTTAATATAACTGTATGAGCCTTTCATAACATCATAGCTAACATTTATTTTCGCTTAAAGGCTCCCCTATGTGCACTCACTGGAATGTAATTAAAGAAAAATGGGATTATTAGCATTTATCACGGTTAAAAAGCCCCTTAAAGGGTCTTACAAGTGGCTTGTTCACTATTGATCAATGCTTATTAGTATTATTGCTCATTAAGTGTGACCAAAATCTGTCTCGTGTAAATGTAAGCAAATAGAAAACTTGAGCATTACTTATGTTTGCGACCTAAGTAGAGGTTTGCAGAGTCTGCATGTAAATTGTGTCAAATTCACTGACAGTGACTAACATTAGCAGAGCTATCACCACCTCCTTTGAGGCCATCATCCTCATGCCTGTGCTGGTTATGCACTGCTCTAATCAAGGGGTTATTTATATGCCAATTAAACCTGCCAATGTCAATATACAAGTGTATCTCCACTTTCCAGATCTGCCTGTGCTAGCTAAAACACAACATAATGAAGGAGTCTAATAATAAAGATTTTAATGATTTGGTAAATGGACTAGTATTTTTGGTGTTATCTAGCAATGGTGACAAATCCTTTAGTTAACTTAACAAGTGCGCTCTGAGCTTCTAGTACACACAAAGGAAGAGAAATACCCGCTTAAGAATAAGACATGAAAAAAGATAATGTTTGAAGACGAGGACACTCATAAGACACCATTACCATCTTCTATTATCCAGTGTCTCTTTAATTTCCCTCAAAATGCTATTCCATAACACTCTGCATGCCTAATGTTAGCCCGGAATGATACCTTTTGTCCGTCAACAGAATTACAAATAAGCACATAGCGCCATAAAACAGCACATTGCCTCCATGCCCTGAGGCCAGATAGCAATGAAATTGATTGATAATCAGCGAATAGGATCACAGCAAATATGATCCCTGGATATTAACGGGGCTGTAGTAGCAACACATTTTCTTTTCATTAGAGTCCAGAGTGCCCTCCAATCTAATGAATTGCTAAGAGTTAAGAGTGCTTTTTAGGTGGCAGACCTTGGTTGGTTATTAATCATATAAATGGCACACTACCAATTAAGCCCCACAGTGCTGGGCATTAAAGCTTTTAAATGGCCCCAGATTACCCCGGACCACTCCACTAAGACCCTTTTAATTACCACCCTTACCAGGAGAAGGCCTTAGTCAATGAATATATCAATGTGTGGATAAATTCATAGAGCGCGATTCTTGTGTATAATTGCCATGATTGACTTTTGGGGGAGGGTAATTCCTGATAAAATAGAGATTGTGTGTGTGGGGGAGTGAAAATATGAAATTGTGTGTGTGCAGGAACTTCTACACTGGAGACTATGCAGATGAGACAGGAAGGTCAAGAGAGAAGTTTAGACTTTTCCGCCACATTATAATTGGCATCAACAGAATTAGAAGAAGGATTGTGTCAAATGAATTCATAAAAAGCTCAGTGGAGTTTAACCACCAAGAGATACTAATCACTTTGTGTGTATATCTCATTAGACCAGGCAGAAGTGCAGCTAACCACAGTCCAGAGAAAAATGATATTCACGCTAAGTAAAAGCATTTGTCAATTATGTTATCTAGTCTTTCATCCAATAATGTTCGGATTCTTTCTTATTGTGCTTCTCCAGTGCTTGTTGTAATTCTGACGATGACTTGACGTCCCTTCTCATGGAGCTCGAGATATGTCATTAATTAAAGAGAAGAAAAAGACCCTGACAAGGAAATTGAATTAATTATATGTTCAAGATCTTGGAGAGTAGCAAAATGTAGGGAATTTCTCTAGAGTATAAAGATACAGCCAGTTATCATAAGTAAGAAATTAAATTCAACACGAGGAGCTGCTATAAAACCACATGATGTATTTTCATGAAATAGCAATGGAGACCGTGGGGGAAATTAAAACAATTCAGGAAATGTACTGCTGAAATTTGGAGGAAGACTTTAGTGAGATTAAATCTTTTCATTTGGGGAAAAATGACCGTCTCTCCCCTAGACACACATGCTGATTCAACCTAGCATAAATTATTTCATTTGGTTTTAGGGCATGATGAAACATACTTGGAGCATAAAAAGACAAGGGCTGCTGTAATCCCTGTACAGTCAGTGTTTGTACCAGTGGCATTACAGACAGAGTCAGGGTCAACAGCTCACCTGGAGAAATAGGCACCTGGGTCGGCTGTAGAACTTTGAGGATTTCTGTCCAAGCAGAGGTTGAATAACTGAATATTTTTTTTGTTTTTAGTCCTTGACACAACCTTGATAGTACCAGTCATTGTTTAAAACTTTTCTATCTCCGCTCTGCAGTGTTTGTATTTAGCTAATGCTTATAGGAGCTAAAGCTGATGTCCCTCAGCGATGTACCAAACATGACCATTATGGCACTGGTATTAGCCCACAACAGTGAAAAATAAAACGATGGGTAATGTAGATTCATGTTTCAAAGCTCCTGAGAAAAACTCTCAGTTCCAGTCAATTTTAGCGCCTCCTGTGGACAAAGTAGTCTTTCCCGATCTTGTACTTTACATGCTTACAATGTGTCTTAGAACCCCCAAAAATCTCTCCCACTGGTTTCAAGCATTAAAAATAAGTGTATGAAAATGGCCAGTCTTGTTGATGGTGGTCTTGTTTACATTTTCATCGCATGAAAAATCATCAATAGGATTTTTTACAGTTTAGTTCCTAAAACACCAAAAACTCCTCATAGGAGCTTTAAAGAAAGCAAATGATACACATCACAAGAGTGAACCAGCATCAGTTATGTATACAGAAACTTGACATAGTTATCAAGTGACAATAATGACTTATCATCCTTTTTTTGTATAGTAACACACCTGAACCTACAGTTATGCCTCAGTCAGACAAAATCTGGCACACAAAGCCTGTTTACAAGGCTGTATCTCATGCAGAGAGTTTGTTTTGTTATGCTGTCAAAGTTCCTCTTCTCTGCCTGTTGCAGTAAACCATGTAATGCTGTTAGTCAGCTTAAGCATTTCAACACAGTGAGGATGCTTTGAGTTCCTCTCATTCTCCCTGAGCCTCACGTTTTCAAGGCTTTTAAAGCAGCTTACGTCTCACAGCCAGCTGTGGTCTCTTCATATTATTAGCTGATAAATTGTAGCATCACAAATATGTATATATTTCTATTAATTTGTACAAAGTATTGGTATTGATGAGCCATTTCAAAGCACATTGACTAATTGCCATCTTCAGCTCAATCAGCTTTGTGTTTCAGCATTAGGCTTTGTTGTGCAACCAACAAGAAATGCTCTGTTGTCTGTTTTTTCTTTTCACTGCTCTGTCATAAACACACTCGCAGACATGAACACAGACAAACACAGTATGAACACAAGCATGGAAAGACACACCTTACAAAATACACATCAAGCAGCTGTCTATCTATCAGACTGAACAGCTGGAACAAACATGTAAAAACCAGTGCTCTAAGAGGTTGCAATCAAATTCTAAGCACAGCCAACACAACTGAGGAGGGGAGCTGATGAACAGATGGAAAGTCAGGCGGTTGAAGATGTGCTGCTTGTTATGAGCCATACTCTAGGCTTCCCAGTTTTGTTTTATGATGTGGGATTAATCACGATAGAAATTGGTATTAAAGTTTTGAATCCAGAGATCTCATCCTTTAGTTGGACAAACCACACAAACACACTTTAACTCTATTATAAGTTAACATAGTTAGCAAAGTAGCCATAGGTTCCTATTATGGGCTGAGAGTGACCCCAATTGTTAAAGCACAATGTATATTAACTGCTTTAAGTGGAAGAAGTGTGAATATCAGAGCTGAGGGATAAATACATCTAAAGAGCTTTTAAAAATCTAAATCTAAATGTTCTCTTCTGATTTATCCACTACTGTAGTCTTCTCAGGCTTTGGATGTAAAAAAGCAACTTAAACAATACACAAGCAAACCCGAGTTATACCTGAAATGCTGCAATAGAGGTGATATAATTATAATCAGTAATGATGATTAAAAACCTGAAGTTGTAACCTTAAAATTTAAATTGATTTAAAATGTATAAACATAGGTGCTCCCTGTCTTTACAGACTCTTCTTGCAGAATATTTCTGTATGCTGATTTTGACAGTCAAATTTATAATTTATTGTGATTATTTTAAGTGTAAAATGTAAAAAAGAGGCATTAAAAATGACAGTATAAAAGTTGTCTGTCTTGTCACTGATGGTCTTTTTTACTTTTGTATCTCATAAAAAAATTATTCAAATTTCAGTCCATTTCATTAATGTAAAAAAACCTCCTCAAAGTAGCTTTAATAATGTCAAATTATGGAACCAGTGATAATCATTTTAATGACTTCTTTTACTGACTTGCAATTTTCTAACGACTTGTGAGGGTCATTTAATTGATAAGTTAAGTAAAGGCTCACATCCCTAGTTTGGGGTATTTGGAGGAACTATATACCAGCAAATAAATCATTTAAACACTGTTTTCTATAACTATTAAAACGACAACAAAAACTACAGTGCAGCCTAAGCCAGTTGTATTGTGTCAATTAAATCCTCTATTGTTTTAAACCAATCATTTTTACATGTAATAGAGGGGTACTTTGAATCCTCTGGAACCAGATGAGGTACCAGGGAGGAAAACTGTTGTCTGAGCACCTGTTTGTTGAAGCGCTTGAATGAACGTATAATCAGTCATTGCTGCTGGCTATCAGGGTTTTGTTGTGAGTTGCTAAATGACCCACTACAGTTGTGGGACACAAAAGCCACAAACTTTCACACAATAACCCACGCTGACTTACAAATACAGCTTACATGTGCAGTCGTGTACATTCGCCAAGTGACCAATTGTGTGATTGAATGGACACTGGCCAGTAATTACAGACAAGGACAATATGTCTGCCGCCCTCTGGTCCTCAGTCCCCCTCCATCCATCCCCAAAGCCACTGACCCGTTGCCTTCCATGTAATGACCACTGAGTGGGTCATTCTGTCTTATTGACACAGCCATACACAGCCTGGACATTATGGCGTGTCAGTCCTGGGATCACAGGTCCAACAGTAATGACTGCTGTTGTGGATCACGGTTCCAGTTAATGACCTCTGCTACGGGGTGAAGAAAGTGTCTGCGTTGCTGCCGGTGACGCTCCGTCCATCCGTCTGTCAGCAGAACTCTGGAGGTCACGGCCTATTCTGGGAGAGCCACTGACATTAACAGTGCCCGCAGTTATGAATGCATTCATTCATTCATCCATACATGGAGAAAATTAGACACACACCACCCCAGCTGTGGGCCCCAGGTCCATTAGAGTGACATGGATGTTGACCCTCCCCTACTCACTCCCTCCAGCAATCCCACATATTGAGGGGCTGGATCACAGAGCCACAGCTCAATGATTTTCCAGGCGACAGATGGAGGAGACACATGGAGTGGTTGGTCTGCCTTCCATCACCACACACATAGACACACTCAACCTCAGAGAAGGATTGTATGTATTATGTATGTCCTCTTATTTACAAGTGCAAGACAATTACTCTGGATTCATGAGTGTAGAAAGCATCTATAAAGATAAAGCTGGGATGATTTTTGTTTAAGGGCCTCTGTCCACTGAGGAATATTTGACGTGACTTAAAAGATTGTCCTCCATTGAAGACACAAATGCATGTGCAGGATAGGAGTATCAAAAGATAAAGACATGTAGCTTGTCTAAAGGGTTGTCCAAAATCAGATCAAAATAAGGTTCATTATATTGAGTTACATTTTTGAAGTGTCTACCTCTGGGCAAAGGGAGGCCCAGTAGCTCCCACCTAAACTTTAGAAACTGAATGCCAACACATTTTTCTCACCAGAGACTCAGCTCAGTTTTCCTTGCTTCCAGTTTCAGTCAGTATTTAATCATTATACAAGCTCTACATCACGGGAATTACTCGGAACATTATATAAACTTTGGCAAACCCCAAAAGCAAAAGTATTGATGGATGCATAGGACCGAAGAAAAGTGGGAAAACACAATCTCTGTTTTTATTAGCCCAGATGTTATTGAGAAAGGCTTGGAGGGGGTCTGTTTGTTTTTCAGCATCAGAGGTTTATGACATGTGGAGGCATGTTAAATATAATGAATATAACATGCAAGGGTATTTCTGTATAATACATTTCACTGGATTGAGTGGCTTCAATCCCCCAAAGGGTTTGATTAAAAATATACTTTGGTTCTCAGAAACAAGGTTACCATTTAAAGGTAGCATCTCTGAAAATGCCTGCATTGGTCCAGTGGGAGCAGAATTTTGATGAGACAGGAGAAAAAGCATAATCTCCTCAATTTCATTGTTTTCCCATTTCTGCATTATTTCCACGAAACACGTGTGACTGGAGGCTCTGCTTAGAGATTCAATGTGACGGATGTAATTCTGTGTAAGCTCCCCCGGGCGCTGAATAGGTGTTAGTAACTTGACTGACTTTACCCTGAATGCCGAAGGCCCTGATGGGATCTGTGCCACCCATGTACCTCATAATCTCTGTGGAACAACACTGTCCCCAAGCACAGAGTCTCTACCTGGCCACAGAAAAGGGTGTGCGTGTGTCTGATAAATTTTTGCATTGCTGTCTGACGGTCCACCTGAGTGTCGGTCTTCTGTTTTTCTGCCTGGTTTGCATGATTGAATTCTGTCTAAGTCACTGTATTTACTCGATTCCTGTCTCTTATAAAGAGTGGGTTGGTCAGTGTTTACAAGTCAATCGCCATGGCAACAAAAGCAGCATATATGCATCCCCACACCCAATTATCTCCCTTCCTCGGGCGTATTGGACTCGCAGCACTTCTTCCTGTCCCCAAACATCTTTATTCAATTCAACACTTGCACAAACTTGCATACTTTTACACAGTCACACATTGACAACATTTGAAGAGGAAATCACAGCAAGGGAACCAAGTTTGTCCCAAAAGTTGTTTGAAAGCACGAGTAGGGAAGGACAAATTACTGAAGTCAATGTGAAGTTAAGAAGTTTTTCACTCTTTCGGTGATTGCAAATATTAAAAAATGGTTACGTGAGAAATGAGAGCAGTGGGGAATAACAGGAGGCTAGAAGTGGCACAATAGATTGCGTGCCAAGAGAAAAAGTAATGAGTGTAATTCACAGAGTCAGATGAATGAAACTGAATGAATTTTTTAGGAATAGATTCTTGAATTATGGATGAATCCAACTCTAAAGTTACAGCAGAGTTATGCTTTCGAAATTGATTCATTATATTCTTATGAAAGAAATGTTTCAGAAAATACTAATAACTGAGCTGAACTTTACCAACCAAAGTGAACACTTTCGCAACTTAAGCAACAACAGTTTCTTTTTTTTTCCCCCCAGGAAACACAGAGGGCGATGAGGTTGATATTTGGGTGTTGGATGATGATACAGGTGGTGGTTTAGGTCACTGCTTCGATGTGGTTCAGGCCAGGGTGCTGGTTCCGCTTGAGAAGGAGCTCCTCTCTCCTGGCTCGAAAACTGGACCCCATGGATCATCAGTGTTGGTCTTCAAGTCTGCAGCTGTGCAGATTAAAAAGACTTGGTTGCTGCTTAGAGAGTGTGCCAATATGGGAAGGTTTTCTTTTAATGTATCAGAAACTTTTTGCATGGCTAAGATCTCTGCTTTGGTAGAGGGCTGGAGGCTGAGCAGATTTACTCCTCGTTGGACTGAAAGTGTTTCTAAAATAGAGTAACATTGACAAAACACAGCATGATTTTTTTTCAGGGATGGAAAAATGTGTTTTTCATCCAAGTTTTTCCACATTTGAAGGTCTTTTTATTCGATTTTTCACAATTCGGGCTCTTAAAAAAAAATCTTTTCTCTCCGAAAAACCAATGTTCGTTCTCTCCTGTTGCTAAGTCTTACACAGGTTCAATTACTCCTAAGAAGAAAAGAAGAAGGTTACATCTGGTGTTTTAACTCAGAAGTTTTGTTGTGGAGGTGAATTTGAAGTAGCAAGGTCAGCTGGAGAAGGAGGCATTTAGGTGGAGGAAAGCAGAAAGGCTCAGCAGGCAATTATAACAAGATTAAGGGGAGATTTGCGATGTGAGAGATATTGTACCTGCATGCTTATGCACACAGGCAGACCAATTTTGGCCTCTCCCACTCACACCTACACACTGTCAGAAGAAGCTCTGTAATTGAGTTTGGCATATAAAGAGGCAGAGCCCACTGATTGTCTTAACACCACAGAAGCCTGTTAAACAATTGCAAACATAGACACTCTGACAGTAGTTACAGGTAAAAAGTCTGTACTTCTGTTTCATAACACAGCTGTTTACATTATTTCTTTAAAAACACTTTACTCTGCCTTCTTCCTCTGCTCACATTCGGCCATTTTAAAGGTCTTTAATATAGCACAAAGCAGGGGGAAATAGCGAGAGACAGGGCGAGACCATAGCTTATATGGCACTGTTCTCGAACCAAGACATGTCTCAAATCAAACTCCAGCTCTTGAACCAAAGTCAAGTAACAAGTCTCAGAAAATGATGTGTTTTCAATGCAGCTCTGTCGTATTTGATCAAGTTAAAGTGATGCTGATTCCAGTCATCCAGATCAGACACATGCATCCTCTCCACACTTTGACCTTTTCCACCCACAGTCCATCCGTCAGCACCCATCTCCTCCATCGTCCACCGCTGAAGCGTTGTGTGCACAGCTTGCTAACATTTGCATTGAAGAATGGCTACATTAGGCCATATCTCCTACCTCACCAGCCATTAGTCAATTAAAGGGTTAATGACATGTCACAGAAGAAGGTTCAGTCAGCACGCACGACTTCCAGACGACCAACCTTTAATCTCCCCCACTTAAATATGCATGAGCCCTCCCAATGGGGCTTTAATGGCCCTTAGTTCCTCCCTCCTTCTAAACCCACACCCCCACCCTCCTGTCTGACAAATGAGATACTACACCTTGAGTTACCAAGACAACACTTTGCTCAAGGTTCTGTGAAATAGACCGTTGAGGGAGGTACTTGTCAAAAATGTGTCTTGGCTGCTGTCAGCAAGCCTCTCCTGACCTCATATCCATAATGACGGTGGCGAGTGGGCCCCTGTGACGCGGATATGTAAATATCACCCTGACTCCTCGAACTGTATATATTATGAGAGGTTTTGTGTACAGAGGCATATTCTGATCATATATTTGAATAAAAAGCTTCTATATACAGCCTAGAGTTTGTAAATGTACAGTATTTGGTTTTAAACTTTTATTCAGTTTGAAAAATGTCCCTACCACCCTGAGATTACTCAGAAAATCATCAAAAGCTCAATTTTTCAGTTTTTAACAACACTTAAATGCAGCATGCTCTTGTGGATCCATGTGGAGCCTAGTATTAAAGTCCCAGTTAGGAGTTTTTAACTGGTTGTGAAATTAATTTAGAGTATCAGCAAGATTTTTATGATCTACAATGGTAAACAAGACCATCAAAAAAACCTTACAATTATTATATTGAAGAATTTAATATCTGTAACTGCTGCAAAGGGGTAAAAGTTTAATTGAATCACTGCGACCTTGGTGAGTACCCAAGTTCAACTCCTAAAGTGAGGGCACAAGATAAAGAAAAATGTTGGCTCTAAAGAAGTGACCTTCCCTCGTTTGCAGATTTCCAGGAAGAATAATTTGTTTTTTAATTACAACACTACTCTTTCACAGATTGAAGGACGGGTGTTTTTATTTCTTGGGTTTATTATGGCATGTTTTTAAATGTCCCCTAGCCCCTCCCCTCCCCTCAGTGCTCCCTTAAGTCCCCTCTACCCTCTCTCAAGTCCCTCATGACCCGAGAGTATATTGCTGTCTAAAGGCATTTCCCTGATTATTTACAAATCAATTGTGAACATATGGAAATCCAGCGAGCGACAGATGCACAGCCTTTCAGTTATTGTAAACACGCCAATAATATCAATGCAGGAAGGCTAAACAGCAGAGGTCGTTTGGATTGGCTCTAAACATGTCAATAATGTTTATTTAAGAGACTGAACCGGTCAGTTCAGAGCCACTGTTCCTCCACAGATCCATTTCACCGCATACATGGAATCAATGTGCGAGTGAGCTTATGTAATTTGAGAACAAAGTAAAGTGGTTTGCCTTTGCTTTTTTCAATTTCCACTCTGACCTCACGCTAGATCCCCCCCCAGTAGAATTATAACGGTGAGAGTGGGGGTGATAACTGTGCGACAGTGTAGGAGACAAGTATTGTTGCACTTGGGAAAACAAGGTCATCCACTAACCTTCTGTCTTCAGCCACAAAGCAAATACTCAGAGGAAAAGACCACCATTATCGGCTCCCCAAAGGGGGTATCAAGTCAATTCCCAGCAGGCCACATGTGCAAACACACATACAAGCAGGCCACAGACGGATAAGTTAGAGCGCTCCCTCTTTGACACACACACACACACACAGTCTCAGGCATGTCCACACTCCCCTCCATCCCTCTGACCTCACCTCAATTAGAGGGAGACGTCTCTGTTTGGGCTGCTGTTGCCTAATTAGCATGGTTCACCACAGAGCAAGTGCTGGCTTAAATTCATTTATCAAAGGGGCCTGGGACAATGCTTCATGTCACACCATTAGGATTGCAATCTCTCTCATCATCTCTCCAGCTCGTTTCATGAAGCCATTTGACAGTTGTGAGTGAGGGAATGAGGTACGGGGGGAGGGGGGCGAAGGAGCATTATGGAGAGGAAGGTAGCAGCATGTAAAACAGAATGCAAGTGAGAGGATACATGTGGATACTGAGCGAAAGGGACAAATCGTGTTAGCAGGAGGGACGAAGAAGAGGAGGTAGAAATGAGTGGCAGCTTCATAGAAAGTGGCAGATGGAGGAAGGGGGGTGAATAGATTTTTTGAGAGACAAATACATGCGGTAGAAAGACTCAGGGACATAAAAAAAAAAGGCTCAAGGGTGTTCAAATCGAGGCCAGTTTGAGCGGGAACGGACAGAGATGTGTATAGACAGAATTCCTCCCTATCACACCTGCCCCACGAGGATGCAGCTTAATAGCTCTTTGTATACACACACTGCCTATAGAGGCCACTGCAGCCTTCAACATGCATCAAATATTCAAAGCATCTCCCCTTCTTAAGACACACACGAACACTGGCACACACAAACACATTTTTCTCACAGCCTTTAAGCCATAAATGTCAATAAAGAAAGCAGCGCTGGCACGTCTCGTTCTCTCCCTCTGTCGCCGTCTGTCGCTGCTTTGCCCCCTCCTTCTTTCACTAAAAGGGAATTGTTTATCAGAATTGCTCGAGGATATTGTGAATCATTTTTCAAAATGTTATCAATTGTTATTTTGCTCATGATGTGCAAATTGATGCACGGGGAAAAGATCTGCGGGGAGGTGGGGGTGGTTGGCATAAGGGACTCAGGGAGACAACCATCAGACCATCAATCACAGCCAAGTAGCCCACAATGACAAGTCGAAGGTCTCTGACATTTTTGACTGACTTGATTGATGTGTTTTTGAAGTACAGGGGAGCTGGTGTCAAACTTGCCTCTCTGGAGGAGAGCAGATACATCACACATCTCACTGCAGGACCCTGTTGGGATCAGGGATATACTTGTAAACCGTTTGTGTGGATCTACCGACCATGAAAAAAAGATGTTCTGCTGAACATCTGCCGTCCAATCCTCCCCATGGTCTCAAGTATGACTTTCATACTTCTAAAGCACAAAGGGAGCTATGTCCTTAAGCTGTGTCTGTTGTTATAATAGCCATTAGTGTGTGATAGCTGAGATTTTTTCTAGTGATCTAAGTAGTGAGGTTGATTTTGAACGCCTCTTTTTCCTGCTGTTTCAGCGTAATTGTCGGTCAGCTCTTTGTTGCAGAGTCTCCTGTTGTCGCCGTGTGAAGTTTCCCCAGTTGAACCATAATGTCAGGCCTTTTCTTTGTAATGTTGCGCTCTAGCTGTGGCACAGAGACTCTATTGTGCCTCAGATGTGACATTCAAATCCTTTCAGCGTCTATACCCCATTAGTGTTTTCACTGCGCAGACAGAGTCTGAAAGCTATTCTGCTTTACCTTGAAGGTCAGTTACAACTTCATATCTGTAAAACTTTTTTCTTCTTCTTCTCACAAACCTACACTTAAAGGATAACTCTTCTCTGTTTGTGTTTATATTTGTGTTTATATGAAAACTTTACAGAAAAAGACAAAGATCGAGTGTGCTGGAGTTGTAGTATTACTGCTCAAGGCTTTTGAACATGTTCAAGTGTTTCACTAAAAGACAGTTCAAGTCAAGTCAAGCGTATTTTCTGAGTCATAATAAAATCATGAGAGTTTTGCAAAAGCTGGGATGTGCTTCTGTGATTTTGTTTTTTTTCAAAGGTCATAAAACTCAATCTGAAAAGCTTTGGGACACTTCACTTCTTATTCAAAACAATCTACAACAAGCGTTATCTCATGACGCTTAACAAAAACGCTAGTCCAGACCATTCTAAAGATAGGTTCAGATTTAGTAGTGGAGTATAACAAACTTACTTCAACAGGCAGACACCTCAAGGAGAACTGGACTTGTGTAGGACAGTCATCTGCTGCTACTGTATTGTGTTTAGAGAGGAAATAGAGGAGAGTGAGATTAATGGAGGTAGTTGAAGCAGCTAGAAAGCAGGCAGGTCCTCGGCAGCAAATAACGACGACATGATGGAGCTCAGGGTCTGTGGTGTTAGTACCACAGACAGTCTAAACCTATAGCAGCATAACTAAGAGCTGGCTCAGGCCTGAACCGGGTCTAACTATGAGCCAACTTTAGGAAAGTCTTGAGCCCAAGGTAGAGAGGGTGGCTGCTCTGCACCTTGACTGGTCCATCCACCCTAAATTTATAAACCACAGAAAGTTTACCACAGACAACCTGAAACTAAAACAATGACTGATCAGAAAACTACATTTACATCACCAGCTATGACATAACATATAGTTATATTCTAAAGGTTAAATATCTATGTAAGATACTGTAAATGATGGGAATATGAACTACATGATTGTGTTAAGAAAGGCCGCAAGTAGAAAGATTTTTTAAGAGTTTGGTTCTTGAGCTGAGTCACTGCACATCTTGAGTCATAAAATGTCAAAGAGACAATTCAGTTGAATCAATCTGTGACAAGACTGTCTCTAACAGCAAACTCCACGATTGATTTTGGGGTCGGTGTTTGTAAAAGATTTCATTATGTCAGACTAAATACAGTGAGAAAATCCACATTTTAAGTGACCGGCCAAAACTTGTCTCATTACAAACAGGTTAGTCATGCTTTGCTGAAGGCTTTTAGATGACAGGGAAATGTGTAAGCAAGCCAGGCTATTTTTCCACCAACACACCAAATTAAGCTGATTTCAGCAACAACAAGAGCAATTGTTTTTGGCAGTCCTTCCCGTTGTGTTATTCCGGTCTTTTTAGGGACTAGAGATTTAGGGATGGTTTTTGGAGCTCCACTCACTTTACAAAATAATATTAGGGAAATGTTAAATGTTCTTTCATAAGCATTTGACAACAATCTTGGCATGAAACTGTTATCTGTCATTTAAAATATCCAGTAATACTTGAGCAAGATTTAACTTGAGTCTGGAAATCGACTTTCTTGTCTAAAAAACGTTATTTTTTATTGTAAGAAGCTGAACATTTGGGACTCACAGGATATTCTTGGGTTTAAACATACCGTACTTTCCAAGGTGGTTCAGTACTTTACCAAAAAAACAAACAAACAGAGAATTAGAGTTGTCTTCTTGGTATGAGTGGCGCCATGTTCTCTCTGCTCCACTCCAGCGTTTCTGTCTGGGTGCTCTGTTTCACACCGTTCCGTCTCTTGGCGTTAAGGGTGGCAAGGCAAGGTGACATTTTGAAAAGTGCATTTCCCTCTTTGCTCCGTCAATCTGTTCTTTCCCCCTTCCAGACAGCCCCCTCCATCTGCACGCCGCCGCAGCACACACATTAGCTCCACACATACACAAACCTTCCCCTCTGTCTACTGACAATGATGTCCCTGGTTCCCAACAGGGCTGCGCATGTTTGGTAGACCATCCTGCGACCCCTGGACCCCTAGATGACACTCTGGATGGCTGCGGTGTGACCCAAGGGCCCATTACAAGTCAAAGCAAACACCAGATCTGTCACATGCACTCCTGTGACGAACTGTCGGACATAACACCGTCACCTCCCGCTGACAGGCTGTCAACACCTGCGTCAAGATGATCGATTATCAGATCGAGTTCCAAAACCTTTCCTCCCGGCTCTCTCCCCTCTTTATACTGATTCAAGCCTGGTGCAATCATTTATTCTTCCTCTCAGACAGACAGCAGGTCTGTTTATCTCCCTGATGACAAAGTTTTGTTGCACGTTCGGAAGTTAATTGCTAGGCTCATTAGCTGTGTGTGTGTTTCTGCCTCGGAGCTGTGGGGGATTTGATATTATCTTGTTATGGCGAGATGTTTTACAGTGTGAAGGGTGATCTCTCAACCTGAGGCGTAAAATGGCCCAAGTGTGATCTGTTCATTCCCCTCGTTCATTTTTAATGGCCTTTGAAGAGAACGCTTGTTTTCCATCAGCAGCGCCATTCAGGCAGCGAGGTAAACAGATGGATACTGACAGTGAGCAAACGTCTCACAACAAGTGTCTCGCTCGCCATTTCTCCTCCTTGACAGAATACAGCGCGCCTTAGCTTCACCCATTTCTTTTTCCTGTGGGGAGCCAGTCAAATAAACGGCAGACAGTATATGGTATTCTGCAGCATTAAAGTAGGAGGGAAAAGCCGTATGAAGTCGAGAGTTTTCCTTCTGCAGTCACAAATAACATCATCCACTGTAGTTTTTGTAGACGTCAGCTCAGACGGTTCAGGTTTTTATTGCTGCAGCTGCTTTTAAAAAAAAACATTTCTATTTTAAATGTTCAATAACTTGAAAAAGACGTCCTTTTTTTTCACGTGACATTTGCAGGTAGAGACATTCAGACATAATAACGCAGCAACTTTTCATCCTGTAACGCACTCATGGAATAATCATCAGTGCAGCTGAACTACAGACAAATTAATGTTATTGTGACTTTAAACATGTACATAAACAACCGATTCATTAATCACTTTCTGCCAATGGCTTTTGATCAGCAGAGAGAGATTGTCTTCAAGGACTTGTTGAAGGTTGCTGCGTGCAGATCTGTGATTGCTGTGTAAATCGATTATGGCAACAGCTCCCTCCAAGGATGCTGTCAGGGAGCCAAACAGCTCCGTGCACGGCTTCAAAGCTCGAGACACTGCACACAAACACAAACCATTTACATACCTTCACGTGCCGTGTAATGCACGTTCACTCGTCGTCATAGAATCAGCACTCATGCAACAACTGTTCGAATGTTAACATAGTCTCACTGACACCATTGATTTCTACGGAGGTGTAATAAAGCCCAATGGTGGAGGTCACCATATTAGAACTAATGACTTTAATTTACTCTCAGCTACACAAAAACGCAGTTGAGATCCACCTGTCTGCTGCACACCTTAAATATACAATTACGAGAACCCCGTCTCCAAAAGTTGTCACCAATAAAAGTTCACATGGGGCTATTTCATTAGCTGACACCTCCCCCTTCACCATATCGGGCATCAGAAATTACAATATAAAAATCTTCAGTCATGTCGCTGATGGTCGTGTTTGCTTGTGTTTATCATAAAAAAGCATCAATATGAATTTTGTTCCATTTTATTAACATAAAGAAATTCCTCACAGGAGCTTTAAAATATTAAAAACCAGACAATCGTTTGTGAAAAAATGTTTAATTCAGCCGTGAATTTGGACATTTTAATATAGGGTTCACATGTATATTTTTTCGTGTGTATTTTTTGCATAAAACTCAGCCTTAAGTGGATTCTTGAAGTACTGCAGTTTTCTTCACTTCCACATTGGCCTCTAGTGTTATACTCTGCCTGTTGCTGATTGTTGCCTTCCTGCTCCAGTGTACTTCAGTGTTCTTAAATGCTCAATTGGACTTCTTGCTACACTTTGGTAGCCCATTAGAAAACATGGCTTCTTCAGCTACCATGAGGTGAAAAACCCAAGCAGAGTCATAAATCTGTCATAAATCTGCAGTAATTGTTTGATTTTCAGTGAATTAAACGACTCCGGTTTATCAAGGGGTCACTTTAGGTGTCAAATTTATAGAAGCCTTTACTTGATTTTACAGTTTTGATTTGTTTTTAACCTTTTCTGAACTTTTGTAGTCAGTTTTTGATGAAGTTGATTGCAGGACTTCCTCACCATTTGCTATAAGCAGCCATTCTCTGCAAATAAGGTCTGAGAAACTCAATGTACTCTGAGTATAATGTACCAAACTGATTTTTTTCTTTAATCTCTGCTGCTAAAATGTCTGTTCACTGAATTAAGATTTTCTTGATGATGGAATTTAAATCCTCTTCCTCGTCACAATGACACAGCATGGAAAAAACTTCCGGATGGCTGCTGTTTGTTCTCTTTTTTAAGTAATTCACTCCCTGTACTTTGTACCTGTTGATAGCAGTGGGTGCCGGTGTAGATAGAAATGTGATTATAGCCATAAAAAAGAGGGAACATTGACAAATCATTGCAACATCCTGCTGACAGCCTCAGGACCACTCAGACCAAGTGCACTCTGCTGGTGTCCTGTCTGCCGCAGGCTACATTTGGAGAGAGACAGATATGAAGAGGATGGTGAAGGGGTGAGGGATGTAGCAGGCGGGGATTGAGAAGGTAGAAAATGAGAGGCAGCATGAAAGAGAGACACATTTAGAGGGACAACAGGAGGAGTGAGGGACAGAGAGAGAGGAAGAGCAGTGAAGTTATGTTCAAGCTTCTGAGGAAGGATTGGGTTGTTTGTGTCAGCTCCTACAGACTGAGGGTTATCTGTCTCCCCCAGCTGTGCCACCCAGCTGTCACACACACTGCTCTGTCCTGGCATCCTGGCACACAGCACCTTTATCTGCATGTGTGTGTGCACACGCCACGTTTTAGGGTTATTAACATGGAAATCAGCAGGTTATATGCAGCACTATCTAATGAGACAATGACTTTAGTTAGCTAGAAACCTCCTGTCTTTCAATGTTGGTCTGGCCCACAGTGAATCCTGTACATGGTAATAGTTGTCTTTTCAGGCCTGTCATGGAATCTCTCTGCAGTCATTTCCCTGTGGAAACCACGTGTCTCCTCTAGACACTAGACCAATCTGCAGTCCCCACGCCACTCTCACCGCTTCAGCCCTGCCGGGTAAGAGCCTCAATTACCCAGAGCATATCACCGCAAACAGCCACTTTGCAGCCAACCACCTGTGACTCGCCACTGTGGGAAGCTTTGGCTGCGGCATGGCTGAGTAGGGGGTGGGGGAGAACAGCCAAAGCCTTGGGCTGGCCAGCCAACCATTGATTAAGGGAATCAGTATTGATTAAGGGAGCAGGGGACATCTGGAATGGACCAATTTATGTCCCCACATCAATTATTCAAATGGCTGTCGCTGAATTGGATTAGAGGACGATCTTCCTGCCATCTTTTCTACCCCTCAACAATCTGTACCCTTTCGGCAAGCTGTCATCATGAGCCTCCGACAAGTCTGCCCCTTGAATGCAAACTTTGTCCACACATACAGTGCTGGAGTTAGTGGTCCTGCTTTGGTCAGATTTTCTCTGCTAAATGATATGAATATGGAGAATTCTTGGACAACAGTTTAGCAGCTCCTGATCACTGGCTAATGCTGATGGTTGCTGGTAGGCCCACTCTGTATTGTCAGATTTGTTTCTCAGTTTGCCCTTCTGTCTCACTGTTGACATCTTGAAGGCTTGAATGCATCGCAGAATGGCACAGCCTGCTCACGCCTCAGCCAGAGGGTTATTCATATTCATAATGTTGGTGCCGAGGAAGCTGTGAAATTCTGTGCCGCTTTGTCCACGTATGGTGAATTTTTGTAGGTGGGGTTTGTGGGTATTTGTGTTCATTTCTGTGTTTTTGTGCCTGGCGGGAACCGTCTTTGTGTATCATGCAGCAGTGGGCCCACAGTGATGGGCCAACACTGAGCTCAGTTAATGGGCTGCTGTCCATTGTGGACAGGCTAACATGGCAGGGATGGGGAGAGTGACTGAGCCAGGGACAGACGCCCACAGGTGGCTGGGAGTGATAGAGGGCTGCCCTTTGTCTGGCCCCCCTGAGACATTCATGCACACACTGATGCCTCTGACTATGATTGATGAATGACTTTTTTTTTACATATGATGAAGGCAGTGTGTGGCAATGTGCAAGACACTGTCAAATCTAGTATTTATTTCCCAAAACCTATAAAATTCACAGACATGAACCATCTACATTACTCATATTTCACTCTCTTTACAATCCTGTAACCAATATTACATTCTATACTAACAGACTCTCTGATCCAGTGTTTGGTTTATGTTTACTAATTTCTGCTCAATTTTGACTGTGGATTAGCATCTTCTCTGTATTTATATTGAGTTTGAACAGTTAGGAAATTAGTCACATCCCTAATTTTGATGTTGGAAGAGGCAAAGAAGGAGCTGGTGTTAACACCTCCAACCCACCAAATTAGGATAGTTTCTAGAGTGGCGTGTTACGAGATGCACCCACAAACACATTCAAGCCAGTGTTGTTTTTGTCAACCATGACATTGACGAAAATATTTTCGGCAACGTCATCGTCAACGAAAACAAAACTCCACGTGTGTGTCTGTGTGTTGGAGGAGCACAGCAGGCTGATGAGAGCTGTTAGAGTGGACTGAAGCTGCTCCTATATGTTTACGTCTTCGTCGTGGAAGAAAAGGGAAATATTTTCGTCAACGAAACCAACCAGTGTTGTTCTCGTTGACGAAAATATTTCCCTTTTATGACGCTGGCGTTGATGAAAATATTTGACGAAATATGACGAAAACAACACTGATTCAAGCATGCACACACCCAGCACTGTTCCGCCCTTCCTGCTCCAACACTGCACATCTCCACCGTCTTATTTAAATCCCTCACATACTACTTCTGTGGTCATGGCTTGTAGTGTTACAGCTTTAATGTTTTAATTTTGGGATGTACAGTGATCATTTTAGTTGTAAAAGGTTGTTACCTAAAGGCCTACAATGGCTAGTAAGTAAAACCTTAATGTGAAGTTCTGGGTGGCCAGTCAGTGGCATAAGTTCCAAATGTTTTGGTCGTCAATCTCTTTTTACAGTATTATTCTACCTTCAGTTGTTAGTAGCTACTTAGTTTAGGAACTTTGTAGGCAGGACAGAAAGTTCTTGATGTGGCACATTAGTTTTAGAGTAGCATAATTAGGATAAAATTGAGAAAAAAAAAAAACTGATTGCAACACCCACCTACAGTTTTGCAGGTACTCTTCATGCTTGCAGATCATATTAGTGGGTCCAATCAGACATATGCAAAAATATATAGCCTTGAGTAGTAATGGAGCCTAAATTTACAGCTACATGGTGTTTTCTAATAACTAAAACTGGATGAAGAACAGTGAAGTGTACATCTGTTGCTCAGCTCTCTGTTCCACATATAAGTGGACAATAAAGTAATAATAAATTCAACATACTTCTCAACCAGATAATCAATTCACTTTGTTGTCGAGGCTCACACAGCTCTGGTAATTCGTGTTTCTGTGGGAGCATATGGTGCGGGAGCGCGGGGAGCAAATGTGCAGTTTACGGGGAATTGCACGGTTGTTATTGATTAGAGCTGAAATGGGGGGAGAAGATTTGTGGAGCCCATAAAGGAGTTGAGAACGTGTGTGCGTGTGTGTGTGTGTGTGTGTGTGTGTGTGTCTTTGAGGCATGGTTGTAAGATCAATGGTAATGTTTAACATAACAGGATGTGTCTGGACCCTGTAGGATGTTGTTGGGGGTGGGAGGAGTCGTGATTGGAGAGGCGGTTTTATCGCATTTAGTCTAACAACCACAGTAGGTTTGAGCGTTTTGAGTCGCTCATATAATATTCACTTCCCTTGGAGTAAACAGGGACAGATATTTTTAAATATCTCAGGTCTAAGGATGGACCCTTGAGAAGAATGTCCCAGACTTTTTCCCTCACATCGATCCAAGCCCAGCAGACTTGTGTGTCTCGTCTCAGCTTGAAGGTTGCTTCAGTGTTTACTCTCTTTGTTCAGAAACCTTTTGACAGACTTGCATCTTGATCCTCCATCTGTAAGGTTTTCTGGGGCTGTACTGTTAGTCTGTCTGATATCGTTCCCGCTCTCTCCCCCAGCCGTCACCAGCAACACAAACATTTACTCAAACAGAGCAGACGGAGGAGGTTCAGCTGATACCGGTAATTGCTCCCATCTGCTTGCATGAGTCCACCACTGAAATTAGACCTCCTGACCATTGTCCAAGCTGTAGTCCTATCATCAATTCATCCATCCATTCGTGCCATAGGGGGCAGTCAGAACAGCAGCTACATGAGAAACTGCTCCAAAAAGTGTTTCTGGCAACATCATGTTTGATAATTCTAGTGATTTTTTGCAGTAATTTTCTGCAAAACAAACAAAAAAACACAGAAAAACTGTTTTTGAGAATGTAATTGCACAGTAACAATGGTTGGTTACGCCGCTTTGGAGTTATCTGGAAAAGAAAACATGTCGCACTAAGTGGTGATTGATGAACTTTTATAAGCTGCAAGTATAAAAGATCTTCAGGATGTGAGGTTGACTGAAAAGGAAAAACAAGGTAAGAAAAGGTGCACAAGCAACTGAGATGACTGCAGGCCTGAGAGGATTGTTTATTCAAGTTCAGTGTGAAGTTTCCACTGTCTGTGATGATGCAGGTTGCTGTGTCATCTGCTGGAGTTGGTCTACCGTGTCTTATCAAGTCTATAGATGGGAGATTTTTGTGCACTAACAAACTTCATGGAGATCCTGGTTTCCATTCCCAGCAGGATTTAGCACCTGCCCACAGCTCCAAAACTACTAATGAATAGTTTCCTGGCCTGAACTCCACAAAAATCTGAGACCCTTGTCTAAAGAAAGATTTGAGTGTATAAATGGACAGACATTTTTGATTGATCTTATTAGATATTTTAACAATTTTAGATGCTGGATTTCTGATTTTTTTATGAGCTTTAAGCCATAATCATCATAATTAATACAAAATAAGTCCTAAAATATTGGCTTTAACATGTCAAATATGATAAAGTATAAAAAGTGTAACTTGTTTGATTAAATATTTGTGGGAAAAGATCTTTCTTTAGGTTGTTCTGCTTTATTAAGATGCAGCTTTAAGTCTTGGTTAAAATCCCTTCCTCGGTGGGTGTTACAGATCCATCACACTCTGCACCATTAGCTATCCAAGCTATTACTAAACTTAAAGTGTTTTTACACCGGGAGAAAACTGATCTGTGTGTGCAAAGCTGTTTCTTTTTTTTTTTTTTGAAACATTACTCCCCTGTCTGCGCCTGTTACTCAAACATGTCGTTCTTTGTTAGAGGACTTTGCCACAGGAGCTTACGGTGTGATATTCATCTTCTGAATGGCCCTGCTGACAGTAAATCTAATAGTCTCTTGTCTCAAAGATAAGTCTTTTAAGCGAAGGTGGCCTGAGGCTGAATTTGGGTTTGAGTCCCCAAAGCTGCAGGTTCAGGCTATCGATTCTCCGATCCTGTAACCCCACATGCCTTTAAACGCTGATCACCTCAAGAGCCCTAAACTCCTCTCATCACTCCACTATCTGTCCATCACTTTACCTCCATTTGGACAGTTTTTTTTTTTTTTTCTTCAGGGGGCGACATCAGGGTGGGGGGTTCGGGGCGAAAGTGCTGTGGTGATCATGGGAGTGTGGAAAACCACCCCCTGTGTGAAGCAATCATCACCGCCTCTCTATCATCCTGCCCCCTCCGCCACCTCCATCCAACCTCTCCCCAACCCCTCACCCCTTCCATTATTCCCACCCCACTAGTCAGAGAATTAGGGTGACACTTCATGGGTCCTTCCTCGTCTCTCTACCTCTCTGCCTCTCCCTCCTTCTACCTTCCCTCCTTCTATTTCTCACCCATTACTCCCAGTTCACTGGTTGGTATATGGAGGGTGACACCGGGCCAATTCAATCTCTCGTCCCCGTCAGCCACTGCAGCCTCCCCTCCAGTGGGGTGTCACTCTGTTTTCCACACTTCACACCCCCCCCTTCCCTTCTTTTGCTACACACAGTTTTCTATTTCCCCGTCTGTCACTCCTGTTTTCCATTTACTCATCCTTTTTCAGCTTACCTTTGACTTTTAAAGTCCTGTGTGTCTCAGAGTAGGTGTTTTTAGGATGGCCTTGTTGTGCTGAGGTGGTGATATATTTTATGTGCCGCTGTAGCAGTTCAAAAAGTTTTTGTCGGGAAAAGTTGGCAGAAGAAGCTTTGTGTTGTAAAGATAAGAAAAGCTGATGGGCGTCTTGAAAAAAATTCGGAGCATACATGCTTTTGATTTGACTGCCTTTGATTTGTGACACTGAACAGATTGAAAAGACTTCAGCAGAGCACTGTGGTCTTTAAGATTTTCTGTAGTTTGTTCTAAAGAAAAAAGCTCAGAGGTTCAAATCATCCTTACCAGATTTTACCTTACTTGAATCATTTTGTCAGTCGATACTTTCAGGCATAACTTCAGAAAACAGCTCATTCAAACAGAAAAGCTTTTCTGACCTGCTTTTTGATCCATGGATTCTTTTATTACTCAAAAAATCTAAATTTGGCAGCATTAACATCACTTTGAATAATAACAGGCTGAATGTGAGCCAAACACAATGAGAGGCACAGGTCTCAGGAGCCAGTCTTACTCAATTAATGACGAAAACCTATCAGCTACGCTTTATGAGTACTTGGAAAGTTTAGACAATGTGTTATATTAACAGCTGTAGTACATTTTTGTTCTTGTTTAATCTTTGATTACCATTACTATTACTATTACTTTTCTTCGTCTTCTATTTCTTCTTTTTCTTCTTCTTTATTATTATTATTATTATTCTTGTTTTATACATTTTGTTTTATACATTTTGTTTTATACATTTTGTTTTTTAACATACTATACTATAATATTTTTTATCAAGTGATACTTTGATTTTCTCTATAAACTATACTATGAAATTTTTATCATACAATACAATGAAATTTGTAACAAACTATACTATGACTTTTTTTAAACATACTATACTATATATTTTTTTTCATACTTTAATATATTTTAATCATACTATACTATGACATTTTTTAACAGACTAAACTATGATAGTTTTAACATACTATACGATGACATTTTTTAACATCATATACTATGACATTTTTATCATACTTTACTATGACATTTTTGTAAGTCTTTGCGGTGATTTTTCCTCATTAGATAGGATAGACTGGAAACATAGGGAGATATAGAGATGTTATGCAGAACATGGTTGGGACTGGATTCAAACCCATGACCACTGTGAGGACTGTGGTCCCAATGCATGCGCAGTAACCCATTTACCCATTTTTTTATCATACTATACTATGATATTTTTAATGTATTAATGTATTATTTGTATGTATTAATGTATACATTTTTTATCATACTTTGATAACATTTTTAAAGGTTTTTTCCTTGATAGCAAACATTGGCAACACGGGGAAATAAAGAGAGATAGGGGAGGCTATGAAGAACATGGTTATTATTGGATTCAAAACCGTGACCGCTGCTTGGACAGTGGTCCCCCTGCATGCACACTGACCTGCTCAGCCATCTGTAAGGCCAACATACAATGACATTTTTTAACAGACTAAACTATGATATTTTAATCATACTATACTATAATTTTTTTTCTAACATACTATACTATGACATTTTTTAGATACAATACTATATCTTTAATCATACTATACTATGACATTTTTATCGTACTTTAATATAAAATTTTTGTTATCATACTATATTGTGACATTTTTAACATACTATACTATAACATTTTTTTAACGTACTATACTATGATGTTTTTAATATACTATAGTCAAACATTTTTTATAAGACTATACTATGACATTTTTTAATCACAACATTTACTGATAATCTTAACATATTATACTATAATATATTTTTTAATATACTATACTGTGACATTTTTTTGTCTACACTATGGCATTTTTTAACATACTACAATTTGACCTTTTTAAAATACTATACTATGACATTTTTTTTATCATACTATACTATGACATTTTCATCATACTGTCCTATGACAGTTTTTAACAAATTATCCCAAGGCCTTTTTTTCATACTATACCTTGACATGCTTTCATCATACTTTACTATGACATTTTTATCATACTATACTATGATATTTTTGTCATACTATACGGTGACAATATTTAACATACTATATTATGAAATTTTTTAAATACTCTACTTTGACCTTTTTAACATACTATACTACGACCTTTTTTATATTATACTATGATTTTTTTATCATACTATACTACAACATTTTTCATCATTCTAAATGATGTAATTTTTAACATACTATTGTATTGTTTTTTTATTACATAAAACTATAAAAGATTTTAACATTTTATTCTAAGACATTTTTTTCAACATACTATACTATGACATTTTTAACACACAATACTATGACATTTTTCATCATTCTAAATGATGTAATTTTTCAACATACTATATTATCGTATTCTTAATAGATAAAACTAAAAGTTTTTTTTTTAACATTTTATACTATGACTTTTTTTTGAACATTTTATACTATTACATTTTTAAACATACTATACTATGACATATTTTGTCATACTATACTATGACATTTTTCATCATAACATACTAAAGTAATTTTTTGATATACTATACTGTGACATTTATCAAGCATTTTATATGTGAAATGTTTGATCAAACTATACTATGACATTTTGATTGTGCATTACTATGACATTTTTTATACCATTCTTTGACATTTTATAACATACTTCACTATGACAGATTTTATCATATCATACTGTGACGTTTTTTGATCATACTTTTCTATGACATTTCTGTCGTACTTTACTATGACAATTTTTTATACTATTCTTTAACATTTTTAACATTGTATACTATGACATTTTTTAACATACTTTTCATACTATACAATGATATATTTTTATCATACTATACTACGTGATTTTTGTCATACTATAATATGACACTTTTCATCAGGTTAATTTTTGCTCTTAAGATAGGCTTCTTTATTTATTTTTTTGAATCCTTTTGTATGTGGCTTCTGGCGCTCTTGGAGCCAGCTTCCACATTGGCTTCAGGTTCCTGCTTGGATCCGGTCTTCATTTGCGGGTTGTTTTTGTTGATCTGTGGGCTCTGTTCTGTTTGCTGTAATTGTTCAGCTGAGTTTGAGTTGGTTCTGTCTGCGGGTAGAGAAGATGCTTTGTAAGCTAAAATGCATTAATGTTTTGAGAAGGTTTCAGCTAAATCAGATGCCCTGTGTGTGCTTGGCTACTGTCCTTACTCTTTAATAGAAAATGTGTCTGTTGGGTGCTAATTTATCCATTATATAGAGATTTACTCTTTCAACTACTCCTATTCAGAATCAGGCTATTCAGTGTCATCCCTAAGAGCACGACTTCCTCTGTGCAAAATTTATTCCAAACCTTGGTGTCTTTATCTTCCCCAGTGGCACTGTAGAAAATCAGGCCATAGACTCAGAATTAATTGGATAAAACCATAATTTAAATCATTTGGATACTTAAGTCTAAAATGATTTTGGCTATTATGTATCATAAAATCAGGGATTTTCTTTTCATGTAGGAGCTCTTGTCCTGGTCCTATACACGCTGTGCAGTATTTAGTCTTGTGTGTCCTGACATGCATACAGTCAACAGCTGTGAGAATAATTAGACATCTCAGAGTACAAAAGTAGAATTTCTTTGTCATTGACTCCTTTTTCTCGCTCTGTCTTGAAGCAGACAGTGAAAGACCTGAGATGGCCTCAGAGTCCCAGAACACCCCATCTGACTGACACAGCACCTGTCAAAGGAAAGAGCTATTTGACAGCACAGAGTAGACTCCATGAGCAAATGCCTTCAAAATTCAGAGCTTTTGTCCTTTTTTACAAGCTGCTGGCTGTTGCTGTGAGTTTTATAAAACTGTGCAGAAACGGTGTGTTGGTCGGGTTAAACATGGCAGGAGTATTTGTCTGGAAGTCCTTGTGAAGTCCCTGATCTCCAATTAGAGATCATGTTTGACTGACACGTCTAGAAGTTTCTACTGTTACGACAGGAGAACACACTCATTACTTTTTACCAAATATTTGGTGACTATAGCTCCACCCACAGATAGTCTGTTAAGAGGTCTTTGACATATTTAAATATTTATCAAGTGTGCATCCTAAAGGAGGATGTTGGTTTCCCTGTGGAGAAGTGGCATGTCAGATTTTATGTCTTTTACGTAGTTATTTAGATTCACACCATCCTATTTCTGCAGATTTTGCTCCGTAGAAACTCAACCAAAGGAATCAGCTGTCAATCACCCTCAAGTGTGACAGCAGTCGGCAAAAATACACAAAAAAAAACATCATGACATGATTGGTTTCATAATAAAGTTTATTCTATATTACAAATAGTATTTTGTTCTTGACTGCAAAATAGGAATGCATTATATTTACATACACAGGTATACAATTAATTATAACAAAGTTAGAGAAGCTCGCCTTATATCCCCCAGGTTCGTTTTTATCTCTCAATAAGATACTCTTTATCTTTCAAATATGGTCTAGTAAAAGTCTTTTCTAGCTTGTTTCTGTAACACCTGCTATAACACTGAGCTAGGAGGACATTTTTAGTTCCTACAAAACGTTTGAAGGTGGAAACTTTATCTGTGCTCTTGGCAACAAGGTGGCTGCTCGCAGACGGCCTTTGTTGCAGAAGAAGGGACAGGGCAAGGAGAAAATGAAAGACAGGATGTTACACCGGGGGGCAGATTCACAATGACAGTCCGGGACTCGCACCCTGTGTTTATAAACACACGGCTGTGAGGGGGAAACTTTGGGTATCTAGACAGAGTTCACATCGGCTACAATAATGGAAAAAGGTTCTTTGAAACTGTCTAGAGGTGCTTCACAAGTTTTTGTCTTACAATTTTAATACCAGTCGTTCCAGTTGCTCAGTCAATCCTTGTTCCCCTCAAATTCCAATAAGAAGTTTGATATGTTGAACACAAAACATGTCCAGCAAACACCTTGTGAATATACCCCTCCAAGTAGAAACAACAGACATTCATAAAGCTGCAGACGGGAATTAAAGGACAAGAACTTGGATATTTCACATACTAAGGCTAAGAAAAAAAACAGTCACTTGCCGAACTCAGTCTTGAACTTAAGTCTACTATCAAGCCTAATGCGCCTCTCTGGTTAGATGGCGATGATCTCGACTATAGAAAGATGTGTTTACACTGTTCCTGTAAAAAGGGAAAAGCTCATATGATACACGATGCAGACTGATGCAGTCTCCTGATGCTTAACTGAGATGAACCTTTGCGTCATGGATTGTGGCCTTTGTTAGCTGTTTGAAAGCTGAATTGGAGCTCAGCTGGTGGTACGATAGACGTAGAAAACAAACTACTGAAATGTAATGACAACGAAATCAAACTCTCCAAAAGAAGATGTAATAGCAGCAAAGACAGAGCAAGACTTGACTTGCATCTTCAATGTACCAAAAGTAAACCTACAGAGGAGACACAGCTGTCACTAAAAAATAAAGGGCTTGTATTAGAGGACACATCACCTTGATATGGATTTGATAAAAAGGGTTCATGTTCTCTTCTTGTGAGATCTATCATCTGAGATGAACAGTGGGCTTGTAAATTGTAACTTGAAAGTCCTAGTAGTAGTAGAAGTATATAAATATCTTTGAGCAAGGCAGTTCCATTTCATACCATCCAAGTAGGTCAACATGCAAGGGTATATAATATCTGTTTTCTTAAGTATCTAACACGACAAAAACCATGAACATGAGGTTCTGCGGGGGCTTGAACTGATAAAGGTTCCACCTTAAACGGAAGTCATAGTTTTTATTACATGAACAATCCACTTTTTCCATCTCGATTCTTCCAAGCAAAAGAAAGATAAAAGAACACATCCACATCATCATTGCAAGGCTTAATTTTCTTATTTTTCACTTTTTTTAAATAAGTTTCTTAAATTGTTTACGTTTTACATGCGCTTAAAAAGCCAATAAAGGACCCAAGGTGGACCTAGGGCGGTCTTCACACATTCACATCACCACATGGGGCACGTTGTCAAGGCAAAAGAAAGGGCAGAGGTCAAAAGGTACGGAGGGCGCCTCCATCATCTCTTTCAATCGCTCGCTTCTACTGTTAAAGTCTATCCTTTACTGTCTATCCTGCCATGATGCTCACTTCTTGACCAGAATTTTTTTTTCTTCTTTTTAAAATTTTTTTTGAGGCTTGGAGAAGGCCGCCCCCTGCCGCCACTGAGGACAACTACACTAATACAGACAAGAGCGCCTCAACAGTTACACACTCAAGAGTTGGGGTTTTGCCGTATGCAACTAGCTACCATCTCCAACGCTTGTGCAAAACAGAAAGAAAACTGGCAAGTCAGGAGCCAGACACAAAGGTGAACGGTGTGCCGAGAGCCGGAGAGACCCGCGACGATGGAAAGAGAAAGAGGATGGGATCACGTCGCCCACAGAGCCTCTCACCTCGACACACTGAGGTCAGAAAAATCACACAGGTTTCTTAAAGTTCCAGTCACAATATTTTTTTTGTCCTAGAAGTGGTTGTCTTTTACATAGTCCCTTTTTTCTACGTTCCTCAGTGGCACTTTACAAATACATTTTTGACCATTTTGAAAATTTCAAGCTCCTTTGGTTTTTGGCTGACCTTAGTCCATCTTGTTTGATTTCTCCACACAAAAAGTCTTTAAGAACATCCTGGGAAAGAAGTGCTACTCTCACGACAGACCCCTTTAGGGAGCAGTCAGCCGTCTCTGGCTGTGCTGTGTTGAATCATTCGTCTTTTTACCGATCAGACAGTTCCTACCCAGTACATTTCAGTCAGCTCTTCCGTTGCTGGAGATTTCTGGGCAGTCAGGATCTTAGGCAGCTGCTGATCATGTGTGTATCTGTGCGGATGTGTGTGTGCTTTGATAGACCGTCGCAGTGGCGGCACAAGATTGGAAGAGGCGAGAGCCGGGCGGAGACCGCTCGTGGTGTTTGGACGAGCAGTCGGGAAACTGTCTTCCAAAGTCGGTTGTGTGCTTCTTACAGAGGATCCACTTTGGGTCGAGGCCCTCCTGGGTTTTTGTCTGATAGGTTAATTTTGCTATAGCCACATAAGCCAGATGAAAGCAGAAATCATGAACATTTTCTTTGAAGGAAATGTAAGCTGGGCAGGGAGAAATGTGCGAATGTTGCAGAGGGGTATAGATCGGGGGGGGGATGCTCTGGTTTGTAAAGTTTTAGTGTCAGTCATGTTTCATAAAGGAAAAGTTCAGAGAAGCACTAATCCTTCCCTTCCCCCCATCAGTCTTTTTTCTTAAATACAACTCCAGCTACATTGAAAGAACACAAGAACATTCTAGGTTTGCCTGGACTCGCCCCAAATTTCCACAGATATGTATGCTTTGCTTGTAGGTACAGTGTAAACTTGGCAAACCATCCTTGCATTAATTTTCTTCAGAGGTGTTCATTTGGCTTGCAGTCATCGTTTTTGATGTTTCCTCTTGATTCTGTATATTGAATATAGAACTACAATAAACAGGACTCTAGAGATGGTTTTATTTCAACTATCCTATTTTCAAAACAGTTCTCAACAAAATGGACACCAGCATTGTGGTTTTGAAAGAATTACCGATCAGTGTAAATTCTTGAAGGCAACATAAAAATGTTTTTCCCCTCGTCTCTTCCAGCAGGGGGACCGAAGTTTGCCAATATGGCCGCTTTCAGGCAGTCACCCCTCAGCGCTCTCCCTGTGGTGAAGCTTGAGGGCTCTCCTGCATTGCACTGAAGAAGACGCCAACCACAGCTTGAACCACCCCTCGGGTAAATTCAGGTAAACTAGTCTATGCAGCAGAGTGGATGAGGAACACAAAATATCTCTCAGGGAAAAGGAAGCAGAAAAAAGGTCAAGGAAGAAGTCATCATCTTTGAAAAAGGCGGAGGGAGGAAGTCACATGATGAAAAAAGATGGGGACAGGTCTTCGCTCAGGCACGGCTCGGTTTCTGATGGGGTCTTTTCCCAGTGCGCCCTGGGAAGTGCGGTCCTCAGCTCTCCAGACTCATGAAGGCCACCACCTGCTCCAGCTTGAAGGCCAGCCTCTGTTTCCTGGCTCCGTCGTCCTGCTCCAGTGAGCACACAATCTGCCGGCAGGACAGAGAGGTAGACACAGACACACAAACACACATTACTCATCGGACTCAGAGCACCACGCCTGCAGTCAGCACTTTAGAGTCTAAGCCTGTGGTGACCAAACTGAGGGACAGCAAGATGATGCACTGTTGTTCTTTCTTCTCTCTAGCATCGCCTTTGCTTGAAGCTTCATGCACTTCCAATAATGCATTTTCATATCACTGTTTTAATAACTTTATTTTCTAACAGTCTAATTCTGAGCATGTTTTTTCAAGATTGATTAAAAAAAGTCGCCTCTAGCTGGTATTTGATCAAAAGCAACAACATTTTTCAGTCAAATTGTTACAGAAAATGTCAGAGCTCAACACCTGACTCCCTTTACCACTGATACTCTGATTCTTGAGTTAATTGGGATTTCAAACTTAAGTTGAACCCAAGGCTTCGATAAAACACAGACTGACTACTTATTTCTTTTGCCTAACAACTGTAGTAACAAATAGTCCCAAGAAAACCAGCTTTGAGTGAAACTATAACAGTAGGAGTGAATAAGGAAGAATTTAAGAGAAGTCTGTGAAGCTTTTATAAACATTTACAGGTGAAGCATTCGATAATGTTTGTAACATTGTGACTTATTATCTAATATCACATGTTTGTTATATACTTTTAAATGAATAAGAACCTACGAGCTAATGCTTATCACACTGAACATTACCTCATCTTTATAGGTAAATATAAGATAAATCATGATGAGTAAATGTTGAAAAATTTTGTGTTAATGCCACAGTAAAAAAAAAGATTCAAATTGTCTCCATATAAACTTGTAGTTATTGAAAAGTTCTCTCTTTCTTATGAAGGACAAAAACTTCAGATTTCACAGACTGCTGACACCTTGAAATCAAATTCAAAGAGATAAACGTCTCAAATGTTGATGGAGTCCTCTGAGACTGCTGCTGTTGAATAATCTACTGGTTTCTTAGTTCTTAGCTTAATTTACTGTAAGACGATAGCATCAAATCACATTTTTGTAAAATGCAGAACATTTTGCCGCAGTCCACCGTCTACCAACAGTGAAAAATCATTGCAGTAGCTTTTCCTTTTCTCCAGATTTCAATGAATTGCTTAATCACGCCAGGGGTAGAAGTAAGAGTAATGTTACAGAAGCGAGGTCCAGAGTTGGAGCCAGTACAGTGTTGGATTTACATACCTCCTCAGTGTATTTGCCCACGTAGGAGTAAATCTCACTGAGAGAGCTCATGCTGTTGAACTCATTCATGTGCATCCGTGACTGTTCTGCCAAGTAGGCGTTCATGTCCTGGTCGCTGATCGCTGGCATCTTACTAATGTCTGAGTAGTACCTGTTATGACACACACAGAGGTAGAACAAAGCAGAGGACAGAGTTTAGCTTCAGACAAACTGGGTAAACAGAACAGGCTTGTTGTGTTTGGATGGAGATAGTGCTGCTGTTGTCCTCAGAGCTAATTACTCCCTGCCACAGGCCTTTAAGGATATAGGACTGATGCATGAAGCGCAGAGGCAACAAGTGTGCTGGAAGGTAACGTGAGCGATATGGAGCCGGGGTAGACACTGGCAGGCCTTTGATTTCAACCTTGAGCAGCACAGCAGAATAAATACACATACTGCATTGAAGTAAGGGTAATCAGTCACTGTCAGCAGCAGCTGTGTTGCCCCTATCAACTATGTTAATTAAAGCACGTTATTTACATATTAAATTCCTGTAGCCGCAGCCGCTCGAGGACAGGCCGGGTGTTTGGCTGGATAACTCTGGGCATGTGTGAGGAAGAGGGGCATTTGCCAGGAAGGTAGTCTTCAGAGCAAACCCAGCAAAGAGGGGGGAGGCAGGTGGGTGCTGCTTATAGCCTTTGCACAGAGGTCACGCACACACATCAACACCTGCTCAGTGCTGCAGGGCAGTTTTAGGGAGCACCGAGCAGGGGTTTGTTAGTGTGTGGACCAGGTGTGCTTGTTTTTGAAACAAAACTCAAGTCCTTTGAAAAAGTGAGAGGAAAAATATCTTATTATACAGCATTAAGCTGAGATTTGTTGAACTACTAAAAGTTTGCATTCAAAAAGTGAAAGTTTGTTTCCTGCCTCAAAAAGTTGTCGCTCCTACATGCAGGTGGATTGAACTTTTAATCTATTTTTGTAAAAATTATCTGCATTAGAGGTTCGTTTATGTTACTGTTTAAAATGACAAAACACACATAGTGTCTGCTAGTGTTGGTGAGTTGTTCCACTTAAACGCTGAAGGGGTTATTATCTTCATTGTCTCCTACGACACCCTCAAATTTTGAAACACACAGAACTGATGAAACTATCTAACAGATAGGAAATATTTTTAAAGTACAAACACTATATAGAAAAAATCTATTACAACAACACCATTAGCCATCTCCGTAAAATGTAACATTAGCAAATGTACTGATCCATATGCAAGTACTCGTGTAAACAAGTAATGTTTTGACAGCTGTGATGGATTCGTCATTGTCAGGAGACCATCAACTCCCACATCAAATTCAACATAAGTGTCAATATCTCACAAGCTCGCTTCACTTCACAGCCCTAAATTAATAACATCAACATACTGCAGCAAGTACAATGCTCTGCGGGATAAACCGCTCTCTCTGCCCAACTGCACTGCCTCCACACCCCAAAAATGAAACCGCAGAAACTGCTGAAAATGCAAAGTAAAAACTCTTAAAATGTCTCCACGTGCTCTGATTGGGGAGAAGAGTTGAGCCTGTTATTGAGCTGGAACACAAAGTGAGGACGCCCTACCTTTAAAACTAAACTGAAGCATGAAGGTGAGAGAAGAGGACGTCTCCTCTACCTCGACTCTTCTCACTTTCACTCTTTCCTCTATAGTTTTTTTGTCATGGCTTCTGCATCCTGCCTCTAACTCCTCCCCTTCACATGACTCTGACTTTGTCATTGAACAGCAGAGTGAGGCAGTACCAGATCCACTAGAGTTAATCCTTACCATCTTATTGAGGTTTTTACGTTTTTAAGTTCCACTCTGGACTATTTACTCAGAAGACGGCATGTTATCAATACTCCACAGGGCACTGAGATGTTTCTCTTTACAGCACATAAACTATTCCCCTGAAACCTCCAGAGGACCGAGTATGCTATAAAAAAAGACATCTGAAACAGGCTAAACTGTCTGCTTGTGTTGTGTAGCAGTATTCTCTGTCCACAGATAATGTTCTTGCCTGCCGTATTCAACCACATTCATGTGTGGTAAATTAGAGGATCTGCACACTGACTGTGTTTATAGCAGATTTATAACTACTGTCCTGGGCCCACAGCGGCTCATTTGATTCCACCCGTTCAAGCAGCAGTGCAAATATTCTCCAACTGAAACTTCTGATGTAGCAAATGAAATATAAACGCTCCCAACCCCGCATACAATCCCATCTTTTACACAGGACTTTTCCGTCCCCTTTGCTTTAAAATAAATTTCATCAAGTCTAATTTTAAAAAAATTACCTGCTGCTTCTGCTTGGTACTGTCAGAAATACCCTCACACACTTCTGCCTCTTCTGTAATTTAGATCTCAAGCCCTGGGCGCTGGCTCCTGTTTCCTCTGTGTTATAATTTGGATTGTGTTTCATAGCCCATAGATCACTGCAGCGCTACAGCCCTGTTGTGCATGTGCCGGAATGAAACATGGCTAAGGCGGGTTTCTTTTTTTTTTTTTTCCCACTCACATAAAATAACATCCTTCTCAGCGTACACACATTTTTACCCTTCATCACTCCAGTGTTGGGTGTGAACATGTGTATGTTTTTATCAGCCCACAACCTCACCTTTCCACCCAGCTCTTGTAGCTGGGGATGTCCTTGGCATAAAGCAGCTTGTTGGAGGGTGAGTCCTTCCCGAGGCGGTGTTCTGAGGTGGAGCAGGAGTCCATGAAGGTCTGGGCTACCACAGACAGACAGGCGTCTGTGATGCTGCTCTTGTGTATGT